CCCCCCCCCACTCCTCCTCCTCCCAAGCTTGTCCAGCACTCCTGCTACTAGGATACTGACCTACCTACACAGTCAAAAAAAAAATGTCCCGCCGCACGCACTATACACGCAGATGAGCACGCCCAAAGATGCCTCGTCATACCGAAACAAAAACAAAAAAAAAAACAAAAAAGAAGACCGGGCGACGGCGCCAATTGTCCGTTACGCTACACACTTACGTTCTAGTCTGCGGAAGGTGCGACTCGCACTTCCCTCCCAGGGCATGGCTGTTCTGACCTTTGCGGTGCTACACTGTACTGTGGATGTTGCCATTTAGCTGAGATGTCCGCTGATGCTGTGGTGTCCCATGAGGCCAATGGTCTTCACCTACAGCTATGGCCTTTTCTTTCTGTTATTGGCTTTGGGAATGGTTACCATTTACCTGTCACCTAGATCTAATTCCCTGATTTAGGGTCTACGAGGCAACATCGTTTCCCTCCCTTTTACATCCCACCATACTACCAGCGATTGAAACACCAAACCAATGAACCATCGGTTCCCGATCTTCATTGGAGCGAGACAATCTATCAGTTTACTATTATACTCTGGTACTTGGTGCGTTTCCTGGAAGCGAGTATTCTTTACTGCAATGGAACGACGCTGGAGATTCAGATCTGCTGGTTGAAACAATGAACTAATCAAACGTTGGGAGTGCCATCCTACTTGACTATTTGTTGAGAAAGTCTAAAGCAGGGCGCGTAGAAAGAGGACAATGTCCACGCTGCTTGCCTAGTAGACAAGCGTGGTATATATTAAGGGTAGATTACTATCTATATATAGAAGCGAAGTGGCGGGTATGGAAAAAGACGTCGAGGCAAGCAAGCAGCAGTAGGAATCAAAAATCAGAAAGCAACACCAATGGCGGAATGGCGGTGATGGTCATGATCATAGTAGCTGTAGCTGTGCTGCGCCTCGTGGATTGTCGGGCCGGCGCGGCTTTGCATACCGGACAGGTTGCTCGATTGCGTCTTCTTTGGCACAGGCACAGGCAGAGGGCAAGCGTACGGCATCTCGGAGGACATCTCGACCCGCGAGTCGAGTGTGGACGTTCGAGCAGTTGTGGTTGTTGCTGTGGTTGTGTGTGACAGTGGAGGGGTAGCTGCTGTCGGCGGGGCTTTGAAGGCGCCGGGGACATTGAAGCTGTTGATGGATGGGGCGAGGGTGGATCCGCTGAGGGTTCGAGTGCGGATGCGCATGGAGAATTTATCGCTGAAACTGGGCTTGCGCGGATGTGGAGGCGGGGTTGAGGGGAGCTTTGAGGGACTGGAGGTTTGGAGGAGCCACTGGGTTACACGGCTCGATCTGAATGGAGAAGGACTTGGGGATGACTCGAGGGGTTGAGTATCCGGGGTTGCGGGAGGTTCGTAGAAGAATCTACCAGGCGGGGAATAGTTCTTGGTAGGGATGGGTGGTAACGTCTTGTCTGGGGGTGTTGCTGTTCGAGGCGTTCTGGGAGCGCTTGGGGTAACTGTAGTAGCATCGTGTGACACCCGCGGAGGGTCATCCTTTGGCGGGGGTCTGTCCACGATTTGGTCCGGCCCAGTGGGAGGTGAAGTAAGAGTACTTGTAGCCAGACCAGTGGCCACAGATGCAGTCGACGCACGAGTCGAGAAATGAGGGATCAGAGGATGCGCGACGGGAACCTGCCTCTCCATGAGCAATTCCAGGGTTGCGAGTGAGGACCGGCGAGACCCAGATCCCACGGGCTTTCGAGGCAGGTTGAAGGACGACGTAGGCCTGTGAGTGCGGGGTCGAGTTTGATAGGAAAAGTCGGTCATGAAAGAAAGGGCTTTCGGGGGCCGAGCAATTGGTGCCTGGTGTTGCTCAAGTCCATAGTCGCTAAAGAGGGGAAGCTCAGGCAGGCGGTTGGCTGGGCTCTCAAAGTTCAGCTCTAGCGGACGAAACCCTGACGAGATGTCTGGCAAAGTGGTAACCCTTCTGAAGTCTGTCGGTGCACCGATCCGCACAGGAACGATTGATTTTCGCCGAAGCGACATACTTGCCCTGCTGGACGCTCGCGACGCGAAGTTCCTGCCTTCCTCCATAACCCAGGTAGGGAATGACGTTGCTCGAGGTGGACCTGGACTGGGCAGATCGTCATAAACAGTCAACTTCATCGGAGGAACAAGATGAGGTTGAGCATGGCATATTTGCATCTCTCGCTCAGCACCTGCGAGAGTGGCGGTGTCAGTCGAATAAGCGCCGTGGTCGTGGGCTATGGACGCATACCTTTCTGGTTCATGGCTTGCTGGTGGCCGGCGCTGCCATCATCGCCGCTTGAGTCGAGGTAAGACAAGCAGGATGTGATCCATCCAGTGAATACAGACCCTGCTTGCTCAACTGCTCTCTGCATCGCTACCAGAGCTTTAGAGCTGCCGGTCCATCCCCTCGAAGTGGGGAACAATGCGGGGACCTGGGACAGACAAAGAGAGGAAAAAAGGAAAGAGGAGAAACGCGGCAAGGAATTGAAATATAAAATGAACAGAAAGAGAAAGTAACTCAATGCTCCCTAAGAAGGGCTTGGAAAGGAAGGGCGAGCGAGGAATCAACCTGCGCATCAGGAAAAAAAAAGTGTCAAGAGGAGAGACTCTCAGGACCTCAGAGAGGCTGGCGGCAGCAGAAACAGACAGGATATGTACAGAGCCATAAGTCCATGACAAAGGGCTAGCGACGAGGCCCCGAGTCAGCATTCGCTCATTTGGTTGGACATGGAGCCATGCACCAAGGGAAATGAGACATGGACAACAATATGCAACGTGGGCATCCATCAAACCATCTCAGGCACCCTTTGATGCTGATAAGGCCAGGCGCGAGCTGTTGTCCAGCCATAGTATTGTTGCCGGCCAGTCAGCATGCTGCATTGCAGCCCTCCATAACCAACCTCTCCAACAGTCGATCCGCCATCGTGCAGAATCTACATCTTATTTGTCGGTCGCATGTGGAGATATCACATTGACCAGCCCAGGCGCTGCCAGATCACCTCGAGCTAACTGGGTGGTGCATCGTGGCGGGCGCGTAACGGTGGGTTCCTATTGCTTGGGCCGGGCCAAGTTGGGAAACGAACCATTTGGGCTGCTGATCGTTGACCAAACGAGCAGTTGTACTCTGCAGAAAACAAGCCTAATGTGCAGAAAGAAGACTAGTCGCTGCCTTTGTGCAGAGTTGATGGATGGTTGAAGAAGGGAGGACGTGAGAACTGAGATGAAAGAGGGGTCCTGGTCTCGTGATATTTATGAACGAATCCAGCCCGATAAGAACTACACCAAAGCGCTGAAAAAATACACCGAGAAACAGGCTCAACAGTGAGAAGATAAGTATAAGCAGAAACAGTCGCGGCATAAAATGGGCAAACACTGCGCTATCGACTCCAGACATTGTCGTCGTCCAAGTCTCCATAGTTCCAAGCAGGCGTCTTAGGACTTTGGTCTTTCGCATCTGGATCAAGTAGCCTTGCCTGTTCGCTGGTAGATTTTGTGCCTTCATCCTGGTCATTAGTGGCTGGCGGTTCGTCAACTGGTTCACCAGAGGGTCTACTGCAGGGCAAGTCAGCAAAAAAAAAGTCGCTCATTCGCCTTTGCGTGACGATGTCTCCCGGTGCACAATAAACTGCTTACTGGAAATGCCTGTGCTCTGGCTCGACCGCCACAGACCCGAAAGCCCGTTGAACCTGTGCGCGCTCTTCTTCCTCCGCCTTTCGATCTTCTACCACAAGGTCCACTAATTGACTGCGATGGGAACCCGGAGACTTTGGCGAATCTGTTCCCTGTCGAGGTGACTTTACGTTCTCGGGTTGCTCTTGCCGCGAACTTCTGGAGACACGGTCCTCACTGACATGATGGGTTCCACTGCTCGAGTCACGGATCTTTCTACTTTTCCTCGCCTTCTTCACCACCTGGGGCTGCTGAGTCGAGGAAGCAGAAGGACTAGCCAGTCGTTGGTCTCTTGGAACGATATTGGCAGTGATGACCGGATACTGACATTATTTTAGCTCTGGAAGTCAAGATTCCATGTGGATCAGTAACTTACGTTAAAGTCGCCAAACTCTAGTTCGCGGGCTTGGCCAAACAGCTTTTCGTCATCCTCATTCAAGGTGACTTCCTCTGTCTCGCTGTGTGAACGATACCGATCGAGAGCGCTAGTACGTCGGGTGCGACTGCTTCCTTCGGAGCCGGCGAGCAACGGGGTTCGACTATTGACCTCACCAGGCTTGGGAATCCAGTATTTCGCTTTCCCGCCCCGCTCGTACCGCATGCCATGCATCACTCGCTTCACTCGGGAGTCCGATTCTTCGTGTGCGATAATATGATCACCGGAATCGAATAGCCTGTACCCGTAATTCTCGCCTCGCAAAGTCATCTTGGTGTCCTCGACCAAGTCTTTTGCCCCAAAAGCATCGCGAAGTGCGTGCTTCACTGGTAAGCGGGCCGACGAGACGTTTGGATCTGCATAATCATGCCAGGAAAACCCATGCCAGTGCGCAATCGCAAAAATGGGCATCTCAAAGCAGATCAAGCTATCTTGGATTGCAGCGGCAAGATTGTCCGGCGTGTAGTCTCCTGTGCCATTGGGTAACGCTCCAAGCCATTGGAGGATCGACAGAAAGAACCCTTGCCAGTAAGACGCAAAAATGATCAACTTAACGCAGAGGAACTTGGGGACTGGCCGGAAGGGCGCTAGGTCGTTGTGAAGGCACACCCAGAACAACGCCAGCGAGTAAAGACTAATTGTAACGCTAATATTGTACAGAATCCCCGTCCACAGGTAGCCGGATGATAAGCCCAGGTACCCTTCCTGGTAGGTTCCTGTTGCTTTCATGATGATGGATACGATGGCCAAGACCGGCTTCAGCCATGTATATTGCAGAATGCCACGCTTCACGGCGAGAAAAGTGTGTGGATCAGATATGTCGACTTTGGACAGAAAGTGATTGAGCGGCCACGCGTGCTGAACGGGGGGCCGACCGTGCATCATGATGATAACTGCTCTTTCGCCGCCGAGGAAGTTGATGAGGAGCTGGAAAAATGTATAGATCGTAAAGGCCTAGGGATCGGTCGTTAGCACTCCCATTGAACCACATATTAGCCTGTAATACCTCATAAACGTCGCGAATCGGAGCTAGCCATAGAGATGCCTTGAGTGATATGATGCTCGTCCAAGAGGATACAGCATATATGGGGACCCTATCACGATAAGCGAACGCCAGGCAACTATGCGGCCGACACTGACATCAATAATATACGAACAACGTATCGCTGGAGGAGTGGCTTGCGGTAGTTTTTGCTGGAATATGTTTCAATCAGTGCGGGACTTCTGGAACAGAGTAGATGTATAGGGAGGATATTGGGCGTACGTCTGAAGCCATATGGATCTAGTGGAAAGGGTATGGTTAGTATAGTTTGTAGCAGAGAAAGAGAACACTGAGTTCGTACACAAAAGAGAGCAGGGTGGCAACTAGTGAGGAGACACCAGCAACGATCACTGCAGCTCGAGCCAAGCTCGAGCCCGTGCCACCAGAGGATGAAGTTGTTACCATTGTCGCAACAATGACTGCGGTACTTAACCGCGTGCGGGAATGTTTTGTATCCACTGGGCACCAGCAAGCATGTCGCAGCCAGATCAGAGCATGGCGGATGCTAAATACAGAGGCCGGACCAAACTGACTTGAACGCGGGAAGCGATGAGATCAAGAGAATAATGCGCATAGGCAGCGACGAAACGTGGAGAGCAGGGTATCTGCACGGTCGAGGTCCGCGTCTGGAGCTCCAGGGCCGTTTCTCCAGCTCCCACCGCCTTCGGACCTTCTTCGTCACGTTCCCCATTTCACAAGCCAACCCCTCCGCGGATGGGCTCCTCTAATTGTCTGTATATTGCTTGGTGTCTAGGATGATACTGCTATCGGGCTGACCTAACACCACAGCTTTCATGGTTGGTGCGACGGAAACTGCCTAATCCCGGCCGCCATGTTGAAGGCTCTCGGCCGGTCCACTGGTAACGCGACATGGCCGGTTCATCATTCACCACCTTGGCCTTGACCCCGGATCCAAGTTTCAACTGGTAATAATATGCCACTTGTAACTCTCTAGTCTCCGCTTACGGTACAACAGGTTCTTTCTCCTGCAGATCATCGTTTCATGCATTCTGTAAGTCGGCCCGGTCTCCCACCCGCAGGGCGCAGTTGGCTAACCTAGATAACATTATAGTGTGCTATTCTTCTTACTTTACTTCAATCGCCTCTTCGCTACCCTCTTGTCATACGGGATCCGCGCTTACACGTGGCATTATTACCGCGCATACGTCGATATCCACGCCCTTCAAATATCCCTAATCGGAGGGAGAATATTCTTCAAGGGCATTCGGTATCACGGTGTGAACGAGACAATCTTCGTCCATGGAGGGTTCGTCACCTGGCACTTCTGGAAGCATGCGGTGCGGCGTACAGATATCTCGCACCTGGGATCTAGCGAGACTGATTCCGGGTCTCAAAGATCAAGGACTAACAGTGACACTGGGGACAAGAGTAGTAGCATTGGTGAACAGGGTGGGATTGACTGCACTACAGCGCTTCCTTGTCGTATCACAGTCAAGTTCTATGGGCTGGAATGGTTTATTTACAACAGGACCCCGGCATATGATAGCATCCTCTCTGGATTTGGCGTGGGGACATCCAACCGACCATCTGATTCTCGGAGTGAATCGTCACAGGCAAGTCTGAAAGAGAACCGGCCCCACGAACTCTTTTCGACCGAACCACCCTTTCAACAGCCACCCGCCGTCCCCAACGGAACCCGCGCAGCTGAATCCGAGCGAGATGGAGCTCCATCACAGGAGATCGGGGGCGGAATGTCCAAAATCCTTCAACTTTTGCCTTTGAAACTAGAGTGTGAGAAGGGCGCAATCGTTATGGGAAATGAAAACACACGTTCTGTGTTAACGATGACCTTTGACTTCGCTACGGGGTTGATCGAGGCGTGCCACACCGCGAATCAGCTGGATCTTTATCGTCAAGTGTTTAGCTTCAAATTTGACCATCCAATTGTTCAAATGAGACCCAATCCGGATTACAAACAGACCCAGTTAGCCGCAGCAAATGGATTGAACACATCCCGAGAAGAAAAGCCTGGGACGAAGCGAAAGAGAGATACAATCTTCAATTACCAGTTTCAGAAGCGCAGAGTTTGGCACAGCATTCGTGACCTTATACCATACTTCCAGACCTCAGTTGAGTCATTTCACGCCCCCGATATGCGACCCGGAAACGACCCTCGGGCCCGTACCCGCAATGATTCCCGATGGGTTGGTCTTTCCCGTTACTTGGAGCAAGGCAGCCAGGATGATCACAGTGAGTGGGACTCCATTGAATACGGCAGATTTTCGACCATCCTTGATAGCCCCAACATGTTTGTTACATACTTTTGGGATATTCCGGGAGTTGTCAGAGCACAACCCTTTGCTGAGGAACCTTTGTCACCGGAGAAACCTCCCAACATCAATGGTGCACCGGCACCAGAATGGGGTATTGATGTGAAAGTTGAAGGAGGAATCATCAACTACGGACCTTGGGCGGATAGGGAGCGGGTAGGGCTGCAGAACATCTTCTTTCCAAACGCCTACCGGAACTCACAGCCTGCGGAACCTCTGCGCCCCGGAGAGCCAAGGCAAAACACGGTCTTTCGCTTCAGAGTCGAGTTTGATCAAGAGACAATCCTCCGTATCCCCACACGAGAGCCATCTAAAGACTGGCAGTGGAAGGGGCGCGGCGATGCAGTACGAGGCGCATCTAAATTGAAGAAGCGGCAACGCAGAAAAAGGACACGCGCTGCAGAAGGCGAAAAGGGCAATATTGGCCCCGATATGCGTCCCTTCGGCTGGTTCTCGCTTCGCATTGCCAGCAACTCGACAATCAATTACATGATGGCCACGGTGGGTGGGGAGCCGGGATTCGCGAGTAAACTTGATCTTGACCTTCGAGACTCGAAAATGTCGTCAAGTGTCAACCATGCTTTGCTGTGGAGTTGTCCTAGGCAACTCATTACTTGCGACCTTTCCGTTCCGCTCGCTTGGAACACATTGCGTACCTGGAAGTTTGATGTGAAGAGCCACGACATGGAGCTCTTTTTATTGAGGGATCACATTTTTCTCCTGACGGACTTGATTACGGATTGGGGCTCAGGCCCTTCACAGGACTATTATACTTTTGTTCCGTTCATATATCACGTGAACATGTCTTTCACAAACCTGCGACTTTTGATCAATGTCAACGACTCGAACATCGTCAGCGACCCTACAGATCTCAGCGACAATCGCTTACTCGTGATCAAGGGCGAGACGGTCACCTCTAATGTGATCATTCCATTGGACAAATACTGCGCAGAGCAGAACGCTGTGGACTTTAATGTCAAGCTCTTGAACACTGACATCGAGTTCGAGGCGCCAATGTGGGACACACTTCACACGTTCTTGAAGAATAAAAAGATGGCCACTCTAGAAAGCTTGGCCATTAGTGGCTCCTACAATTATTACCTTTCCACTTCGGCTGAATTGACAGATACCCTGCGCCTTGATATGCTTGGCATCTCTCCGAGACTGTACATGTTTGGATTTCTGATCAAGTGCTTTATGATTGTGAAAGCGAATTACTTTGGTGAAGATGTGCATTTCAAAACCCTCGAAGAATTCCAGGAACTCGCATACTCTGGGGATGCATCCGCAGCACACCACGGAGTTAACCCAAACAAGAAGACCAATGACCTCGACGTTGTACTGCATCTCGTCGTGGACAAGCCTTGTGTTTTACTGCCAGAGACCCTGTATGATGATCACGACTGTATAAGACTCACTGCCCCTTCTTTAGAGATCGACCTGCGTTTCACGAATTACTACATGGACCTGCAATTTTCTCTTGCACCTTTGGGAGCAGCGTTGGAAACACGCAAGCAAGGAGAGCACCCGGCAATATCTGCTACCCAGCTATTCATTGATGGAGCTTCTATATACGGACACCGTATCTTTGGCCTGCCTCCTTCGGAGCCAACTTACGTTTGCAACTGGGACTTTGATATTGGGAAGATCATCGGTGAATGCTCGCCCAAGTTTCTGGCTTCTTTCGGTAGCGCCTTACAGGGGTTCGATTTTTCCTTCGACAATGAGGAGAACGCACTTCCACCATTATTCCCAATTGCTCTCCACGATGTCACGTTCCTACGTGCAAGGATTGATTCAGTCCATATCTCCATTATTCTAGACAACAATGCTCTCCTCCTAAACACCAGTACAGCAACTGTGAGATTCAATGATTGGGCGAATGCTCGCTTCTCAAAGCGCATGAGCTTGCTCCTTCCGGAAATATCTTTCGCTGCGATAGATTGCACATCGCTTGCCGAATTCGATGGCTTGAGTCAATCCAAGGTGCTTCCGCTAGCTCTTTTCCAGACCTCCCTGAAGTTGAAAATGGTGCAACGAAGAAACGATATTGGCGAGACTCGGAGACTGCAGCAGGAACATATAAGATCCCATGATCAGCGGACTCAGCGAACCCCCTGGCTACTTTTCGATTGGGACCAGGTTGAGCCGAACATACAATATCCTGAAAATAATACAGCACCACGCCCCACCATTGCCATACCTACGATGCCGGAACCTCTTGCGGGAAGCTATGGGTTGTTAAATCTAGCACGCTTAAGGTATCCGCAGGAAAATAACATTTCAAGTTCCAACAGCTTCCTTCTGCGTTCCGAAACTTCTAGCATTAGAAGTAAGCTCAAGAAAGGAACACTTGGTGCCAGTGAAACTCGAAGCCTGGCGTCTTCTGTATACCGACCTCAGAGGTACTCTGGGAAAGCTGGGAATGGCCCGACACCAGTGCCACATCGGTATCGGAAGGGCGACGCTAGGTTGTCGACCCATAGTTTGAACGCGTCCAACTCTTGGGGATTGCCTGGGTTTACCCTTCACCAAGTGAAGCTAGACACCTCTAGACTTCCTTCTGGTCAAGCATCAGCTCCTGTTGCTCCCGAATCGAGCACCTTGGGTCTGAAATTCGATCCCCACTTCTCGCCATTTGAGAATGATGATACAACCCATACCAATTTCATACTCGACCTGAACAATGGTATTCGGGGGTTCTGTACAGCAGATTTCATCTTTATGCTTCCAACGTTGTTAGAATCTTTCGAGCTGCGACATCCGGTTGAGATGATCGATTCGCTACAGAAAGACATCATCTCAGACATAGTAACCTACGAGAAAGCTCTAAAGAGACCGAAGAAAAGTACAACTCTTGCTATTCGAGCGCCTATCATCACGATGAAGCTGCTCAACGCCCGCAAATCGCCCGACACTAGGGAGGACAGCTTCCAGGACGAATATAACCTCGAAATCTCCCGCTTAAGCACGGCGATTAGAACGAGAGTCGAACGAAGGAAAGGTGACCTTATATCCGGTATTAGCGAGAGCATTACCGCGCAAGCTGTTGCTGAAAGCCTATCCTGGTCAGCCGGAAGCACCTACTTCGACCAACACCGACAGAAATCTGATCTTGGCTGTCATCTGGAAGACATTAGTTTCTGGCATGTGACTTCGCCAATAAAAAAGTCAAACCTGCAAATTCGTGCATTCGACACTCTCATGTCCACCAAATCTGTTGAGCGGCTTGCACTTCTTGTTCGTCGCACGACCACCATGCTTGATTCTGCCACGTCTTCGTTCCAACATAGCTCCTCACTCCGTCATAACCGATTGCGTTTCTTGGTCTATAGCCTCACACAGTCTGCAGCACATATGCCAGATCCGGCATTCTTGACGCGCGTTTCATATATGTTGAGACTTACCCCAGGGCATTTGCGGCATCATGATTCTTGGAAGATCCTTTCTCGAATTCGTAACGTTTTCAATAACCTCGCAACTGAGAAGCAGCAAGCCTTGACTGAACAGTGCCTTCGAGATGACATTGCCCTCATACCCAATGCTAAGAGCGCTGTGCTCTCTAGCTTTGATAAATGGCGAGCATGGGATCTAGCTCTTGTTGAGAAGAGTTATGTGATGCGAAAAATATGGGGCTCATCAGACGGAATTCCTGGAGCTGCGCCATCGGCATCTTGTTTCTCGGCCGTGATAAAGCGCCTTCGCTTTTCCATTGACCCGGGCCCGAGAGAGAGCGGTTTTGTGCTTCAAAACCTGTCCGTCGTTATATCTTCCAGCCCCCAGCGAAGCGGCCAAAAAACTAATAGCGAGGGCGCCTCAAAGTCTCTTATCATTGCTCAGACTTATTGTTCTTCTGCAAGTCTTCGCCTGCGATGGGAGATTCTCGACCTGGTGGAGGGCCTTGTGAACACCATGTCTACGGTCACTCTTGAATCGGCAACCCCGCTTGAGCCAGCCGAAACCGAGAGAGGAGACCAGATGGAGCTTCAGGTGATATTTGGAACAGACCTGGCAACTGTGGTTGTGGACGGAATCAACCTGAAACTGGAACTTATGGGACAAGCTCTTAGAAGTTCGGCTATTCTAAATCCGCACGACGCCAATAAAGCAAGCGCGAGTCTGTTGATTAGCTGCGGAACATCTTCTTTGGACCTTTCTAATCTCTCTAAAGTCATGATGCAGTGGAAATTCACTGAGCCACATGTGTATTGTTCTCGTGTGACGGAGGAAACTGCCAGTGAAACGAAGCACGATTGGAAAATTGCTGTATCAAGCCGAAAACTCCGATATGACATGAACGAAGACCCGTTAAGTTTGGCCCATACAGCTGACCGGCTGATAGAGGACGAGGCTCGATTCCTTCACCAACTCATTAAAGACTTGAACCTTCCGGCGCGTCATTCTGAGGACACCGCCGCATATCAGAAGCCATCGCACAGCAAATTTCAGATTGCTACATTCTTGGATGATTACCGCCTGAGCTTCTGCATTCTACCGTCTCTGACATATGTTATCTCTGGTGAAGTAGCAAGAGCCTCCATCATATCCACGCTTGAGCAGAAGATGGAGATCGACTTTGATCTAAAGGGAAACCTTCATACGTTCCTTTCTAACGAAGGGTCTACCTGGCAGCCCTTGTCTAAGCTAGGGATACCACCGATCAACGGGCGGATAATGGCGGACATGTCCCCCAACCGCACTGAAGTTGAAGTCGACGTCACCATTGAGTTGATTCAGCTGGAGGCAAGCGCAGTGCGAAGTCTTCTTGGTGCCATAACAAGGCCTGAATTCTCCCATCTGGTCTCCGACCTCAAGCAGAATGTGGATTCTTTACAATTACATGCCAGCGAAGTGTTATCTCTTGATAGCCAGCCGCCGCAACATAACGATAGATCCAACTCCGTCTTCCTTTACAAGGCTCGAGGAACAATGGCTGGAACTAAGATCCACGCAACCGCGCCTGGGTTGAACGGCAAGAACTACTCGGCTGATATGGGATTGAATCTCGGCATGGTACGCATGCGGATCAGTAATGGTCTTGAGGCTGGCTACCCTACAGAGTATCCAGAGTTCAATGTTGATACCTCGAGAATCAGCTTTGATCTGAGCAGAAAGGGACATTACAGTGCACGCTCATACTGCAGCTTCGCCATTGACGCCAAGGTAAAGGGCACGTCCACGACCGACGAGAATGGAAAGACATTGCAAGCATTCCACCTAACCAGTAAAGGTTGCGAGATCGAGCTATTCCCAGAGGCAGCCGCGCTGGTGGTTGATGTAGCGGCTCACCTCCAGGAACGGATGAAAACCCTGGACCTATCTCACGAAGTCAAGCGCTTTAAGAAATTGCGACACCGTGTTCATTCACAGACAAAACCAAAATCATCAGAAGCTCCCAGCGTCCAGGTCTCCGATGATAAATCTCATACTGATGATCTCTTCGGCGCGATATTCTCACTGGATCTGAATAACATCCAGGTAGCCTGGAACATGGCCACCTTTTCCCAAACAACATCTCGAAGACCCGATGATTTGGTATTCTCTATCAAACGTGTCGACCTCTCAAATAAGAAAACAAATGCAGCCAAGCTTCGGATTGAAAACGTTCAGTTGCAGATGGTGCCAGTTTCCGGGGACAGGAGAAAGCGCGCAATGAACTCCGCTCTGATGCCGGAGTTAGTCTTTAATGTGGCGTATTCTTCAGCGGCGAATGATATGCGCGTGGCCTTCCAAGCCGCAGGAAAATCCCTGGATCTAAGGGCTACATCCGATTTTATTCTGCCTGGAAGCATGATACGGAACTCAATTGCTTCTGCCGTCAAAACAATCCGCGATGCCAATTCGATCATGGTGACAAAAGCGTCGGACGATTCTAGCGCCAAACAACGGTCTTTGTTTGGAAACAAACGCCTACGTTCCGTTCTCGTCGACGTTGACTTCGCTGGTGCTATTGTTTCCCTTCAAGGGCGACAAAGCAGCGACCAGCAGACTCTCCTCACGGCTACTTTGCAGGGAAACAGAAAGTCTGAGTCAAAATATGGCCAATACGTTCACGAGGAGGCCGCGGCCACTGCGACGCTACGTGCTCCTGGTGTGGCATTGAAAGTACAATTTGAGGACAGCGCTCAGGAAGACTCCACGCTTAACGCGGAACTGAAGATAGACGCCTCGACGAATGTCTTGTACCCGAGCATTGTCCCGCTGATGAAACAGATGTCGGACACTGTCAAGGAAGTGATGGGTGACCAGACCAAGCCCAGGAGACCCTCCAGTACTATGATGTTGCAGTCGCAAAAGCTCATGCAGGAGACGCCCCTGGACAACACTGACCCTATCTCTGTACTTGGTCGATGCAAACTGAGCGTTGGACTTTTGATTTGCAAGCAAGAATTCAGTCTCAGCTGCCAACCTATCGCTCGAGTGGCGGCCACCATGGGATTCGATAGCGTCTATGTCACAGTCAACACAGTCAAATCAGCGGAAGACGAGCGATTCCTGGCACTTTCGGTGGCCTTCAATGATTTCCGGGCGTCTGTGAAACACGTATACTCTAATGAGTCCACTGCCAACTTTGAGGTGAAGTCGGTGGTCATGTCGTTGATGAACAGCAGACACTTTGGACAATCAAAAGGCGTTTCAGCTGCTTTACGGGTGAGCCCTATGCAGGTCATGCTCAATGTAAGGCAAGTTCAAGATCTGCTGCTTTTCCGCGAGATCTGGGTACCGACAAATGAGGCTCTGGATTCGAGCGCAACTGCAGATGCACAGTCTCTGGAGACGCAGGCCTATATTGTGCAACGCTACCAACAAGTGGCTTCGGCACCAGCTTTCCCGTGGAATACGACAATCTCAATCGAAAAGCTAGAGATTCAGCTTGATATGGGCTCAACGCTCGGGAAAGCACAGTTTGCGATAGATGACTTATGGCTATCGTCGCAAAAGACATCTGATCGCGAGCAAATCTTGTGTATCGGCCTCAAAGCTATTCGAATTGAAAGCAAAGGTAGACTGAGTGGGATGGCCGAGCTTAAAACCATCAAAGTCCAAACATCTATCAACTGGCCGGATGTTACTTCAGAGATCAAGACACCATTAGTTCAGGCGTCTATCGCTTTTCATCAGCTCGAAGTGAAAGTCGCATTCGATTATCAGCCATTCTTGATTGCGCACATAGCTTCATTCGATTTCCTGATGTACAATGTCGGAGGCTCATCTGATGGATCAAACGAGCGACTATTCAGTATCCTCGAGGGAGATCAGGTGCAAGTATTTTGCACGACCTTGACCGCATCGCAATCTCTCGCGCTCTTCCAAGCCTGGCAGCGGCTTATGCAAGACAAGCAAGCCGCTTATGAAGCGTCAGTGAAAGAGATTGAAAGGTACCTTCGCCGGAAGGCTTCTGTTTTCTCCGACAAAACCGAGCTATCATCCCACAGACCAGCCAAGCACGATGAGGAGAAGACGGAAATGGCCCCAATTTCGTTGCAAACCGGCGTGGTGGTGACACTAAACTCGGTTCATATCGGAGTCTTCCCAAGCACTTTCTTTGACAACCATGTCTTCAAGCTGGAAGCTCACGATGCTCAAGCTCGCTTTGACGTGTCGCTGGACAAGGGCAAAATACACAGCGCTTTGGGCCTCACCTTGGGACAGTTGCGTGTAGCACTCTCCCCAATCGTCCGGTCTGACCCAGCAGTCATTGAGAATTTGTTTGTCAGCGAGACCGCCACCCGCGTGATAGACTCCCGTGGAGGAACTATCCTCAAGGTGCCTCGGGTGGTGGCTGTGATGCAGACGTGGCAAGCTCCAGGCTCCCAACAGATCGAATATCTTTTCCGCAGCAGCTTCGAAGGCAAAGTCGACGTTGGGTGGAACTACGCCCGCATCAGCTTCATCCGGGACATGTGGGAGACCCATTCTCGTGCATTGGCCTCGCGATTAGGCAAGCCACTCCCGCCATCTGCAGTTCGCATCACCGGAGGACTGAATGCAGAAGGTGGCGGAGACAAAGGTGACCAGCAAGAAAAGATCACTGCGGTGGTCAACGTGCCACAGTCCAAGTACAACTATGTGGCGCTGGAGCCACCGGTCATCGAGACGCCGCAGTTGCGTGATATGGGAGAAGCCACGCCACCCCTGGAGTGGATTGGGCTCCAGCGCGATAAGCTGCCTAATGTTACCCATCAGATCATTATTGTGACCTTGTTGGAGATTGCGAAGGAGGTCGAGGATGCCTATGCTAAGATCTTGTGGTCTTCTTGACCAAGCTGGCACCGGTGGGGTTTAATGACTTTGTATATATATTGTTTTCTTCTGTATATTATTCTTTTACAAGTATACCCAAGTTCATAATGGAGTCTATTTTGTTGAGCAAGAATGAATGTATCGAAAACAAGGACGAGTTATAGCTACTACTACCATACTTGCGAGGTAAACATTTGGGTGGCCAACTTGGAGCTGTAGCAAAAGCAGCGTGGGGCTAATCCGAATGAACAGGGCTGCCCTCGGTCGCTAAGAGGCAGAGCTAAGCTGACTTTGGACTGTGAATCCCGCTTCAACTGCAGATCCGGCCAATCGCAGCTTGAGAGCCTGCAGAGCTTTCAGAGCTTTTGACGATTAATCAGCGGTTACCCCACCAATGCCCCTCATCTGAGACAGGCAGCACAGCGATTTTCTTTCCCTTGGACAAGCCCTGGGTGAAATCACGGAGTGGCGATTCAGGGCTGTCCTCTTCCTTCGAAGAGGATAGGATTGGCGCCCATTGGCTGGGATGGCAGCATTGATCAGACAGCGGTGTATCATGACACTTTGAGCTGGGCTTCGAGTTTGGGCATGAGCTTTGATCCGATTGATTACCAACCAGAGTCACCCAGCGTTTCTTGGAGCTTTCCGATCGAGGTCGAGTGTTCTACTTGAAGCTCCGAAGAATGAGTCTTAAACGTTATTTTGAGTCAACAAGTTGTAGTCAGAAGCTGAGGTCACAGGTTTATAATGACTGGCTTCATCCCGCTCCCATGGATGGCGTGAGGCTTCTGGGCGGAGCTTGAAACCATGCGCTGCAGCAGCTCAAGCATTAGAAATGCAAACAGCTTTAGAGTATACCGGGGAGTCATATTTACTCTTCGACCGAGTTTTAGATGCCTTGTTACCAGTAGGATGACGCCGGCGTTAGACGGCGACAGGAGGGGCGCAAGCGGGAATTGGGTGGGAAAAACGCACATCCCAGATTTGGAACTGGAAAAAATCCAACCACCGGCCGGCCCCACGACCACTTAAGTCGCTCGTCTCTCTCTTCTCTCTCCCCCTCCCTCCTCCCTCACCTCCCTCTTCAAACCTCAGTCTCTCCCTCTGGAGCAGCGCACATAGGCCCTTATTTTATCCCAGGTCATTATCAGGCGTCGAGCTAGCTCTCGATCCTGATCCTCTGTGTGTCGTTTTCTCTTGATTTTCTCTTTCCTCTTTCCCCTCTTCTCTTCTTCTTCCACACAAACCCCGCCTCGAAGGCTTTAACAAAAAAAAAACCGCCAAAATGGTCAAGTACGTCGTACACTCTCTATCGTCCTCGAGATATACTAGGACTTGTAACTGTATAAAATGATCTGCTTGCTAACTTGTTTGTCTATAGCTTCACTATCGAAGAGGTATGCCGTTATCCGTCCAGCGATGTTCTCATGAACGCCCCGAGGCCATAAAATTTTTCCTTATCAGCTGCAAAAGGGATCGTACTAACAACGACTAGCTCCGCGGCCTGATGGACCGCAAGGCCAACATCCGTAACATGTCGGTCATTGCTCACGGTACGTCCCTGCCGACTCTTATACTTTCGATCCTGTTGGAAATGTTTATGCTGAGTGTCACGTAGTCGATCACGGAAAGTCCACCCTCAGTGACTCTCTGGTCCAGCGTGCCGGTATTATTGCCGCTGCTAGGGCTGGTGATGCCCGTTTCATGGACACCCGTGCCGATGAGCAGGAGCGTGGTATTACCATCAAGTCCACTGCCATCTCCCTGTACGCCAAGTTTCCCGATGAGGAGGATCTCAAGGAAATTCCCCAGGCCGTTGACGGCTCTGAGTTCCTGATCAACTTGATCGATTCCCCCGGTCACGTTGATTTCTCCTCTGAAGTTACTGCTGCTCTCCGTGTCACCGATGGTGCTCTCGTTGTCGTTGACTGTGTCTCCGGTGTTTGCGTCCAGACCGAGACTGTGCTCCGCCAGGCTCTTACTGAGCGTATCAAGCCCGTCCTTATCATCAACAAGGTCGACCGTGCCCTTCTCGAACTCCAGGTCTCCAAGGAAGATCTGTACCAGTCTTTCGCTCGTACCGTCGAGTCCGTCAACGTCATCATCGCTACCTACGAGGACAAGGCCCTCGGTGACGTCCAGGTCTACCCTGACCGCGGTACCGTTGCTTTCGGCTCCGGTCTTCACGGCTGGGCTTTCACTGTCCGCCAGTTCGCCGTCAAGTTCGCCAAGAAGTTCGGTGTCGACCGCAAGAAGATGCTTGAGCGTCTCTGGGTAAGGACAAGTGTATCCCTAAAGTGAAAAGCATGCATTTAAACTAACAATTGCAATAGGGTGACAACTACTTCAACCCCAAGACCAAGAAGTGGACCAAGACCCAGCCCGAGGTCGATGGCAAGCCCGTCGAGCGTGCTTTCAACATGTTCATCCTCGACCCCATCTTCAAGATCTTCCAGCTCATCAACAACGACAAGAAGGACCAGATCCCCGCCCTTCTTGAGAAGATTGATGTCAAGCTTGCTTCCGATGAGAAGGACCTCGTTGGCAAGCAGCTCCTCAAGACTGTCATGCGCAAGTTCTTGCCCGCCGCCGATGCCATGTTGGAGATGATCTGTATCCACCTGCCCTCTCCCGTCACTGCCCAGAAGTACCGTGCCGAGACTCTGTACGAGGGTCCTGCTGATGACGAGGCTTGCATTGGTATCCGTGACTGTGACGCCACCGCTCCTCTTATGCTTTACGTCTCCAAGATGGTTCCCACCTCCGACAAGGGTCGTTTCTACGCTTTCGGTCGTGTCTACGCTGGTACCGTCCGCTCCGGTCTCAAGGTCCGCATCCAGGGTCCCAACTACACCCCTGGCAAGAAGGACGACCTGTTCATCAAGAACATTCAGCGTACCGTTCTCATGATGGGCGGTAGAACCGAGCCCATCGAGGATGTTCCTGCTGGTAACATTGTCGGTCTTGTCGGTGTTGACCAGTTCTTGCTCAAGTCTGGTACTCTCACCACTTCCGAGACGGCCCACAACCTCAAGGTCATGAAGTTCTCCGTCTCACCCGTCGTGCAGCGCTCCGTCGAGGTCAAGAACGCTGGTGATCTGCCCAAGCTTGTCGAAGGTCTTAAGCGTCTGTCCAAGTCCGACCCCTGTGTCCTGACTCTCATCAACGAGTCTGGTGAGCACGTCGTTGCCGGTGCTGGTGAGCTCCACCTCGAAATTTGCTTGAAGGATCTCGAGGAGGACCACGCCGGTGTTCCCCTCCGTATCTCCGACCCCGTCGTCTCGTACCGTGAGACCGTCAGCGGCACATCCAGCATGACTGCTCTGTCGAAGTCGCCCAACAAGCACAACCGTCTCTACATGACTGCTCAGCCCCTCGACGAGGAGGTCTCTACTGCCATCGAGGCTGGCAAGATCAACCCCCGTGACGATTTCAAGGCCCGTGCCCGTGTTCTCGCTGACGAGCACGGCTGGGATGTCACTGACGCCCGTAAGATTTGGTGCTTCGGTCCCGACACCACCGGTGCCAACTTGCTGGTTGACCAGACCAAGGCCGTCCAGTACCTCAACGAAATCAAGGATTCCGTTGTTTCTGGTTTCCAGTGGGCCACCCGTGAGGGTCCCATTGCTGAGGAGCCCATGCGCTCCATCCGCTTCAACATCCTTGATGTTACCCTCCACGCTGATGCCATTCACCGTGGTGGTGGTCAGATCATCCCCACTGCTCGTCGTGTCCTCTATGCCGCTACCCTCCTTGCCGACCCCGGCATCCTCGAGCCCATCTTCAACGTCGAGATCCAGGTTCCCGAGCAGGCCATGGGTGGTATCTACGGTGTCCTTACCCGCCGCCGTGGTCACGTCTACACCGAGGAGCAGCGCCCCGGTACTCCTCTGTTCAACGTCAAGGCCTACCTCCCCGTCAACGAGTCCTTCGGTTTCCCCAGCGAACTGCGCCAGGCCACCGGTGGACAGGCCTTCCCTCAGTCCGTCTTCGACCACTGGGCTGTTCTTCCTGGTGGTTCTCCTCTTGACACCACCACTAAGCCTGGTCAGATTGTTACTGAGATGCGTAAGCGTAAGGGTCTCAAGGAGGTTGTCCCTGGTTACGAAAACGTAAGTTCACTATCTGTTCCTTTGATTTTGATTATCCGCATTCTGACATCTTTGATAGTACTACGACAAGCTGTAAACATCTTCTTTGCAAACCGACTAGGTTTCAAGTCGAATTGGGTTGGAATCCTATGTTTATGAGATTGATGAACGCAATACCCGGCCAATGTTAAAAAAGGGAGACAAACCGTGCGCAAGGAGATATAGCGACGCAATACAGCTTAATGTCGTTCGGGTTTTCGATTAACTAGAGCAGTAGAAACCGGTGTGCTCATGCATTTGCTACGGCCTTCCCTTTTGATTTTCCTTATTGTTACGTTAACGACTCCGAGGGCTTTCACGTACTAGCTGTTCTCTAGTTGGACACGAAAAATGAATTTGTTCAATGTTCATTCTCTGAATCGTAGAAATTAGGATAGATCTTCCATTCCGAGTATGGTCTCAATATCAACTCTCCATTACAAGATTCCTGTCATTTGAATGTCGAGTTGGCGGGAACTTTCAGGTCGAAGTTTGTCACGTGACTATCGGCATCCGTCGCAGCTCCTCGGGTCCGCAAAAGCTCTCAACTGTGCTGCCATTGCTTCCGCGACGTGACTCTCGACGTCCATTAATCCACCGCGATTTTCTTTGAAGCGATGACATAGGCTTTCGCGAACAACCTTTCTCTAAGCCAGGCAATTTGCGCGTTGTCACGCTAGCTTTGCCGCTCCAATCAAGCAACGTCCGGAGCAACTTGAAGCTTCGAAATTCCTTCGAGACATCACGAGTCCCAGCGAATCAACTCCCGCCGCTGATTAAAGTCACCAAAATACTGCGACATCATGCAGCTCACCGAGGATAAGGCCACGGAGGTCAAGAACTGGGTTGTGAAGAAGCTGGAAGACATGTAAGGCGTTTGGCGCGCGATGCAGCAATTGCTAGGCTTTTCGCGATCTAACCATCCTCTAGCTCAGATGCAGACTCGGACGTGCTTGCGGACTATGTATTGGCTCTTATCAGGACCGATGCGCCCGATGAGGAGATCCGGAAGGCCTCTGTCGAGAATTTGGAGGACTTTCTAAGGGAGCGTAAGTTGGGCCCATCTTGACCTGAGGTGGCCGATGCTAAGTCTCTTGTCTCGACGCTAGACACCAACGAATTTGTCGATGAACTTTTCGCGACTTTTGCATCTAAACAGGGTCCTCCATCCGCGCCGAACCCCGCGGTCCAACTGCAAACGCCCCAGGGTGCGGGATCAGCCCCTCAGATACCAGTGCCGTCAAAGCCACCGAGCGGCCCTTCACACGGATCCTATGTGCCTCCCGCATACGCCGAGGGTCCATTCAATAACAACCGTAAACGCACATACAATGACGGCTTCAGCGGGGAGAATGACCGCGACGATGTTACCCACCAACGCACTTTCAAGACCCCGCGCCGAGGGCGTGGCGGTGGACGAGGCGACTGGATGGGGAGAGACGGCCACGCACCGTCTGGACCCCCAGGGCAATTCCCTCACCCGCCCGCTGGCGGATTCCCAGTCATGCCTCCGGCATTCCCTGGTTTTGACCAGAATGATCCAATGGCAGCGATGATGGCGCTTCAGAGCATGGGCTTTCCGCAGATGCCAGGAATGCCTCCTATGCCTATGCCACCGGGTGGCGGAGCGCCTGGCCAACAAGGGGAACAAATGGGAGCGAAGAGCACAGAGAAATGCCCGTTCTACGAAACGCAAGGGATCTGCTACCTCGGAGCGGCTTGTCCGTATCAGCATGATATCGTTCCCGGCTCTTCAAGGCCTGATGGTAAGGATGCCGCTCATGGAGTGCTCACTCTGGTGATAAACCTATGCTTATTTTGACCTGCAGAATATGACCCGAAATCATCAAATATCGTTTCAGATTTCCAGAGACGAAGCTCTGAAGCTCCGACGCGCGGAAACGACCGAGGTCGAGGCCGCGGCCGTGGCCGTGGTGGGGATAGAGGCGGTTTTGCTAACCGCGGCCGTCGATCTGAGTTCTCTTCGGCTGGGCCTACCGATGACCCTTCAGTGAAGACCATTGTTGTGGAGCAAATCCCTGATGACAAGCTGGACGACTTTTCAGTCCGAGAGTTCTTCTCTCAGTTTGGAGAGATCGCAGATATCATGCTCCAGCCACACAAAAAGCTTGCCCTAATCACATATGGTGACCACGCGGCTGCCAAGGCAGCTTGGTCCAGCCCAAAGGTGATTTTCGATAACAGATTCGTCAAAGTCTACTGGCATAAACCCAAGGGAGAGCGAAATGTTGATCAGCGCCCGGGATATAACGACGCCCGCGAAGAGTCGCAGCCTTTCAATCAAGAAGAGTTCGAGAGACAGCAAGAAGAAGCGCAGAGAGCTCACGAAGAAAAACTCAAACGGCGCCGAGAGACAGAAGAAGCAAAGCAAGCTCTAGAGAAACAGCGCGAGGAACTCCTGAAGAAGCAAGAAGAGGAAAAGCAGCGCCTGCTCCAGAAAATCGGCGCCGCAACACCCAGCAGCGCCTCTCCGAACGGCACAGCCGCGCAATCCCCCACTGACGAAAACGCCAGCGAGCAAACCAAGCAGCTCCGAGCGCAGCTTGCTGCACTCGAAGCCGAAGCCAAGTCCCTGGGTCTTGACCCCAACAATTCCCCCGACGCCAACCAATCCTACCGCGGCCGTGGCAGAGGAGGCTTCTCTGGCGGTCGCGGCGGCTACCCGCCACGTGGACGCGGCTACGACCCCTCATATCGCGGCTCGTATCGTGGTCGAGGCGGGGGGTTCCCTGCACGCGGCCGCGGTGGCGTCCTGCGTCTCGACAATAGGCCCAAGCGTGTGGCAGTCTCGGGTATCAAGCCGAATTCCGAACAGGACGAGGCGTTCCGGCAGTTCCTTATTGTAAGTGCAGTCCAGTCCGAACCGAACTCTAGCCCGAATCTGCCCCTTCTATACGACCGACATACATCAGGATACAAACAACTCCATACTAACCACTCTCACCACCAGGGCGTCGGCGACTACGACTCCATAACACCAAACCCCAATGACCCAGACTCCCTCATCATCGCGTTCAAAGAACGCTACATCGCCGAGAAATTCTTCTACGGCGCACGCAACATCCCCTCCGTCGGCGAAATCCAGGTCTCCTGGGTTCCGAATCCCCCTCTTCCCACTCCGTCATCATCAGGTCAACCGCTACCCTCCGCATCCTCGGGGCTAGATGCGAAGACCGCTTCCGACGAGGACACAATTATGGAGTCTGCCCCTATGCCCGGTGACCAGGCCGGTAGGAAGGATGGGAATATCAACGCTGATGTAGATTATGATGTTGCCGAGGAGGATGATAGTTGGGGTGTGCAATGATGCCATTGCCAACACGCTAGCTGAGTTTCATTCTCGGTACTCCGTATCTGGTTCGGCCTCGAGGACGGGCGACAATTGCGGAGGACCGGGCAGGGGAATGAACAACGGGTTGATTGGGTCTAGATCAAATGTGTCTTGTCTATCTCTATCTCTATATCATGAGTCCATTTAGATAGTTATGAAAAAAGAGCGCTTTCCTTTTTTTTTTTCCCCCTTGACTTTGATAAATATCGGTATATTTGAACTTATCCAGGCCATCTATAGAAGTATCTACTTCTTCACCACACAAATCCACACAAGACCCCGTATAACCGCCAAAATAAATGAAACACCTATATAAGCTCATGCATGCTATACCATCCAATCCCCATCCCCGCGCACCACATGGATTAATGCCGCTTGCTTGCTACTCTGAACCCCCCTTCCCAGAGGATAAGGCGCAGTCACGTGCCCTTTGCACCCTAACTCCACTCCCCAGCTGCATTCGTTGTCTTTTTGTCTTGCCGGTTCCGCATACGTACGTATCTGATGAGGTTCATCCTCGTACTATGCGTGGCTTGGTCATTCTGATGGACGCATAAGCGTGTGTGTGTGTGGTGTAATTGAGGTATTTCGGGGGAGTATGTAACTGACGCTGGTCGGCTGGTTTAGTACATGTAGAAATAGGCCGCAGAAAATGTAGAGATGTTATCAACCCTGTCTCACTCCGGTCAATTGTGCATTATGGGTTATCCGGTTGCCATTTAGACGTGGGTCGTCCTTGTAATGGAAATGCGGCTCAGCCGCTTCCATACATACGAACTCGTGGTGGAACGGGGATTTGATGGCTTCAAGTGTATGAACTTCTGTCTCTATATCCCAGAAGGTCATGTTTAGGGCGTTCTGAGTAGTTGATAAGTATATCTTAAGCAGTTTCTTATATACAACTTCACCGGATCTGGTCTTGTAATGCTCTCTTAAGAGCAGCTAAACTATCTTCTTAGAGAGGACTTTAGCCACCATCGACTGGAGGCGACTTGCACGATACTCACTCGTCGACTAGCTGAACTCGTAGATTTGGCCGCGGGCTTTGCTATCGTATATTTTCCCCAGTCAGTAGGTGGAAACTCTCAAAACCTTATATAGTTCGGGATTAGCTATAATATCTTAAGTATAAAGATACTATAAGTCTCTTACCTCTCTTGAATTCTTTCCTAAGCTCATATAGATTATTAGTAAGGTCCACTTTGTGTTGTGTTCTTTAGCTATCCTGCTTTCTAGCCTTAGGATTTGGCCTAAGATACTAAAATGGATTCTTGTAGATTCAGTTAACTAGATCCCGTATAATAAACATTGAAAGAAACAATCCTAGAGCGCTCTCGCGGGCCGGCTCTATGAAGTAAGGAATGAGATGGTTAAAGTTCTCCTACACGTAGTACGTACCCTGCAAGGCTACTGATGATGTGTTTTTATCTTGTTTTAACATACCCTCTATCTCCTCAAGGTCATTTAGACTATAAGAGAACGCTTATTGCTTTATAATGAAGCATGATTCTTGTAGATTTTGACTCTAAGTCCCGGGGTCGGCGTCCATCCAGCAGGTAGGGAATCTATCCTTAAAGAAGTTGCTGCTTAGGCTACACTCGCGATATTTCTTGGAGAGTAGTTCATAGGCTTCGTTTACTCTCTTAAGCTTGTTAGAAATATCTCTAGTCTTGCTTTCCTTATTAGCAATGCTGATTACTTCATATCTTTTAAAGAGATAATTAAATGTCTTATTCGCATGGGATAGTCAATCAGGGAGATCTTGGATAAGAATAGCCTTCTTTACTAGAGAATTAATTATTGTAGATGGCTTTCCCGGAGTGCTCACTCGTGTAATCGTCTTTCTTAGGCCATCGCTGCCTTCTGCAGAATCTATTAAGGTTGCGCGTTTTCAGCAGGCCTTTGGAGAGCTAGAAGGCTTTGCCTTCTAGATTATGGCTAGGTTAGTAATACAAATATTAAGTGCCTAAGCTGAAAAGGAATTTAAGAGAATGATGTAGAATGGGGCTTCTAACCTGGTTAGTTGGTGGAGAGAGGCAGGTTAGTAACACCATGGAAGGCGAGGTCTGTTTGCCCGTTGCTTACTCCATGCTGATCAGCTAGGTAATTTCTAAATTTGAGCTGTTAGTAACCAGGCCATGATTACCACCTGTAAAGCCAGCAGACTTTCAAGGAACGGAGGTGGAAGGCAAAGTAGAGGTAGAGATAGAGATGATGGTAGTGGTGGGAAAGAGTTAAAATAATATAACTATTTTCCCATGATATCTAGTGACTATGGCTACTCATTTTATTAGTGCCATCTTTGGCCTTTTCTTATTGGGACGCCCCGCAAAAGCCTAGGTCTATGACTTGACAGAGAGGTCTCCTGATGCGTTCACCTGGGTGTAGCCCCTTAACACGACCGTCCTAGGACAGTATGGGCACTCCAAACCCGTATACCCGTCCTGTAAGGCCTCACATCCGTAAAATACCACCCAATTCCAACCCAGAGCACTAATCACCGTTCCAAGCTCGAACCGGCGCAGGGGGCTGGGGCCCAGCCTACGAAAGAGCCCGCGCCTTTGTCGAAGAACTAACCCTAGCCGAGAAAGCAGCCATGGTCACTGGCGTGGCTGGGCCGTGTATTGGGAACGTTTACCCAATCCCATGGCTGAAATTTAGTGGAATCTGCCTGCAGGATGGACACGTCTCGCTTCGCGTTGCAGAACATGTTAGTGTCTTTCCTTCGGGGTCACGGTTGTAGCGTCGTGGGATAATAGAATTATATAGGAACGCAATCTGGCGATGGGGAGGGAGTTTAGGGCTAAGGGGGCGCATGTTGCTCTTGCGTGAGTCTTTTATGGTTCTGATTCTTGCTTGCTCTGTTCTGCTCTACTCTACTCTATTTGCACCCCAGTATAACTTGCTAACACCCTTCCTTTACAGGCCTGCAGCAGGGGCTCGAGGCCGAAGTGTATATGGAGGGCGCAACTGGGAAGGATTCTCGCCCGATCCATACATCAGCGGCGTGGCGATGGAACTCAGCGTCAGGGGGATCCAGGATGCCGGTGTGCAGGCTGTCGCGAAGCATCTGCTCGCCAACGAGCAAGAGATCCTCTGCAATCCAGAGTACTACCCGAATGGAACTCTGCAGTTTGAAGCAATTTCATTGAATGTCGATGACCGGACGCTTCGTGAGTACTGTTTCATCCTTGATCTGAAGGTGGTTGTTCAAATTCTTATATCCTGGCTTAGCTAGACGAATTATGCTTGTGGCCATTTGCCAACGCCGTGCTCACTGGTGTAGCGTCGATGATGCGCTCATACCAGAGACTCGATGGGTCATATGCATGCCAGAACTCAAAGCTCTTGAATGGAACATTGAAAGAGAAGCTTGGGTTCCAGGGCTACCTCATGAGCGACTGGTTCGCGCTCCACGCTGGCATTGACGCTCTAGAAGCAGGAATGGACATGGACATGCCTGGTCCCCTAAGAAGTTCCACGCCAGTCCCCGAGCTTGGACAAATGTCCTCACACTTTGGAGGCAATATCACCACAATGGTCCAGAACAGTACCCTCGACGAAGCCCGGCTCAATGCCATGATCACCCGGCTCATAGCGCCCTACTTCCACCTGCACCAGGACGTGCAGAACGAATTCCCCACAGTCGACGGATGCCTCTTCAGTCTTCCTCAACTGTTTCTCGAACCAGAGTACTTGGCTCCGGGATTGGGACTATTCAATCTCACAGGACCCACTTCCATTCGGGACGCTCACAACAACCACGCTGCCCTCATCCGCAAGCAGGCTGCGGAGTCCACGGTCCTGCTAAAGAACACCAACAACGCCCTCCCGCTCCGACCGCCTAGATACATTGACATCTTCGGAAACGACGCGGGCGAGACGCAGAATGGTCCAGTGAACCATTTTGGCAACGCGGAGAGCTGGATGTACGGGACCTGTGGTGTTGGTGGTGGTTATGCGACAGGCCGTCTGTCCTATGTTACGACGCCACAGGAGGCACTAAAGGCTCGAGCTATCCAGGACGGCACACTGGTCGAGACCTGGTTGAATAATAAGCTAATCGCGACCTCGGATGTCACGAGTTTATGGTTCTACCGCGGGTCTGATGTGTGTCTTGGGTTCTTGAAGAGTTGGGCGCGTGAAACCATCGATCGAGAGAGCCTCCACCTCGTGTTTCGCAAGTATAGGGTTGCATAACAACTGAATAATATTGTTGTACATAGTACTAATTCATGCCCTGGGGAACAAGCTCTACTGTGTACCCATCCTATTACATTATTAGTATAATCAAAACAATAAAAGCCATGAATGAGGCGATCTCTGAATAAGGGCATATCGAGGTTGTAGACAACATCAAGGCGACTTACCGGGTCCGCAACAAACGCAATCTGATCGAACACAGCTTTGTAATTAGGATGAATTTCTCCCACACCCACACCACGTTCCTCCTCCCAGGAGCTTAGAGGTATAGTTTCGCGAGTAGTAATACCCAAGTCCTTGATAACAGGGACTCCCGCGTTCTTTAGCCGCTCAAGTGTGGCTGGAACGTCAGGAACTGTAAAACCCAAATGTCCAAATCCTAGGCTAGGAGGCGCGTTTCCCGTGGAGACCTCGTAGCCACCATCAGCGGTGGGCTTTTCAGACCCGTGGATGTGATATAGTTCTAGTAGACCTAGGGTTTGCGTGAGATTGTGGGGATTTGCCACTTTGTCGGACCAAGCGGGGAGGTCGGCACGATCTTCTGCGGTAGATGGATAACCCAGGTAATAGATGGTGAAAGGCCCAGTGTTCATGGTAAAGACAGTGCGCATGCCCATGAGGTCGATATAGAAATGGAGAGAGCGCTGTGGGTCGCGGATGCGAAGCATAAAGTGGTTGAGTTTGAACCCGGCCGTGGGGCTATTTTCCGGGAGCGCGGGGTCGGTTTTGTGCCCCCCGGGGAGGAACGCGCCGAGCTCGAACGGCGACGGGGAGGGTTGCAAATTGCCCATCCTGAGAATTGAGACGCGGCGTTTGGCTGTTTGATCCTTAGGTCTTTTTTGATAAATGGTGGTGCGACTTGCGGATTGGATGTTTGAGTCCAAGCAGCGAGTTCGTTCTGGTCGGAGCAATCGGCGATGGTCCAGCAAAGTGGCCTTGTTTGAACGCTTGCGATCAATTCTGAATGAGGGTCTGGGAAGGCTGGGGGGGGACGGGGTATTTCTACCACAACTCCGGGGATCCTCCGAACCGATCGCGGCGGAGACCAATCTTCACACTGACACATGGATATACCCCGTGGATATCTTGTAGCCCTTGCTCCGTGGGGCTACCGTGAACCCGAAGGGCTGCGCTCATGAAGGTTACTACTGTCTTTGCAAACACAGTCAACAAATGTGGGATAGCCGGAGCTTGCTTTCTATGCTTCGGAGAGAGAGCTGCTTCCTCCCCCGGCGCTGACTGCTGGGCCTTTATGAAACGCCGCCCGAGCGACTCGAATAATTCGCTCCATCGTCGCTATCACTGTCCATTTGATCGAGCATCATATCAATCTCGTCGCCAGCTCTGGCCTCATGACTATCAGCCCGAGCAGGATTGCTGCTGCTGGCTTGACTATCACTTAGCACTCTAGGAGTTTGCACACTTCGCCAAGCGCCATCGATATTCATAGTGTCCAATGTGTTTTGCGAGTTTTGCGAGTTTGAATGATACCCTGAAGTTCCCGGGCTAGACATGAATAACAAAGTTTCGATGGCATCCTGTTCCATCGAGGAGCTTTGCGAGTTCTCGGCCAATCCGTTGTAAGATGCTAGCGCCTGGTGACCGCGAGGCCGCAGTGGAGGGGTTTCCGGCACCAAGACGAATTCTGAATCATTCTGGAGCTCTTGTTGAGAATGTTGGCGCCTATGGAGAGGAAAGGGCGAAAGTCGTGCACTATTCACAGAATCATTGGGATTGGGACGTCGACGTTGACCGTTTAAGCGGCCGGAAGTGATGTCCGCGGGTGGAGCGAGCCTTGGGACCAAGTCCTCTGTTGTCGAAATTGCAGAGCGCTTCTGTGGATCAGGTTGTGAGGGCGGATACATACCATCCGCTACACTTACTGGGGAAGATAGAGCAGGCGCTTCCAGTGGGTAAATGCTGGATGTTGCAGGTGCGTCTGGGGCAGAAACGGTAGTCCCATTTGGGGAAGCATTAGCGGCCGAACGTTGCCCTTCGATGTCACCTATTGATAATGGGTGCTCTCCCCGAGACAGGGCCTCTGCGCTGAGAATTGGGGTGGAAGAGCGGTGATGGAGCAGATGGTTACTGGCCTGGGATTGCCGCTTCTTCTCGACTTTGGCAGCAGCATAGGACAGCCGCGAGCGTAATTGAGCAGATAGCTGTGGAAGATCAGTGCCATCGAAGAAGTTAAGGGACAGGATGCATACCGCAGCAATTCTAGGGTCACGTAAGCTAGAGCCAATGCTTCGTGAGCGCCGCCGCTGAGCGTCATCCAGCCCTAGCAGAGGGTGAACAGTCGGAGCGTTGGTGGAGGGTGCTCGCTTGTGACCGAGGGTCTTCTGACGTGCTATACCACTCTCTTTCTTCGTTCCCTCGTCACTTGCTGCAGTCGCGTCTATGTGTGCATTTTCCTGGGAAGGCGGGTTTGCTGCCGGTGCCAACGCTGGAGAACTGTGCTGCCATGCTTGAGCATTAGGAGATGTGACCTTCGTCTCCGGTGGGAAACTTGAAGCTATGTCAGAGGCAATATGCTGTGGTTGCTTCGTATTTTCAGAGCCCGACCGCCTAGTAGCATGCTCTAAAGTGCCGTACGATTGCGCATCCGAGGCTGTTTCGGGCTGAACATGCAGCAACGCATGCTTCATATTCTGCATATTTCGATGCCGATCAATCTGCAGCGAGGCGTCCATCCTGATCCAACGTAGCCCGTACACGAGCCTGTACAATTCCTCCTAGTTGCAGCACAATAACACTATACAACTTGAAGATCGCGTCCCGCAAAGGTCGTATTCTGAAGCCCAAAAGAGATTGTCCAGCACTCTGGAAAGACCAATCTCGCCAATTCCCCAGATCGAGGGGCGGGATCGTCCGGCGTCGAATACCGGGATATGCAAAGCGCCGCGCGACTCAATTTTGAGAATCCAACGCCGAGTATTCTTCAGTGCACTTCGCTGCAAGGGGTATGCCCTCGAGGCCGGCACCACGGGTCCTTACAGACGTGTTTACCCAGCAACAACTCGAACCGCTTGATGTCTCCACTTGACCGCGAGGACATGGGTCGGAAGCGGAGATGCGAAGGGGGCAAGGGTGGGAACGCTCAGAACATGTTGAATCTGGAAAGGGCCACATGGAAAGAGCAAAGACTAAAAAAGTAACAAAAGGATTCAGAGTAGCTAGTCTGCTGCCGCCGTTACGTATGTCGGGAGTTGACTGTCGCCTTCAACAATCGAGACACGGGCGCTCGACGCGTCCGCGGCGCGGTCACGTGATTTATTGCCTGAAGCATCAGGCCTTCAGGCTAGGCATCACTTTCCTGACGAGGTAGTTGTAGACGATCGGGACGATAGGGTAGTCCAACATTCTCTCCATACTAGAAGTAGACAGCTTGTGTTATTGCTACAAGGGTCTAAACCAATTGGCAGGCCATGACAATCACTTAATAGGGAATGAGGAACGAGTATGTCAGCATCTATAGCTTTTGCTCGATAGGTATCTCTAAACGCCATCTATCATGCCACTAGCAGTAAGCAATGCACTTTTAAACAGCGGATATATATGCAGTTGACCTCCGCTATCAATCAGTCATTACCTGCGTTTCTTTCCACCACCACCGCCTTCGCCGTCGTCGTTCTTGCGCTTCTTGCCTTCTCTCCGCCAGTACTCATCACGCTCTCTCTTCTCCCGCTCAGCCTTTTTCTCAAGGCCCTCCGCGACCTTGGCACGGTAGACCTTCCTGCGCTCTTCCTGCTTCACAGCACGCTTGGCTTGCTTCTCGTTGCGCAGCGTGTTGAGCTTCTGCATCAAGTCTCTGGCCTTCTTCTCCTCGCCGCCTAGGACAACGGCGCGCTTCTGGAGATAGGTCTTCTTCTTCTGTGTCTTCATCTTCACGATCTGCGATTTGAAGGGGAGTTCGGTGGCCAGCTGTCGAGGGACGCGGAGCGGGTTGAAGTGGCGCTCGGGTCGCTCGATCTTGCGATATGCGGAGTCCTTGGTCAGAGGTGTGGGGATGCCCTTTTCGCGGCGGACTTCGCCTGTCAGGCGCATACCCTGCCATCCGGAATCGCCTTCGGCGTCGCCCTCGCCCAGATCCAGGAGGTTGGTGACGGGGTTATAGAAGCGGTGGGGCTTGATCGGGTACCAGGCACGTAGGAAGACGATGTCACTCATGAGAATCTTGTCTTCGAATGTGGCTCGGAAGTAGCCCTCGGGTTTGCTCAGGGCACGCTTGATTTGACCTCTGATGCCGGAAACGGTTCGGATGGATGCGCCTTCGAACTTTGCGATTTCCAGGGAGGAGTTGAACATATCTTTGATAAAAGCTGTGTTCTTGAAGATCTTATATGGCACACCGGTGAGCTTGAGCTTCTTCACAATCTCCGTGTGTTCGTCCACGCTCAACACGACACCCGTGGCGGCAATTCGGAAACCAGGGTTCTTATTGGAGAAAGACTGGACGCAGCAGAAACCAGTATTGGGGGCGACGAGTGGCCCGTAGAATGTACCGAAACAATGCATATGCTCGGGAGAGTATTTGAGCATGCGGTTGCGCGTTCGGCTGTCTGATGTGCTATAGATGGGGAGGGACTGGAAGCGGCGCCAGCCCAGAGAGAAGATCAGGGGGTCATTGCTCTTCAAAATCTTCTTGTGCCAGCGATGTCTCTTGATTCGGATCTGGACATACCCGAAGCGGTCCTCCGTTGGTGCTAAGCCTCCAACAATGACGGGGTATCGAGGGTTGAATTTGGTAGCGAATTCGCATGGTACTTTCTCAAGCACGATACGGGCGTACGTTCCTGCTTTGAAGCCCTCCGCACGAGCTCTGGAAGCGGGATCTAGAGTCTCGAACTCGGCGCGGTTGATATCGGCCTGCTTTTGCATCTTGGCCTTCTGCGCGTCGTACCATTCGTCCTCGCCAAATTCTTCGTCGGGCTCGGCACCGTCTTGTCGCGAGTTGTCTTTCGAATTCGCGAATCCCTCTCGATCTTCCTCTTCGAATCTGAGCCTCAAGTCTTCCTTCTTCTTGGCGTTCCGCGCACGCTCAGCTTCCAGATCCTCGGTGCCATCATTCTCCTTTTCACCATCGTTATTCTCACCTTCTTCGTCCTCTTCAATTCCATTGAACACCTCTCCCGTTTCGAGATCTTCAAAGGCGCCGTCTCCTTCGTCATCCTCGTCAAAGGCATCATCAACGTCCTCGTCGTCATCTTCACCGCCGCCAGACATCCTAGAGCTCGCGAAGCGGCTTCGCAATGATTCAATCATTTCCTCGTCCTGCCACTTTTGCTCCAACTTTTCGTAATCGAACTCCGGAATAGCACGGTATTCGGCCTGCTCCTCCTGTTCGACGTTCGTCTTTTTGAAGAAGGTATCTTCGTCCTCGTCGGCTTCGATATCCTCTTCTTCTTCCTCTTCCCCGCGCCAGCGCCGAATAACGTCAGCTGGCGTCATTGACTCGTCGTACATCATGCGAGAGAGATCTGTGACACGGAAATTCGGACGTTTGGCATGGGATGCTTTGGCATTGGCAAGCATGTTGCTCTTCCAGCGAGCATTTCCGTCATCTTCCTCGTCTGAATCTTCTTCATCTATGTCGCTATCGAGGATTTGATCCTCCACAGAGGATATAGATCCAAGATCGGAATCACTGTCGGCAAATGCGATGTCTGACTCATTTCGCGAAATGACACCGTTTTGTCGTTCCTTGAAGCTGGCTTCGAAATCTGCGGGCGCGGAAACATCCACTTCTTCCGCGTCATCGTCACTGGCATCTTCCATGTCGTCCTCATCTATCTCATCGTCTTCATCTTCCGCTCCACTTTCAAGCCCTTCATCTTCATCCGAGACGTTCTGGCCTTGATCATCACCGGCAATCCGTACGTGTCGCTTGTGTTTTCTTCCGGTAGCGCCATCTTCGTCATCTGCCTGTTTGATGGCCTCTCCTCCGCTGAACAGGCGGACACCGCTATCGGCCTCACCGAGGAGTTTCCGCTCACCCTGCAAACCGATAACTAACTGCTCGCCCAGTCCACGGTCCTGGCCTTCATCATCATCCTCTTCCCTGTTGAAATTAGACGTTTTCACGTCAATATAGACGGCATCTTTGTCGACCAAAACTCCACCAACATCTGACATGGGCGCAAAGAGCAACTTCTGCTTCTCGCCCAATCTGCGCCTACTCGACTTTCCGGTCGTCTTCGCTATCTGCTGGTCCATATACGGCGTGGGGCAGGGATCGGGAAGAGCCTCGATTCCAGATACCGTCAGATCACCGACCCCGGGTACGTGCACGCGTGCTCCTTGTGCCGGGAAGTTTGTGCCTCGTAAGTAGCCATATAGTGCCACAGTCCGGTCGCATTTCGGGTCCTCTTCGATCTCCGTCGGAGGTGTGATGTCGAGGAATCGGTCTGCGAGTGCGTAAGGATGAGAGTTACGCCATACGAGTGGTCGCGGATTCTTCATCACGGCAAGAAACCGAGAGAGGTTCTGCACTTCACGGTCCGGGTAGCGACCATTGATGACTCCTGAAAGATAGAATAGCTTCGCTCCGTTGTATAATTCGCTCCAGAACCGATGCTTCAACCGCTTCTTTGCGTCTCGTAGTGTGCTCTGCTTCTTGAAGAGATCTAGATGCGTGAGGATACCAAACACATTTCCAGGCATACCACTTGAAGCCAGAACGTTGAGGAACTCCATTGTCTCCATCTCGAAGCCGTAATTACCGTCAATCATCAATAGCACAATATCGGCGATTTTAGCCACATCGATGGCGCTTGCAAGAGAGTCGGATGGACATTCTAAGAAAGTAAGACGTCGACGCTTGGACGTGACCACGGTCAACGGTCCGTTGGGTGTGCTGAGAGTCTGCTTGGTATACCGACGGATCAAGGATTTGATGAGCGTGGTTTTCCCGACCTGGAGATAGGAACTTGTCAGCCCTGCGCAAAGGTCTGAATTTTCATCCACCTGGAGATGGGGACTTACACCAGGGGGTCCAACGACGGTGACAACGAGCGGCGGAGCCTCTTCAGGTAGACGGTCGACTAACGGAACATGCAGCCGTTTCTCTTTAATCTAGATAAATTCCTTCCATCAGCTGTACGTCTAAAGCGAAGCTTGGGACGTTGCGATCGATCATACATCGTGGGACCTGGCACCCGCTTTATTTCCTTTTCCCGGATTCGAGAATGCAAACGCTCTCGGGTTGTTACCTGAATTTCGAAAACAAAATCAGTACATCTTCTAATGCCCCGACAGCAGTCAGAGGTTGCTAGGTTCGTTCGGCGACAACTGACGACCGAATTCTATACTGACCTTCATATCTCTTCTTTTCTTTCGTCACCCGATGCGCCCGGTTCGCTTGTTGCTCCATATTGGCAAATTGAGGCCAAAGACCTCTCAACAAGCTATATTCTCCCTGGAGCGAGGAAAAAGCTTCAGAATTGTTGACGACAACTGCCCGCTGCAAGCTCGACTCGGAACAATTGGTCGCATTTCCTTTTTTTCGTCGGGGCGGATTTTCAAGTCACCGGATAATTTTCTGCTGTATGCCTCAGGCACACATGTCGATAAGCGTCTTATCAGGCGCTAGTCCCACTTCAGCTGCTCACTTCTCCACCATAACCGGCCCGGTCAACAGAAGAATCACGAAGGGCGACCCCAACAAACGCGAGACAGATTTCAAGCGGGGCAAGACACAATCATGGGATCCGCGGTTGGTCTCGGGAGGCCTCCGATATTCGCAGATATAATAATTTGGAGTAGCCTTGAATCTCCCTCCGGGTAATCGCACAATCGCAATATTGACCCAGCACACCTTCAAAATGGCTACTCCCCGCCGACCTCCCCCCGCATACACAGCGCCAAAGGACTCTAAAGTCCACGCCACATCTCAAATCTACCGAAGCATTTCTGAAACCGCAACCGATGCTTCCAAGCGAGAGCTCGAGAAGTCCTTTACCGTTCGACCCTGCTCGGGCCAGGCTTGGGTAGTACCAGCCGGGCACGTCTGTCGTCTCACGACGCCAAAAGGACCGCAAGTGGGCGACCTCAACATTTGGAACGCCAGAAACCCCAGGGAGCGTCTATGGGCGGCTCGCACGCGCCAGATACATGCTTCGCACGTCTCTGTGGGTGATCGTCTTTGGTCGAATCTTCCGTATCTGCGGCCACTCGTTACTATTACCGGAGATTCGCTCGCAGGTGGGCAGCTACATGATGTTCTAGACGTCGATGGCAAGCAGAAGGAGGGGACTGGATTCAAGACGACGCGGTGGGGAGGGCGTTGTCACGATCTTCTAGGTACTCGGTGCGACCCCTACGTGAACTTGCTGATGGGTGGAGAGTCGTTTGACTTTCACTGCCACTCGAACCTCACTCGTGCTGTTGCGCCTTATGGATTGACTGAGCTCGATGTGCACGATGTTCTCAATGTCTTCCAGGTAACAGGGCTAGATGAGGAGGGAAAGTATTTCATGGAGACTTCTCCAGCGAAAGCTGGCGAATACTTTGAGTTCTTCGCCGAGGTAGATGTTCTATGCGCTCTTTCTGCGTGCCCCGGAGGTATGTGTTCTCGTGATACTCTTCCGCTGTGTATACTAATGGCTGTTTTGATAGGTGATTTGTCTGAATGGGGCTGGGAGGAGAAGGAAGATAGTATGGGAGCTACTACTCGCCCGCTCGGAGTGGAAGTCTATAGAATCACAGACTCCAAGGCCCTGGAAGGATGGACTGAACCCGAAAGCCCTAAGTACACCGGTTTGCATGGCATGAGGATGCCTCAACGCGAGGATGACGGGCCAGGCTTCGTGGGACTATAAGTGCCCTGAGACGCGAACGGACTCGTAATAAGTCCTCATTCGAATGGGGTCGTCCATTAGCTCCATTCACGGGGATTCAGGAAATGTCCAGTACAGTCCCGCCTAAGCCAAGTACGGTCCATGTCGCTCCTGTTCCACTTTTGGTACTCCGGAGTACACAATAGGGCCAATGAATTTCTCAGTTAAAGTGAGACACCAGTAATTGACCTGGGATAAATGTTTCAAGCCGTTACCTGCAAATTGTCGTCATGCACTGTTCGAGAGATGTCGTGCTTATCTGGCGCGTTGCCCCGCATTTCACTATTTAAGTACGTCATCCGACAAACGGGGCACTGCCAGAAACGACGGAAGAGCCTCGTGCGTTTGAATAGAAACAAAGACCCAGCTGGATATTGGACTGTGTCTTGAAAGTCGTCATCGTGCAACATGCTTGCGACATGAATAGTATGCCACGCTCAGAAGGCGACTGTACCAGTCAAACGGAGTCTTGTCGACGTCACTGGCATCAAGGTGTTTTTAGAGAGGGGTTTGATACGTAGGAAACAACGACTGGCGTCCAGGGTTGGTGCAACGTAGGCAGCAGGTACCCTTTATCAGAAGGTGTGGTGACACTTTCTTTCCCCTTATCAAATAACGGATATCATTGAGTCACCCCTCTCCGGCAAGGGCAGCCTATATAAGTCCCGTCTGCCCACCCCTCTCGGCTGAAGGACCCATCCAACGATCTACAATCCGCCATTCCCCCTCACAAAACAACACTCCATACCCTGTCCAAGCTCTCGTCTCACAAAGTAACAACAAATATGCCTCTCTACAACGTTCGTCATCCTATGCCTCCGTCTGTTTTACAAACTAAATAGTCGGTTTCCAGGTCACCCTCAAGAAGGACTCTCCCGCCGAGGCGCTCACAAAGTCAGTCTCCATTCTACCCTACTGCTGATCCGCGGTTACTAATGGCGATCTTTCATAGAGCCAAGGAAGATGCTGTGAAATCGGGCGGTACCATTAAGCACGAATACACCCTCATCAAAGGCTTCACGTAAGCTACTCCTTCCTTCCATTGTCACAAATTCAAGCGCGCCTGACACCTTCTCTAGCGTCGAATACCCCGAGGACAGCGTGGGAACCCTCGAGGCAAACGAACACATTCATGTCGAGCAGGATGGAGAGGTCCGCATCCAGTAATCGTGACTAAACCGGGCCTAGTTTGGGGTTTGCTGTATGGGCTTACTGATGCTGAGGAACAACACACTGGGCAGCGGGAGAGCTACGCGCCGGAGGCTTCTCATACTGTTGATGAAGAGATGTACGAGTTACGAATTTGTGTTTCTATGTTTATGACATGCGAATAAATGGCATTCATCAAGGCCAGTGAGCGAAAGCCACTAGAGGACCTTGCTCTTTTTGAGCAAACTTTCTACTTTACCTATTGTCTCTACTTATTTTTAGGCCGATCTCGATGGTAAAGTTGGTAACACCACTTTAATCTCGCAAAGAGACCGCGATAGCCGCTCGAAATGAGTGTCCTCCTAGGCCCGGTGTCATCTGAGGGAGCTCAGGCGTGATTAGTGATTACCTGCATATATTCTGTATAGTGTAGCCGCGATAAGCATGGAGGGGCTTGTCGTCCCAAACCCAGTCCGAGCGAATGCAGGTAGCCAAGCGATCGAGATCTCATCGGCATCCTACGTTGATAGAGGGCTATAAAATGCAATGGTCTTTATAATAATAGTTTATTAAAATGACTTCTTAAAAAGTACAAGACCCTTGTTGATCATTTATGCTTGGCACGTGAGCCTGTCTTCACCGGCGGAGTGCAAGAGTCATCCCCTTCATCAGCTCGGTCGACTTTCTGAACCCGCAACACAGAATGGCTTGTGTTTGCTATGGCCGCAACAACCCGTCTTCAGACTCTGTCTGTAGGTTGTGGCCTTCGACGTAACACACTTCTTCCGCGCAGTTGGGCGGGACGTCCGTTTTCCACAAGTCTTTGCAGCTTCACCACATCTCAGAATCCGCTTCCACCTCGAGCAAATGATGAAGTTGCTCGCCTTGCGGCCAGTCGACGGCGTCCCTTGACTCTTGCCGACTTGCTAAAGTGAGAAAACAACTTTCTTGATAGTAAGGTTGAAGCTCGTACGCTAATAGAGTTCCAGGCACGGTCGGCCACCACTGTCGAAAGATGCCCTCCTCGCCTCCGCAAACTTTACCCTCTCCCTCCTCCCCGCACGTCTAGCCTCCCGTATCGAAGCCCTTCGAAACCTACCATTCATCGTCGTTGCGAACCCGCATGTCTCGAAGATCTACGGAAACTATGTCCATTCGTTGTCTACACTCCTCCCATGGCAAAAGCGACAGGTCACGAACCTCGAGGAGGAGAACCAATTCGCCGAGGTCCTAGCCGATCTCGTCCATACGCACGCCAATACAATCCCTATTCTCGCGCGCGGTTTCCTCGAGTGCCGTAGGTACATCGATCCGATGGAAGTGACTCGCTTTCTGGACACACACTTGCGGGCACGGATTGGCACACGGTTAATAGCGGAGCAGCATCTGGCCCTCCATTTTGCCTCGAAGCCTGTCGGGGGCACTACAGCTGAAGCGCAAGAGTCACGGGCGCACGCTGCGCCGTCGAACTATATTGGAGTCATTGATACTGCTCTGCAACCGGCCCGCATTGTCAGGACATGCGAGGAGTTCGTGGGCGAGATCTGCGAGCTGAAGTACGGAGTTCGTCCGCGCTTGGAAATTGATGGGGAGCCAGATGCAACTTTCGCCCATGTTCCGGTGCATATCGAGTATATCCTCACGGAGCTTTTGAAGAATGCGTTCAGGGCAGTCATTGAAAGCGGCAATGAACGGGAACCAATCGAGGTGACTATCGCTGCGGCACCAGATGTCCCCAGCAGCTACTCACATGAACCCCTCATTAGGCCATCGGAGGCTCAAGGCGCGCAGTCTGACAGCGATGTTGGGTTTTACGTAGACACTGTGGTGGGCACTGCGGACGCGAATGAGTCCATCAAATTTTCGACGCCCTCTTCACAAAGTATCACAATCCGGATACGAGACCGAGGCGGCGGGATATCCCCTGAAGTCTTGCCGCATATCTGGTCATACAGCTTCACCACATTCTCCGATTTGAATATGGGAGAGGGGGGCGGCTTAGAGGCTCTGAATACAATTTCATCCAGCAGCGGTCAACTGAGTAGCATCGCTGGACTCGGCTATGGTCTTCCGCTGAGCAGAGCGTACGCGGAGTACTTTGGTGGTAGTATTGCCGTGCAGAGTCTCTGGGGCTGGGGAACCGATGTGTATCTGACTCTACAGGGTGTAGGAAAGCTTGCATAAGTCTTCATCTATATATTCCCCATCCTCATCAATAGTCTTAATATACAAGCACATATCTGCCAGACTAACGATATAAACCAACTTCTTCCAGAAAGTCTCCGATATCGCGGAAAAATACCCTCGGCACTTGCATAAGCTTTTACATCGATGTAGTATCACCTCCAACTTGTCCCACTGCAACACCCACGCAGCACATCATGAATGGATGTGGGGGTTCAACCCCGCAGCGGAATTCCTGCGAGACCCATCTCCGATATCTCAAGCTCAGGTCAGAACATCCGCGCATTCGAACCAATTATTCGGCTCTACGCCTGGTTCTCGGCTCGGAGATGTGCCCGAACTTCTAGTTGAGTTGCAATGGCTGCTTTATTAAGCTCTTCTTCCTCGCTCGTCCTACGAGTTGTCTGGTTTTCTTCACGTATACTGGCTTTCCTCCCCCGCATCCGACTTTAGAAATACTACTTATATCTTAAAAGCATAATCGACTGGCTGAGTGGCTTCAATCCTATACCTACTCAATCTTTGTACAAGCTACTGATACATTGCCCGTCGCGATGTGAGTTGGCAGGGACTGTGACTGCTCTGAATGGACTGAATAGCTAATGCAGACTTAGGGTCTACACGGCGTCTTTTGCCTTCTTTGAGGCATTATGGGAAGTTCGTCTCCTCGCCCACCTGTTGCTCTTGGATTACTCCAAAATTGAGATTAACGACTGATATAGGCGGGCGTCACCCATTGCTTTGTGAACCTCGGCTCCGACCACCCCTCTATCCTCGAGGCCATGGTAAAGGGCCAGAAGGAGAAGCCGGATGAGTTTCCTAAGATCGTTACCTGCCCAAATGAGGTATGTTCTCTTCCACCCTTATTCCGCAATTTACGTCTACGCCTGTGGGTGTTTAATATGGTGACCCACGCGACTAACCCGCTGCGTACTTTTTAGATGGTCGCTCTATCCATGGCCGACGGTTATGCCCGATTAACAGGCAAGCCACAATGCGTGATTGTGCACGTAGACGTCGGTACACAAGGTCTTGGAGCTGCAGTGCATAATGCATCGTGTGGCCGGGCACCAGTCCTTATCTTCGCGGGTCTATCCCCATTCACACTAGAGGGAGAGATGCGCGGTTCACGAACCGAGTACATCCACTGGATCCAGGACGTCCCCGACCAGAAGCAGATTGTGGGTCAGTATTGTCGCTACGCGGCTGATATCCGGTCTGGGAAGAATATCAAGCAGATGGTGCATCGGGCGCTGCAGTTCGCGACCAGTGACCCCAAGGGTCCCGTTTACCTTGTTGGAGCGCGTGAGGTCATGGAGGAGGAAATTGAACCGTATAGCGTCAGTCCGTATGCGTGGAGAGGAGTTGCACCTTCGGCATTGCCGACTGAGGGGGTTGAGCTTATCGCATCTGAGCTCGCAGCGGCAAAGGAGCCGCTGGTTATTGTGGGATATTCCGGGAGAGATGCGAGGGGTGTGAAAGAGTTGGTGGCTCTCGCGGATACCTTGCAGGGCATTCGAGTGCTAGATACGGGTGGCAGTGATATGTGCTTCCCGGGGGATCATCCGGCATCCTTGGGAATGAGGTTTGGAATACATGATGCTATCAAGACGGCAGATTTGATTCTGGTGGCGGACTGTGATGTGCCCTGGATCCCGACACAATGCAAACCCTCCAAGTCGGCGAAGATTATCCATGTCGATGTTGACCCGCTCAAGCAGCAGATGCCTGTGTTCTATATTCCTGCCATGGCGACCTTCCGAGCCGAGTCGGCAACCGCGTTCAAGCAGATCAACGAATACGTCGCGGCAAATGAGAAGCTCAGGCAGGTGGTCAATTCAGAGGAGAACGCTGCCCGAGGGAAACGCCGAGAAGAACAGTTCCGCAAGGCCCGGCAGACTGTAGCCGACCTCGCAGTCGTACCAGCAGGCGGCAATGATGCGGCGCTCAACGCATCATACCTCATGAGTCAAGTCCGAAAGAGCTGCCCCGCAGATACACTATGGGCGATTGAGTCTGTGACCCTGACGCCGATCGTCTCTGACCAGATCGCCGCTACGATCCCCAATTCTTGGATCAACTGCGGCGGTGGTGGTCTAGGCTGGTCTGGCGGTGGCGCCCTGGGAATTAAGCTCGCAACCGACAACGAGCATGGAGGGCCAAACAAAGGCAAGTTCGTCTGTCAAGTCGTCGGAGACGGGACATTCCTCTTCTCCGTCCCAGGCTCTGTATACTGGATCGCGCGGCGATATAACATCCCCGTGCTCACGATTGTGCTGAACAACAAGGGCTGGAATGCGCCGCGGAGGAGCATGCTCTTGGTGCATCCGAATGGGGACGGGTCACGCGCCACGAACGAGGACCTTAACATTTCCTTCGCGCCAACCCCCGATTACCCGGGAATCGCAAAGGCAGCTTCCGGGGGCCATATCTGGGCTGGTCGTGCAGCCACTGTTGCGGAATTGGCTAAGCTTTTGCCAGAGGCTGTCAAGAGTGTGTTGAATGGGACAGGGGCAGTTTTGGAGGCGCAGCTTGACGGGACGGAGGGGAAGTACGTTGAGAAGAAGTAGATAAGGTACACCGCACTTTGTTCGTTTGATGCAACATATGGGCGAGGATGATGCAAGGCTCGGGTTGCAGTCCATTCATTGTCTACTCCAACTTTGCAAGTACAGCCAAGGTCCCTGTTGGTGGCAGTTGATAAGGACTCCGATGCCGGCAGTAGCCTTATCTATGCGAGGCGGGGTTCGTCGGAGTAACTTGATTTCGAGGTGTATGGGACGAAGTACAGCATTGTATTGAGCGTCAATGGCATTAGTAGCAATCATTTCGGCCAGAAAACATGTCTGACAGGGACAATCTTAGATCCAAATATTCTCCAGAGCTACCTACTATATCCCTTTTACATTCTGACGCTGCTTGGGTGGGCCTCGGCGCACAGGAGGAATATACGACCCCCGACGTCTGTATGCGGATTTCGGCACCGAAACAGCGGAACTAACCCACACTTTTCCATGTCGTCCACGCCCTTGTGCTGATTCCCAGTGACATTCTCAAACAAAGCGACGAACCAAAGCCCGCGCCGCCGACTCCAATTAGATAACGAAAATTCGGGGCGAGAGCTTCCCATCTGTCGTGATCCGCAGTGTGCCCGATTTAAAAGATGGCGGTCAACCAGCCATTCTGGGTTCTGGCACTGCAGCCCATCACTTTCTCCGACGGGAACCGATCCACTCCTCGAGACACAAAAAAGATTCGTGGCCCACGATTCACTTGAACTCTTCGGATACACCTCGCGTTGCTTGAGACGGTCGATTGTTTGAAGCGCAACAACGCACACCAAAGACTACCTCACCTTTTTGAACACGACTTCGACCGACTACACTCTAGTAGCTTCCCCAAGCCGTCTACGAACCCGAGATACGAAGGAAATGGCTCCGCCGGCGGCTTTGGACGTGGAGACGAACGGCAATGGCGTGCCTACACGATTGACTGTTGAGGGTATCGCTGGTGTGAGAGCCCAGAGCGCGAAGATGCCTGCTGGCGTTGCGCCTGCCACAAGCAGTGACGAGTTCAAAAGCCCGGTGAGTTCGGCTTGACATGTGCTGCTGCTGTGGTGGTGAGGAGAAGTCTAATTCGGAGGGTTTGCGCAATTATAGGCTTGCTTCACCAAACCTAAGGCGAAGAGGTGGGATCGTAAGTTGTCCCGCTTGGTTCAGGATACGAGGACGTCGCTAACGATTTTGGGCTCTAGATATCTTGTCGCAGGAGGCGAAGTCTCGCAAGACTTCTACGTTGAAGGGTGCCGCGAAGTTCTTGAAGAATCCAGGTATGAGAACCTACGCCGCATGTTTGAGAACGTTTGGTGACCAGGGCTAACTCAATTTGTGGATAGGCCTTATCTCCCTCGGCGGCGGACTCCCCTCCCCGGAATACTTCCCGTTCGAAGAACTATCTATTAAAGTTCCCAACCCGCCAGGTTTCACACCGGAAGCTACTCGGAAGACGGGAGCTACTTTAACTGCGGGGAAGCATGACATTCGCGAAGGGAAAAGCTTATATGATTTGGAGGTTTCTCTGAACTATGGACAGTCGACCGGATCTCCTCAGCTACTCAGATTCGTGACGGAACATACTGAGCTGATCCACAACCCTCCTTATTCCGACTGGCACTGCGTTTTGACACCCGGAAGCACCTACTCCTGGGATACCACCCTGCGATTGTTTTGCGAGAAGGGCGACTACATCTTGATGGAGGAGTACACATTTTCTAGCGCACAGGAGACAGCGCTTCCGCTGGGAGTAAAGGTTGCGTCGGTCAAGATGGACGAACAAGGTCTTTTGCCAGAATCGCTCGACGACGTTATGACCAACTGGGACGAGGCGGCTCGTGGTGCTCGCAAGCCCATTGTGCTTTACACCATTCCGACAGGCCAGAACCCCACTGGTGCCACTCAGTCTTTTGAGCGACGCAAGGCTATTTACAAGGTTGCACAGAAGCATGACCTCTACATTATCGAAGACGAGCCATACTACTTCCTGCAAATGCAGCCCTACACTGGAGCTGACTCCAAACCTGTGCCGCCTCCCGCCAATCACGAAGAGTTCCTCAAGTCTCTCATCCCGTCCTATCTGAGCATGGATGTCGACGGCCGTGTCCTTCGCATGGAATCATTCTCCAAGGTCTTAACTCCCGGATCGCGTACTGGCTGGATTGTCGGTTCCGAGCAAATCCTTGAGCGCTTCACCAGAAACACTGAAGTCTCAGCCCAACACCCAAGCGGTATTTCACAAATCGTCCTTTTCAAGCTTCTAGACGAACATTGGGGACACACCGGCTACCTCGACTGGCTCATCAACCTGCGCATGCAGTACACGAGCCGCAGAGACATCCTTGTCAAGGCTTGCGAGAAGCACCTCCCTCAGGAAATCGCAAGCTGGATCGCCCCTGCAGCGGGCATGTTCGTAAGTCGGCCAATTTCAGGACTAATGACTCCGTGACTAACAGTAAACCCAGCACTGGATTGAAATCGATTGGAAGAAACACCCTGGCCTTTCGTCCGGCAAGACCCATGATTCCATCGAGGAATCTCTCTTCACCGCAGCCGTGAACAACGGCGTCCTTATTTCGCGCGGTAGCTGGTTCAAGGCCGCCGGTCGTAGCGAGGATAAGATGTTCTTCCGTGCGACGTTCGCATCGGCTAGCGAGGAGAACATTACGGAGGCTATCAAACGGTTTGGAGAGACCGTGCGCGCTGAGTTTAAGCTTTAGAATAGAGTACGCTGCGTATAGACAGCCTAATAATCAACGTTGAATACGAAATGATCTGCGATGCTCAATCCATGACCTCGGTCTTTTTGTGAATGTTGTAGTTGCGAAATCGACAAGGGAGATTCACCTTCTACCATGATAGGTCTCCGCCCAAATGGCCAACAATTCTTTGGGAATACCCTACATAAGCCTATGCCCTTGTGTTATTCAGCACACCATCTTCTTTTCCCAAACTCCAGCCACACCTCCCATTCACGCTGCAATGACTGCATGCAAGGGAAAATGCAGCATACAGCGCTAATTCGTTGGCCTCCCGGCGCTAAATTAGCGTTGGTGGGCTCTTGGCAGTGCCCAGGCCCGACCACCTTAAACTGAGCCGGTGCCGTACTCGCACCAAATGCATCTTGACGACGAAATAGATCACGGTGCACACTTATAACACACCTAGCACCCTCCCCACGGGGTCAAAATGCGCGGTTGAAGTGTCTAATGGATTGAGCTTGATTCGCTGAATCTTCTGGTCGATTTCGAGGCAGCTTCGCCTCTTGGTTTATTGGGGTTTGGCGAGGTAGGAGTTCCACGGTTGATATTGGTTCTTGTATCGTTGCATAGAGGGCGAAGAAGAGTCGAGCCTTCGAGACTCGGGCAGCGCGACTGACGGTATGTCTTGCCTCTGGCTTTTTTTATCCACAATGACCTTCACCGGTGGTGGGCCAGGTCTGTCGCTGCCTCCTGCATGTGTTCTTATGTTGCTTGCTCCTGTCTTTAAGATGGCTTTCTGTTCTTCTTGTCGTTGGTGTTGCTTTCTCCTTCCCACTCTCTCCCTCGTCTCTGGTGTCTCTGTGTTCAGACATCGGTTGCCCGTCCAAATGGCGTTAAGACGGCAGAAAGGCTTCTACCGGTTGAGTCTTTTATAGATTGCGGTTGCGTCTTGGCTTTGAGTGCGATAGCTGACTGTAATAATAGGCAACGGCTTGAGTCGATAGCTGAGAGAAGTTCAAGTTACAGTCAAGAGACTAGCGACGATTTTACCGACCAACGTCGAAGGCCTTGAGGCAGAAGTCGACGCTCAAAGCGAAGGTAAGATGTCCGGTTCTCGATAACTACTAGCCAATAGCTGACTTGTCCAACCAAGATTACTTCGACTCATCAGCTGAAGAAAATTGTGAGTCCGAGTATGTCGTCCGAGTTATTGTTTGAAATCTTGAGCTGAGCGTACCACAGCCATTGCGATTCGCAAAACGTGGAAGGGCTCATTAACCAGTTTCTGGACGAACTCGTGCTCGAAGAAAAGCACTCCCAACCCGACTCTTAACGTCAAGGGCGTGGTTGAATCATCGGGCTTGGGCCGGTTCTGGAAGCAGATATCATTGCCCAATCTTAGACGATTCGGACGAGTCGTTTGAGTATAATCTTGTCCCACTCTGTTCCAGTGTGCCCGAGCAACGACCTGTCACCGTCAAATCCTTGCGCGTTCCATCAACGAGGCAGGGAAAGAAAACCTGGTCATCGAGCCTAGTTGGTATCGCTTCGGCGATCAAGGCACTTCTTGGCGGGAAGAAATCAGCAAAGAAAACCAAACGACAAGCTGTCAAAAGCGTCCCCAGCTGGAGACGGCCAGGCTCTCGCTTGAAATCTATCTCGAAAGGTCTGTCCAGAATTTGGCTGAAGAAAGAACGAATTAGCCGAAAGAGTCAGCCGTCATCAAGAGGGATCGATAGTGTTCCTATCGGACTCTCACCTTGGGTCGGAGAAAGTGAGGTTTGCGGAGTTGCGCTTGACGAGACTTGCTCACATTTCTTCAATTACCGCAACCTCTTCCCGCCCTCTAACACTGACAACTTATCCTTCCAACCCAATCCATCCCTCACGTCCTTCTACAGTCTCTACTTCCAACAATCCCCAGCAGACACGCTTTCTTCGACCTCCTCTTTTTCCTTGAACTTATACCCAGCATCCACAGCACCTTCATCCATCACCATGGAGGCGCCTCGTGTTTCTCGTTTTCTGGACCCGACGTCCGCCGTCGCCGCAATCACTAAGCACAAAGCGGAAGCGATCAAGCTTGCCCGCGAGCAAGGCGCCGCCGTCCGTGAAATGTGCCGCCGAGCGAAGACCGAGACCCCGCCATACGAATTCGAAGAGCTCATCGGGAAAGGAGCATACGGTCGAGTGTACAAAGGCCATCAACTACCATCTCGACAAGTTGTGGCAATCAAAGTGTTAGACATCGATTCGTTGGATTACAAGTCCGTTCGAGATTTCAAAGACGAGTCGATAAAAGATTTCATTCACGAGACAAAGGTCATGAAGCAAGTCAAGGATGCGGGGGCCAAGAACATCAACGAACTTATAGAAGCTGTCTCGATCCATTCGCAGCTGTGGCTGGTTTGCGAGTACTGCCCTGGTGGTAGTGTCAGAACTCTGGTAAGTTTGAGTTATACTTCTGTTCCTGACTTGTGGCCCGTGGCTAACCACAAACTTTGTAGATGCGTGCGACTGGTGACCGACTTGATGAAAAGTTTCTTATTCCCGTAGCTCGCGAGCTGGCTGCTGGCTTGCGCGCTATCCATGATGCTGGCATCATTCATCGCGACATCAAAGGTGCAGTCTTCCTCCCTGTTGATGTGACTGGACCGTCCGCACTAACACCACATAAGCCGCCAACGTCCTCATCCACGAAGAAGGTAGACTACAGATCTGCGATTTCGGTGTCGCTGGAATTCTACAGTCCCAAAAGGACAAACGATCAACGTGGATCGGCACTCCCCACTGGATGCCACCAGAGATGTTCTCGGCCGGTCAAGGTCACCAGTACAGCAGCGAGGTTTGTCTATTACCTCCTATTTGATCTTAGTGTTACTAACGGTTTTAGATCGACGTCTGGGCCTACGGGTGCACACTTTACGAATTCGCCATGGGAAACCCACCGAATGCAAACCTACGAGAACGAATGCAAATCGGCAGACAGCTGAATAGAAAGACTCCACAATTAGCAGACAGCGACAGATACAGCGAAGGCCTCAGAGATTTGGTCTCGTTCTCTCTCAACTCCGACCCCACCACCCGACCTACAATGGCAGACATCCTGCAACATCCTTACATCGCGGACTCCGAAGAAGAATACCCGATATCATCACTCAGCGAGCTTGTTCGCATATACTATCAGTGGTCTCAACGCGGCGGTCAAAGAGTCTCGCTTTTCCATCCTGGTGGTGCTGCTGCTGCGGAGCTACCAGGCGTCGAGTCTGACGCCGACGAGGACTGGAACTTCAGCACTACCGATGACTTTGAAAGACGGTTTTCCGTGATCGACCTCGATCAGCTCGCCGCCTCTCTCGCCGAGTTTGAACAGGAAATCAACAACACGGGAGGCCAGAGTCAGCAAGACTCGGGCGAGGACCAGTCGGATACAGAATCGACGGAACAGGATAGGGCCAACTTTGCCGAGCGAGTTCGTCGAGGTGCTGAGGCTATGGAAGGACTCTTTAATGAGGAAAAGCCCAGCTACAAGTACGAGACGAAGAACGACTTCGTTCCTATCCAGAAGCCCCCTCCTGTTTCCGATTTACCTCTTCGAACCGAGACGGACCGTTCCTCGGTCACTTCAACCTTTATCGACATAGACATTGGCTCTTTCGACTCTTCTCACTATGCTGCAGGTGTTACCACAGCTCAGCCGTTCCAACTCGCAGATGCAGATACCATTCGCGCGAACAGGTCTAGTGGCCGCCAGAACCGCAGCTCCAATGAAGGCCGCTCGCGCTCCTCGAGCAGCGAAGTGAGCAGTGATCTCGATTCGCAAGACCAAGCTTTCCAGCCGCGGACTGGTCCACGTCCACCCACAATGGACTGGAAATTTCCAACATTCATGCAACCTATGGAGGAAGCAGATCAGGAGACGGACTCCGGCGCCGAAGCGGAATATGAAACCGAGCCTGAACAGCATGACCGTCCCCGCGATTCACGCTCACTTGTGATTGATCAGGCTGAAAAGCGTGCCACGATGGAGTGGACATTCCCAGTCATGACCTCGTCCGCCGACAGTGAAGACGATAGTGCCAGCGAGATTAGTCCTTCGACTGGAGGCAGCCGCCACGATACACTCAAAGCGATCAGTACGGCGCGTCAGCACGATGAACCTGAAGACTCGAGACCGTCCACTTCTGCATCCGCACAGTCAAGCATCTCTGCAAGCTCCGACACAGACTACGACCCCTTCCGCTTCGACCGGCTCCCCTCACCGTCAGACGACATGCCCACCCCACAACAAGAATTCAAAGACCACGACGACTACCCCGTACACCGATCCTCCGTCAGCTACAACGACTACCCCCGCTCCTCAGTCATTGAGGGTCCGGGCCCGGACGAGGAAGACACAGATGCAGACACAGAGGCAGAACCCGCTCCGTCATGGCAAAACAACAACGCCGCCACCGCTCAAGCCCCAGGCTCAATCCCACCCCCAATATCCATCCCAGGCCCAGGGCCCGTCCCAGGACAAGCACCTTACACTGAACCCTTCCCCACCGCAATCCCATCAAAGGACGTTCCCGTCCCGCATCCTCTCCGCCCCTTCCCATCCGCAGACGGATCACCCATGTCAGAACCCCTCCATACAGCGCGCTATGATCCACACCATACTATTACCTCCACTGCGACTACACTCGCAGCATCAGAGCAGGCGGATCCTACGCAAATGCCCATTCACTTCCCAGACATCATTCCCCCGCGTCTTGACGTGCTCACGGACGGTGCGAGCGAGGCAGCTGTCACAGCCGAGCTGGATAGGCTACTTGGAGACTTTTTAGATGCGCTTTCGGCTACCGGCGAGGCGCTTGCAAGGACGAGGATCTCGCCGCTAGGGAGAAGTGAGAGGGATCCGTTGGCGGAGAGGTCGGAGTGATTGGCCATGTAATATCATAACAATCTTGTTCCCTTTGTCGGTCTGCTCCTGGAGACGGTTTTGGTTTATTGGTGAGTGAATTGAGATTAAGCGGTATTGTACGACGATTGGTAGAACTGCATGAAATAAATGAGTACATATCAAACCTTTACTGCAACCCCTCCTTCTCAGCCTATTATCCCACCATCCTCGACATTCCGTCGTTGACGAGCACTGGTTATAATCTCAGCAATAAGCTCATGATATTCCATCCCATTATTCCGAGCGATAACAGTAAACAGGGAAACGTCATCCCTCAGGCCAAACAACGGGTTTACCTGGGCACCAGTCAGTTAGCCCTAATCTCCTACTATTCAGAGGGCATGAAAATCCAAAAACAAGCATACCTCGATAACATTCGGCACACCCCCGTTCTTCTGCGAACTCAACCGAACATCAACCCTCGCCCCATCTCGACATCCCAACACCCGATACGTCGAAACCGCAACATCCGCAACCTTCTTCACGAGCGGATCCTTCAAGTCTGCATGGATAGTCCCAATATCCTGTCCTGGCCCCCGACCAACCTTCGAGAAACACGTCGCGAAGTCAATCGAGTCCCCTCCATCCTCTCCACCCTTACCATGCGCATCTCCATTCCCGCCCTCGGGGTTATACCACGTAACCTCCAGAGCCCCCAACACCCTCGGCGCATCGTTCGGTCCCAGGATCGCAACGGTGTACTCCGTCCCGCCGAGGAACTCCTCGAGCATGATTTCCTGGGACTTGAACTGGCTCCGGAGCTTCTCGGCTGTTTTCTCGAGGTCCTCGGGGCGCGTTATCTTGTTCGAAGGGAGGATCCCGTTTGAGGTTGAGGCAGCCACGGGCTTTGCGAAGAGCGGGAAGGAGATTCCTTTCAGTAGTGAGGTGTAGTTGGCTTCGAGACCGTAGCGCGGGACTAGGGCGAAGGGGCTTGTTGGGATGTGGTAGTGTTCTAGGAGCATCTAGAGATATGTAAATATCAGTCCTGGTAGAAGGAGCAATGCTGTTGACCTTGGAATCTCACGCAGGAGCTTCCATGTCAATGGCCCATACCTTTGTCTTCGCCTTATCAATACACATCGACAATGTCGCCGCATCCGAGAACGTATACAGGACCCCATATGCCTCAAGCAGCGCAGGCACCTGCGACTCCCTCGCCGACCCGCGAACGCCCTCACTAAAGTTGAACACAAGATCCCAACTCTTCTGCTCGCCAGCGGCCAGATGGCCGACAAGGGGCTTTATCCCGGGGACGTGGACGACATTGTGTCCAAGCTTGTGCAGCGCATTAGAGACTGCGTTGATGGTTACCTCGTCGGCGAGGTCGGCGCAGTCGGTCTCGGAGTACCCGCGTTCGAGGTAGTGGGCTTTGGGGTCGTAGATGAAGGCGATTGTTAGCGGCTCTTCGAAAGTTGGCATTATGAATGCTTTGGATGTGATAGTGGTATTGTAACTACCTAGGAGGAAAGATTGATATTTGTTGGTTGGTGAGCATCGTGGTGTTTATAGTTTGGCCGTCGAGGTCGAGATTCGTCATGACATCACTTCAACTTCATTGTGCAGCGTTTCGTAGATCGTATGACAAGCCAAACGAAAGAGGTGGCGCCGACGGGCTTCTCCTAGGTTAGAAAGGATTGTCGCATGGGATCTTGAGAATTGGGGTCAGGCCTGTTGTCTTGGCCATGAAAGATGGCGTTGTAGAGGGCGGGATATATAGTGGACTGTCCGAACAAAATATATAGCCATCTGCCAATTAAATACTTTCCACTTCAGAAAGCTAATATAGGCGTAAAAGTGCATCCTTTCTGTTTAAATTCCCACTAATATTGAGCACGCTTTTGAACATGTCGCTTAGCATGACATGGTGTATTCATTTCATTGACTGGCTACAAGTATAATATAAATAGGGTTACTATCATTAAGCTAAATCCGACATCCCAACAAGCCCTCCAAACAATGAAAACACGGGGTAATGGTAGAACGAGCTATAAACAACGTGAAAGCAAGCATCTGGGGGAATGAACGGGACAATATCTCCAAAAGAAAAGAAAAGAAAGGTAACAGAAGCAGTTCGACGCCAGACACCGAGTTCATCAATCCAAAGTTCAAGAAGGCCAGGGTCATGGCGGCCGGGTACAATCATCGGGGAATCTAAGTTAGACATCGCGGACGCGGGTCTGTCGTTTTGCTGTTCCAATGTGCGTGTTGTGCACTTTTGTGGCGAACTTGAGACTGGTCAGGGTCTCGGAGAGGTGTGCCTGCAAAGGGCTGACCATAACGAACATCAGGGTCTTCGAATTTCCTCCCAGCGAAAATTGAAGAAGATAGGTCAGCTGTTATGTGTTAGCTTAGCTCTTGCGGTAGATTTCGGTAGAAACAAACCTTGCTATTCCTGTAGGGAATGTGGCCCCCTTCCTTGCCCTGACCGAGGGCTGCAATGACATCGCCTAGGCAGCTCAAGCTGCGGTTGATGTTCTGTGTCTCTCGAAGTCGTTCTCCAGTAGCGCCACTGTGACTGAGTCTTTCACTTCCGGCCAAATCTACCAGGTTCAGGGTTCCTTCGCTGCGTTCCCCTGTGATGTAGTTTTCGCCAATCAGTTTTAGGATAAAGACTGAGTGGGATCGAGAGGACCGCTCGTTCGCCTTCGTGGCTGCCACGGAGCGATTGGCTGCAGCTCTCTTGAGAATGGACTCGACCATCTCCGGCGAGTCCAGCTGCACGGTTGTCACGTCCGTTATAATCGTCTTGCCTTTCTGCATGTCGTGACGGATGTCGAGTTTCTTTCTGTCGAGCTCCTCAGCCTTTCCCAGCAAATCGTTCAAGTTCTCGTTATAGACCTCCACAAAGTTTCCCTCCATCTTGTACCTCCAACCCTTTTCTTCTAAACTCGTTGCTGTTTCGTATATCTGGTGGACCGCTCGGGGGATCATGCCATCCAGAGACGACATAGTGTGTGTTTTACCACTGCCTGTCTGGCCATAGCAGAAGATGCAAACGTTGTATCCGTCGAGCGCACTCTGGACAAGTTGGCTGATTTCATCAAAAACATCACTATTCTGCGCCGATGGCCCGAATACATGGTCGAAGGAGAAGTTGTGGTTCTTTCGCGTCACAGCCCCAAGGCTGCTCCTCTCCTCAGGCCCTACGATGTTGATCTCTTTGCAGTCTTCAGACTCATCTGGGTAGGTAAACTGAGTTGCATCCGAGACCTCCTCGACTCCAAGAGGCGGCCGGACACGACAAAATACCCGGATGTTACCCTTGAGTTCCTGCACTTGATTGTGAAGCTTGCGCCGTAGTGTTTCCTCTCGTCTAAGCTTTTCTTTGGCCACGTTCGTTTCCGCAATCGCGTCCATCATTTGCTGGTTCAATCGTTCAAAGGCCTGGGATTGTTCCTCCCTCCCAGACTCGAGGAACTCGATTCTCGCTTTGAGTGCGCTAATGGTAGACTCTAGTGTCACGCTATTGGAGCCGGCCGTATCCAGGTTCTGTCGGAGGTTTTGGTTGTTCTTTCGTTCCCGTTCGAGTTCGGCGCGTAGACCTTGGAGATCGTCCTGAGCGGCTGCGAGTTCCTTCAGCTTCTTGTCAAGTTCAATCTGCGATAGTTGAGCATCAAGGGCGGTTTGCGAGTGGAGTTGATTTAGTTCCCGTAGCCGTGCGGCTTTCTCGTCCTCTAGCTCATGTTCAAATCGCCGTCGCAAGTCCCGGATTTCGGATTCGTGCTGCAGTTTGAGGGCGTCCAACGCCTTCTGGCCTTCGTGTCTAACATTTTCTGTTTCCATACGCTGGTGAGAGAGGAGTTCGTCTATTTCGATTTCGTGTTCCCGCTGAGAGTGTTTAAAGGTCTCCTCTACTGCGGCTATGCCTGTTTTGATAGATTCGAGTTCGACACGGAGAGATAGGTTTTGTTCCGTCAGTTCCTTCTTCGCTTCTTCTAGCTCACCAACTACACGACATGAGTGTAAGCACTGTTATACATCAGCCCGGGGGTTTCTTACCTCGCGCCTTGTATAACTCAAGCGCTTCCTTTAGACCAGTGCTCTCGTGTCCGGCCTGGCTCATTTGAGACATAAACATACTGAATATGTTCTCCATATTCTGTTCGCGAGACTCTTGGTCCCATTCGCCGCCTGTAGAATAGTTAAAAGACTTGATCGTGGTATCTTTAGTTAGATATCTTGGGGATGGAGGTCGTTTCTTCCTGGATGGATGTTTGTGGGGAGATTGAGGGCTGATTTGAGGGGTAATGGTGGGCCTGGAGATGGGTATCTTGGAAAATGCGGGGATGGGGTTTCTGTCATGTTTAGGAAACACGTTAGGGCTCATAGTCTCTTCGGAAAATGGGTCCAAAAGCAGATCTTTCATGGCAGTGCATAACGATACTCCGCTATCCGCACGGGGCCTCAATGTAGGTTTCACAGGAGAGTAGTGAACAGGTTGAGATACCTGTCCCTCCCTCTGGGGACCAAATTGCGCGTTCCACGCTGGAAGCATGGGAGTAGGGGAGGTGGGTGGAAATTGTAGAGAATAGAATGCGTGCATACCCTTACGTTTTCCGAGCACTCTGCGCCCGGTTTCCTCCTCATGGGTATCCAAGGACGTAGCAGGGCGCGGGATCGAGTATGCGTTCGGTCGTCGAGAGTTACTTAGGGAGGTGGTGGGGCGCTGTGCAGGCCCAGTTGTCGAAGCCGAGTACGGTCCTCTGGGCCGCGAGGCAGCTGAGGCTGATCGGGTCAATGTGGAAGTCGCATAGGAATTGGCGCGGCCATGCGCCTTTGTTGTCCCGTTCACGGACCGTGATGAGGACAGCGAGCCTGCGCCAGTCCGAGTGGATTCTGTGATGCTCCTTGTCCGGGAGGGTTCTTTCTTCGTTAGATAAGCTCCATATATCCAATGTTTGTCCAACATACGTGGCACCGCACTGGGTTTATTTGCAATTGCGCCTGGCTGTGGGAGCTTCGAGCGAGCGTTTGTACCGGACTGGTTCATTTCCTTGAGGCCGGGGATACGTGACCCCAATCTCCTTGTCTGTATATGATATTAATATAAGCGTCTCCGATGGATACCAGCGAGTAAGTACCGGACTTCCATTCTCCATGATGGTCGCAATGGGAAGCACAAGGCCTCACAACTGAAAATGCGGGATGCGAATCGATTGGGGAGGGAGTCAGGAGTATGCAAGGACGAGGATAAACAAGTTAACGGGAGGCGAGGGCAGGCTGCACCATGTCAGCAGCAGAGCTGCACTACCAGTTGGGCGTCAAGAGTGAGTGGATTGCGCTCCGGTCTGCGGATCAGATTGATGAACATTGCTTGTTGGTGGTTCTTTCTGGTTTCCGCAGCGACGGCGGGCGGTAAACAGGTTTAGCTGACTCATCCATCCTCGCCATGCTCTGGCGGGGCTGCGCTATGCCGATCTCAGACTAGCGGTAACAGCGTCACAACGTTTCGAGTTGGGCTTGCAGGCTCGATTTGAGACGATTGAAGATATTCAATCATTTGCAAGCAATTCTGTTTCGATCTGCATTGCGCCTGGTCCGGATATACCTATACGCTGTCGCTAGCGCTTGCTCTGGTGTTTCAGTGTGGTGTCGCATCCGCCTGAGTGAGCTCAGCGCTTCAGCTTCGCCCCAGTAATTAACACCGTTGCTATTCTTATCTCGACGTTGAACTTGCCTGGCGGGATTCTGAATTCCTCTTCCGCTCCCCGTATTATCTTCAATTGTTCTCCTCTGCTGGATTGCTTGCTTCTTGGGTCTTCTTTTGGGTATCTCCAGCTCCAGCACTATGTCTGGCCGTTTCGTGCGTTCATCCAAGTACCGTAAGACTGTCTCTCCCCTCCTCCTGCCCGCAATCTGACAGGTAGCAGGCCACGTCTTCGGACGCTCAACGCGAAAGGTGCGACACAATCTCGTCCGCTTCCCCTTGACACTCGATTAGGCTTACAATTGCATAGGAGCAATGCTATGATAACCTCCGTATCTCCCGGAATGCCTGGGACACCAACCTCGTCAAGGTTCGTGACCGTCACCGCTTCTAAACCTCCGCCGTCTCCGAGTCGCTTAACACCCCCCGCAGGTCAATCCTCGTTATCTCTCCGTGAATTGGGAAGCTGGTGGTGGTGGCGCTTTTGCTGTGGTTCCTCTCGAGGAGCGGGGCAAGCTGCCTGACAGGATACCTTTGTTCCGTGGTCACACCGCTGTTGTTTTGGATACGGACTGGTAAGCCGCCGCTGCCACGTCCTTTGTTGCACTGGTTGGAATGGACTAACTGGAACAGGAATCCGTTCAATGATGAGGTTCTTGCCTCTGGTTCTGACGATGGCCGAGTACGTGTTTCTCCATTCGACAAAACATTGCATAGTGCGCGGCGGGACTAAACGTGCTTCAGATCTGCATATGGAAGGTTCCCGAGGGGTTCACAGTCACCCCTGATGTACACGCCGATGACATTCAAGACGTTGCTCCTGTCAGTAAGCTCAGTGGTCACCCGAAGTAAGTTTCTCGACATTGTGCCTGTTTGCGACTCTACCTGCTAATCTCCTTCGCAGAAAGGTAGGGCACGTGCTCTTTAACCCCGCGGCCGAGAACATCCTTGCAACGGCGTCCGGCGACTTCACGGTTAAGATTTGGGATGTTGAGGCTGGCGCAGCCAAATTGACCCTCAACCTGGGCGATATTGTACAATCGCAATCATGGAGCGCCAACGGCTCTCTTCTCGTCACAACTTCCCGCGACAAGAAGCTACGCATATGGGACGTGCGCCAGGAACGCCCTGTCCACGAAGGTCAGGGTCACGCTGGAGCCAAGAACAGCCGTGCTGTTTGGCTGGGTGAGCGCGACAGAATCGCCACTACTGGATTCTCCAAGATGAGCGATCGACAACTGGCGCTCTGGGATATCCGCTCCCCTCAAGCACCCATTGATGGCTTTAAGACCTTGGATTCGATCTCTGGTGTTTGCATGCCCTTCTGGGACGATGGCACCAACTGTCTCTACTTGGCTGGTAGAGGGTAAGTCTCTAAAACCTGTTAGATAGAGTTGCCCCTGACGACATTAGTGACGGTAACATCCGATACTTTGAGCTCGAGAACGACAAGTTTGAATTCCTTTCCGAGTATAAGTCTGCCGACCCCCAGCGTGGTATCGCTTTCATGCCGAAGCGTGGTGTGAACATCCACGAGAACGAAGTTACCCGCGCCTTCAAGACCGTCAACGATACCTACATTGAACCCGTCTCTTTCATCGTTCCCCGTCGCGCGGAATCATTCCAGGATGACATCTACCCGCCGGCTGTTGGATTGAAGCCCGCCATGAACTCCTCTGAATGGTTTGCCGGTAAGGAGGCTATTCCGCCAAAGATCTCCTTGGGCAGCCTCTATGATGGCGAAGGTTTGAAGGAGGTCACCGGTGTCCAAGACAAGCCCTCCTCCAGCGTAGCCACCGAGACCAAGGCCGAGCCAGAGGCAAAGCCTGCTTCCCCAGTCAAGAAGGCTCCTGAGCCTACGCCTGTGGCTAAGCCTGCCCCGTCCATGAAAGAACAGGGGGCTTCAATGGCTGCAATGGTCAACAAATTCGCAGATGACGAGGAACCCGAAGTCGTTGAAGAATCTAGCTTCGACGAGCCCTCCAAGCCAGTGGAGCGCCCTGCCCGCTCTGAGACTTCGTCCCCATCCGTCAAGGCCAGCCCCTTCCTGCAAAAGGAAGAGCAGGCCAAGACGCAGACGCCTCCCGCCGTGGTAAGTCAGCAATTGCCCAAAGAGATATCTAATTCTGACCACATACTAAAGGCCTCGCCCACAACCGCCGAGCGCTCTTCCGGCCCTCCGACCCCCAGCGCCGAGCCCACAGCGCCCCTATCAAGCACCACCGGCTCCGTCGCGGCAGGCTCAGCAGCCGACGCTGTGCAGCGTGAGATTGGCGCCATCAAGGAGCTACTCGCTGAACAGACCAAAACGATCGCATCTCAAGCTGAGCAGGTGCAGAACCTTACTGCTGAGATCGAGGCCCTCAAGGCTAAGCTGGGCTAGCCTTAAAATCACCGTCCTCGCTTTGATCCTCATTAATGCATTTCTTCTCTGTACTCTACATTGATTTCACGCCGCCTTTCCTGAATCACCATCCAGCCGCTGTTTAGCCCTCTTGCCTCATTTTATCTTCTTTTTATCTGAGTGGGGAAAAAAAAGAATCACGGATGCATGCATGGATGGTTGATCCTCTGCTCTAGTCTCTCGTTCCTACTACCCCCATGTTCATAGCCCTAAACATCATTCTCACTGTTATGATTTCTGTCTGTCTGTCAAGTAGATGTGCTGCCTTGCGATGCGATGTGGTGCGATGCCTCTTCTTCTCTTTTCTATAACTAGCTCACGGCATGATTGATAACAAGTGTTGATACCTGACCTTCCCATGTTACATACCCAAGTATTATCTAGTAACTAGAGTCGCTGGTGCGCACAACCTCCTGGAATTCGGGGTGTCCCGTCGAGTAACAAATACACAGACAGTACTTAGCCACGAGGTAGTATAAGTCTCTCGACACTTTCTATGGTAGACGGCTGGAAAAAAACAAACTCTACATGTTGATTGATTGCTTCACATGCGAACACTTGCCCATTGATTCATATATTGTATCAGCTATTAACTTGGGTAGACATACATGAATGTCCCAATGATAGATACTAAGTACTGTATGCCCATCGTCTCCTCTTCAGCGCTGCTAATAAACGCCCGCTCTATATGCCCCCTTTTGAGACGGGATAACAGAAGGTGACCTACCCTTTACGCCCACCGATCAGCCTCCCGCTCCCTTTCCACTCTCGCCGCCCTTGCGGCATCAGCCTCATTGTCATATTTGTAATTCAGCCGCCGTCCACCTCGTTCCTGGCGACTGTCGCGGCGACTCCTCGATTTTCCGCCGTCACGGTCAGCCTGCATTGCCTCGCGACGCTGCTGTTCCTTGAGCATGCGTTCGCGGTTGCGGGCCTCGCGTTCAAGAGTATGGGGGTCTTTTTCGGGTTCGGATGGTTTTGATGAAGAGGAGGGGGGTTTCTCTTGCGTTTCCCTGGTGTGGCCACTGTTACTGCTTGTGATGGGTCGGGCATCGTCGCCACGGCCTCGTTTTGCTTTCTTGGCTTGATAGTCGCTGTCGACTGCGGATTGGGAACGGTCGCGCCGGGACCGCTTGCGCTCACGCTCGCGATCTCTGTCGCGATCTCGGTGGCGGTCTCGGTCTCTTTCTTGGTCTTTTTCCCTTTCGCGGCGTCGGTCCCTATCGCGATCCCGATCCCGATCTCGGTCCCTTTCTCGGTCCCTTTCCCTGTCCCGTTCGCGCTCGCGGTCTCGGTCGCGACGGCGAGAGTCTCGAGAGTCTCTATCTCGCTCCCTATCCTCTATGCGCCTGCCAGAGCGATCTTTACCGGATCGGCGATCGGGCTCTTCGGCAACCGGCGACAGACGGTCATCTCCGCGCGACTCGCCCTTGCGATCAGGACTTGCGCTGCGGCTACGGCTACGGCTGCGTCGACGATGGGACCGACGTGACCGATGATGTCTTTTGCCCCGATGCGAGGATCTGTGCGATTCGAGAGACGGGGACCGGGTACGGCGCTCATCCTCTTGGGATGCAGGGCGTTCTTTCTCGTCGAGACGAGGCCTTCTGGCTCGATCTCGGTGGCGATCATGGTCATCTGCATCTCGCTCAGCGCTTGGTGAACGTTGGCGATGTCGACGACGGCTGTTTGAGCGGGACCGAGTGGGCGACCGTGATCTGCTTTTGGACCTTGACATCGACCTCACTCTAGAGATGGATCGGGACACTGGCGGGACGTCTTGGTTTTCCTGTGCTTGCTCGGGATGCGGTCTGGATGATATCACGTTAGCTTACTATGTAGGAACGTATCTCGACCTCGCGACTCACGTTTCTGAGGCCTCGGTGCTTCTCCCTGGTGGCATTGACCCACGCCCAGGGGCTTGAAAGTTCCGGTGCCGGTATACACTGGTGTTAGGGAGGCCTTGCCTCATTGCCCTAGGCGCAGCAGGGGCACCCTCAACGCCCTGTCCTCGTGGCTGTATAAACTGCTGCCCACCATAACCGCCGCGGCCACCACCGTATCCACCACGCATGAAGCCGCCGCCTCTACCGAATCCTTGGTTCATATGTCCAGGCATGCCCATTGGTCCGCCCGGTACGCCGTGGGCACCATTAGCTTGGTCAAGACTATCGATTGTAGGGATACCATGTAGCTGCTGACCGTCTTCATTCAGAGGCTGGTCAGAGGGGCCATTTTGTGTCGCAACGCTCTCCAGACTATTGTCGTTGGGCTTATTATCGTGACCTTGTGAAGATGGCTCGTTCGGATTGGCAGAGTCCAGTGTGCCCTCTGCGCTTTGGCCTTCTCCGATATTGGGATCCATTCCCTCAGTTGCACCTTCCACGGACTGAGCGGGCACATCCTGGCTCATGCTAGCAGAGGCACTATCATTGAACCCTGCAGAGTTAGTGTTATGGGGGAAGTTGGCATGACCACCGAAGCCGCCGCGACCACGACCGCCGGCGTAGTACCCACGGCCGCGACCCCGGTAGTTGCCTGAGCCATAGTAGCCATTGCCATTCTGAAACTCTTGGTTAGGAAACTGCTGTTGCTGCATTTGAGGATGAACTCCGTTGGGTTGAGACATATTATATCCGCCAAAGCCAGAGGGGTCCCCAAATTGCGCGCCCATACCATTCGCGAATGCATTTGGATTGAATTTATCTTGGCTTCCATTCCACATATTGTTCTGTGAGCCGTCCCAACCCCCGTACATCCCCTGACCAGCGTTGAAATTCATTCCCATGCCATTCATGCCATTCATCCCGTAGCCTCCAAACATCCCTTGACTTGCGGCCATTGGGTCCATGCCCATTCCAGGCATTCCTGAGAGAGGCGTTAGCTTACAGCAACCGCCAGAGTCAACAACGAGCGACATACCCATAGGATTCGGAAAACCCATCATTCCGTTGCCCATAAATGAAGCCATGGGATTACCCCACATGTTCGGAAACATCGCAGGGTTCATGTTAAATCCCATTGCGCTGGGGAAGCTGGCATTCTGCTCCGCGTTTTGAGGATTTTCCTGCTCGTTTTGCTGGGCCGACTCGCTGTTCTCAGCGTTATCTCCTTCGCCGGTTCCATTCGCCCCCGTATCAGGATTTTGGTCGGCGGTCTCTGTGGCGGCTTTCTCGGGTTGGCCATCCTGTGGTAACCAGTCAGTCCTCCGAAGTTCGCTCCGAACAACGCTCAGTAACAAAGCGGCGCACCTGTGTGATTCCGTTTGTAGCTTCCTGATCTATACCCGAAATATCTATTTCAGCAGATACCGGGGCTACATTGTCGGCTTGTGCCTCTAATGATGGCTCCTCCGAAGCTGGCAGTGTTATCTCTTCCGCCGGCTTCCCCTCAACAGTATGCGACTCCGGCGGAGGGTCTTGCTTGACCGGAGCTTCTTCCGCAGGTGAGGCATCATCGGTGGGAGCAGGTAGAGCAGCTTGCCGTTCCTTTTCGCGCTTCTTTTCCTCCGTTCGTAGAAAAGCCTTGAGAGTCGTCCGCAGGGCTTTGTTTGGTTTGCAGAGGTCGGGTGAGATCGGAGTGTGCGCGCAGACGGGGCAAGTGTCCGGAAGGGAGGTCTGGCCTGATGGTTCCGTAAGAAACTGTCATATAGGTAAGACGGACGCGCTTACAGTTTTCACAAATTGCTTGGTCGCAGCAGGGGAGTCGGAAGGCGTTCACGGCAAGCTTGTTGCAGATAGCGCAGCGCAGTTTGAACGGGATTTCATCTTGAGTCAAGGAGCTAAGGCAATGGAGCGCGTGAGTCTACAGCTCCAAGGAGAACAAGTGATGAATGACTCACCTCGCAATGTCCATCAAGCCCGAAGGCTGAACCGCGACAGCCATTAGGAAGACTGGCAAGCTGCAGGCAACGAAGAAATGAAGTCGAGGGCAATGTAATTGCGCTTAAGACAAAGGGATACGAGCCAAAGAGGCAAAGGAGGCCGACATGATTCTAGGCAGCGTTCAGTCCATCTCAACGAGTGTCACACGAGAATCAGCGGAGGACGAGGCTTGGGATAATCATTCTCTGTCGCAACATCCGATTTGGCATCGGAGTGGAGGCGGAATTCCGGAGCGGAAGAACGTCGCTCCACGAGACACCGTCGCGGTCCTTGTGCGCGTCAACATTGTATCACAGCAGCTAAGGCTTTATTTATTTCAGTATATTTGGATTCGATGAATGCCTAGAGTACACTGGACATGGCGAATCTCGGAGCGACACGCGGGCATGTGCGCTACAAGACAAGGTACTATTCAACTACACTGCAGGTTACCCCGCTGAGATATCTAGTGCCTATCAACATAAAGGGGATGAGTTGGGCAGGGTGGATGGGCTCAGGACGCATTATCAGATTAGATCAAGTTATTTCGACCCTCATGGATGTAGATGCTGTGGAAAGCAAATAAAGGAATCCCCACAGGCGATACCATTTCCAAGACCTGGAAGGTTTCAGCCTGGCGAGAGAGTCCTCTACGTCTTGGGGCTCTTTGTATCATCATGCAGCGTCAAAAGTATGAAGTGGTAAACAAGGAAAAAGTAAATAGTCAACAAGAACATTAGCATAAGAAAGGGCATCCAGATCGGACTGCAAGGCTGTTTTACATCATCAACGGATATCAGGATCAGGATCACGCTGCAAGGCCAATGACGGCTGTGTCCGTTGCAGATGCCTGTTTGGTCGAGGTGGCGAGGGGTCAGTATAGAGTCATTGAAACTTCCAGACTAAGGGAGTGGCAGAACAGATAAAGCCAGGAAACATCATCATTGTTGGTGAAATGAGGTTGAAGGAAGAGCTCTAGTGAGAATGAATCAAAGATATGCAAAGACGAGATGCAAGAAAGCGAGAGGTAAAGGAGAGGATTAAGTAAGCAGGGTTCAGGCCAGGAATTTTATTATTCGACACCAAAAATGAAAAATTGATGATTTTTGTTTAAAATTAGCGCGGGAAGGCGAGGTTAAAAGGGCTAAGGTCGCTCCCCCCGGAAGATTTAGTCAAGCGGTTCTCGACTTTTTCTGGCTGCAGCCACGCCCCTCATCGCTGGGCCCACGCACTTGGAGCTTGGGCCATACTATACTTTCATACTTCATTTCATTGTCGCTAAGGCTGATGCCTCGACTACTTTAATCGCAGCTCCAGATCATATTTCGGCTGAGGTAATTACTGAACCTCTTTCTTTTCCACACGGCGCACTGGCTGCTGCCCTCTGGGGTGGTCAACATTCCGCCTCATCTACTCACCAATCCCGCGGTTGATACCGATTTCCTACCATAACCATACTATACTTTTTGTACTGCCGACAGTTGCTGAGATCAATTCACAGCAATGACAGAGCAAGACAAGTCATATCGACCACGTTCTCCCGACTTTTCCACCTTCCAGCCCACCATCCCCTCCGTCACCCAACCGACCTACCAATTCGGGGGATCCCTTCCGCAACGCACCTCTTACGACGCCTCCCCGTTCTTCAACCCTCACTACCAACAATCTCCTGTTGCGCCAAATAGAGTCCCTCAGCAATACGTTCCTCCATATTCAGACGACTTTGACTCCGATATGGCGCGTCGATCTTCCCGTTTAGCACGCGCCGTCGAGGTTGCGCCGGTACAGGTCGCGCCAGTACACGTTACGCCACTACCCGAACCGAAATTCATGGAGCCAGTCTTACCAGACGAGCCCCCAGAGCTTCCAACACCAAGCCTAGCTGCCGGAGTTGAAGTAAAAACAAAGTTTCCGGTTGCGCGGATCAAGCGCATTATGCAGGCGGATGAAGATGTCGGCAAGGTTGCCCAGGTGACCCCGATTGCTGTCTGTACGTATTTACACCGTTCCTATCCCCTATCTATACTGCAAGCGATGCTAACATACTGGGCTCTAGCCAAAGCACTCGAACTCTTCATGATTTCCCTCGTCACAAAGGCCGCGAAAGAGGCCAAGGACCGAAATTCAAAGCGCGTAACCGCCTCTCACCTCAAACAAGCTGTCGCGAAAGATGAGGTACTAGATTTTCTCGCGGACATCATAGCCAAGGTTCCCGACCAGCCAACGGGGAGAAAACACGAAGATGATGGGAGTGATCAAAATGAGCAACCAAAGCGAAAGCGCGGTGGTCGGCGGCCCAAGGACGATAGCGATTAGTTGATCGCCACCATCAAACCATTCTGTTTTGAGTTATTTGATATGACGGGCAGCGTTTCTTTTTATGTTTTAGACCGGGACGGAGCGCATACTCTTTTGGCGTTGTGGCGGTGGGAAGGCGCGTCTTCGATGTGTATAGGGCTTAATTCTGGATACTCATTTAACACCTTGACTCGGGCCGTCATTCAGGCCTTTGCTTTCTGCAATTTTATTCTCTCTTTCTTACCTCTGGTATAGTTTGGATTGCCATGTAAACAACTAGACCATCCCTAATACGGAAACACACACTAAACCTACTTCGGAGTCTTGGGGCCTCGATCGACTCAGGCCGCATACTCCGAAGTAGACAACTCCGTACTTCCACCTCCCTCTTATCTACCTCACTGGCGATCTCCCTGTTTGTGCTTCTTCCACTGAAGAAGTATCATGCCGGGGTTCCAGAACAATGGATTTTGTACGTTGGCTGCATCGTTCTCCTCTGCGATACGCGTTACCCAGGGTACGCGTCTTGCTTTGCTTCTTCTAATCGGCAGATAGTGGTCTCGAATTATAGGCGGCTCTCGGTCGTTGTCAACGAAGAGCCCTCGAGCAGCCTCCCCCACGGAGCGATTGACAGCGTTTAAACGCACGTGTAACACACTACAAGTGAGTCGCCGTCACTCATATATAGTCTACGTCTTCGGATTCTGATTTTGGTTCGCATCACTAGCAAATATGGCGCTCCAGCAACTCCGCAACCGGGGAACAAGCGGCCACGGTACACGCGCGCAACTGCATCGAACGCCTAAACTCTGTCCTAAGTGATGAATCTCGGGGTCCCGCACCGCATCCTTGTCTCGCATATGCCGCGTCGTCTCAGATCTTTGTCACCGTTACGAAACTCGCGCTCTCCTCCTACGATGAGGGGATGCTTCGCTCCGCAACGATCTTCTTCAACACGCTGATTGATTCGGAGGTGGACGGCGTTGTCGATAATCGGCTTTTTGCGCGTGCATTGGTAGATCTGGTCCGCCGTGCGGACAAACAGTCGGAAGATATTGAGGGGCGGCTCGTCGAGCTGCTGTTCGGCGTATCGAACAACATCCGACTCCAGCCAACGATTCTCCCTGCTTGGTTTGCTCCTCGGTCGGATGACCAGGATAGTGAGGTGTCCAGTGCGAACGGCGTTGAGTTTGCGGGTACAATGAGGAAGGACGATTTTCCGTTATTCTATTTGTTGGTCGAGTATGTCCACCACGCCGGCAGGGCAGGGGACTTTGCTCGGACGGGTCTCCTATATCTGATAGAGACGGCCTCGCGATCAAAGGATCTAGAAAGGTGGTTGATTGAGAGTGACCTCGCGACGTTGATGGCTACCGGGCTAGGCGCTCTCTACAGCCAGTTGGGCAGGTAGGTGTTGCCGAGCCTTGATAGGAGTAGTTACTGATCGTCCTCAGCCTATCCTACGCCTCGGACGGAGAGTCCGAGATTCCACACATCATAGCTCATTCAGACCATGCACAGCAAGAAACAGCGCTGCCGCCCGCGCTGGGCTTGTCGATGGACTCATTCATGGCGTACCTTCTCTTCTGGCAGGATACAATTGACCACTGCAAATCGGCTGAGGTTGTTGCGACTCTGTTGGACCACTTTCAAGTCTTGTTTCTGGAACAATTACTGTAAGATTCTTGCACATACGCATTGCAGCAATGGCATACTTATGGCTTGACAGATACCCTTCACTCTTAGAGTCTTCTGATGTCGAAGGTGGCTCAACAGCAGCAGTTCTCACCTATCTATACCGCATTCTAGCCTCGATTGATCAAGAAGACTTGGTCCATCGGATTTTACACTTTCTACTTGCATCTCCGTCTGATTCAGACACACAAGTAGTGAAGAAAAACAAGAACATGTCCGCCAGCCGGCGAAAGTCCCTTGACGTGCTCGCTGCATTCTCGGAAGAGGCTGCAAGGCCGTCACCATCTCTTTTTAATCTGCGAGATCTAGCTCTACTGGGTCTCCGATCATCTAACCGGCAGACGGTTCTAGCGACACTGCGGCTGCTGAGTGTGGTCCTGCAGCGTCATCCCTCGTTTGCACGATCTTTGATCCGGACTATCTCTGGCCATCCCGCGAAGCAACGGAATGTTGGAGCATTGAACGCCGAGCTAGGGCAGCTGCTCGCCATGGCCACCTCGATCATGAGTGAGCCTACGTTGGATGAGTCTTTCGGAAACTACCTCAAGGATGCCTCCTGGACACTAGAATCGAGACTCTGTATCAGCACGTCGGACAAGGATTCCACGGAAAGTGAAGCCCTGGAAGTCCGTCAAGATGATCCGATCATTCGCGAGTTGTTGGACTGTCTTGAGACATTTTTTACTAACTCTGTGATTGTGAATCTGGCGCTGACAGAAGTTCTTATGAGCATTGCATCTTCGCAGCTCGTGGCTCTTGATGGCTGGTTGCTTGTGGATCCTACGAAATACCAATATACCAAGCCGAACGACTCGGGCGAGGACGGATTGCCAGATATCCTTGACCAGATTAATTCTGTTTATGAGGAGCCTACTTGGTCTGCAGCAGACACGCCTGCTCTTACGGCCGTGTTAACCCGACTTGTTGCGCAAGTCCAGAACTGGAGGAAGACCATTAAAGACTTTGATATACTGGTGGCGGCACGTCGTGATCTTTTACATGATGAACATGAGCCTGTCAGCGGCCCCGCCGAGCAAAATCCCTTACCGTCCGGCTCGCTCGACCGGCCTTCATCAACCACACCGAGAACCCCACAATTGAACTCCGACCAAGCAACTCCTAGAGGCAGACGAGATAAACAAAACTTTGCGTCTCCTCAGCGCAGCCTTGTCGGGTCTCCTCTACGGGAGCCCACTACCTTTTACTCGCCTCCTCCACGAGATTCCTCCATGGCCCAGTCGACCGCTGCAGATGAACTGCGAAAACGGCTAGCGACACCGTTTCCTATGGGTAGTCAATCTCCGTCTGAACCAGACGGAGATGCCGTCTCCAGCACTCTAATACCATCGGCTGGAACACCCGCCGGCGCAGAGGATGAAGCCATTATCGATGACGAGCAGAAGCCAGAACAGGGCTCTGCCTCCCTTGGCCATGTCTTGACTAATGTCGTGGTCTTGTACGAATTTCTTCTAGAGATCTCGGCAATGGTACAGGCACGTGCTACGCTCTTTGAGGAAGCTGGTTTTCTCCCTGTAGGCAATCCTGCCCAGCCGAAAGTCGAGTGAGCTGATAGTCGGTCCATGCCATGTGAGCGGGCACCCGTGGCAGGAATGTGAAAGCACATTTGGTCCTTGCTATCTTGTAATATCATTAAGCGACATAATATCCACGTACATACTTCAGACCGTATATAAGCAGATTTATCATTCAATTCCGCGATTTGCTCTCACAAAGTAATATATCACGTGATTACATGACTGGAGCTGAGCTTGTCACGCTCCTCCGCTCGAACCTCCGCAACTCGAATTTGCCAACATAACAACAGCCTTCCATCCATCAACCCTCGAGTCGTCACTTCTAATCTATACTTTGATCAATCGGAGCAATGTCTGCCTTCACCACTAAATCATTTCGCTCCCTTCTGGGCGCTGCTTCTCGCACTGCTCCTGCCAACCGCGCCTTCAGCTCCTCCGCCTCGCGGTCCTACGCGCGCGTCACGGTCACCGGTCATATAGGATTCAGGCCCGAACTCCGCACCTCTAAGAATGGCAACGAGTATCTCGCTTACAGCATCGCTAGCACACCCCCGGGGTCGGAGGAGACGACTCAGTGGTTCAACGTTGTGGCCCATGGCATCCCGGAAGGAGGATTTCGCAGCCTCTTGTTGTCACTGCAAAAGGGGTAAGTGCTGGTTTCCAATTCTTTCTTCTATTCCTTCAATGCAAGGCAATTGCCCCGCGAGTGAAGACCTCTTCTGACTCGATATTCCTGTTATCTTTAGGTCCTACGTCTTGGTTGATGGTGAGTTGCGAGTCAGACCATTTACGGATAAAAATGGTGTCCAGCGCGAGTCTCTGCACATCACCCAGAGTACGTTGTACCTCCCTTACATCCTTCCCTGCCCTACTTTACTCCATTCGGCTTTCCAAATCCTATGGTCTTCTAGTCCACCCCGTGAGAGGCTTGAAGTTTCGCACTATGTTTTCGCATTGCGCGAACCTGAGCCGGAAAGGAATGGAAGAAAGTATAATCGCTAACTTTCCTGATGTATAGATGGCTTCGAGGTCCTTCGGCGGCCTCGTCTGACCGACAATGCGCAAGGCGAAGAAAGACCTTCTGAGTAAACGGATTGGATTAAGCCAGGTCTGGTCCTTGGTGCTGTTCGATTCGACTCTGCGAGTAAGAGGAACGAGGCCGAGACCGAGACCGTCCTAGCACGATACCCTTTAAAGCAATGCCGAGGGTTTTTCAGTCCCGGAGTTGAATGACTTATTTGAATCTCGAATACCACCGCTTGTTTCGATGCACTTTCCGCTATGCCTTCACCATTCTACCTTTTCTTCTTCTTCTCGTCTCTTCTTGTGCCCGTCTCGACCGTCACTCGATTTCATTCCTCTCGCGCAGGTTGAGATATGCCGAATCTGGACAGGCTTAACGCCGGTAACTGGTTGATCAGTGAATGTTTAACGCTTGGCGGAAGCGAGTCTACTGCTACAGGGACTTGGACTGGGGAAGACTTAAGTCCTTCACCGCTGTTTGGCTCCTTACTATGTAGATGAAGTCCACGCTCGGGGTCATGTAATATATTGTAGTATCTTCAAGTATATCCAACTGTGCTTGGGGGAAGTCTCTTATCTCTCATTTCGGGTTTCTTACAGTAGTACCCGTAGTGAGCTGCGTTGAGAAAAGACTCCGCAATAACTTAAAGGTACAGGTTACATTGTCCACTTCGAACCGGTCTGTATCCCTCGCTGATATGGCTTGCTCCTGTTAGGGGACGATGACAGCGGTACAAAATAGACCAGCAAAGCGTTGTTTGTAAGTAATGCACATTAGGGAAATGAATATAGTAGGGTCCACGAGTTGTCTGTGTTATGGGCACGTCCCCGGACAAGTTCGTCTCTTGCACTTTCAGATCATTACGCCTCGGCTGACCGATATTCCTTGGGCGAACGAGTGAAAGGACTACTCGAGACTACTGGTAATTAGGGTCTAGTTCAGCGAGACTACTGCTACTGTCGTATGAATCGTATGAAATGACATCTATGATTGCTTTGGAAAGCATGGAATGGAAGTCAATAAGTGCGATAGATGGACGAGATTCTATCTCGTATCTATCTTCATCCAATCGGAGCTGGATTGGCATGAGCTATCCTACGCTATGTATATGCTAGGAGCAGTCGATAGAATAAGAAGACAAAAGAGTCAAATTATCGGGCGAACGGGGGGATAAAGTATGTGAGAGAAAGAAGTCGAAGTGGAAGTTGAAGTTGAAAAACACCATTATGCCAATTCGATTAGGCCATGGATTGCATATGCAGGGACGCTTGGCCAACTTGCTCTCGCGCAAGGAGAAAGGAAGAAGAAGAAGAAGAGAAATATAAACACCAGAAGCAGGTTGAGTCATTGATAACTTATACCTGCACCTCCCTCTCCTGCCGGATGACCTGCTTCACACGAATAAAGTCCGTCCCGCGGTGTCCGGACATAGGGTGTACATCGAGCTCAAGCTCAGAGTCTCCGTCCAGGCTCTCCCGGCTCTGGCTGGTACCCGCCCAGGCGCTCGTGCAGACCGTGTTTGTGGGCACGGCGAGGTTCGGCGTTGAGCGGGAGCGGATGGCTTGCCGGCGGGGAGAGGTGAAGGGGCGGCTGGTCCAGGTGAGATGCCGTCTTAGCCAGTGAGCTTTGGGGGGACGGGTGGGACCTTGTGTGGATGTGGCTGTGGTGCCGGTGCGGTTCTTTTCGATGTCTGTTGTGAGGGCTGTGCTAGCTGTGTGGGTGCGATAGAGGTCATTGCTATCAAAGTTAGTAGTCTTCTTTGATGTGGAGGGCAGATGGAGACATACTTTGCTCTTTGGTCTTGGGCTTCGAGTGACAGGAGCTGTGCTTGGCTTCCAGACTTGGATGTCTTCCGTGGGAAGCTCCCGCTTGAGCTTGTAGAAAGTATCGGGTTGAAGTAGCCGTCAAGACCAACGTGCGAAAGCAATGAGAGATACATGCGGTGCGCGTCCCTGCCGCATCCGAAGAAGATGAAGAACATGAACCCTGAGGCCGCTGGGACCCAGCGGTCAAAGTATATCTTCCCGTACGTGGGGACTTTTACAATTTGAGACCTCATAGGATGGATTAGGGACCAGGAGTATGAGTGCCAGGGCAGCGATGTCTGGATGACCTTGTAGACCATGTATGTCTGGAGGGGGATGAGGGCAAGAAGCATGATGAGGGAGAGACAAAAAAGGCGGAGGAACCGGGATTTGTTGATTCCCGAGTTTGCGGCGCGGATTATCTCATTGAATTGACTGCGGTAGTGATGAAGGCGATAGATGACGAGGCCTGGTATATGTTAGTGACCGTCTAATGGTGAAGTATGAGAAACGTACCGCAGTAGTAGCTTGCAATGAAGCAGACCACTAGGGGCCACATGTAACCCAGAACAAGACTGACCCAACTCTGATCCAGACTGTAGATACAGCCGGAGCCAGCGTAGATAAAGTAGCGGTTGCCTTGGTAGATGATGTGGGTGACGCTGGCGATAATGGGAATCACCACACAAAAGGACAGCTCCATCGCCCGGTTTCGCCATCGCTGGTGCTTGCTCGGAACTAGGGCGGCACGTCTGGTATCCAACACGAAAGCCAGGCTCCGGAAGATGCATATTAGAGCCCCTGGGACCCCAACATACGAGCCGAGAAAGATCTTCACCTCGACATCACAGAGGCCTTTGCCATCCCACCAGTTGGTGATATCATCCGTGGGCCAGATGAACGCATTGACAATGTTGAAGATATTGAGTACCAGAAACCAGCAGATCAGGGAAATACATGGGAAGTTTCTGTTTTTCCAGTGCAGGACTAGAGGGGGCAGGCTGATCAAGATGGCAAGAAAAGAGAGCGCCTGCAAGGCCACCGTCTGAGCAGACGGTGTCAATTGAGGGCTCATGCTCGTAGACGCAACCTGTGCTTGTAACGATGATAAGGGCAAAGTTCTGAGTATTCTCTAATGTGAGTTATTCTCCAGAAGCCAGTCAGGAGAAGCGCAGGTTAAGAGGGACGACGATGAGCCAGCAACATCCTGCTAGGAGAAAGACATGTAGGAATCGACCTCCACTCGAGTAAATGACTCCGAAACAGAGCTGAATGAGAACAGCAGCTTTTGCGCGCACTCATTGAGACAATCAGCCATTGCTAGGGTTTGGTGAGGGTTGAAATAAGGGCGGCAGAGAGGAATTGCAATGTGATACAGGCCGCTGCAGTCAGACGCACCAGTCGGAATCAAGATACCATCGCAAACAGTGGGTTTGTCTCTGGCAGTCCATCTTAATAAAGCCGGCATTTGAAACGCTGGTTCTTTATTCATATATGAATGGTAGTGTTGCATCGCAGCGAGCAAAGAAGATGACGGTCCAGACTCAGAGTTTCCTAATCCGGGTGTCAATAGATTCAGCCGGACGGCTCAATGGACTCAGGTTGAGAAATGGACTCACGAGTGACTTCCCGTCGGCAAACCATTAGCCATTGGAGCCCAACATCCGCTTTCCTGCAAGGAGACGGTCGGATCATGCATTGTGTACCACAAGATAAGCTATGGTAGCATTGTGTGGCTCGTGGACGCCTGTGCTACCAGCAAATACCCGCTGCTTGCTCCCTGAACCTGGAGAAGCAAACTGGGGGAATACTGTTTTCCGTAGATTGTGGGCTGCATCGTGCAATCAGCTGTTGGTCTCATACGGGCTGATGATGCATGCAATGGAAAATGTCGAGTCGATTGCTGGTGGTGATGACTGCTTGAGATGTGATCGACGTGACCAAACCCGAAGCGTGCATTGCCAAGGCGGCCGTCGTCATGACCCAACGGATCTTCCCCCAGCCCAGCCTGGCTGCCCCAGTCTTGGCTTGCACAGCGCACTGGCAGCGCCCAGCCCGGCAGTTCGCTTGGGGTTCGCGCGAACTCTCGATCTCATCTCATCTTGAAATTACCTCATGTCGCATGACCGGCCTGCACCACGTATAAACCATGGCCAATTTGAGCCTCCCTCAACCTCCGACTACATGATGTCTCCGCCTGTAAATCTCCGCAATCGCCGCCTGAACCGCCCTGCAACCTTCGCCGAGGGGTTGGCTCCAGCGCCAGCGCCAGCGTCGCCTTCCCCGCAAACCCTGCGCCGCAACTCAACGCTATCGGAGTCCGTCTCTGAGGCTCGGAACACCATCCGATCCTCGACCGACGAGCTCCTCTTTCCACGAGCAGCACCAACCCACGATCGCAACGATGAGGAGTCGCATTGGCAGTCTGCGCCGCTGGGACTTGCGTTACTCCCCGCAGTCGCCGGCATCTTCTTTCAGAATGGCAGTGCTTTTGTCACGGACGTCACTCTCTTAGCCTTGGCTGCTGTTTTTCTGAACTGGTCTGTCAGACTACCATGGTAAGTTGATTTTTACGTTCAAGTTAACGTTAGGCTAAATCCAACTCAGGGAATGGTATCATTCTGCGCGATCTATCCGTCGGCAACATAGCTTGCACGCAGTCCCAGTGGAACTGGCCAGCGATATCATGGACGCCGTGCAAGACGCATCTGGTGTCCAACTAGGTGTACAACCAGACACGCCTGCAGAGACGCCTGCAAGTACACCTTTTTTTGAAGCTCAAACAAACGAAGCAACACCAGAGCGAGCAAAATCCCCATCACCTTTGCCATTACCACCAGCCCAGAAGACTCCAGACCTCAGCACCGCCGCCATCCGCGAGCTGCAAATCCACGAGCTCGCCGCCCTGGCTTCATGCTTCCTCTTTCCCCTAATAGGAACATGGATCCTTCATAACATCCGCTCCAACCTCTCGCGGCCTTCCGAAGGTCTCGTCTCAAACTACAACCTCACCATCTTCCTCTTAGCCGCCGAGATCCGGCCTTTGGCACACCTCCTTAAGATGGTGCAGGCCCGCACCCTCCACCTCCAACGCATCGTCGACTCATCCCGCGACGCCGCCGACGTCGACGAAGCCGACAAATTCGACCCCGCGCGAATTACAGATCTCTCTAAACGCCTCGAAGAACTCGAAGTGCACATCGCTGAAACAGCCGCCGCGCGTCTCTCCAACCCCAATCCTGATCCAACAAACCCTAACTCCCCGCACGAGCCAATATCCCCCTTCTCAAAAGAAACCCAAGAATCCTGCCAATCACTAATCACAACCGCGACCTCAAGCTTCCAATCAGACATCGACGCCCTCACCCGCGCCGTACGCAAGTACGAAAAACGGACGTCCCTCATGGCCCACGAGACTGAAAAGCGTCTCCAGTTTCTCGAGTCCAAGGCGCGCGAGGCTCTCGCTCTCGCTGCGGCCGTGCAGCAGCAGTCCCTTGCGGAGGAAGAAGTAAAGAAAAAGAGGAGGCGTCAGACATTATCGGCATCCGCGGCGTCGCTCGTGGTGTTAGCCGTGGAGTGGGCTAGCACCGCCGTATTCCTGCCGTTAACCATCGGGGCTTCGCTGGTCAGTCTTCCGGTCTTGGTCGCGAGGAGGGTAGGGAGGGTCCTGCTTGGAGTTGTTTCGGGGGACCAGGGGCGGAGAGACCGAGATCGGAACTTTGATCGAAAGAGGGAGATGGAGCGCGGGAGGGGTCCGGCGAGGAGGTATACCTCGTCCTCAGCAAAAGGCAAAGCGCCACAGAGCCAGGCTCAGACGGCCGAACAGGTGCAGACTCAGACGCGCAGGCCAATTTCTTCAGTTCAGCCGACGCGTGCGAAGCGGGAACAGGGACGGGAACGGGAACGGGAGCGTGAAAGAGCTTTGGTTTTCGAGGAAGAGGATTAATAGACGGTTCATTACTTGGTTTTGTTCTGGATACGGTCACTATTTTGAGATTATGGTCATCTACAGATACATACGCCTGCTTGGCTTTGCCTTTTTGTACTCATATATATGATTTGATAGTGTTTGCCTGTTTTTTATTTTAACTATATTCGAGAAAAAATATATGCGATATCCAATGCCTACCTATCTATCCCCGGATGTGGTTACCAAAGCAGGTAGTGTGACCTGACTGTAACGCCAACAAAAGACACAAAGACCACCGAGATAAGATAATTAAAAGTTATACAAGCGTAGCGCGAAGTATGGGACATGTGTATATATACTGCAGCAGGAGTCGTCACCAACCCTCAGGTCGAGAACAGAAGAAAAGATCACGGCGCGCCACCTGACGGCCCATTATTATCTACGCCAATCGCCTTGAGGAATGGCTCGATGATGCTGCGCTTGCGCTCCTCAAGGGCTCGTCTTTCTCTATCTTTGGAAGGGACAGGAACTTGCGTAGATATGAGAACTGATGAGAAGAACGTGGCTAGGGCGGTTTCGACGGCTTGCCGTCGTTGGTTCATTGTTGTTATGGTTGTGTCTTGGGCCGAAGGTGGAGAGGGTACTGGTTTGCGGCGGAAGCTTCCTCCTGATATGAAGGATGCTGCTGATCCTGGGGAACTGGGCGATGACAGTCCGTCTTTCGAGTCGCGAGAGGTATCTTTCGGTTCGTTAGTGGGTGGTGGGGGTTTGGATGGAACAGGTGCGATTTCATTGGCAATCCGCGCCAGCATGAATGTCACGAATGTGAAGGAGACGCTGTGGGCTGGCGAGTATGCAAGGTTCTCCAGTACCCATGCTTGGGAATCCTCCCAAGACCGCGGAGGCAGCCTGGCCTTCTCTCGTGTTTGGATTTGTTGATCCAGATCCTGCCAGAGAGAGGCCGATATGACCCCATCCTTCAAAGACCGCAGGAATGAAACAAGGGTCTCACTCAAGACTTCCAGGCGATGCATAGAAGAGACCTCTGGTGCAAATACTTTGCTAAAGTCTGTATTCGTATCCAGAGCGTCGCGAGCCTGCGCCAAAAGGGGCGATCGCGCTTCCTTATCCTTTAAAGTCCATGTTTCAGGTCCGAAAGGCCAGGCGGCTCCATGTGGCTCTCTTTCCCACGGAGCCTTATCTTCTGTTTCCCCCTTTACCATGTCCCATTCAGCAACAGCACGTTCGGTGAGCTCGGATATTGCCTCTGTTAGCTTAAACAGTTCTCTGGGAGCTGATATGGGGACCCTGTGTTCATCTTCGTGGCTGTTTGCTGGCTTTTTCGTCAAACTCCGAGCCCCAGCCTCGGGAATGTGTGTGAGCTCCTCCAAGCTACGACCAAAAGCTGTTGGCAGCCATTCTCCGTAAGCAGAAATGAAATGATCTTTGCCATCCTTTACCCGAAGAACCAAGATTTCTTCGAGCTTGACCTGTCCGTCGTTCAGAAGACGAACGAAATCGATATCCCGCACGCAGACTGTAATTTCAACCATGGCAATGTCCCCCGGCAAGAGTGTACACTCACGTAATTCCGGTTTGTGGTCACCAGATTCATCATGGTGCGGCGGCTCAACTCTAAACTCAAGCCAGGATGGTGTCTCAGCACCGCGCTCCGGTTTCTGAATCGAGAATGTGGCTGACACCCCACTAGTGTTTGCAACAGTGACTGACCGGCTAACAGGGACGTTCAGTTTTATGGCCCCAAAATCCACATCGTTTGGATCTGTTTCGGACCGCTTAGATGTCTCGTGGCCGTGATTGTCCACCACGACAGTAAGACCAGGCCGAGACTCATTCTCAGCTTTATCTAGCTCTCTAACGACTTCCTGGTGCACCTGAGCTTTGAGTTGAGGGTCGACGCACTTGAGTTCTAGCGTAAAGCCAGCTACCAGCGGTTTGTGGTCAGAAGAAAGAACGCCCTGGTGCGAAAGATAGTAGTCCAGTCGTATTCCATCGTCTCTTTCAGCATCCAAATCAGGTGGCGCATCCTTGTTGGCTTCATCTTCATCAGGGTCGTACTCGTCCCCACTCTCCACCCCATCGACGTCAGGATCATAGTCGAAGAGGACGCTGTCATCTGCCGCGGCACTCTCCAGTCCCCTAGCTTTCATTTCTTCGTCTCGCTTTCTAGCTTCAGCGGCTTCCTTTACCAGACGCTCGTGCCTCTGCTTATCCCGACGTGACCTGTACAGAATTCGATCGCACCAACTCGGCCCCCTGTGCTTCTCACTCGAATCAAACCTGGCCACACTACCGACATCGTACTTATAAGTGGGCAGAAACGATATTTGGCCTTCCCGCCATCCTTCATGGAAGGCTTTCTGCTTGTCTTGCTGCATCCGCAGCTGGTCATGAGGAAACAGAGACGAAATCGTGGTCTGAAGGGAGGCTGGATCCTGGTGAGGATCCAAGTCCTCAAGGTCGAGCGATTGCACCTTGTTTGGGAGTTCCTCCGAAACGGGCGACTGGCTTCGTGCATCTTCATTCGCGACACGCGGGGAAGAAACTGCACCATTGACCTCGGCAAACCGTTGATGGCGCTTGTCGTATTCGTTTTCTGTGTGTCGAGCAAGGACCTGCCGGACATCATCTCCGGGAATATCCTCTAAGCGATAATTTAAATCGCCAAACCAGAATGCGAAATCCTCATCTCCAATGCTTTCAGAAAGCTCGTCTCGAAGTGTGTAATCTGGGTCAATAGAGTCAAACTTTGCACGACCAACAATCTGCGACGCATCCCAATTTCGTCGGTCCAGGCTCGCCTTGTCCGAACCTGCAGCCAGATGGCAGTTGACAAAGATCATGCACGTAGTCTCGCCGAGGAGCAGGCGCGTCGCCACAGCGCCTTTGTTGCCCATATAACCCAGCAGACCTGTGCCTACACTGGTATTACTAACTGCCGACACACTATCGGCAATCGACGGGGCAGCGTATATTAATTGTAACAGTCCAACAAGCTGAATTTCGGCAACCAATTTGTATCCCGGGGGTAGAGCTGCTTCGACAGCTTCTTTCCACCTTTTTGCTGGGGCTGGGTCCGTGTACGGTCTTAGTGCCTCCGTGGGCGAAGAAAGATCCACGATTTCTTGGAGCCCCAGAACGTAAAGACCAACCTGATCTGGTGGAAGCTCGATAGACGAGGCACCACCTTCAGTAATTGAAGGCTCTGGCCCTTCATCTCTCTGAGATCCTGCAGGGTACGACCCGGAGAGCTGCCCGTACACTCCCCTCCGTTGTACAAACCACTTCCCAACATCTTTCTCAGTTCCAGCGATCGCAGCCACATTCCAAGTGCCAACCTTGACATGGACAGTCTGATGGCGGGTATATTCGTCTTTTCGCGCTTTGACTGCGCTGGAAAGCGAGGAAGGGTCGGAAGTGGTCACTGCAGGGACTTCGAGGCTATCGTGGTCGGAGGGGTATTCGCCAATCTTAGGGCCTGGAGACCGTTCCTCGTTGGAAGCCATACTGGCAAGGCACTCTCAATTAGGTGGAAGAGAGCTGCACATTCCTCTTCCGCCTTGTCTGTGGAGTATATATATAGCGGCTCCTTCCCCGCGCTATACCGAAGAGAGCACTGTAGATCGAGTGGCGGGGGCAGTGCTGAGATACGAGGCGCGAACGCACCGAAGCAAGCAGCGGGGTAGGAGGAGCGCAAGGCGTGCAATTTAAGTCATCACGAGTTAACCTGGAATGCGCCTGAGAATCAGTATAACCGGGATAGGCCGAACATCACGCGGTATTGGTGTACTAGCGTCACCTCTGCCGGGATACACCAAATGTGCAAGACGGCTGAGGGAAAAATGTAGATAACAACAGTCACGTTCCAATCTGATGACCAATGGCTTATTCACAGCAGCGCCCAAGTACAACAGGTTCGTGGAAGAGTTTCCGGGAGGATTGCGGAGAGAGCACAGTAATTATGACGGAGTGCAAGAGGGGATCTCTGCGACCTCGGACCTAGTATACCGCCTTCCTATAATGGATATAAGCTCGAGCTTCCATTCAACGTGCTTCTTGCTCACCCGCCTGCGCAACCAGCTCTTGCCTGCCGTTCGTGATCAACCTTAACACATACAACCTACACCATGGCTTCTCGGAAACTGCGCCGGCCGAACAGCTACCATCAACACAGTAATAACCACCGTCACAGCCAAGGACATCCTCAGCCCTCGGATTACGATTCCGATTACCAAATTTACCTCTCCGACGCCCAGCAAATGGCTGATCAGCAAGATCAAAGCACTCCTTCTGCTCCTCTGCGTACAAACGAGGAGCTTAACCTCTCTGTCCTACAACGCCATAATCCTGCCGTCAACTCGATCCAATCTCTTGCGCCCTTTTCCGTCGTCTATACCTTCAGTCCGTCCACAAGGCAGTGGGAGAAAACCGGAGTAGAAGGCACTCTGTTTGTCTGCCAACTCGTACCGGGCAGCCTTGGGGAGGAGCGATACAGCGTGTTTGTGCTAAACCGTCGAGGGTTGAACAACTTTGACCTTCCGTTGACGGACGGCGAGAACGTCGAGATTACAGAAGAGTTTATTATCCTCAAGTCTGATTCAGACGCGGGCTCTCATAGTAGCCCGCCAACTGGCCAATCGGCCACCAATAATGGTCGTGCAAATGGTGACATTCGCATTTACGGTCTATGGGTCTTTTCCGAACCCCCTCCGAGCTCCACTGCAGAAACACGAAACATTAATGCGCAGGTTATCCGGGAGTGTGCCTTCCTGGCCGGTCAGAGCCTGAAGCTAGCGCGAGAAAGACTCGAGAATACCCGCCAGAATGGCATGCATGCTGCAGCTGCAGCTTCGGCAAGCACGGATCCGTTGAATGACGTACATGGCAGCGTTCCGATGGGTCGCCAGGTTTCTCTGAGGGACTTGTTCGGACAGGAAAGGGCGCAGGATGATGCTTGGAGTGTAAGGGCACATAGTCAGGGTCAGCCCCCAGCACACCAACCGCCAGCATTCCAAGCCCCGCCGACAGCACCACCAGGACCGACTCAGCCTGATGTCCTGGGAGATCTGTTTAGGCGGAGCGGTTTGGCGTTTCCTGGTGGGCAGAAAACTTGACCCCCCCAACCTCAAAAACCTGAACATTACACCACCCTTTCATTATCTCGACTAATCCCGAACCACAGCCGCTATGCAGTTGTGGACACGATCAGAGGCCTTAAATGGCACCTTGGACGACTTGATCCTCATCCTTACAACACGATGCTCACGCCGGCTTTATATCACGTGCACGAACCACAGGACGAACCGCAGATCAGTCATGTCAAGAAGGCGCTTCGCGCAATATACCTCTTGATGGATCCTCCCGGTGTACGCGACGAGTATGGTTCTGATGAACCGGGTAGATATCAGCAAAAGAGAACCCAGTTTCATACCACTCCTGCCTGGTCTCTCCTACAAGCAACTATTGCCCCATAAAGGATCTATCGTCGGCCATCTGCCTCATATAAGCGTCTATCAGCACCTTGTGTAGGCCGGTTTCATATTTAACCCAAGATCTCCTGAATCATATCGGCCGTTTTCCCCGCCATAAGTTCACTATGCCCTAAACCAAGATTAGTACAACACTTTCTCTTCAAAACAAACGTAGTAGAAGGGCAAGGCGGAAGAAGACATACTCAGACAGAAGGCATGCGGCACTGCCTCCTCGCAGACAACCATCCTGGGCCCCTCCCCCTCCTTCTCATTCACACTCCCTCTAGATGTGATAATCTCCTCTCTCGTCCGCTCCGCAACCCAATGGTCATTTCGTCCGAAGTAGAAAAACAGCTGCGCGGGAGGTGCCAGCTCCGATTCTGTCTTCGCCGCCGAAGGAGACGAAACACCCCAAACGTCATCACTCCATTTATCAGATGTGATCGTGCGCATTTCGTCGGCAGCCATGTGGCTAGTTTTGTTAGCCATCCATCATATCGGATCAGATCAGATCAGATCAGATCAGATCAATCAGATTAGATTAGGGCCAAACAGGCTGAACTGATCAAGAATGGAAAGGGGGTCATACAGAGCCTGCCTTACACCTCGCTTACTCCGCAAGAACTCGCACGTCGCATGTGCTGCTTCGCGCGGTGGGCCCTTCATAACGAGGTTTACCGCGCCTGAGAGTATCGATGCCGGGAGGAGAGTCACCAATATCCGGGCGAAGATTGATACAACCAGGGCGAGTTGGGGGATCAGGCGGAGGAGGAACTATCTTCGTTAGTATGGACTTGCATATAACATCAACCCAGCTACTTAGCCCTGAATTTGATTGCCGTGGCTCATGCGTCAGAGACATAGGAGATATCATGTACGAACCGTCAACTTCTTCCCGGACGGCGACGCAGCAATATCTTTGACCGTGGGGAAAAGCAGGATGCCACCAACGATATCAAAATTCTGCTGCTCACTCTTTTCACTGTGAGTCTCGCGATGCCGCCGCAGAATCTCCATCGCCATGTACGTGCCAACTGAGTGGCCGATGAGGATTACCTTGGGCCTGCTTTTGGTCATCGAGCTGGTGGACGTCTTCCATAGATCAGCCATATGACCGCTCAGCCTCCGCTGCACGAAGCAGATCTGCTCTTCGAGGGAGAAGTAGTGGTCCCCATCCCCATCCATATTTCCAATTCCATCCTTCTTGCTCTTGGTCGACGATTCAAGTTCAAACCCAGCTAGACTATGCCCGAGGATGTGGACCGAGTTCTTTCCACCCTTTTCACTCTCGGAGTTTGGCGACCCATCCCCTGGCAATGCGGAGAGTTTCTGGCCTAGTGAGGAAAGGAATGCGTGATAGTATGAGATGAGACCCGGGTTCCCGGTTATAAAGTAGATTGTCGTGGGATAGTGGGTTGCTTGTGAAGATGCGGGTGTGCGGGTTGGGATTGTGGTTTCGTGGAAGAAACTGTCTGGGGTTATGTGGGGTTCTGGTAAGGGCATCCTGATCTTCATATAAAAGAGTGAGGGTGAGTGAGAAGGGAGAATTGACTGGACGAAAGATGATAGGCCACGGTGCGCCTGTGATATAGATAAATGACTCGGAGTCGATGCTGTGGTGGACCGAAGGCCGAAAAGCCAAGACGCCGGAAGATCGCCAGCACTACCATAGACACAAAGCATAGAACGACTACGTTCTACACAGATCCAGTAAATCTAATGCAGTTTGATTCTTTTTTTTTCCTCTTTTCAGTATCTTTGCGTGACTGTATGTAAATCCCAAGTTTCTCTACATTGCCCAATCCCGGCCCGCATGAATCTTAGCAAAGTGCAAATTGTATCAGTGCCAACATGAACAAAACAACTTGAACCGGCAAAACATCGCGAAAACACATGTATAAGCTAATCCCACTCGCCCGGCTCCGTGCTATGATGGTATATTGACAATGATAATAATGACAATGATCATGCCGGTTAGAAATTGATCAAAAAACCACTGCCCGCAGAACAAGAAATGAAAATCCGGTTGATACACGGGAAGGACGAAGAAAAAGCATGTATAATGTCGCAATCAGCTCGCTTTTGGTGTCAGTTTTCATCTTCTGATGGTAGAGCCTCCAACGATCTTCTATCTCAGGGAGCCGAAGCTCGAAACGCGGGTGATTCGTGCCCAGTCGTGACCGTAATGACCCCAAACGCCGATGATGAGCATGAAATGAGTCGAAAGGAAGCAGAGTGGTAAACAGTTGGCGTACAAACAGAAATCAACATGTCATATACTTTCCATGATAAAAAGGTCGGAGAAAGCCAATTCACCGCCATATATTCTTTTGTCAATTATACAAAGTCGAGGCCTCGCCCAACTGGGAGAGGAGTTATAGTTGAGTGTCGTCCGAAAATCGAGGTAATGCAAGCTGCAGCACAGGCGCCACATGCTAGTGTTGCTATAATTTCAGTCCGGGTTCCTGGCCCAGGAAGCCAATGGTGCGCTCCAAGCATGTTTGGGACTCGGCCATCGAAAGTGCTCATACGTACTGCGAAAGACTCATGGGTGTTGATAGCCCAGTATGAAGGCAGATAAGTAGATTGCTTAACCACCCTTGCGCATTGACTCATCAGCCGGCAGAGGTTCCGCGCCGTGATGCAAACCGTGTCGGTGGTCTGGAGAAGCCTTGTTGCTCTTCTTGTTCTTCCTTTTGGTCGTCTGCCACCCGCTGTTGCTGTGGTTGACGTTGGAATCATGCGCCGCGGAGCTGACACCGTTCACCTTTCGTTGGCTAGCATTCCGTTCCTTTTGGTCGTTTAGCCCGGCAGACCACGCTTGAGAGAAATCCGTGCGATTCTTGGGCTTGGATCGATGAGCGGCCCCATTAGTCTTCTCAAAGGTATCAAAGCCATTGGTTCGACGCTTCCCATTCGAGGACGTTGTATGCTCTGTGGCTGATGGCCCTTTGTCACCTGCATGGACGTTTTTTGAACGAGGAGCTTCCTTCTCGGCGCCAGCGTGATGGGGCTGGGCTGGCTTAGGCTTCTCAGGCAAATGTTTCGGCAACGAGTCAGGCATCTTCTCGCCGTTCGAGAGCTGAAGGTTCTGAAGTCGGCTGGAGAGCAAACTTTGCTTCCCGTTAGGCCCATTCACGAACGGATCCGCAATGTTTCCTAGGTTATGCGAGTCTATTCCCGGCCGGCTAAAGAAAGGATTTGACTCAATCTCTACTGAACTGTTGTCTTGATAATCCTGAGAGAAAGAGTCCGAGACGCTAGCGGGGGTGTCGGTATTCTGATCATCCGAATTAGACGTGCAGTTAGATATCAACCCGTACGGGTCGTAATTGTCGGCCGGAGCACCTATCCTTTGCTCAGTGGGAGGCACAGATCCATCCACAATCAGAGGCCCACCACGATCGCTTGCAGCGGTGCGAGAACCTGTCCTGTGCTGAGGTTGACTAGAATTTGGAGACGAAACAGAGGCGCTATCGAACGAGGGGGTATAGGTCTCGTTCCCTGGAACGGCTGACATGTACTCCTGGGGGTTTCCGAGAAAGGGAAAAACGCCACCATTGGGCATCGCTAGCCCGAGCGAAGCCGATAGCGGCGAAAGCATAGCGCTCTGGTGATACGCTTGAAGCTGAGGCGAGCTACCGTAGTAGTAACTCATATAGTCGGTCGGTCTCGCTTCGTCCATGTAGAAAGAACGATTAGGTAGACTATTGGGTATAGATGAACCTTCTTCCTCGCTTTGCGTGTCATCCGGAGAAACAGGTGCATTACGTTGTCGAGAGCCCTCGGTGGCCTGTGAGATGGAGTAGAGAGGCGCAAAACTAGGAAGCGAGTTGACAGGACGCGCAGGCTGTGAGTGAGCTCTCAGAGAGCCGCTTGGGGACCCGTTGGCAACTGAAGATCGGCGTGGGTTTCGGCGGAGATCAGGCATCGCGGTGGCGGCGGACGGCGATGGTGGGTTCGTATTACATCCTTGTACGCCTGGGACAGCGACAGGCAGATAGGACGAGTTGTAATAGAGATTCTGTCGGGATGGCACGTTAATCGGCGGATGATTGACCGTTCCGGATCTCGAGCGCGAGCTGTCGTCACCCGAAGCTTCCTGTGATGGCACAGGGAACTGGATGAAAGGCTGGCGGATAAGGACAGGAGGAGGGCGCCCTGTCAACAGCGCTTGATTTTGCAGTTGCAATCGCAGTTCTTGTTCCTGCGCTTGGAGGATTTGTATCTGCTGATAGAGGTGGTCATGAAGCAGATATTGCGCATGTTGCGCCTGAAGAGAAAGCTCCGACGCACTCATCCCACCGTTGGGTTGACGAAAGTGGTTCTTGCCACCTGTATTCGAGCTTCGACGGCCACCAGAATGTCCGCCGCGATTATAGTGATTTGAGTGTCGCCCACCCCGGCCACCACCGCGGCCACCTCGGGAGGGATGTGATGGCGGTGCCGTAACTATCGGTCGCGGTTGAGGAGGCGGCCTCTCCCACGAGCGCTCTGCTTCAGGAGGATACTCGTACTGTTCACAGCAAAGCTCAAGATCACCCGCTGAGATGGCCTTGAAAGCCCTGCGCAGTTCCATATGAACTCCCCTAAAGGAAGTGTCATCGGCCGTGTTCCCCAAGTTCCGCGACGTGTTAAAAGGCTCCTCAACACAGAGCCGATTGTTCTGTAGCAGGTGCCAACCCTTGTCCTCTTTTGATATTAACCTCCCTTCGCGAACCGAAATGACGAACTTCTCGTAATCCAACTCATGGCCGTAGTACCGGAAAAACTGGAAGAAGAGCTCTCCTAAGGACTGCTTATTTTCCTTTCCATATCCGACCAAAGCCTTCAGATCATCGTCAAAAGAGCACAATAATCCATCCGCAGTGGTCCTCCTCTTATGTGGCCGAGCTTGGAGGCTGGGTAGTATGGGAGGTTCTCGAGTCTGGAGAAAGTTGATGATCAGGCAGATCCAGGTATAGGAGCTTAAGGTACCGCCAAGGCCTTGAATCCTAGCATTAGCAACTTGCGCTGGAGATTATCCCAAGGAGTCCGTGAGTGAAAGCGTACCAGCATCATTTAGTATCCTCCGCTTCGTCCAGTGCTTGACAATCATGGCCAGTGGGCGTACTCGTTCGTCAATCTCCACATATGTGCGAACCATCTTTGTATTCTCCAGCGCTAAGGTATTGTTCACATTCATATCGCAAGCCAGGCGTAGGTCGGGGTCCCAGATTTTCACTATAGGAACTTTCGCGTGGGATATGCAAACGACTCGCTCCATTCCGTCTGTAAAGATCACGCAGCGTCAGTATCATGCCCACAAGAAAAATGAGAGCCAGTCTTACGCTGTGCGAGTGCATCCGCCAATAAGCACACATGTTCCAGCTCTTTTCGAGTTGTGGTTATACAAATATCGACTGTGATTATAGTCAGCATTATAGCCTTTTTACGGACCATAGAATGGCACATACCATCCGAATCGCTCGAGCATAGTTTATTGCCAGACGATCCAAACACATGAACCTTGATCTCAGATCCCGGCCACTGCTTGTTAAACAAGTCCTCCAATTTGGAGACAAGTCTCCGTCGCCGGTCATCGCTCTCTGCCGACGGTAATAACCGATCGTAGACTTCCAGTATATCCTTTGTAAGCTTCTTCTCCTCTTCTAAACTGAGTTGCGGTTTTAAACCCTCTTTTTCTTCTGGTAACAGGTCGGCGCCGAGAGAGTACGGCATTCTCCTGCGAAAAAACGACATTGCGGTTTCATATTTGCAGCCCGTAAACGGTTTTCGCGCAGAGGGAGGAATGTGCGTCGTCTCCGAGTGAGTCGACCGAGGCGATGTGCTTCCATGGCGCGGCGAGGGCGATCTGGAATGAAAAGAGATTTTCCGCGCGTGTTGGTAAGGTGTGGAGGGAAGGGAGTTAGACTGTTGCGACGTCAATGGGGGTCGATTGGATGCCTCTGGAGACTCCTCGTTGCTCAAGTTCCACGGCATAGTCGAAGCTTTTCCCGATGCTATCGGTGACTGTTCACCCGCTCTGGACGATATACTGTCATTCCCATCGGTAGCTGTGACCATATAGCACCACCCAACGTTGCACAACAACGTTGGTCTCCAAGAGAAGGCCCGTGAGCAAATCTTATCTCGATTCAAGGCCGAAGTCCGAATCCGCTCAAAATGCGGACGTGATCAATCTCCAGTTTTTCTCGTTACCGAGGAACCACTCGCCACGCGGAAAAGGTAGTGGGTGACAAGTAAAATCCAATACTCCTATACAGTATGTAACTTTCTCAAAATAGCCGACGTTGGTAGATGTTGAAGAGAACGAGCGAAGGAGGAGGGAGTCGTCGAGCAGGAAGAAGGTAGCGGAGGTATCGGCCGGCGATGTTTCAAGCAAAATTGCCTTTGTGCCTCTGTAGCAGATCTGAAGGCGACACAGCAACGCTAACAAAGACGTGAATCAGTGAAGACTAAGGATCTGCTTGACAACGGAGGTATAATTGCGTTCCAAAAGACAAAAAAATTCGAGTCGAGAAAGGCAGGGCGTCGCGTTGGTGGCCACGGACGGAGCGAGGTGGTTTAAAGGGGAGTGAGTGCGATAGACTCTGGCGGGAAGGGCAAATCTTGAACCCGCACAACTCAACCAGAAACCCAGAGTGAAGGACAGGAACACACAGGATTTCCTCCGTGTGAAAGGACCAGCCTAGTGAATCGAGAAATTGTCGTAGATGTACAGGGATTCTCTAGGAAAAGTCGGTTGTTGTAGGGCAAGTTGCTCGAGCTGATGGGGGAGGGGACACAGCGCGCGGAGGGGATCAATCAGGGCGATCGGCTGAGAGCGAGGGCCAGCGAGGAGCCACAGCCAGGGGCCAGCAGCCAGCTTTCGGCGGTAAAGCCGGCGCGACCACTCCAGTATACTCCGTACCTCACAATCTCCACGACAGGAGATGGAAAATCGATGATCTCTCGATAAAACCGCAGATTCTTGAGAAACAGTCACGGGGGGGGGATCAAGTCGACTTGAAAAAAAAGGCAACTCTCGAACTCAAAAGTGCTTTGTGCAGAGAGAGTCCGGATCCATTATTTTGGATCAAACTCTCAATGAACAGCTTAGTAGTAGTTGAGGAGCTACGGATCCAATGATGCCAAACGGTATCGCCGCTCTTAGGGGTTATTATTGTTCTTTCTCCGGTTGATGATCGACCAGGAGTCGAGATTACCTTAGGTCCTGGCATCTCGGCCTCACTCTTCAGCTTGACTATTTATATTACTTTAACGGGCCTTAGGCGCTTGTCTTGTCTCAGACATATGTATGCTCTGACTCAAATGGGGAGCCATCTTAGACAGGCTCCTCGTCAAGTTCACTGTGTATACTACCAAACGGCCTGTCTTGGATCGGCACACTCTCATCGGCGAACTAGATCTCAGTCACTGCAACAGACAGTCAACGACCAGCCTTTGCATGCGTCAGACGCAGAGACGAAGCAAGGGATCAATGTCAGCAAGGCCGCCACACGTGTTCGACGCGCCGCATTCGGACTAACAACAAACTCTTGGAAGTAAGAAACGCGGGGCGAAAGGGGAAGAGCTGGCCGTGGGCTCCGTACTCCATAGGCTCTTACCTGATGCAGCTGGAAGTTGAAAGAGAAAGAGCGACAGGGGCCACGCTCCCACTGAGAGCCATCTGCAAGCAGGTGCAACCGTGCAACCAAGGTCAGCATTCGAAACTATATCACCTATCACCGGAGCAAGTATGATGCCAGGTCAAAGCAAGCAACCGGACAGGGCACCAAGTCCTGACGATTAGGGAGCATCAATCATTGACACATTCGACGGTGCGAAGTCTCGAACCCAATTCACAACGGCCCGACGGGCACTTTTATTGGATTTCCCAGATTATCCAGGAGTCACTGCCAGCCTCGGGCGCTTCCAGCCATTTCCGTGTGCCGGCCGGAGTCGTCATCATGGAGATGATGGCCGCTACCAAGAGGAGTGCCGCAGCTTAAAGCAAATAATATCCAGCGGAGGGACCTCGTGAGGATCCTTCACAGATCCCGCACCTGATTGATCTGTCCAGTGTCCAGCGGGCTCTGGCGTCTCTTTCAACCTGGACAGTACATTTACAAACAGCAGAAAACCATGGATGCCACTACCAGTATCCGCCGTGATCCAGGAAGAGGCTCCTTTCAGATAAAGATTGCGGAGAAGGTATTACACTAACACGCCGTTCCAAGGCTTGCTCCAGCTTCCTGACCACATATTAGTAGCCCCTTTTGTTAAGGGCGACGGACTCCTTGATATGTTGATTGTTGAATCCAGCTTCTCGCCTTGCTGCGCTCGACTACAACCTCCACTTTGGAGTGGTCCTGGATTAATACAACCCAATTCGTCAAGCTGTAGCGATACCTCGACCCGAAATGGACAACCCGACAGGGATTTGCTCTGGCCGCGTTCTTCAACAAAGGCGAAGCGGAGTCGAGTCAAAGCCGCCATGGATCATGACTGCCGCCTCATCGCGATTCTTTGTTTATACAAGCAAGGTACCGTGTAACGCTCGTCCTAATTTGCTAGGCCCTTCGCTCTACTTTGCTACTTATCTAGGAACTTCGGGCTCGAAGGTACATCCTCATGAACTCGATTGTAATAGGTCAGATTTTCAACTTCCAGTGCCTACCTGGGTAGAACCCAGATACTGCAAAGTCGGGGTCAGGACGCTACACCTTTTCCACATGTGCTCGCTGTTCTTATGACACCATTATAAGGAGACTGTCATCCTATACAGCTCAACACCGACAAGTCAGAGCAGACTCGACGGTAAAGCATATGAGTCTGAATGGATCCACCTGCACGACTTTCTTTTGAGGTCAAGGCGATAGCTAATCAACCACAGGGACGGATCGATAATCCGAGTACTGCAGCCTTTGAGTACAGCTCGCAGGAATACTTGAGCCACTCACAGTGCAATGACGATTAGATCAAGACCTTGTGGTCCAATTGAACATTCCCCCGCCGTAGGGTCATTCATGCTCGAGTTGCTCTGCCCCACTTCGCCTCCAGGAAAATCTTTGCGGTGCACGCCAAGTCGATATCACAAACAGTACGGTGATTATTATCTTTGGATAAATCTCCAGACATTGCTTCTTGATAGTCGCGCATCAAGCGAGAGGGCCTAGGAATAGCCGCGGGAGTAATAGTACTACGGAATGCCTAACTACGACACCCCCCAGCGGGGTTTTGATACCCCGGTCTTTGCTTGAAGTTTGTCTCGTCCTATGTCTGCGATTGGACTCTTGAGTCTCAGGCAGGAATGCGGCTGACAAATGTTTCCCCGCTTGTTGTAACTACCTTCCAAGGGACTTCAGTTATTCTTCGGGCGTCCTCGACTTCACGATTTAAGGCCTATACGCGGTGCCACTTGCCACTGCTCACTGCAGACGGAAGCAATCGCATTTGCCAACTACTTAATATCTCCGACATGCATAGCTGCACCTCGCAAGTTCGCTGGAAGCTCCGGTCGAGACTTCCGTGCCACCCCGTTTGGAGACGGAGAGGTTATGTACATGGAAGTGCGTCTGTGCTTCTCTGCCTCATGAGGCCGAGGTGTTCGACCGCCTTGATTCCGTTGCTGCAGTGCGTTATCAGGAGCAGTACGTAATTCGAGGGATATACACCTGTCAACCGCGATTAGATAGCTGAGAACGAGGAGCTCCAGGTGGTCGAAGCCGCATCGTATGACGGCATGAAGCACAGAGGGGAGATCAATATATAAAGCCTAAAGGTAGCCAGATGGTCAACCAAACTCTCAGGTAGATAGTTGACACTCCAGAGGACATAAGGTCCCTTTCAACTCAAGCCTCAAGCGTGTCTAATAATTTCTCCGCTGGGAGCAAGATGTCAACATCCTCCGTCCGGGCTGGATGAGACTATCAGCAATCTCCAGGAAATGACTAGCGATAACAGTGGCATTAAGGAGCAATATAAATTCACGAGAATTACCCTCAGGACCAAGGCTTGGAGGGTGGGACAATGTGGAAAGGCTGCCCGCCGGCACTAGAGGATCGCGAGTTGCAACGTTGGGCTAGCCCCGACGCTTTGAGTCGAATCCAGAGGATTTGGAACACCTTTCCTCCTGCACCGTCGCCTGCATACGCCATTGTGCATCTGAAGTTCTGGGGTCAGCGTCATCGTGGCCGGCAAGTTCTGATGCATTCCCTGATTTTGGATGTTCGAGCGCGGCGGCTTTGTCCTTTCCACGCGGTCCTCGGTCTTTGTTCTGGCTCCCAAGGTGATATCTTAGATTTCGAATAATGGCTATTTTCCCTCAAGGTCTGGCTTGAGGCACCCACTATCTATGTCGCCTGTGTTCCAGCGACGGAGGTAATAAAGGGACTTGAGGTGGGACCCCCTAAGACTTGCATTGCAGTCTCCATACCAAAGCGAGGACTCGGCAGCACTCAGATTATTATGTATTGACTTTGACGAGGGCAATGAGGGGATCCTAGGCTGCGCGTTTGTATTTGGATGGATGGGACTTGCAGATTCGGGCCATATCCGCGGCTTTGACTCTTGGATTCAATTGCATTGTGAGAGCATCGTGGAGGGAGGATGGAACCTTGAAGAGCATCCATGATCCACTAAGGAGGCATTCACGAATGGGCCCGAGCAAGCGAATCAAGGCTCCGAATCTCCATCGCCAACGAGAACACCACCCACCTTTTCTTTGCTTTTTGACAGTGAACTCGTCCTCAGTGTTCTCACTCGTCTTAATAACGCTGTCAGTTTCTACTGTCGGTCGTAACTCCGTATTGCCCGTGTATAGTCCTGTGGTCATCCCAAACTCGCCGTCGGACTGCGGCGGGATTAGTTGGATTTAATTGAAGACTCTGTTTAATGCGCGCTCGAAAAGCTCATCTCTTGGGAGGATTATTATTATTACCACTTTGCTATTCTCGGTCAGAAATAATAATAATATCCACACCTCTCGCTTCTTCCCTCCTGGTGCCCCGTTCCTAATCACACTCCCCTCAGCGCTCACACACCCCCGGTCCGGTCACTCCTCGTCCTTGCTCGACTTTTACCGTCGCACCTCTCCTGTCCTGGCCTCCTACCTGACCTTGACTCTTTTCCTCGTCTCCTCCCCACCCCCCAGTCTTATTTCTCTTCCCCCACGCCTCACTCTCCCTCTTCGATTTATTTCACGTCAGACTTATCAGTCTGTCGTGCCGTCGGGGTGAGATTCGAGAAGCCATCCTCGTTCCATTCCTTCTGCCTCGTTGACTCGTGGTAGAGCCGCCCGCAATTTCCTTGGGGGGTCAATCACTCCTTTTCTTGTAAGCCGCCCTCCTACCCGATCAAAAAAAAAATGTTGCCTCCCTCGTCATCAAACCACCTTTCATGGAGACAAGCCAAATAAAGTCATTGGATTCGTCTCTGCTATCTGCTGTATTTGTCCTGCTGTTGCCGAGTTGTGTATAAGGCTCTTTCGTCTGGACAATCTCTCATGGCCCGCACCCGCACCTGAAGTGGAAAAAAGTTTCACATCACTTTGGACGGACTGAAAGCATCGGTCGCTGCTTGTCGCAATTACTCGATTGATACGCCTAGGTTCCCGGGCTTTTGGTGCCTGAGCTAGGCTTTACATTTTGTCTACCGTGTTCTTTTTGGATCAAGAGGCTTACCATCGCTTTTCCCGCCTCAGCATAGGGTCCGACATCTGTCCGAACGGATCAGTTGTCCTCGCATCTTTCGCCCCGGATTCGCTTATCGGTAAACATGGCATACTACGAACCTCAGGGCTGGCAGGCTCCCTCGTCCCGTCAGGCGTCTTGGGAGCAGCCTGTGCCTCCGTCGCGATCAGGTATGAATCGACTATATCGCCCCGAAATCGATCGAAGCTAACGTATTGACTTTCAGGCTCAAGCTCTGTTTCGCAGCGTGACGATATCCCCGCCTTCTCCTCTCAGTTTGACGGTATGCATACGACCTCCTTTTACTTGTCTTCTCCTCTCCTTCCTCGCGGTATACGACCTCGACCGACAATGCACATGGCTAGATCCTCTTGGCTTGGAGATCTATAGCCTGCAGACCTTGCTTTAAATCGCCGCTGCGCCGAATTAATCGTTCTTGTGGAGCTGGGCCAATTGCTGATATATCGCTCTAGAAGTTGATCGCGCCATTGATAATCTTGTTAAGAGCGGAAAACTATGGGCGGCACCACGCAGAGATTCAATGCCCATGATGATGGGTCGCCCTTTTCCTGAATACGGTACGGAGCCTCGGACACCTTCTTCAACAAGGACCCATCCTGAACCCCCGTTTACAGACCCGCGCATGCCCAATGCCGCGCAGCGCCATCACTCGATCAGCGACTTTGACAACACCAGGATGCACCCAACCCCCAACGTTCAGGGCTTCTATGCCTCCCAGCGGTTCCAAGGACGCCCTAATGAAGTGGATCAGATGATGCAAGCAAAGCGTCGGATGGCGGCACAGCGTGAGAGGGAACTCCGCAACTATCATCAGGAGCAGCAGTACAACCGAAGTACGTGGTAGCATTTTGGAGCCTTTTCTTCTTTCCTTATACATTCGAGATTCCCCATGCTCATTCTACCCGCATGTATCCGTTGCCTTGTATAATACATTGGGGCGCTTCCCCACACTTTTTGGAGAACATGGTTTTAATAATTCTTCTTCCTGAAAGGCCTTCTCGCCGAAATGTCTGCCGGCAAGTCCGATCGTTCGCTCAGTCCTGCCGCCATGAGCGAGGAAAGTCGCCGAGAACTCCTAGCTCGCCAGCATCGCGCTCTATACGGCAACGAGAGTCCCGCTTTCTTCCCACCTGGAAACTTCGCAGACGACGGTTCCCGCCCCGAGAGCCAGGCTGGTGTTCGTGGTGCCTCCCCTCGCAGCGTCGACCCTTTTCAGGCTTCGATCCAGAGCAGCGCCGACGCTCTTGCTCAAGCCAACGCTGCCGCCACCGCCCTTCAGTCTCCTTCCCGCGCGAATAGCACCTCGTCGCCGAGCTCCGGCATCAACCCCGTCTTTGGAAAGTATGACGGTGGCGATCAGCCCGTGACTTCGTCCTCCTCTCCCGGAGCCGACTCTCCATCCTCGAGACAGGCGCACTCGAAGACCGCTGGTCCCATCGGTTCAGTTGGGCCCATTGGATCTCGCCCAGCTCAGCAGGCCGGCCCCGTGCAAGCTCCCAACCCGGCCTTGAACAAACGATCTACGACTCCTCTTCCTTCGCCTCTAGGCTTCGGCTTCACCCCCGGGGAGAGTGCCAATGACCGTTCCATGTCCTCGGCTTCCAACCCTGCCACCACTACTAATGGACCTCCTGGTGCCAAAGATACCTCCGGTGGAGTTGGACTAGGCTGGAGCAACACCAGCGGCGTCTGGGGCTCCAAGACTGGCCTGGGCGTTCAGGCTTCGGTTTGGGGCTAAGCATCCTAAAACTATCTTTTTTTTCGGTTGATATTTTCCGCCCTGGCGTTTTGAAAAGAGGCTTTGTGTCTACACACTGGGAGGGGTACGGTACATATGGACGACAGCGAGTGGGCGCAACATTAATTTTCTTTGTCTATTGGCTGCGTTTTTTTTGGGATGTCGATTTGGTACATGGTTTACTGCCTTGGTAGGAGCTTGGTTGGCCTGTTGGTTACTGGAGTCGGTATTCCCTTGTGTGTGTTTCGCTTTCATTCCTCCCTTCTTCAGTATCTCCTTGGGGGTTTGTTTTTTCTTTTTTTATCGCGTTCTGGGCATGGAAGGGTTTCTTGGTCGAAATTGCGTCTACATAGTTGTGAATGTGTGTCTCGGCTTGTTTCCAGCTCATCGGGGAAGGGGTTCAGGTGTTCAAGTTCAACATCGTCGCTGTGGGTTGTTTACAATATTGGTCGAAGCTACGCCTTTTTTTAACTGTCTCATATTTCTTTGCGATCACACCGGTACTTTGTTTTTGGGCACGAAAAGGGGTACTCTTCTCATCATCTCTGTTGAATCTGATTTGGGTCTTGGGGCAAAGGGATCAATCTGGGGGCAGGCAAACATCAAAAGAGTTCTTGGAGTTTGATGATCCACTTTCTACCATGTTCATGTTTTCCCTCTGGTTTAGTGGTTTTATGATTTGGCGTATCCGTTGGTTTACTTTTTTCTCTCCTAATCAATATATCCCTACCAGGTATTTCTCGCTGTAAGCTGTTGAAACTGGTGAATGCCAAGTACCCAGGCTCAGTAGACAGGCACCGGCCAGTTCATGCCTTGAAATAGTCCTTCACTTGTAGGTTCGAACGTTTACGGGGAGCAAGGTACAGGTCAGTGACTCGAACCGTGCAGGGGCAAAGCATGGCACCATGGCGGTACTTTGGGATAGCAGATGGGACAGGTCGGAGAGGAACAATAAGCACGGCCGGAAGCTGGGAATGACTCGTCAAGGTTAAGCTTGTTTTTGTGCCTAGGTACCGGCAAACAGTGCTGACTGGAGGGATGACTATGCGTGCTGTTGACCCTGGGCCTTAGCCTCGAGCAGCTCTGCGTCCCGATTGCATAATTGCAGAGTTCGTTCGGTGTATGTTCCACTGAGGTTCCATGGATACGCGGGGAAGGATTGGGTTCATAAATAGCATCATCCGCAGTGAAGGCTCGGAGTCGCTGAGCTTAAAATTAAGGTGAAGGGCACGTCATAACTCGCCCCTGATATCGACAACTGGCATGAATCAGAGAATTCGTCCCTCTCGACGCGGATGATATCAGCGGTGCACAAAAGAAAGCTCTGCAGGACGGGACATTAATCATTAATTCTTAAATCCAGTGGTCTGGCCTGCCCAACTCTGAACGATCCCCGATCCCGCCTAGTCATCCGCTTCAGAGACCAGACCCTCGCCTGGCCACTCCTGGCTGCCCAGTGCTGTCACCTCTGTCGCTTTTCCCCTCGGTCGCGTGTGTCGCTGCTGCTTCCATTCTGCTTCTTCAGCCTTGCTGCGCTGATCCAGCCATCCCCACCGCAGACACGGCCTGAATTCCTCGCTGAACATTCTCGCGCCGACCGCTGCCGAGGCCTCAGGTGGCCCCGACTCCCGCCCAGCAGCAGATCATCACCACCAACCGCCTTCATCATCATCCATCACCGTCAGCAAACCCGCACAGTCGGCACACTCGGCCGTCCATCAATACCGCCGCCGCCCCTCTGCTCCATCTTTCCACCGTATCGAACTTGCCGCGACAATCTCCTCACCCTCCGGAGTTCCTGTCCCGCGACCCGCGTCACTCTGCTTTTGCTCCCAAACTTGGCGCTCTCCTCGCGCCGGTACACTCGTTCCTGAGGTGTCCCGGAGTGACGAGCGCCTCCTCTCTCCACCATCGGAATATGGCGTTGGATTTGCAGCCGCCCAGCGAGCGCAAGCGTGTTAAGGTCTATGAACTCAAGGAGAATGACTGGTTTGATCGCGGAACAGGGTTTTGTACCGGCCGAATCCAAGATGTAAGCTTTTATCTCGCGACCCCATCCATCGCATGGCATGACAGGGACATATGGCATCACCACCACCCCTTTAACTTTTCAGGTGCCAGGGGGTGCCAGCTGTTCCTCCGGCGCAAGACATCATGTTTTGAGCAGGCGCGCTGACTTTGTTTTCTCCTCTTTGTAGGATGAACCACGGATATTCGTCGAGTCAGAAGATAAGCCCGTCCGAGTGCTTCTCGAGACGAAAATCTCCAAGGACGGCGGATACCAGAAGCAACAAGGTTCGCGCTTCATCATTCAAACTCCTGCCGTGTTGCCCCATCCGCTGACTCTTCTTTTCGTCATAGACACCTTGATCGTGTGGACCGAGCCGAATCAGACAGACATGGCGTTAAGTTTTCAGGAAGCAGAGGGTTGCGCAGTAATATGGTAACACTCAATTCGGGCAGGCGCGATGCGGACCTTTGCTTACACTATCGAAAGGAATTTTGTCAATAACGTTCAGCAACATCTTCTTAACCTGGCCGCTGGCGGTAAGTTGCCTTTTTTTATTTTGGTTATGCTGTCGCGCAACGTTGCCTGCTCTTGATCACAGCGACTGATGGATTTCACTCTCTTCGAAGATGACGCACTCTCCGACGACCTCGAACACCTTCAAACCGTCCAATTACCTCCTGCCGAGCTCGCGCACCTTGCTGATATCGATCACCTCATGAGAGCTGCGAGCATAACACAAGCTGGTAGAGATGCGCTGTCCAAATGTGTTATCCGAGACGAATATATCCACAAACTGCTTCCTCTAGTCACAATTGCCGAAGACCTCGAAAGCCTCACTGACCTGCACCGATTATGCAACATCATGAAATCCCTCATCCTTCTTAATGACACTACCATAATTGAGACAGTCGTCACCGACCCAGTTATACTTGGTGTTGTTGGGGCTTTGGAATGTACGTTTGGTTACGCTTTCATGCATGGAAGGGCGTTGACGGTCTACAGATGATCCCGAATTTCCTACACACAAAGCGAATCACAGACAGTACCTTTCGGACAGGTCGCGCTACAAAGAAGTTGTCCCGATTAGAGATCAGAACATCCGGCGCAAGATCCGCTACACCTGGCGCTTGCAGTACCTGAAAGATGTCGTCCTTGCTCGAATTCTAGACGATCCAACCTTCTCGGTTCTCAATTCGATGATCTTCTACAATCAGGTCGACATTGTCAATCACATCCAGTCGGACGGTCCATTTCTTAAAGAGTTATTCTCGGTCTTCGACCCGAGGAGCGCCGATGCGAAGCGGAAAGAAGATGCGGTCCAGTTTCTCCACCAATGCGCCTCAATCGCGAAGAACCTACAAGTTCCGGAACGCGCCACCTTGTTTGGAAACCTGATTAGCCACGGCCTTTTTGCGGTGATTGTGTTTGCTATCAAGCACCCGAACCCAGCGATTCGGACCACAGGCATTGATATCCTAGTAGCGCTCCTCGACCATGACCCCATCATGATGCGCAGCTATATGCTCAAGGCCGTTAACGAGAAGAAGACACCGCTGACGGACACTCTTATCGATCTGCTTCACACCGAAGCCGATCTTGGTGTGAAGAACCAACTTGCAGATGCGATCAAGGTCCTATTGGATCCTCAAGTTCCCTTGCAGGCCGCAATGGCTCGGGCTGGTCCTGAACATGCGGCCAAGATGCGCTCTAATATGCTTTCGGACGCCTTCGTTCAGAACCACTTTGACGAGTCTTCGAAACGACTTTTTGCCCCCTTGAAACGACTCGAGAACGAATCTTGCGGTAAGTCCAGCCCTCTTTGAGGTTTCCGCTTTACTGACAATTGAATTCCTAGCCTATGATTTGACCTTCAAGGATGTCGCACTGTACTCCCATCTCGTGGATATCCTCACTTTCTTCGTCCGCCAACACCTTTACCGCTGCCGCAATGTTATTCAGAACGAGCGACTTGCTGCGTATATTACGCAATTACTGCGCGTGCCGCAGAAGCACCTTAAACTTAGTACGCCTCTCTGTACTTCTACCACGGTTTGAGTCCCTGCTAACGGTATCAGTTGCCTTGAAATTCTTCCGAACTTTGCTCAGCCTTCAAGATACCTTTTATCAAGCTTTGATGACGCATAATGACACATTTGGGCTCATTCTTGACATTGTTTACGAAACCATGCCGCGCGATAACCTGCTCAATTCAGCCTGCCTTGAACTTTTTGAATTTATTAAGCGGGAGCATATCAAGCCGATCACCTTGCATGTCGTTGGGAAGTATGGCGACAAGCTGAGGAATATCACTTATGTCGACACATTCCAAGGGTTGATCCTACACTACGAGCAGCTCCAGGGCTATAGCGAGGAAGGGGACTCGACACTCTATTCTCAAGAGGAGACGACGCCGGTTTTGAAGACAGCGCACAACGGACGTTGGCAAGGCGTGAAGGAAATGGACCCTACGGAAGAGGAATACTTCAATACGTCGGATGATGAAGATGAGGTGAGGCGCAACTTTGACCTTCAACGATCAATGATGTATTCTGACCGGGGGATCAAGTGGCTACAGGACCGAACTGCGGCAACGCTCATCTCACAAGTACCCAACGGAGCTGCCTCCCCCTCTGTCAAGTCCCTGGTGGACTATCCTGATGATGACGAGGAGGACAATGATGCGATGGACACAAAACCAGAATCCGAGACGGAAAGGAAAGAGGATTCAAAACTGGACGAACCGAACGATGCTATCTCTACCGATGAGGCTGAGGATCCGCCATCGACCCCAGTACAAGCTGTGCAGACACCGCCAGAGAGGCTGTCGGAGAAACGCCGACGAGAGGAGGAAGACGACGACGAACTTGTTAAACTCACATCAGTGCCCAAGCGGAGAAGCTCCACGAGCAGCTCATCCGGGACAGCTGGGCTGTTACGGAAGAAGCGTAGCGGCTCTATCGGCTCTGTCTCCATAACCGACAAAGCCGCAGCCCAAGCTGGAACCGGCGCCAAAGCAGCGCCAAAGAGAATTGCTATCAACCTCGGTTCGTCAACCAAAACTGCCGACATTCGGGAAACACCTGCAAATGAGAATGAGAAGGAGAATCAGAACGATGGCGGTAGCGGCGAGGGATGAAGGAGCTTACTCCATACCCTCACGGGTAACCGCGTGACTGATGATTGTTTTCCTGCACCTCCTCGCCTCTGCCTTGCATCGCATCATTTCACGACTGCATCTAGATACCAGTTGAGCTAGCTGACATCGTTCTTTCTCGCTCTTGCCTCTTTTCTCCAACGTCTTAAACTACCACTTGTGATACCTCCGTGCAGTGCAATCGCGCTCTTTCGCCTTCTCCGTCTCCTTAGACCCATTTTATGTTTCCTTCCTCCTTCTCTTCGTCTTGACCTTGACTTCTTTCTCTGGCATAGCACACCTACACTTGCTGTACATGTACCCATACCGCTTCTGCAAAATCATTGGGGTTCTGGCGTCTGGTATTTCTTCTTTTCCCTCGCATAAGCCTTACACACACTACCTACATACACTTTTCCTTTTGATTTCTTGCGGGGCTCGGTTGGGCGATACATACATACAATAAAGAGCAGAGCAAAAGCGGTGCGGTCATGGTACTTACTTCCTGCCTTAGCTTAGGTACTCTTTACTACATACTACAGTGGGGCGGAGTAGGGCTTGCTAGGCTGGGGTTTTCCTTCAATGGATATTGAATGATATAATCTGTTCTTGTTGGTTTGAGTAAGGGAGGAGGGCGCGTAGGCTGTAGATAATCTGCTTCAGGGGAATCCGGACAAGCTCACTTAGCTTGATTAGAGGTTACATATTATCGAGAGCTTGTCGCTTGATCGCATCTATATATACCATTTGCCCATTTGGTCTCTACCAGCGCAACCCACGACTTATTTTAGACAAAACAAGACTTTACAAGAAGCAACTGATAGGCTTTCCAAACACGACGAGAAGAGGGCAGCATTTGAAACTCGTCTAGAGTCAATTCTATCTTCTGATAAGAGAAACAAATAATAGGATGAAGTGAGCAGCGAAGACAGACTTGAGGAGTGTAAATGTAGGCAAGATGATAAGCAATATATTTATACACAGACACAGAGAATAGATAGTACAAAAGATAATAAATAAGAAGGTAGGCCAGATATCGTCATGAGAGGGGCATTCATTATAGAACGGACAAGACAAGACAAGACTCGCGCTCGTCACAAGTAACCAGACAGAAACGCAGTAGTGACAAAAAAGTAATTAGAAATCTTTAGAAATAGTGACTGGAGAATAAAACAAAGGAGGGAAGTCTAGCAAAACGCCTCGATAACCATATATGGGAAGATAACGACGCAGGCAGTCCAGAAGACGAGAATGCATCGGATTAGCGTCACAGGGAGCATGTACAGCGGCGAGTCGCGGATCATCATCCAGAGGGAGAGGAAGGCGACGGTGAAGAAGTGCGCGAAGAGGACCTGGGGCTTTTTGAGCATGCCGCCGAGCATGCTGACGGGTTGGCGGTGCATGCCTATTGTGAAGTATTCGAAGCAGCCGCGTTGGAGGGCTTTGAGGTTGTCGTCTGTTGTCTACATGTTAGTTTTGCGCTCAATGCAGAGGGTATATCGGGGGCAGACTTACCGTCGGCTGCGAAAAGGGAGTAGAGGGCTTGAGCTAGGATGTTGATTACGGAGGCGCCCATCTTTCGTCGCCAGTGGAAGGTAGAGAGTTGTTTGAGGACGAGGGAGGTGTTGCTAAGATTGGGGACGTTCTTGGGGCTGAGGACGTCGCGGAGGAGGACGACATCGTTCAAGGCGACGGTCATTCCACCGCCGGTCAAGGGATGTCGCATGTTGAGCGCGTCGCCTACTATTAGCAATCCCGGTGTCTTGTTCGTCGCGCCTGGGAGGAAGGAGTTCGGCATGGACCGCAACTGGCCCTTGTCGAGCGCCGCAGCAAACGACGGCTGGACGCACTTGGGAAGAGACGGAAGAACAGTGTTTCTCAGGTGGCCCTTCACACCCCCATTCTTGACAGACGCCGAGGGTAGGTTTTCGGGGATATCGCAAAGGATTCTGGTCTCGTGGGTTCCAATCTGGTAAATGAGGATGGGTGGGCTCCCAGGGTTAAGGAGGACATGGCCGTAGTGCTTCTGCGGCAGCTCCGCGTCAATGAGTTCTAACCCCCAAAACTTCGACTTCACCTTGGGTGTGTATGGATGATATTGTTTCCGGAACTTGGAGGCGTACCCATCCGCAACGACGGTCAATTGGCCGAAATAGCAGTCCTTCGCCTCCTTGGTCACGCACTCGACTCCAAGAACCTGCTTGGTGTGCGAGCACGTAACCAGATCTGTAACCTTGGTCTCGACAATCGTCACGTTCGGACAAGCTCGCGCAGCCTCGCGCAGCCTCATCACGAAGCGTCCGTGGTGGAAGGATCGGCCCTCCGGTGGCGGCGCGCCAGGGTTCTGAACGGGGTACGGAATTGCGACGGGCTCGCCGGAGTAGGTAACGTAGTATCCTTCTGCTGGGATGGCATCAATGCCCTCTAGACAGTCTCGCAGGCCTAGCTTCTCCAGGGCTTGGACACCGCCGGGCTGCAGGAGCTCGCCGACAATGCGGTCCGGCTCCTTGAGCGAGGCCTCGAGCAGGAGGACACTCCGCCCCTGGCTGCCCAATGCCACGGCCAATGCACATCCTAGCACTCCAGCTCCCACTATTACGATATCGGCGTCATGGTGCACTCGTCGGCGGACCTCTGCGGCTGCTGGGTTTTTCGAGGCCCGGCCGTTGGTGTGGCGGTTGGAAGCAGTGGCCATTGTGGCGGCGGAGGAAGAGAAATTCAACGAGTCGGCGGAATTGGCAGTATCGACGTGGGCGACAGGCGCATATTCGTGTCGCAGGGTCTGAAGGAGGAAAGGGAAGCGGAGGGAGGGAGCGGAGGGGAAAGATGGCGGAGGGAAGAGCTGCAATATTTAAATTGATTGTCCAAAGTTAAGGGGCACTTTGTGGTTTGTTCTGGCCGCGGAGCGTCAAAGTGGCCTGACTGCACTCCGCTCCTCCCTTAAAACGCAACGTACGATGCCCTTAATGGTAGCCTGTTTATTGGCCTGGAAAGTAATCAAGTATGAAAGCTCCTGCGTAGTTCTTTGACCGCAGTGAGGAGATTTCCGCCGAGCACAATCACATGCAAAATGTGGCCATGTTCCACTCTTAGATCTATATACAGCTCCGCTAATATTATACACCCCACCACATATCCATACTACTATACAAGTTGATCGTCCGCATACTCCAAGCGAAGGCATGCCTCTTCGTTCCATCGCGCAAGAACCGCCTTATCGTCGTTGTCAATGCGGCCCAGCACCTTCTCCAGCTCGTACTCCTCGTCCCACCTTTCAACTAGCGTCCCGAGTGTTGATTGTTGCTTCCATATCGTCTGCCTGTTCAACGGCCGTTGTTGTGAGAATCGCATATGCTTCTTAGCTGCGGGATTACCCTGGAGCATTGCAAACTCCGGGTTTCCATTGTACTTCTTCTCCAGACGATCGGCCACAAATCCAAGGAATCTCAGCTGGTCCTTTCTCCTTTTGGTCTGCTCCGGAGACAAGCTGTTGGCTTGGGTCTCGCGTCTTAGCACTCCAAGGACTCGATGGACTTCGACGATAAATTCTCGGTTCGCGGCGCTGCCTCGGGCTAGGGCGGTTAGAATGCACCACCGCACTCCCGCTAAATCATTCACCGCGGCAAACGCCCGGAGAAATATCTTCATGCATACCCCATCAAAACCTAAGCGACGCCCGTATCGTGATGTGTAGACGGCCACTAGCACCTCGAGAGCCACCTCCGGTCGGTTTGCTAGTATCAGGCGGTGAGTCGTGGAGGCGGTGATATGATGCTTCACCAGAAACTGTGTCGACGACCAGCATATTTTGTAGAAGCGGAAGATCGCTGTCTTGATGATTTCCACTTCGGCCGACGGGTCTATGGCCTCAAGCTGGCGGAAAAACATGGGGAGTCCAGCACGTTCAGTGCCCCATTGAGCTTTGATAAGAGCGTTGGCCGCATTTATGCCGTCTTCAAGTATTGTTGCAATTGCGGCCAGCTCAATGTGCTGCACTTTGAATTCGAAGCCAGCGTTTTTCGCATTGCGGAAGCACATCAGGGCATCTCCCATTTTCCCAGCATGCATGAAGTGCATCATCTGCTTGTTGACCTTCTGATACTGATCCACGGGTTTCGATGGTGTTAATTCCTTGAGCGTTCGGGTATACCATGTCATGGGCTCCTTTGACTTGGGCATTGCATTGACAGCATCCATTGGGAACGAGCGCTGATCGAAGCCAAGGATTTGTCGTGAAGCAGCAGCCCGCGAACGGTCGGCTCGCGCGGCGTGTAGCATCTGCCAGAATCCCATGGGCGACTCTTCAAGTTCTAGTCGACGAGTGCGTAGCATGTCTAGGAACTCTTCACCGTTGACATTGACCTGCCATCTCCGTTGGCGTGCCATGTCTAGGAACTCGGCGAGCATAGCTTCGTCGCCCTTTTCGACGATTGCCTCCAAAATATGCTTGTACAGAACTTTGTCTGGAACGATGTCGAACTTGTCGATATAACGATAAAGAAACTCCCGGATCTCAAGGGCGGTGTGGGAGACCCAGTATTCGAGGAAGATACGGTCAAAGATTCCAAGGAAATCGTTCTTCTTTGCAGTCATACCAAGTTGATGCATTTCTTCAAGGCCATTGTCCACGGCTACCCAATCACAGCTTAGAGCTTTGCTGAATACCAAAAGGCCCTTTGTCCGACAACTAGGTTGAATTCCATAATTGGTGATCATCTGCTGTAGTAAAGCTTCAGCATCGGCTGTTCTGCCAAACTCCACGTATGCTTTGATGACTGGGTTGAAAAGTTTCTCGGTAGGGTTCTTGTTCATGCGGCGAACCATCATCAGCAATTTCGTAAATTGGCCGTTGATGAGCTCAATACTCCTGGTTTTCTTCCACAAGTTGCTGAGATATAATCCGCATAGTCCACATTCCCGGTCCAGTGCCAAGTTCCTCATCAGGAACCATTTCGCGCTTGTAAGCCGATGGGATTCAAGCAAGCACCGGAGGACGAGTTCTACCAAAGCGGGTGGAACAGTGACTTTTCCCCTGAAACGCATGTAAAGAGTTGCGGCAGATTCCACACAGCCGTTCTTTGCAAGTGCAACCATTAAAATCTTCCACATTCCAGTTGATACGTGGTCCACTTGTTCTAGTCGTTCGAAAACGCTCCGGGCGATGAACACGTTGTTTTCTCGGCAATTTAGATAAAAAGCTTGGACTGCAAGGTCCCTTTTGTCTCTTGCTATCCCTTGGTGCGAAGCTGGATGCGAATCGAGGAATACTTGTGCGGCATCTATATACCGATGGCGGTCGAGAAGATCCTGGATTTGTGCCTCAACAGAGTCGTGCTTCCGAGGAGGCGATTCTATATCATCCCCGCTAGGCGTATCCTCTGCTCTCTGGTTCGCTTGGAGAATGACATATTTCGCTCGTGTATGAACTGGTAAAGCTGGGGAAGGAGGGAGAAAGTCGGTCCTAATCGGCCCTTCTCGTATTCTTTGCCCCTGCCCGGGTTCCCTAGAAAGTTCTGTCGTCTCAATCGATAATGAAGAATCAAACGTTGGTCCAGCTGCGAATGGGCTCGCAGATCTGTTTACCGGAGGGGCAAAGGGAGGTTCGACCAAAGACTGCTCTGTACCGTAATCCGCTGGTGACCGTTGAGATCTCCTGAATTTCCTCTCCTCCTCTTTCCATGCCTCTAATCCTCGGAATTCACCTGCTTCCGCTGCATCCATCATACGTGAAAGTCGCCTGGCCGCAGACGTCGCATCATACCGTGGCGCAGATGTCTGAAGGGCTCGCTTGTTCTCGACAATGCGCTCAGCAACGCTCACTCGTCTGTGGACATCGTATGTGATAGCGGCAACTGTGCAAAAACTGCCAACAGTTGACCCTGCCAGAGCGAGCTTTCGAAGGACTCGAAGGGCGTTTCGGGAGGGAACGGCGGGAGTGCCACTGGCAGGCCCTGGGGCCATGGTTCGAGCTTGGTGCACTGCAACTGGCGTGCAGCTTGGCGAAATATCACCTAGTAAACATGGAGAAACGGAGGATGAGGGTTTGAATCGATATATCCGCGGTCGAGTCAAAATCTCCACACAGGACTCGTCAATTGATGTTCGAGGAGCAGGGATGTTTTCGGGGATGTTGCTCGGAAAGTTTGCAGAAGCCGGCGCTGTTGGCCTTTTCCGGCGGCCGTAGCGATCCTCTCTTCCGGATCAACCCACGGCCGGGGATCATGCGATGTGCCTGATAGATACCGACCAATTGAGCTTAGGCTGGCCTAAATTGAGCCCGAGAAATGTATTTGTACAGTAATTCATGACTTCGCCCATGGCATTATATAACAACAGATACTTTATTGTACAAGAGGAGCGTATTTTTGACCGGCAAAAAACTTCTTCTGCTCCAGACATCTTTCGCTCTTGCAGCCCTGACAGCGGAGCGTCATTTGCAGGGAGCACTTCTCTCCCTTGCGCAGGTGGTCATGGGCCAAGTTTGCAAGAGCTTCGATGAAAACTGGGTTGCCGTTCAGACTCTCGGCCCGCTTGACTCCCGGGAGATTACCGGCTTCCTCCATCACTTCGAGATCGAGTTCATACAAGGTCTCGATATGGTCACTGGTGAAAGCAATTGGAACAAGGACAAGATCCGTCTGTCCCCGCTTAACGTACTCTTGAACTGTATCGCTGGTCTGCGCACCGAGCCAAGCAGATGGGCCGACTTGCGACTGCCAGCACAGTCGGTAGGGATTGCTGAAGTTCAATCGTTGCATCACTGCATGGACGGTCGCAGCAACCTCTGCTGGGTATGGGTCACCTAGGAGAATGCTGTTAGATAATGGCCTCTACAAGCGAAAACTGGTGTTTCATACCTCTATTCACCACACTCATAGGTAGACTGTGCGCTGAGAACAATAAGACCACGCCGGCTCTCCGATCTTCAGGGTAGGTCTTGAGTTGGTCCTCAATGTTCCTTGCGAATGCCTCAACCAGGCCAGGATGCGTCGGCCAACGGTCAATGACACTCCACTGAATGGAACCGTTCGCATCCACCTCGCCGCCATCTGCGCGCTTCCCTTCCAGACGGGTCCTCCACTTCCACAATTCATTCAGTGAGCTGCCGGTCGTAGAACACGAGTATTGCGGGTATTGCGTAAACGCGACAGCACGCCCTCCCTTTCCGTTGCCGAATCCGTCTGCCAGTAATTGTGCATACATGTCCTCCGTCAGTGGTGAAGCGTATCGGAAAGCGACGTAGGGCTTATGTGGTGCGGACTCGGGGCTAAGCTTGTCGAGAAGCTTGCACATCTCTTCGCACTGATATTCGGACCACTTTCTGATTGGCGATCCTCCTCCAATGTCTGAGTATTGTTTTACGATCTTTGGCGTCCTCCGCTTCGCAATGAGAGGACCTAGATAGGTTTGAAGAGGCCCTAGGGGTATCAAATCGCGATCGGCCTATATTATCAACAGCTCGTTAGAGAGCTTGCTCAAAGCGAATGCAGAATGGGTGAGGACGAACGAATAATCGGCTGAGGAAATCTCCAACTTCGTCTGTTGTCGACGGACCTCCCATGTTCAAAAAGACCATTGCGGTCGGGCCCCTAGAGCCCGTCGCATCTTGTGTGACTGGGGGTACAGCGGTTGCAAATCCATTTCGCTGTTGCTTGCTAAATCCCGAAGAAATGCGAGCTGCTGGTCGCAGCAACTGCTGCGGAAGAGCAAAGGAGCGTCGCAGAGCCATTCCGAAGCTCAGTCCGGCTGTCGTAGGATCGGACTTCCGTAGACGGCGGCTCGAAAGAAGAAAAAGCTCAAATGAGATAAGCCCCAGAAGGTACCTGTAGAGTGCTGGAAGAGAACAAAAAATAAAGATTGAAGACAGGTAAGCTTCCTTGACTTCACATTTCATCGGCATCGAGACGGAGCAGTCTCGGCCCACCGCGAGCCAATCACAAGAAATCTCGGGTCATCAGCCTTGGCGCAATCACATGATGTTCGTGTTTCCCCGCGTCGGGCTGGCCGGAGAAACGCGTCACCCGGGCGTAGTGTACCTAAGATAGGCATACAATACCAGTTGCCTGGACCACGACTTGAAAGGAGCTGGTGTTTCCAGTTTTACTTTCCATTCATTTAGTTTTCTCTCTTGCACTCCTGACAATTCGAATATGGCTGACGATACATACCCCCGCGAAGATGACGGCGCTGAGGAGGAGGAGGAGCTCGAGGAGACCGTATAGCTCCCCGAACTGGCCCATTGAGTCGCTGTTGAGTTACTAACATGTGAGAGTAGGGCTACAAGTCAGTTAGGGATGCTGTACTCTTTGCTATTGAAGTCAGCGATTCTATGCTACAGCCACGCCCCTCTACAGACCCGAAGAAACCTAGTCAAGAGTCTCCTGCTACTGCTGCATTAAAATGCGCATACCATCTTATGCAGCAGCGCATTATCTCGAACCCACATGACATGATAGGAGTCATGTTGTATGGAACGAAGTTATCAAAATTTTACAATGAGGACGAGAATAGCCGTGGGGACCTCACATATCCTAATTGCTACCTATTCACCGATCTCGATATTCCATCCGCACACGAAGTCCTAGAACTGCGCTCCCTAGTCGAAGATGAAGATAAGGCTCGAGAGATCCTTGTTCCATCAGAAACTCCAGTTCAGATGGCCAATGTCTTGTTCTGCGCAAACCAGATATTTACATCAAAAGCTCCGAATTTCCTATCGCGACGACTTTTCATAGTCACTGATAATGATAACCCACACAAGAGCGAGAAGTCGCTTCGTTCTGCGGCGACTGTTCGCGCAAAGGACCTATACGACCTTGGAGTGATCATTGAATTATTCCCAATCTCCCCGATAGATCATGAATTCGACACCTCGAAGTTCTACGACGTAGGTGCCTTCCTTTTCCCGCTTCGCGGAGCATGATGGCTGACAGTATTTAGGATATCATCTACAAAGCTTCACCAATGGACCCAGACGCCCCCTCCTACTTACAACCCGATTCAAAAGCGACAGATGCGAAAGATGGAATCTCAATACTGAATAGCCTCTTGTCAAGCATTAATTCCAAATCTGTACCTCGCCGGGCGCTCTTCTCAAACGTCTCCTTGGAGCTGGGACCGAATTTCAAGATCTCGGTATCTGGCTATCTTCTTTTCAAACGTCAAGAGCCGGCAAGGAGTTGCTTCGTGTGGCTTGGGGGCGAAAAGCCACAGATCGCAAAGGGAGTTACTACACAAATTGCAGATGATACAGCTCGAACGATTGAGAAATGGGAAATCAGAAAGGCGTATAAATTTGGCGGAGACCAAGTTTCCTTTACGCCAGAGGAGCAGAAAGAATTGAGGAATTTCGGTGACCCCGTTATTCGGATCATTGGGTTCAAGCCCCTCTCCGCCCTTCCTTTCTGGGCCAATGTCAAGCATCCTCTGTTCATATATCCTTCAGAGGAAGACTACGTGGGCTCCACGCGAGTCTTCTCCGCATTATACCAGAAACTTTTGAAAGACCAGAAGGCCGCGCTTGTCTGGTACATTGCACGTAAGAATGCTGGTCCGGTTCTTGCTGCAATGATGGCTGGTGAGGAGAAAGTCGATGAGAACGGCGTCCAAAAGATCCCTCCAGGCATGTGGATCATACCACTCCCTTTTGCAGATGATGTGCGACAAAACCCCGAAACCACCATTCAGGTCGCTCCAGAACCTCTTATTGATCAGATGCGGACCATTATCCAACAATTACAACTCCCCAAGGGTGTCTATGAACCCTCAAAATACCCCAATCCTTGTAAGTTTCAACCTGGCAGGGTGTCACAAAATCAATACTGATCAACTGCTAGCTCTCCAATGGCACTACCGCATCCTCCAAGCCCTAGCACTAGACGAAGACCTCCCAGAACAACCCGAGGACAAAACCCTCCCCAAATACCGCCAAATCGATAAAGTAAGGCCCGCCTAGATATATCATACCCGCCATCCATAAACTAACATGACCCAGCGCGCCGGCGACTACGTCCTCTCCTGGGCCGAAGAGCTCGAAAAACAATACGACAAGATCCCCGCAACAAGCGGCGTCAAAACAACTCTGGCCAAACGCCCCGCGAAGGACACATCTGCCTCCGGCCCGCCTGCGAAAAAGGTTAAAGCTGCCGATGGCGGCGCTGCATCAGACCCCCAGGCAGAGGTCCAGAAACATTTCCAGAAGGGGACGCTCTCGAAACTTACGGTTTCTGTTCTTAAGGATTATCTTGCTTCGCAGGGCCGTTCGTCGGCAGGGAAGAAGGCGGACCTCGTTGAGCGGGTTGAAGAGCTGTTGGAGTCGAAGGTATGAGGTGGTCAGGGAAGGATCTATACTACTTAGTAGTATAGGGAGGTGCCACTGTACTTGATCGCTACTTGCGGTCGAGATGTAACGAGTAATATTCATGAATGTCACAATATACCTACTCAGTCACCATACTACTCTAGCTAAGCCACGTAATGCGTCAATATCCGTTTGATAGTAAACTTGTCTTTTCACGAAAGTCGCAGTTTGTCTGCCTGATCCCCAACGGAGTCCTTAGCACGATTTTTGCTTGGCGACCTACTTGAGCTCGCAGGCAGTAGCCCTAATAAATAGTTACCCCTCCTCATCACAGACGGGCTAGCATCAATTCGGAGCAGTTTTCGTGATTTGAGGAGATATACTGGACTTAGTAGATCTAAAATGTTCTTGGAAGGTGATCTCATTGCAAAGGAGTTATCGATTACGTTCGTGAGGTTTCGAAAATATATTCTTTCATTGATGTTCAAGCATCGCGCTATTCTAGTCGGAAGGCTAAGATACCCACCATGTCTTTCCAAGAGAACTGGCGTATGAGTTTACACCTACGGTCGGACCTGGCTCCAGAAAGAAGATTGAGATTCTTTACACGCTAATGTTGAGCATACCGTCCGAATGGCAGAGAGCAAACTTGTTGTATACAAGGAGTCTAACAGAAAGTACGCAACTAGAACACCAAGCGCCAGAAAAATTCTAAAAGCTCAGCACTGCCCATACACTTGGCAGTAACAAAGTTGTTCGTCGGGACAGCTAAAGGTTATCATGTTAGTGGTTGCCATATGACGAGAGAAATCGCGGTAAACCTACTATACCGAGTCCTTGCCGAATATGACATGCCATAGAAACTCCATCGCGCGCCCACTGGCGGCATCAGCCAAGTCTGTATCGATCACCCACTGTCTGATCTTGACATAATCTTCTCGTGGTCGTCGGAGAACCTGGTCTCGGGATACGGCAAACTGTGCGCAGCAGGATGCGCCAATCTGGGTGGGGAACTGGAGGAATTTATGCTGGAGTGGGTTGCTAGTTCGTAAGTCGTTGGATGTAAGGGATGTTGTTGAATTGAGCGGCGGCGTGCTTGTTCCGTCAAATATTTCTGTCCAGATATCCTCGGTTATGTGTGCGTTATTGCGATGCTTGGGGCTGCAGCCAGGGTTCCAATTGCATCGGAGGTTCACGTAGCCGTTGCGCTGGACGAAATCGAGTTGCAGGGAGCGGAGAGCGGCGACATTGTCATGTAGCGGTGCATCTACGTGCCAGGCCATAAGGAATCCAGATCGATGGGCGTGAATGAAGGCGATAGTGGAGGGAAGGTGGTCGTAATGGTCTATCAGATAAGTAAGGTACGCCATGGACTCATGGCCTTTGTTGAAGGGTGTCTTGAGTCGATCATCGTCGGCGAGTGTAGCTTTGGACGGGTTCACTGTATAAATAGCTCGTTGCCAGCTGTGGATGGTTTAGTGAGTACAATGACATGGATGGCGAGGACGTAGTGCATACTCTAAAAGTTCCTCTTCGACCCATTGTACAGGCTCCTCCTCCAGCCTGGCCATGACAATGACCTTGTCACGCACGTCTTCATTGTGAGAAGCCCATCTATGAGCGCTTTTGTTGCTCAACATGTCGATCAGGTACACTCCCGCGTCGTACTGATCCGAGAGGTCTGCAAGTCTGACTTTCAGGAGGTATAATGGAATTATGAATAGGAGTGAGAGGCATAAAGAGATGCGAAAGCTGCTCTTCATCGTAACTTTCGTTGCATGAGCGGCCGGAGGCCTAGGAAAGTATACTGTCGCAGGCCAATCAATGCATATGTTGATCTCACATTAAAGTATGGACTGTGGTGGGAAGGAAATCAATAAACATAGATGTGACAACCAGTGCTATGGTCTAGAGAGGAACAGAAAAAGATGAAGAGGAAAATGAGAAGACCGCCGTATCGTGGGATGGTAGGAATTTGGAAAGAGCGAGGGTCCGCTGGACCATGGGCGATTGAATAATGTCTCCTTGACATTGTGTTATGACTATCGGCGACACCCAAATGAGGGGTCGCATGCCTTCAGAGTGAAGTGAAAGGCATGGTGAGCCAATGGATAACCCATGCCGGAAAACAGCTCAACTTGGGTTCTACCTGGGGAAGGTGTAGCACCGTAGACTTCATTGGTTCAACCCTCTATCACCGAGTCGTTCGTGGGTCCGACGACAAAAGTAGCTGGAGTAATTCCCCTGATATGCCACGCGTTAGGTCCGCTTGAGTGGCGTCTGAACCGACGAAAACGACCGCGCGACGCCTATCATAGGGTGGCGGCATTTAGTCTTTGGGTCTGGTGCTGGACCCCTACTCTGGGTCTTTCCGTGGCTGTGTGCCGTTGCGGAGATCTGCCCAACGTTTTCTTGTCTTTGACCTTGCGCTCATAGAACCCATGTTTGGAGATTGAAGGCTGTAAATGGGGGGTATACGAAGTTGCATGGCTTGAAGCCTATACTAGTGTCTGAGGGAAGTAAGAACGTCCAAGCTGGATGTCGAGTGGGTGAGGAGTTGTTAGTGTCGAGTAAGAACTTTAAAATTGTGGGCGGGCCAGGGGTCCAACACGTGCGGCGTAGACCATCTCCACTGGAGTGACGTAGAGTAGACCACCGAAACTAGAGGATGCCAACAGCTTCGACGAGGGATCGCGGTTTCATGAAAATGGAGCTACACAGAGGATACTGATTGCGCAGACTCTAGGACTCAGTGGCCACAGACCAGCTGTGGCCTTTTCGTGCATTATATATTGTAGTTTATAGTACATCCACACAGCGACTAATTGACTGAATTAAGAGCTTTCCTCCTCTTCCTCTTCATCACTGCTTGGTTCTTCCCCATTCTCGATTGCCTGCTCCCGCCGCTTTCGGGCACGCTCTCTCTTTTTCTCGAGCAGACCATTCAGCTTCTTGGCAACGTTGAAAACACCGCCAGTACCTGCCCCGCAGACGGCGCAAGATGGACTCTTTCGATAGCGTTGCAAAGCGCAAGACTCGCAGAAGTAATGCCCGCATTTCGTGACGATAGGGTTCTGGTATGGTTTTTTGCAGATAAGGCAGGCAAAGGGAATATTCTCGAGTTCTTCCTCGTCATCGTCGTCTTCCTCGCCGGCTTTGCCTCCTCGCTGTGATACAACCTTTCCAGTCAAATTCTTGCCCTTTGTGCTGACGTCCCAATCCCGGTCTAATTCCCAGCCTGACTTGTAATCCTCTCTCATATGAGTGAACTTGCAGGAGTCACCATATCCACAGAAGCCCGTCAATTTGTAGTCCTTGCAAACGTCCGGCGCATAATCCGTAAATGTGACTGTCCGGACATTGGTCGGCGCTTTGATCGGCCCAAACTGTTTTGTGGGAGCGTTAGGATTCTTTTGAATAAATGATTGGTAGTTGGAAGCACCCTTGTATGTGCCGTCAGGCGCAGAGGGTGCTGAAGTATCTGGACGGGCCCGCGTGGTGCCCAGGAGGTTTTTCTCGTTCAACTCATCATCGTACCAGTTGGAGTGTTTTGTCGCATCGTTGGAAGAGGTCAAGGGAAGGGCGTCGGTGGGTTTGATTTGCTCATCACTGGTATCTTGCCGTCGCGTATTGGATGCAGAGGAGGCTGACACGACTGCATTCTTGCGCCGTCGTTTGATCCGGCGGCCCTCTTCGTCGTCAGAGGAAGTGAAGCTTGAATCTGAATCCGCATCTGGTGGTGGTGAGTCGGGCTTTTTGCGGAAATTGGCTTTCTTTACGCCGCGCTTCTTGAAAGCGACTGGGGGTGCTGCATCCGCCATCGTCAATGAATTGTCCTGGTAGGGTTGTTGAGAAAGTTGTAAATCAAGAATCGCGAGTGGCGTTCTTCAAGCTGAATACATGCACGTGATGCTTGATAATCCATCTCACGTGACTGTTTAAGTCAGCCACACCTGCAAACAAAACAAACAGCAGTTTGCTGTTGGCGTTGTTTTTGTTGTGGGTTTGCTGCTCTTTGGCCGTTTGACCCTCATCCCGAGCCTGCTGACGGGCAGTCCAAGGAACTGAGGAATCAGGATGCTGCTGCCGGCGGTTGGCATCCAGTAACCTTAATTTGGTTCCATTGTTTGGAGGCTTTTCATAGACCGCGTAGCCGTTGTTATGCCTCAATGAATGTGATTATCTCGCTAGACAGGAATATTGTCAACATGGTCGGTCCTTCAATTTCTCGTTACGTATCAGATCAATTATTTAGCTAGACTATCCAGCGGAGGCAGCCCTCTTTATCCGGCGTTGGGAGACACTGTGCCTTAGGCCCCAAGCTGGCGCTCATCTTCTCATCGTCCATCGCGCGCGTTCTCTTCCTCCTCTCGTTCCCCCGCCCAACGAGTCGTTCTCACGTCTCGTTGTCCAACTGGCATCGCTTCTTGACCTCATTCTCTTGTTTTGCTTCCCCTCTCTTTTCTTTCCTTTCTCTCCTTTGCCCATTACCATTACATTACGTTCTTCTCACCCTAATCCCTTCCCTCTTCGTTTTTCTTTTCTTTTGTTTTATTTCATTTTCTTCAAGACCATTCAGGTTCCTCTAATTGAAGCTACTGTATGGCGTAGCTGATCCTTGCATCCGTTACAACCCGTAGTTGACGCATCCAGGCTCCTACCATTTTTCGGTCTTGCCTTTTGTTTTGCGCCCAGACCTAATCGCCATAAACTGCAGCTCTGCTGGTTCCCGAAGGCTGAGCATCCAATCGTCCCCTCCTGTGGTTGGCCCGCATCCCGGTCGCACGCATTCGCAAGGTCACCTTACGACCACCTCCACAACGCGTTTGTTGTCATTCTTCGGTCGCTCCGCTTCATCCTCTCGCTTCCTTCGCTAGATTACAGCATCGAGACGTCCATTTGCGGTGCTCTTTCCGACTCTGTAATCCTTTTATTTCTTGCGCTGCCTTTTTCGAGTCGACGACTGATACGGCCCCTAGCGGATTGTTCACCGACTGACGCCGGGAATACATTCCGTTCCACCATCGCCATTCCACGACCTCGGTTCCGAGATCGTATTCGAATCACTTGTCGCTGGCCGGCGCACATCACGATTCCGTCGGAAGGCAACTGGGAAAGATTCCACTGCAAAGGACCGGACAGGAAGTCGGATGATGACTGTATTTTGAGGTGGGACCAAAGAACGAGCGAGGCGACGAACTTACGGGCCCCAACTGCAGGTAAACTCTGGTTCAAGGAACCGGAGAACATCTGCAGAACCAAACTCTGAACTATGGCTGGTTCTGGCGATAGAGGAAGTTCCTCAATGCTATCCATGATGGATGATCCCTTTATCACCAAGCCGCAAGGGGCGCGGAACCCCCTGGAGTCAAACAACCACTCTTCCTTCGATGCGCAACTGTTCAGTCTGGATGCATCCTCGCCGGCGCAAGCCAAACGGGCTCTTGAAGCCCATTTGGCGGAGACCGAGCGTCGGCTTGAAGAAGCGTCCAAGCTAGGAACCGCCCTCGTTGAGCAGCGGAAGGAGTTAGAGGATAAGCTCAAGGAAGTCGAGCAGCAGCAGGAAGAGGGACAAATTGGACCAGATCTACGCCGGAAGCTGGCTGACTTGGAGCGCGAGTACACCGAAATTGGGCGCGAGACTGCGCGAGCTTTCCTTGGCCCGAAACGTCTTGCTGGTGGGGATGACGCTCATCTGGGTACCCCGTCTTTCGATCACAAGGTTTGTTTACCTTGCGGTTAGACCAAATCGCATAGCGCAATGGAACTGCTAACCTCTGAAAATCTAGTCGCCCCTGAGTTCAGCACTCTTTGCCGGCCAAGCTACGAACTCCCCGAGCAAAGTGAGCGTCCCGTCACGGAAGCAACGAAATCAACCTTCTACCCGCGTCCACGATATCGAGTTTGCGACAGAAATCTCCACCTCCTTACTCGCTCAAGTGCGCCAACTACAATCCCTTCTAGCCGAACGTGAGGATGCTCTGAAGACCATCAACCTGGAAAAGTCAAGACTTGAGCTGGAAGCGGAAGGATACGCGCAACGTATACGGGCTCTGGATGAGAGCGAGGAACGGTACAAGGATGAGAACTGGGCGCTGGAAACCAAGACACACGAGCTTATAGCCTCCGCGAAGGAGGCTGCAGACCGTGAAAGCAAACTTAAAAGTAGTCTGGGAGCGGTTACTGCGGAGAAAACTGCCATGGAACGCGAATTGGAGGATCTCAAGCAGACCAACGCCAAACTTATCGAGGAACATACGGCCGCGCAAAAAGCCAATGATGCCGAAATCCATCTACTGCGCCGAAACGTTACTGCCGGAGATGCTGAGAAGCTTGCCCTTCAGCGGAAGCTTGAAGAGATGAACTCACAGAACCAGGAGCTTGCAAAAGCCGTGGCAATGCGCTTGCGCCACCATGACTCTGACTCTATTCGCGAAGTAGCCCGTGGACATGATTCCGACGACGAAGACCAAGCGACACCCGAGAACTCGCCTCCGCCCTCACCAAGCAAGTTTACTCCTCGCCATAATCACCTCGAGACTGAAACTCTCCGAAGCTCGCTCGGCCATGCTCACCGTATGATTCAAAACCTGAGGAGCACCGTTCACCGAGAGAAGACCGAGAAGATCGAGCTCAAGCGCATGCTCCAGGACGCCCGGGATGAAATTGAGCAACGCCGTCGTGATTCAAATGCTCCTGGTGGAACCAACAAGCGACAAAAGACGAAGGTTGACGCGACACGCAAGCCGGCGCGCCCAGACTTATTGGGTGCTGGACGGAAGAAGGCCGAGGTCGAGATTCACGATTCCGACTGGGAGGATAATGCTGCCGACATAAGCCCAACTCAAAAAGCGTTCCGCAGCTCTCGCATTCGCCACGAAGACCAGTCAACGGATGAACGTAGCGATGCGTACCAGACCGCGACAGAGGCCGAGGATGCGTTTGAGACAGCCAATGAGAGAGAGACAACAACCGAAAGTGAAGCATTCCAGACCGGCGTGGAGAGTATGGCTGGGGAAAGCACCGACAGTGATGAGCTTACGGAGACCGAGGATCGCGTTAATCGCACCCCCCGTGAACGAGTGTCTTCTCTCACCTTGGCGAAGGCGCGTGATCGGACGTCTTATTACAGTACAGCCTCCACTTCTGCGGATGAGGATGATAGCGAAGATCCCGGCACGCCTTCTGCTAGCCAATTCTCTACTCCTAGATACCGCCTGCGCAAGAAGAGGAGCGTCCTCCGGAAGATTCGCCCATCAGGCGAAGCCCCAATGGCATTTGGCAGCCGGCCGTCAAGCGCAAGAGAATCTCCGGCAACCAGCTTCACAAGAGAGACATCAATGGCGCCTGAGGGCCAAAGTTTATTCGCGGAATTGGCTGAACTTGATGGAGACGACGATGAGGATGGAAGCTTCGGTCCGCCGATGCAGTTCGATGCGGGATCTCCGTCTACTCCGCGTATGAATCTTGCCCCAGACTCCAGAAGACCCTCCGAAATCACACTTGACTCTCCGTCCAAGCCGCCGAGACCCGCTATGGTGGACTCTGGTGTCATGACAGATCCTTGGGAACCTGCGTCCGCGCAAATTGCACCGGCAGCTATGGCCGTTGCGGGCGGAGCTGTCAACAGCGTTCCTGCTACGCCTAAGAGAATTTCTACGTCGGATGCCGGCACTGGCACGGAAGTGGCAGAGTCACCGACGCTGGTCAATTCAGGAACCCAGTGGACCCCACTGAAACCCGCCACGGAACTCAACGGCGACCAGGTCTCGAGCGTACCTACCCCGCCGAAGATGGTGTGGGACGGGCGTAATGTGGATGAGCAGGTAGAGGACGTCGAGACCCCTGGCTCACCAGTTCAGTTGGATGTTTCGTCAATCTCGTCGGAAGAGACCGAGCCTGTGGCGCCGAGGTACCCGGAGTTGGGCACTTCGTACGTCGTGGGTGGTACAGTCGAGCCTATTGCTCTGCCTCCTCCTGTGCTGCCCGAGTTCGCCCTTTCGTCAATATCGTCACAGTCCAGCGAACCAGAGGTACCTGTTGTTGTCCTTATCCCTGCCCCGCCGGAGCTTTCGTTGTCTACAATCGCATCGCAGTTCAGTGAACCAGTGGTGCCTGTTGTTGCTCCCATCCCTGCCCCGCCGCAGCTTTCCATGTCTACAATCGCATCGCAAGTCAGTGAACCAGTGGTGCCTGTTGTTGCTCCCATCCCTGCCCCGCCGCAGCTTTCCATGTCTACAATCGCATCGCAAGTCAGTGAACCAGTGGTACCCGTCGCTGCTCCTCTTCCCACACCGCCTGAGCTTGCTATGTCAACGATATGGTCCCAATTCAGCGAGCCGGAGGTGCCTGTCCTTCCTCCTGCCCCTGCGGTAGCGGAGCTGGCCTTGTCGTCAGTTTCGTCACAGTCCAGTGAGCCAGAGGCGCCCACCATTGCCCCCGCTCCTGCGGTCGAGCCAGTATACATACCGCAGGTGGCATTTTCTGAATTCTTCACAGAGCAGACGCTCCCTGTCTCCCCTAGTCTCCCTGACCCCACACCTGAACCTGTGTTCACTTCCACGGAGCAGGGCACAAGCACAGAAATCGCGGAGTTATCCGTTTCAATCATTTTCTCGCAAGAGACTGAACCGGTTGAACCGGTTGAGCCCACTCCTGAGCCTGAAGTTGTTCTCGCGGATGTAGAGGAGACTGCTCCAGAGCCCGCCCTTCCTGAGCTGACGATCTCTTTCATTGCTCCGGAATACACGGAACCGGTTGCGCCGACAGTCAAGGAAGTTATCCTCCCACCAGTACCGCGATTGACACTCTCGACCATTTCTTCGGTGGAAACACCACCTGTCGAGTACACCCCTGCCATAGTGTTCTTACCGACACACCCGACCGTTGAGAGCGATGATTTGATCAGTAAAGGGGCTGGTTCTTCCAGGTCAAACAAGGATGCCCCACCTGTCGTTCTCGTCGAAGACAGCACAGACAAGGATTCTGCGGCCGAGAGCGCTGACCGACAAAATGGTGCGACATTGCCCCTGGGCGCGATTTCTGGCAATGCGGCTCCCCGTCGCGCAAGGGCCGACTCGTCCAACCTGGCCGACCAGGGGGCCCAGACCATCCTGTCATCCAAGCAGATCGACCAACTCCTGATGGACCGCGTCTCTTCTAGACCACTGTCCCCTCCCGAAAGTGACAAGGCAAAGGAACTCGGCAATTCACCCTTTGTTACGCCCAAGGTGCGATCGCGACCTGCTCCTCAGGCTTCGACTTCCTCCCTTCACAAGCGACCCGGGAGTGCCGCCAGCCAAGCGTCTAGTATGCAGAACCACCCGCCACTACCTGCGGACCACAAGGAGGCCATCTTGGCGGCGGAGAAGAAATCCTTCGAGCAGCGGCCGACCTCTGCAGGTTTGATGGGACCGCCACTCGCCCCAGCTTCAGCGTATAGGCCAAATGCTACCCAGCGCCCGTGGACTCCAAATGAAACAGGCGCTCACCTCGGCTCAGCAAAGACAACCACATCACGAGCCAGCTTGAGACGCGAGAGCGCCATGTCCCGGCGATCCTCAGTTTCCTCGTTCGCGTCCGAGATTGAGGAGCGCTTCAACATGCAGCCGAACCAGGCTTTCCCACCACAGGGATATGGCATGGGAACCGATCCCCGGATGATTCAAGCCATCACACAGACAATGATCGGTGAATTCCTCTGGAAGTACACCCGCAGAGCCGTTTCAGGAGAAATCTCCAACACTAGACACCGCCGCTACTTCTGGGTCCATCCATACACACGAACACTGTACTGGAGTGAACAAGATCCGCAGTCCGCTGGAAAGAGCGAGATTCGAACAAAGAGTGTCTTGATCGAAGCGGTTCGAGTGGTGGCTGACGACAACCCCTACCCGCCTGGCCTTCACTGCAAGAGTCTCGAAGTCGTCAGCCCGGGTCGTAGGATCAGGTTCACCGCTACCACGAGCCAGAGGCACGAGACGTGGTTCAATGCGCTTTCGTATTTGTTGGTACGAAATGGACCGGAAGACGAAGACCCAGAGAATGGTGTTACCCTCGAGGACATTGACGAATTCAACCCTGGCTTCCGTTCCCGCTCGCGCAACACTGCAAGGATGTCAATTTCGTCACAGCAAAGCCGGCCCCGAAATCTCCCCAAGCAACGTTCAGGGTCAGCCATGTCGTTGCGCCCTAGTCTGACACCCGGTCGGTCGTCACCGTATCCTCCGTCGCATTACTCTGATCAAGCTAGGCAGACATCGGCCTCTCGACTAAGTTCCATTTTCAACTCGACAATCAAGGGCTCCTTTGGACGAAAGGGTCCCGGGTATGCGGCGTCCAGCGTCAACGAAGGCAGTCTCCACAATCATGATAGCGAAGAGGACCTTCGACAAATGATGGAGAGACAGGAACAGGACGACTCTCGGCTGGAGAATGTCCGTGCCTGTTGCGACGGAAAACACGATGTCGGCTCGCTGTCGAGGACGAGTCGCTACAGCCCCCGCGGTAACCGAATCCACTCCCACCACCACTGAGTTGTACCCGGAGCCTGCCACTATTTTGTCATAGCGCGTTGTTAAAAGTCTTGCATTAGCGGTGTCCTACTTTCACCTCACAGCTCTACGTCTTACCTAGCCTATGCTTGTTAGTCTTTGCTGGACGGTCACCCCAGCATATACGAGTCCCAGCATACGAGAGGCGATCACCCACCTCTCACCCGCATATTGATTTGCCCATCATGGTTTGATTCTATACACCTGTTACAACTTGATGCGTATTCTGTTGTTTGCCATTCATTCATCATTACCTGCATGGATCGTTTTATTTCCTTTGTTGATACTCATTGCCATTGTCATTATCATCTGACATCTCGCCGCGGGGCCGCACATTCGCTCTGGCCCCGCCCGCCTCTCCTCTTACCTCACCTATCATATTTACTCCATGATGCGCCACATTGTCAGCGCGACTATGTCTTTTTGATCTTCCTCTACCGACTTTGATATATCCATTCGCGATGACAGCGTTTGACTGTTACCGTATGGTGGTTGTAATACCAGCTGTGTTGTGTTGGCTGTCTGGATTTACTTGGTTCTGCGTTGTTGCCGGAAATTGATCTAGCATTAGTCATGGACTAGGAATTCATTTTGGATGACTCTTTATGTAGAGAGGTCAGGTGTATAGAGGGACCAGGTTGCCGCTGCTCTAATACTCTGCGTACTACTAGTAGTTGTGGACGCTAAGCCGGCAGCTTCGACTTTTCAGTTAGTCATCCCCACATAGAAAACAAGCCCAACCCTCGATCAATACTCTCCGACTCTTCTGCGCCAATTTTCCTCACTCTTCCAAACGCAGACTCAAGCACAGGATGAAAGAAAGCAGGCTCACAACGCAGCAATGGCTGCAAGCCCTCATCGAGCCGGGGTTCATCCTGTCGAAAGCCATGTCTTGTAAGGGCCATTCCCACACTAATAGTACTATATCTCGAAACACGATCGATACATGCCATCTGGAGCCCAGACTAGACATCGATCATGGATTGATATGCTACTATATGATCGGAACAAGAACAGAAAGCTAACGAAAACGCGCAGACTACATTCAAACAAACATAAAAGCCATTCTGCGTGGCCAAGTCCTCGCGCCCATCTTGCGCTCGCAGGAACTCCGCGACGAGGCCTTTGGGAGGTTCTGGGTTGCGTTTAGCTGTACCTTTCCCTCCACCCTCTTATCTCAAAGAGTGTCTGTATTCCAAACGAGACGCATCTAACTCCCATCTAGCAAACCGCGCCGACCCCGAACCCACTTTAGACGCAGACTCACAGCCCCAAGCACAAATCCAATCCCCCCTAGACGAAATCCAGAACTCAACCGAACTAATTCCCCCCATCCTCGCGCAAGCCAGCGGCCTAGTCCTGGACGTCGGCCCAGGAACAGGGACCCAAATGCCGCTGCTCAAGTCCCCCTCCATCAAAGCGATCTACGGCGCGGAGCCGTGCGTCGGTCTGCACGCTGAACTGCGCAAGCGCGCGGTGGATGAGGGGCTGGGTGCGAAGTATACGATCTTACCGTGTAGTGTTGTGCAGAAGGAGCTTGGGGTAGAGTTGGAGAAGCATGGGTTGGTGCCCGAGGGAGGGGAGAGGGGGGGTGTCTTCGACACGATCATAACCGTGCGAGTCCTCTGTTCCGTCCCGGAGTTTGAGCGCACGACTGCGGAGTTGTATTCGTTGCTTAAGCCCGGTGGGAAGATGCTTGTTGTTGAGCATGTGGTTAACCCGTGGATGACACCTAAGGGGTCGGTTCTTGCGAGGGTGCTGCAGGGGGTTTATCATGCATTTGGGTGGAGGTGGGTTATGGGGGATTGTTGTATGAATCGAGATACGGAGGGTGTTTTAAGGAAGGTTGTGGAGAAGGATGGTGGGTGGGAGTCTTTTGAGATGGAGAGGTGGTTTGGGACGACGTGTTTGCCGTATATTACGGGGGTTTTGGTGAAGAGGAAGTGAAGTGGTGCTTTTGGATTTGGATTGGGGGTTAAGGTGGGTTACGAGAGCTGGTGGGGATGGAGTTGTCTTTGATTGTCCTGAGGTATATGCATTGATATGTGGATATCATGTACATGGTTATCATAACATCGTGAAATAGTCTAAGTAAAGTCGCAACGTCTGCCAGCAGTTCTATGCCCGTAACCGTAGGTTATGTTGGCTTTGGTCGTCCAGGCGGCCAGAAATCGAACAAGTCGAGTGCTTCGGAAGTCCAAGGGCCCTGCTCAGAAATATCCGCGGTATCTGTAGCAGGGTTAAGCGGACTGTTGGTGGATGTCGTCAGGGGTCTGGTTTGAAAGCTATTTATCGCTGAGGTATCCGAGTACGACTTGCGAAGTACTGCGGAACGAGGTCGAGGAAAGGGCACCTGTGGTTGGATAGAACTTGCGCTTGGTAGCGTCGGAACACTTCTTGATGGGAGATTTGAAGGGTTGGAAGGAGTTGTGGTTTGCGGGAGCGGATGCCCAGAAGGTATGTTATTCGAGGAGGCACGCAAGTCCGAGCCAATCCCTGAATTCTGGTGGTTTGTGTTGGCGGGAAGGATTCGTTGCGGTTGGACAAGTTCTTGAACAGTATGGGAATTTCGGAGCCATGGCACGCCGCTTGGCGGGAGATTTAGAGGGCCAGGCGTAGTAGAGTTTTGCGGAAGGTGTTCAGAAGGGACGTTATTATTTAGAGACTGTCTGAAACTCGAGCCAGAGACCAAATCGTGGTTGTTTGTGTGCGCCTCGGTGCATGACACATCTGAATGTCCCTCCCGTTTGATCTGACGAGGCTCGCTGGATTGCGGTTGGGGTTGGTTGGGCACCAGGTTATCATCGTTGAAGAGCTCATCATCGAATATCATAAAATCCGAACTGGTCGGTTCAAGCTTTATTTCGGGATCGCCCCTACGACGGTCAGTCGTGAAACTTGGCTTGGTATGTGGTACGTACTGACTGTGGTCTCGATGATGATGACTCTCGGTACATTAGTTTGCGGCGCGGATTGCCACAAGTTAGGCGAAGGGGATTGATTGGAGAATCCGGGCCCAGACTGGGCCTCGTATCTCGGGAAACAGACTGAGGTGGCCGACTTTGAGGTTCTAGCCGCCTAGAGGACATGGCTCCATTCAACTCGGGTGCTCTCTGGATGCTAGGGCTGCTGTTCTGAGGCCGAGGAGTGGGGTCCTGTTGATCTCGTAGAACAGATTGAGGTGGGCGAGGTTGATTGATTTCGGGCTGCCTGGATGTAATATCTACAATGGACCCGACGGGTCTTTGATCGACAATGTCGTTTTGAGGTCGAGATATTGGTGCTCGTTCCTGATCTCGTAGAGGAGGTTGAGGTGGACGATGCTGATTGGGGTCGGTCCGCCTAGATGTAGTATTTCCACTGGACCCGGGGGGCCTTTGAATGGAAGTGTTGTTTTGCGGCTGTGATGTTGGATCTCGTTGAGCAGGCTGAGAAGGGCGGTTCAGAGCAGTTATGGACCGGTTTAATGCACTATTTCCAGTTGATGCGGTGTGGGGTTGCGGTCTTGTGACCGCAGTACTGCTGTTGTGCCGAGGCTCTGAAGGTGCAGTCTGCTGTTCTCGGGGAGGCAAGTCAGTCAAGCCAACAATGCCCTGCGCGCTTGAGGGACTGGTCTGCTCAGGAGAGGCTGTTCGTTGACGCTTCGCAGGCCGCTCATATTGTGGTGTGCCAACCTGTCTCTGTCGCTGTTCGTAGGGTGATCGCAATTGTGGGACCGGCGTTTTCCTGATACCAAGGAGATCGTTTAGAGAGCGCGAAGCTTGCTGAGAGGGGAGGGGCCGGGGAGCAGGTGAGCGGGCAGAGGTTGGAGGTTTATTGGGTTGTGGCGGCGATGTTGTGGCTTTATTCCTGTAGAGCACCGATATATCCGTTTCCGACTGTTCAAGTGTTTCACAAACTTGTATCAAAACACCTTTATCAAGCTCTAGTTCATCTCCATCCTGGATACCCTCTGGTGCTCGATAATGGAGATCTCCGATGAAGTATCCTCCATTATCATAGACCATCACTCGCTTATTAAAGGTGTGGAACCGGAGAAAGCCGTCCTGCCAGCGTTTCGCCTTCCGTCGCACATCGTGGGTAAAGAGGCATCGGAATTTGATAACAGGCGCCGTGCCTTGTGTTGCGGGCACGGTCAGGTCAGGGGCGCGTGAAGCTGACGAGCGGGGGGTGGACAATGACATCGTGAAGCCGCGCGGTCAAGCCTGGATAGCCGTGTCAGAATCATTTGGTCGGAGGAAAGAGTTCAGCGTCGGCCGTCGAGGGAAGATGCAGAGGGGAGAAGGTGGAAGAGAATGAATTGATTGAGAGAAAAGGTGTGGAGAAAGCGCCGATTCTCAGGCATCAAGGCAGAAAGAGGCTGAAATACAGAGCAGTCACTTGGCAACTCCATCGTATCTTCCGACATTATACATTCTACCAGAAATTCAGGGCTCACAGTTTTTAATTAAGCTTTAGTAGAGGTCCATGGAAGATCGAAGTCAGAATAAGCAGCCTGCGCTAGACGCGGAGGCTGTGAGTGTCAGATTAAATGTCGATCTACAGGCAGCGACCAAAATAGAAGTGGCGGTGGTCCAGAATCAAAGCGTGCGCTCGTCTCAACTCATGACAGGAACGCGAATGCTGCCTGCGTCATCCAGCGATTCCGAGTCGTTGCCATGAGCCTGTGCCTTCCTTCCTTCTCTTCTTCTTCTGCATCTCCCCGCCCCGCACCCGAATTCTATTCTCCGTGAATGCTATGACCCATTGAGCTCCCCGCACTCTTTTCCCTTGACGCATCAAACCGGCACCATGCAGAGCGTACAGAGACAGTTTGGGAGGCTGATGAAAAGGTCCGCCGACGATAACCAGGTCGCAATTCTGCTGAAGGATTTCGAGCAAGTCGATAATTTACTGAATAAAGTTGGCCACCGAACCATGGGTGCGATGATTGTTTACTGTTACTAACCGCCACTTTTACTAGATCGTTGATTCGACCAAAGCCTGGCGTGATGCGTGGTCCTCGCTTTTAACACACCAGGATCGGATGCTCATCGAATTCGACACTCTATATTCTCCTATCATCGGCGCTGCGGAGCCTTCGTCCCACACACCTGTTCTTACCCCGGACGCCACCCTCGCCAGGACCGCGAAACTTAAAGCAGAATACGAGGACTTAAGAAAAGAACTCATCGAGGAGCTGGCTGCAATCGACCTGCGCATGATTGACCCCGCATCGCAAGCTAGAGAGTGTTTGCTTCCGTTCAAGAAAATCATCAAGAAACGAGATGATCGAAAGGTCTGCATGGAGTAGATTCCTCATATCCACAATACCCTGTTAATACCCTGTTAGTTGGACTACGAACGCTGTCAAGGCCGTGTTGACAGCTACGCCAAAAAGGCAAAACGGTCAGATCGTGAAAATGCGTCCTTAGCCAAGGCAGAGGAAGAGTTGTCCAAAGCGACTATGGTATGAGCAATCACCTTGCTGTGCGATGCTTCTCTGACAGACCTAGGATTACCACGCAGCAGACGAGCACTTGCGAAAACATCTTCCTCCCTTGATCGCTGCCGTATTTTCTCTGCTCCCACGCATACTCTCCGCTCAAATTGAGATCCAGAATAAACTCCTCGCTCATTACTACACCGTCATTTTCGACTACTGCGAGCAGCAGCAATTCCCCTCAGATGCGCCACAACCAATGGACCTCATAGTCAAGGAATGGGAACAAGCCTGTCTGCCCATACAGGAGCAGATCGACAGCTTTGCCACCTTTGCCAGCGGCAAAGCTGTACGGTCCAGCTCTCGGCCCCCGAACGACCGCCGACCTAGCCATACGCTCAATCGTTTCCGGAGTAACCATAACCTCTCAGGCCACCAAAGCTCAGCAACATCCCCGGCTGACATGAGGCCAATCCCGGCATACAACTCCAAGCCTTCTCTTGGATCTAGATCGAAGTCAGCATCTTCTGCTCCTGTTACTCCCAGTGTTCCTCTTTTGACGAAACCGCCGATTCAATCCTTCCCATCTTCGTCCCAAGTTGACGTCCGTACTCCCTCATCATCACACTTAACTACAGATTCATCAGAACAATATTTAAACGGTCTTAGCCCGCAGAAGCTGCTCAGTATTCAGACATCCCCCGTGTTAGTCGGGAAGAAGAAACCACCCCCGCCGCCTCCAAAACCACGCAGCGCTTCTTCACACGCAAGCTTCGTGACTGCTCTTTATGACTTTGGCGGACAGAGCGTAGGCGACCTGGCCTTTCAAACGGGGGATCGAATTCGCGTACTGAAGAAAACGGATAGTACGGATGATTGGTGGGAAGGCGAGCTTCATGGAACAAGGGGGAGTTTTCCTGCGAACTACGTGGAATGATGTACTGGTCTGTTCGCCGAGTTGAACAAGCTCTTCAAAGACTACGGAGTATGGCTTGAGATTGTCAACAACCGATACCGGTCCTTATTCCATGGTGTTTGCGCAATCCGGGGGTTGGAATCGGTGTCTGTATACTGCAAAAAGTGACATGGATAATATCTCTCCTCTGGCCATTTTTACGCATAACCTAATTATAAAACATATCCTTATTGATTTGGACCACGTCAATAACGCCAGCTGTTGGAGATACATTTGTCTCTCTCAAAGGAGAATCTCGACTCAACACTGATAACTTTATCATACAGGTATAGCTCCAAAGAATGACTTTTCCATACAAAATGAGGATACTTACCCAAGTAAAACCTGTCGTGCTCCGTACTAATGACGCATCATAGAAAGGCTGGCTCCGAAGCTCCATCATCAGACAGGTCGGCTCCCATCTGACGCCGTCGGCTATTCAAGAATATCTCCACCATGCGCTTGCTGGACATCGGCGACTGGAGCCCATACGGCTGATCGTACAGGTTGTGTTCAAGCTTCGCATTCTCGTTGGTGGCCTTCCGGTTCTCGCGGTTGAAGCGGGTAGACTGTCTCCTGCGGAGTGTTCTTGCTTCCTGGGATCCCGGAGACCATTTGGTCGAGTACTGTGCGTACTTTCCGCCGCTTATCCTTGGAGAAACTTCAACGAGGTGGCTCTTCGGGGTTGGAGATTCTGGCATTCGGGGCTTATTGCCAGATCTCGGGAGCATCGGTGAAACTCCAAGCTCGATTTGTCCTGCATGGGATGACTTCATGTAGTTTTCTCGCCCACCAGGATCCCGGAAAACATCATCAGACACCGCAAGGGATATAGGAGTTGAGGAAGCGTTGGCTGGAGGCCTCTGTATTTTCACAACTGTACGCAGGCTGGAAGATCGACTGAAAGGGCGTGAGAAATTACTGCTCGTCGACACTCTCCGACTAAGCGCGGCACGGTCATCGCCAACTTGGCTTATGCCTCTGCTTTCGACTCGTACCTTACGAGTTGGAAAGGCGGAGTTGAATGAGAACTCGCAGTCATCCAGGATCTGAGCATCTTCACGATAGTGACGTCGGGGCTGGTTTCCATTCTCGATCTTGGCTATCTGCGCCTCCATGAAGTTTTGCCAGTCAACACCTGACTGCGCTGGGATGTGGTCATCTGGAGACTGGGTAGCTCTTTTGGGAGAGCTATATATTGTCCTTTCGGACTCAAAGATGGTCGCAACACCTGGCTCCGTCTCTGAGTCGGGTGAATCGGGAGCAGTCTTTGCCAAAGGCGAGTTACCGCTTGTTGTGCGAGAATATACACTGGACGAATCAGTCCCTTCTCTTTGCCTCTCCTTGGGCTTAGCATCGTCATTGTCGTGTGCCTCAGGGCCGGAGACAGCTTCGCGAACATTGGCAGCGCTATAAGTCAGTAATCGTTCATGGGAAGTTGGGGGATTGACATAAGCGGTGGCAAACGACCTTGGAGAGTTTATTGAACAGTCGCTAGGCACCTGGCGGATGGTATGTCTGCTGGGACGGAGATGGAGTGAACTTTGAGTAGGAATAGCTCGATGCTCCTTGACGTGGCCGAGGACAATCTCTTCATTCGAACTCTGTGGATGGGCTCCCCCAATGCGTTTCATCAAAGCCGAGAATAAACGGTGGCTATCGACGGCATTGCTATGAAGCTGCTGGATCGAACTTTGTGAGAACGGCTCTGAATGAGGTTGACGAATGTTCCCTTGCTCGGAGACGATAGATAGGCGTTGTTGCCCCCCTGGCCTCGGTGTTGCGATCGTGTTCGCTGCAGTGGAGTCTGCCCAACTTGTCACTCGAGAACGACTTGTTGCTAGGCTCGCCGAGCTTTGCATTCTCCGCATTGATGGTACGCGATCAGGGTCTTTCGATCTCCGAGACTCGTCGACATCGGATATCTCGTTGCTGCGCGGATCGTCATTTTCGTTACTGGCGGCTGTCGAAGGAGATTGAGACCAGTAGTGGCTATGAAATGGGGATAGTTGTACTCTTTCAAGCTCGGAAGAGGTTCTCGAAATTCCTAGCACCCGCTTGATGCCCTTCTTAATAGAGGATGAGAAAGCCCTAGCCCTTCCGTGAGACTCGGTAGCCCTGACTCGATCCAAGGGCGATGAGGTCACTGACGTCCTTTCGGAAGTGCCAGAAGTCCGAAATGTCTTTCGGAAAGGTTTATGCTCTCGCCTGGTCTTCGACACAGGTAACTGGGCCCAATGAGGAGACTCTGGGCTGTTCATGGCAGACTGCTCATATTGCGAGCGCGCTAACTGAATAGCCACATCGTGGCTTTTGGCATGCCGGAGCGTATTTTGAGGCTGATATTCGCCTTTCAGAAAAGACATGGACCGCCTTAATGTTCGATAAAGCCTCGGTGCATCCGCAGTAGCCCCTCGGGCACCGACATTAGGAGAGTACGACTCGCAGGACGGCGGGGCGTATGGTGCATAGGATGAGCGCTGCCTGGTCAAAAACATAGATCGTGACTTTCGTAGCCGGCGATAGGAGGAAGGAAGGGAAGCGATTCTGTCCTCAAGACCACCGAACTCACTTATAGATGGCAGAGCCGCAGACCAGGGCTGGTCGTGGTCTTGCAGGGAGCACTCATCACCAGTCGACGAATTTCCCGACGAGTGAGAGCATTCAGCGCGCCTGTATCTTCTGGGCGGAACTGCCATCCTGAGAGGCCCACCTAGGCGGTCATATGAGCCTTCGGAGAGCGTTGAAGTCCTGTCTGCGGAGCGTGACATGGCCTTTGATGCTGCGGCTGTTGCGAACAATCGAGCGATATCTGGATCAAGGGTTTCGGTTGCTAAGGAACTGCTGTGCCTCGTACGAACGATTCGAGTGGATTTGGATCTTCTCAGGCAGATTTTAGTGTTCATGCTGCGGGGATCGAATCCTATTATATTGGCGTATATCTATTCCAGGAAATAGATGTGCGATAGGAAACTGTGATGTGGTGAAGATGACTCGCGTCCTGCACCGATGGATGATGTTATGAGTGCCATTGTAGATACTTGGAAGGAAGGAGCGGCCTCCATGCTCTTGCCTAATGGAGACGAGAAGGAATCGTCCCAAAAGTGTCGCGATGCCTCCATCGCAGTTTCCCGAAAGGGTAACATCGCAGCCGGAAGTCTACCAACAGACACCAAAGGCTTTGAGCAGCCAGGGACTTTTGTCTGGAGCAGACAGGGCCAAATATTTGATCTTCATTGGCCGAAAGTCGTTTACCAATGTTGACTCAGAATCCGCGATGGCTGTGTTGGACAGAGTTTTCTGAGTCATTCTTGCATGCTCCCCAGAAAAGGAGTCACGCAGAGCGAGACAACGCGAATGAATAAATATGGCCGCAGCCAACAGAAGTAAATCCATTTTCAGATACATTTCCAGAATCAACGGTAGAACCAGGAACAGAAGCATGGCTCAAGTACCGCCCACCGAACCTGTGCGCCTCGACGGGCGAAAACTGGAAGGAGGAGGTCAATTGGTTCGCATCGCGATCGCATTGTCCGCGCTCACTGGCCAGCCTCTCCAGATCGAGCATATTAGAGGTAACCGATCTGGGAAGAAAGGGCTCAAGGCGTCGCATATGGCTGCTGTCCAGACACTTGGGGAGCTAAGCGGGAGTACACTCGTCAAGGCCCAGGTCGGCTCTTGTTCGCTGGGATTTTATCCTCCTTTACACGATCAGGTCCAATCCCGTCAAACGAATACAGATATCAATATTCGACTTCCGACTCCCGGTTCCGTCTTCCTCGTATTCCAGGCGCTCTATCCATACCTCCTCTATTCCTCCACCGATGACCAGATCCGCCTGAGCATCATCGGCGGTACCAATGTATCATCGTCGCCATCATACGACTATGCGTCCCAGGTGCTGATCCCTAATTTCGCACGGGTTGGACTTCCTCCGCTCTCAGTGCGCCTGGAGAAGCGCGGGTGGGCATCAGGACATGGTCAAGTGCAGATGGGAAAAGTGATGTTCGTGATTGATCCTCTGCGCAAGGCAACGGGCGGATCTCCGAGGGCAGAGTTACCGTCGATTGATCTGCATCGACACCAACGGGGCAAAATTTCCCAGATCGACATCACGATCCTCGCCCCTGATGATCACCTCGTGGAGGTCGACGGCGATTTACCACGCGGTTCTCGACACGATGATCATACAGCTGCAGAACTTGAGGCCGATCAGGCGGAAACTGTGCGCGAATTTCTAGAACGTCAGGTCTATAGGGTTCTCCGAAAACAGTTAAAGGATGTACCTTTGTCTGTCTTTTCTCCTGAGTTCAGCCCAAAAAACAGCACTAGCGAAAGTGTCCCCATCCGAACCCACACTACCGAGGCCACACATAGTCGATCATGCATGTATGTGCTGATTGTGGCGCACATGTCAACTGGTTTCAAGATTGGTCGTGATGCGCTCCATGGTTCGCTGAAACAGCGGCCAAAAGAAAAGCCAAAGAATAAGAAACGTCAAGGGAAAAACAAACCCCGGGAGGATATGGTTAGTAGAGTGAATGGGCTGGTTGACGAATGCGTGGAGAGCTTCATCCGAGAACTTTATGATACCGAAATGCAGACAACAGCAGATCCACCAGGAACTGCGCGACACCGGCCTTGTGTTGATGAGTATATGAGGGATCAGTTGGTTGTGTTCGAGGCGCTGGGAAAATCTTCCGGAACTCATAAGCGACAAGACAGTGAGAGCCACGAGGATGATAGATACTGGAGTCTCCATACGCAGACTGCGCAATGGGTGTGTCGACAGATGCTTGGAGAGGACTCCCTGGGATAAGTTAGAATGAGCTCCGGAGCAGGTTAGGCATGACTCATTTCACCGTCACCTGTACAAGAGATATGACAACCCAAGCGAAATCTACAACGTGTCGCATACAGTAATCCATAAAAGAGAAAAATTGTAATCGTGGCCACGCTTTGCGATGGCCCCCATCAATTGCATTCTATTTCCAGCAAGTAAAACAAAAGGAGAGGAGGAGAAAAACGCAATAAAGATTCTGCCCTCGGTTCACTCTGTACAAGGGAAAGACATCAAGAGGGTGAGAACAAAAGAGTGGAAAGAAAGGAAATAAAAATCAGTGCTAGCCGCCTGGACCGTGGTATGTTTTGCGCAAATCGAGATAGCCTCCCTCCGTGTGGTATATGTGAACTCCCAGCAATGCATCAAGTCAGAGCATCAATTTAAACAACAATAAGGGGAAAAAAGGTGGTTGAAAGAAGAAATGGAACAACGAGAAGGGCACAGCATAAGCTCCCTAGCGCTGGTCCCAGCCTGCAGGACCCTTGCAATCCGGTTGAAGTTTGGCGGGGTCCGTCCATGTCCAGCTCGCATTCCTTTTAGGGTTGTTTTGTGGCAGCGATAGCTTAAACCATCTCTCTGGCAATCGCCCGGTATGGTGAGTTTTGGAGGATTTCAGATGGTAGTGCGCGGCGGTAGTCTCTGGGTTGAGCAAAGGGGGAGGATGAGGCTGGTCGGCGCAAGTTCAATGTCTGCGAGCTATAGTTAGCCACTAGAGCTTGTGTAGAGAGAGCGAGGCAAAACATACGACACAGTCAGGGCATTTCGCTCCTTGCTGGTTGGCACGGCCGCGGCATCCGCGAGGGTAGTTTGCGCAAGAGAACATGGTGACAAGTGGTGGTGATGAGTAGTTTCTCGCAAGAGGATGATGTGGTTGTTGTAGGTAGCGTGAAGATCGCAAAGGTCCTGGCAGATCTGCAGTCCCGTCGAGGGAGGTTTGGTCCGAGCTGGGGTTAAGGAAAGTTTGTCCACGGAAAGGGAAGGCAAGGAGAGCAGTAAGAGGAGAGAGCGGCGGGTGTGAGTATAATAATGAACGGACGACAACACAATGTCAAAATCGAGGGGAAAAAAGCATCTATGTGAAAATGGAAAAAGAAAAAGAAAAGAAGAATCGAAGAACAGCCGAATGCCCAATCCCTGAGCAAGCCACACGACAATTACGTCAGGATCGTGAGAGGCCGTTGTCTTGCAGCGACCCAAGCAGGCAGAAAGAGGAAAATGATCGCAGCCCAAATGAGGCCCGTTTGGAGTCCGCTAATGCGTTAGTGTCGACGGTTAGGCTGCGCCACCGCGTCTGTCGAAAAATAGGGGCGGTGCGAAGTGCTTACAGTGCTTGCGGGCAGATCGATGCAGGCAGCAAGCAGCGGCAGAGCTTAAGGGTTGCAGATGGAGAAAGAAACGCAAGGCAAATTGACCGGCAATAGTCACCAAAGAATGATGGGCGCTGTCAGACTGGCGGGAGTGCGATTTCTGAGATTTGATCTGGAATTCCGGACTTTCCAAGAGCAACAGTGGGATTTATATCATGGACGATTCACTTGAAACGAGGAATTGGGAGTGGAATCGCGTCAAACAGCGAATAGTGTCACAGGCAGAGACGGCTGGCCATGGCAGGGAATTAAACTACATTGTGGCAACAATTAATGCGCCGTCTTATGATTGGGGTCCAATATTAATAACAGGAGAAAAAGAAATAATCAAAATTAATTACTGAATAGATCGATCGAAACTTCTCACTGCTTGTTTTCAACGACCGTCGACAACAAGACTATCTCCAAGGCACCCATTGGTATCCAACCCGGGTGTAAGACATGGGCATCACCGACTCGCTCCAGAAACTTGAAAGAAAAGGCAGGCTGTTGCGCTCCCTTCAAGTTGCCCAACAAACTCTGACCCTGGCGCTGCTTATTGGCCTTATCCGAGAGTCTTGATTTAACGAGTGATTATTTTTACCACATTAATCATTGATTTGTCCCACTCGATCAAACCGTGAGTTTGTGCCCTGGTCCAGATTTTCGGGTCCCCCCGGACCACCAGCTTTGTCCTTTTTTTTATTTTTTATTTTTATTTTTTATTTAAAGGTCAGAACAATAAACAGGTCGATCAGTTCCCGAGATTGCTCGCAGCAACGGTTTGATCGACTGAAGGATGACTCGCAGAATCCTAGCTGTCACCCTAGGCTTCATTGCAGGGAGATCTGGGCCGTGTCAGATAATTATTCCACGGCCTCGCGCCTGGTTGTGCATGATTGGATGGCAGAGATGTTGTTGGTCATCCTAACGGGAATCCTGACGGTTCCATAGCCACTGGAGTTTCGGATTGACGAGGCAGCAGTCTACCGTTGGCATCTAGATCTTGGGTCCCAAACCGTCACACGAAGGCTCCATTCCATCCGATGTTTCTGGAACATCTAGGCGAGACAGCCCCAGTCTGGTTCTTTGGGTTTACATTGGACCTTGGCCTTGGAAATCTCGGCTACCGGCATGAGCGGAAGCTGCAACCAATCGAGCACGAATGAATGTTTTTCCTTTGTGCTGGTCTTCTCAGAAAGCGAACAGAAAAACGAACATTCTGTCAATGCCTAGGATCGCCCAAATCGACGACCTTTGGCCTGGATGCGATAGTCGACTCTGGTGCATTTGAGGAGCGGCTGTCGATCATTCGACCTTGATCTAAGACCGGTTGAAGTTCCAACAACTCTTCTTGAGCGTTTCGCTTCCCCTTTCAAATTTCTCCTAACTGCTCATGCGTTGAAACAACCAGTCGTCGGCTGGTCGTCCGTTATCCGTATCTCCGATTTGCAAGGACTGACTACGGCCACAAGCCTCAAGGCAGCTCCGAGCCCGGATTTGCTCCTTTTTCTCGCCGCGGATAGCGAGGGTTAGTCTTGAGGATTGATGGAGCTGCGTAATTGTAATACAGTACTCCGTACAAACTGCATTTGTTCGAGGCAGGGATTGGCTAGTCGTGCGCCGTGGCTCATTCAGATCGCCCAAGCTTCAAGCGCCGGGATGCCCGTTGACGTGCATGGCGATTGGTGGCCCTTGCTGACAGGTCGAATCGGGTGCTCAACTGGGAAGAGCGTGATGATGATGTCGGAGGAGGGAATGCGAATGAGAGCTCGGGAAGACTGGAAAAGAAAACTGAGGGGCAGATTGGCAAGCCTGGAAGGGAGAACCCGGAGTGCGAGTGGTGGTCACTTGACAAGATCATGTGCTTGCCATGGATTCTGTCCTGATCGCGACTCTGCAATGCTACAACTATCGTCACTTTCGACGAACAGCCCAATCATTTTGCGCTCTGCTGGACCACGAGTGTGTCATGAGTCCAGAAGCTCCGGATTTTCCGAGGTCAAGGCTGGAGGAAACAATCTACGTGGCTAGACCACGAGTTGGTGCCTTGTCCTGGCAAACAATTTCTCGCCAGTTCTGCCGCATTCGTCATCTTACATATCGACTCCTCACTCAAGACCGGAGTAACGAGAAATTCAGGTTTTTGGCCCAACAGACGGCACATTGTCGTATGATACCTCGCTGACGTGGGAGATCAGATGTGTAGAAGCGCATTGTTACTTTCGGAAAACTTCTCCCTTAGCGGCACGGAATACCTGCAAGTGCTCAGCCTTGCTATCATTATGGACTGTTTCAGGATACAGTGCAAGCCGCGTCGGTGGACACACCGATTACCGGTTCTGGCTCCTCCCAGCCCCGTGGTAACCTCGACGACGACTTCTCTTATACTAAGCATGCGAGTCATCGACCAATATCCATTTTCAGCCCCTGATCTCCTTTGGTGCTTCGAAACAACCGCCACGAAATAATATACATGGCAGTTGATTAAGTAGCGGTGGGTCAGTGTTTCCGATGAACTCGTGTCCATGTCTCGAATTCGAGAATCGAGATCAAGCGGGATACGATGGTTCAACCTATGGGAGAAGCAAACACGAATAAGTCCGGTTATTGCAGGAGGCAACCTGAACTTCTGGACACCAACAGATCGAGCTCCCTCCCCACTGCATCGCTGCTGTTCGTATGTGGACCTTGATCTCCCGCGTCTAACAAGATTCTCCAACCGCCCTCAAACTGCCGTGGTTTGACATACTGATGCAAACTTTTCGCCCCCTTCACGCCTTGCTAGGGGTCTCGGTCTGGAGCGATCTATAGTATGTAGATCGGCTGTGTTGGCTCTGAACCGTTGTCATGTTAAATTTCGTCCGGCTACCCGAGGATATTCCGAGCATGGATATGACAAGCTAATACCTTGGTACCCCATGGGGTGAGCGTCTATTGAGGCCTCTCACTGGCTACTAATATCGCATTACAGACAAGGGTGATATAAAACGCTTGCGGCGCTCCTGAATTTTCCAGCGCTAGCGTAAGAGTCTCGACACACCCAAGGTGTCCGCAGGCTTACGTGCTTCCATATAACGCTCAACTATGCAGATCTCCCCAATGCCATTATCTGGAAAGGTTGACCGGGGCCACGTAGGTTGTTAATCGGGTATTGTACTTGGGGGCGAGAAACGAACAGAGCCGTCTCACAGCCGTCTCTCGCGAAGGGCTACCAATAAGGCAACTAACTATAGACCTGTCAAAACCAGTTACGCTCTCCAACAACTCGGCAAGCCCTGGCTGCGGTCGCTGTTTTACACCAAAAGAATCGACCCAACGACATACCGGAGATGGATAGTCGCTCTAAGTCTCAGGGCTTGGAAGCCTACCATCTGCCCACAAAAACAGTCGGATGACCTATGATTTGGAATACTCGCTCAAAGCCTTTCCGCCCACCGCGACTGGCATGACCATCGCCAGGATCAGTTGTTCTTACAGGGCTCTCTCAGATTCTCTTTCATCGAGATTCTCCGAAACCCGTTCGTGGATTCGACAAATTTTGACCTCTAAACAAAGAAAGCACCCTTCTTGACCATTTTGAAAGTGGGACCTTTGCCACCGGATCAGCCCTACACCACTAAAAGTCCTTTGCTTGACCTCCGCCGGTCCGTAGATTCCTTTGTCCTGTACTCTGTATGCCCTGCTTTATGGCTGCAGTGTCCGTACCGCAGCCCAACCTTCCACCTGTGAAATCGCCTACTTCTTCAACCCATCCTATGCTAAGCCACGGGACTCGCTCCTCGGTGAGTCGATTTCTTTGGGTCACTCGGTTCGTGCCGTTTACTTCTCTTTCATGAGCTGGGGGGTCTCAGCTTCGCGACGGATGGGAATGGAACGGAGCTCTCCATTCTTTGTTTGATGGGCGGGAGTATGTGCCTAGGTTGGCAGGCTCTGGATGAGGAACTTGGGGGTGGCACTTGGGTAGGAAATTGTAAGACGTGATTTCGTAGGATCTTTCTCGAGGCTTGTGACTCCAATGTCTAATACTAAAAATACGAAGATGGAGATTGCGAATGCATTGGAGGCGGTGCTACGGCTCGAGTTTCGGGGTAGATTGGCCCCCTACCAATAGAGCTTGCTTGAGTCTAACATCATGAAATGTACACTGGTAATGCTAATGCTGATTATATGGTCCAAATGTCCAATGAGACGAGTTATTACTGTTGGCTTCCTCCCAAACTAAAGCGCGCCCAAGCCCCGGCAGTCCATGGACGATTCAATATGCCGGCACCAAGAAAATGCGGACAAACTCCACAGGTAGCTAGCTGTCTAACCCAGCAGGCGCTATTATAGAATCCGGTAAAAGAGTAGCCAGAGAAACGGCAGGGAGGGTCAATCTCGAACAAAGAAGCTCCCGAGGTGGGGTAGTGACAAAGACGGGCAGAGGGGCTATGCCACTGTAAGGGACGCCTAGCACCAAAATGATCGCTCTCAGCCCCTCTGGTTGGCGGTTCCCAGCCCGGGACATATGCCATCCACTAGAAGACAGTCACACATCGTGTGATTCCAAGGGTTCCGTTCTCTAATAGGGAAGAACAGGACGGGGTCGGGTGATGAGTATGCTTGATAGGTCCAATCAAGGCGGTAAGTGGTAAGAATCAGGCACTGTACAACGATCGTACCACGAGCCAGGCACCGATGATGCCGATGCCCGTAGCCAGCAAGAGCCCATTGCCCTCCCAGGTCAATCCGAGATACGCCAAGCATCCTGCAATGTATTCTTTTCTCCGCGCCACATCTCTCCGGCTCGCCCAGTCCGGGTCGATCGGGAACGGGGCTATCGTCTGAGACTCATCTAGAACTCTCCTTGTGGAGAGCGGGATGGATACCGTCAGGGCGACGGCACGGTGATCGGAGGTTGGGGAGACTGGTAGGGCGTCGTATCGTAGGACCTTCACCCTGGATTCATCTCCTAGCCCGGGTGGAGTGTTTAGGAAGAGGATGCGGTCACACCAGCTCGGCCAACGGTGGCTGGCCCACTTCCACTGTGGGGGTTTATCGGCGTGCGACGGGTCTCGCGCGGCTACTTGTGCTTCGCTGTGGTATTTGTAGGTTGGCGGAAATGAGATGGGGGCTTCGGTGAGGCCGTGAAAGCACCTGGACTGTGACATTTCGCGCTTCAGTTGATCCTCTTTGAGGAGATGGGAGAAGTGTAGGGGATCGTTGGGTTCCGCATCCGCCTGAGGGAATCGCAGGATATCCTGTTTCGATGGGAATCTGTTGGACGTGCGATAGTTGAGGTCGCCGCCGAGGAATAGGTGGTTACCAGGCGCAAAGATGCCTGGGTACTTGGTTGAACGCGCGTTGCCTGACAGGAGTGCTGCGCTTTCTGACTCGTCGTTATCGTCATTCTCAGAGATCGGTGTCTTCGCGTCGCTGAATACCAGCCTCTCTACTATACTACGCCAGTCTGAGTTCCTCCTAGCCACGGCATCCTCCATTGGCGCAAGATGCGCAGCAACGATGGTCAGATCGGCCCCTGTCTGCGGTGCATTTGGCGCAGAGTAAGATATCCGCGCCCCAACAGCGCCTTTGTTGCCCATCTCCTGGAAGCCAAAGCCCACTTTCGCGATATCCGGTGGTGATAGGTTGTCAACCACGTCTGACCGTGCAAAGATCATCAGTCCAGTCATACCACTGTGATCCGTCACGACGTTGACATAGGGGGTTCCCCATCGCTCAGACGTAGCTCGCGTCACGGCCTCAGAGAATGCTGCAAAATATGGTGTTATAAATGAGCCCCCAAGGAATGCATAGGCGAAGGGAGCAATCTCTTGGAGACTGAGCACTATAAGGTCGGGGGATGTGGAGCTGGAATTATCGGTGACGGGATAGGCGTCGAAAAAGTGGCGGGAGAAGTGCTCGACGTCGATGAGCGTAAGAGCGCAGTTATATGTGACGAAGTAGAGCTGAAGAGAGTCCATGACGCCCAGTATCCCCCCTGAAGGACGAAGATAGATGGATGAAGAGGATCAAGTGGGCTGTGAATTCCTGACGGTGACGTCGCTTGGAGGGCGCTTATCTTATCGATAAGCTACTCACCGCCTTAGACTTTCTTTTTCTGCCATCAAAACACCAGCTGGACAAGTTGTTCAATGTCAACAAACTCGATGATTCTGTGGTTGCGGAATCAAAATTGATGAATTGACCAGCTATGCTTATGAGCTTACTTGACTTGAATCTAGACTACAGCTTGCCTCGCAACTCCTCTTCTAGCTCAACCAGGAGAATACCGTCGGCCACATCCTCTTCTTCCTCCATCTCATACACCCATTGTGCTCGCCCTGTTCGTGGGCTTCTTACCTCTAGCTCCATCTTCATTTGCTTAACAAACGCAACTACTTGGTTTTCCTCTACCATGTCTCCTGGAGCCACCAAGACCTCGATCAGCTTGCCTGATATCGGTAGCACAACATGTCGTGGATTACGAGGGTCTCCACGCCGATGAGACGAAACCAGGGCCGCAGCAGTGGTGTTTGTACTTTCCAGTTGCAGTCGGAAAGCGGATTCAGATGCAGCCGTAGTATACTTTACCTCTGCCGACATGGAAGAGGGAAAGTCATTTTGCAACACGCGAGTGAGCTGAAGGTGATGTTTCTGCTGCTGCGTCTGGTTTCCCTGACCTTTCAGAGGCTCGAGAGTGATTGACCATGAGTCGCCTGGCCTGAACAGGATATTTGACGACGGTACGCTGTGAGAGCTGACCGGACGAGGTATCTGCGAGGGTACTTGCAGCGACTTTGAGATCTCTCCGCCTAATTGCACTGCCTGGTCGATGTGCTTTTCCAGCCATTGGGTGTCTATTTTCCCGGCGAGAAAGTCTTCATGATCAAGTATTCCTCGAAGCAGGTCCAGATTTGTCTTGACGCCTGAGATTCGTGTGTCGGCCAAGACCCTTCGTGCCTTGAGAACTGTTGCCTTCCAAGTAGATGATCCGGTGACGATGATCTTGGCTAACAGGTTGTCGAATTGCGCCCCCACCACTACTGGACTGAGGCCTGCCATGTCGACATGGGTATCTACCCGCACTCCGTTGCCTGTGGGGACGCTGAATTCTGTCACCTTCCCTACGCTCAAGGAGAAGTTGGTACGTGGGTCCTCAGAACATAATCGAAGCTGAATGGAATGGCCTTGAGCATGGGGCTCAGTCCCTAAGCCGACTTCGGCCAACGAGTATCCTTGCGCTATGAGGAGCTGGATTTGAACGAGGTCAAGACCAGTGATAGCCTCGGTGATCGTATGTTCAACCTGGATGCGGGGGTTGATTTCCAGAAAGTAGAACTCGCCAAGCTGCTCGTTGACCAAGAACTCTACGGTCCCGAGAGACTGATAGCGGATTGCCTTCATCATGCGTACTGCTGCATTAGTTACTTCGCTCACCAACCCTTCGTTGTCACTGCGGATCGATGATGGTGCGAATTCCACAACCTTTTGGAACCGCCGTTGTATGCTGCAATCACGTTCCCATAGATGTTGCACATCGGTACCGTCACCGACAATCTGAATCTCAACGTGGTGAAAACCGTTCACAGCCGCTTTCTCTACGAACACGGTCTTGGTTGGCGACTCGGCCGTCGATGCTCGAGCAGCGCTTTCAAGCTCATCATCACCACGTACTAGGCGGATACCTCTTCCCCCACCACCGTCGACAGCCTTGATCATGATAGGATACCCGACGGCGTGAGCGAACTCCTTGATCCGCTGTACGTCGGTCGAGGCGTCCAAAGCTGGTAACACAGGAACATTGTTCTCTTGCGCCAATTGCTTCGCCTTGAGTTTATCCCCTGTGCGATTTAGGACTTCCCAACCGGGCCCGATGACTGTAACGCCAACATCTTGCATGCGCTTGGAGAACTCGGCACTTTCACTTAAGAATCCATATCCTGGATGGATGGCATCGATAGCATGCTGTTGGGCGAGACGGACCAGAAGGTCGATATCCAAGTAGCCATCGGATGTAATCTGCAGAGCTCTATGCGGGCGACCAATATCGCAGTGTGAGCGGTCATCTTCGGTATATAATGCGAATGTGTCTATCGACGGACATGTCTCTCGTGTCGCTTGCAAGATGCGAACGGCAATCTCGCCTCTATTTCATTAGCGGGGTTCGACAACGCATCGCGGCGAATGGTACCTGTTTGCAACTAGAAGCCGTTGGATTGAGCGTGCGACTGTCATGTTCAGTTTGGTATGTATGGTTGTTGAATTTCGTTGTAGAGATGCCGGTTGAGATGATGTATGTCAAGGTCCTGTGTGCTGTCCTGGCCTCGGTCCTCGGCCTGTTGAAAGCTACCCCTCATGGGGGGAACCATTGACATCAAACATAACAACGACCACGACTTTGGGCCGGAAGAACAATCAAAGTACAGGCGGATTGAATATGTCGAACGACAATAAACCCGCATCGTCAGCGTCAAAACGACTGCGCCAAGTGTCATCTCACCTAGCCCTTCCCGCAGACTATGCCGACGTACGCGAACAAATCCAGACCCTGCGCACGATCGCCGCAACACCAGACACATCACGTCGCGGCTATGTTCGACAAAAACAGGCTGGGAAGTTATGGGTGCGCGAGCGACTCGAGCAACTGCTCGACCCCGACAGTTTTGAAGAAATTGGCTCGCTGTCCGGCACGGTGACGTGGGAGAAAACGGGGCCGATGCGCGAAAAGCCAGTCTCCTTTATACCCAGCAATAATGTCCAGGGCAAGGGAAAACTGCGTGGTCGGAGCGTGCTGTTGACGGCAGATGATTTCTCGCTACGCAGTGGGCATGCGGATGGGGCGTCAGCAGGGAAGACGATCTACCTGGAGAAGCTGGCTCTCGCTCTTAAATTACCCGTGGTTAAGCTAGTCGATGGTAGCTCTGGTGGAGGGAGTGTTACGACTATTCGGAAAGAGGGCTGGAGCTATCTCCCGTACGTGCCAATGTTCCACCAGGTTATCCGGCAATTGAACGAAGGAATCCCGAATCTCGGTGCCATTGTCGGGCCTGCAGTATGTATTCCAAATTGTCTTATACAACAGAGATTGACTCGGATAGATTGGACTCGGGGCCGCGCGAGTCACTGCATGCCATTTCTCGGTCATGGCAGCAGACGTAGGCGCATTGTTCAACGCAGGCCCAGAGGTAGTAAAAGGCGCTACCTTTGAAGAAGGTCTAGGCTTCCAAGATCTAGGTGGGCCCATGATCCACTGCACGAACGGTACGATCGACAATGTGGCGGCCAACGAAGCTGAATGCTTTGAGCAGCTGCGAACAGTCCTCAGCTATCTGCCCGACTGCGGTCGATATAATGCGCCTCCAGTGATCGCGAGCGATGACCCGGAAGACAGAGAAGACGAGTCTCTCCGCCGGATTATACCCCGCAAACAAACGCGCATGTATAATCCCTGGACCATCATCAAGAGCGTCGTCGACCGCGACTCGTTCTTCGAGATCGGCTCCCTCTGGGGCCGCACAGCAATATCAGGTCTCGCACGGCTAGGCGGCCGACCCGTGGGAATCATCTCGCTGAACTGCGAGGTGAACAGCGGCGCATTAGACGCAGGAGGCAGCCAAAAGCTCGCGCGCCTCCTAAAGCTATGCGACGTGATGAACCTACCAGTGCTACAATTCGTCGACGTCCGTACGTACTTCATATCCCATCCAATATCCTCAACCCAATCCAGATCAAACTAACAAACTCCACAGCCGGCTACGCAATTGGCACAATCGCCGAACGAACCGCGACGATGCGCTGGGGCATCGAGCTCGCAAAAGCCTACTTCTCCACAACAACCCCAATCTTCAGCGTAATCACCCGCCGCGCATACGGCGTCGCCGGCGGCGTGATGCTCGGCGCACGAGACCCGCACACGCAAGTCGCCTGGCCGTCCGGACAATGGGGGTCTCTCCCGCTCGAGGGCGGGATCGAAGTTGGGCACAGGCACGAGCTGCGCGAGGCGGAGAAGGAAGGGAAGAAGGCGGAGCGGTATGCGGAGCTTGAGGAGGAGTATCGGCGGTTGATGAACCCGGTCCGGACGGCGAATGCCTTTGGCGTTGAGGAGATTATTGATCCGAAGGATACGCGGAAGGTTGTCTGTGGGTGGGCGAAGCATGTTTATGAGGGGTTGATGCAGATTCGGCTTGCGGAGAGGGCAGCGGGGAGAATTCAGCCTGTTTTTACTTGAACCGCTTTACATGTCGAAAGGTACCTGACTGCATGGTCTTGTGCCTGCAAATCCATATTCAGTCCCTGAATGCAGGCAGCACTCAAACCCTCTCCTATAACCGAGAGCCATAAGTTCATATCCGTCGTGGGAAGTGGTACCCCTCGAATATATGAAATCACCAGTCAAAACCCTTTCCCTGGTGAATCATCTTAAATATATTAAATAGTGGAGCAAGCGCTCAGCCCTAGACTCAGTTTCATCCATTTAGCCGGATCCCCGGAAATGAAGCTCTTGGCAGTAATATCCATCCATGTCGATAAAACTGCTCACTTCCTTTCTCGACCCTCTCGAGATTATCAAGCTACCAAGCTTTCGGAGAAGTTTCACCGTGTTATATTCTGTTGCGCGATCTACAAGATGAACTTCACTCTCGTCAACGGCCAGATCTACACGCCGGGCCTGGCGATCGTCAATGCGCCGCAGCCGTATACGCCGCTGGGGGGTGGTGAGTCTCGTAACCTCGCTCTTCTCGCCTATTCCCATCAAGTTCGCTTGCTAACGAGCAACGCATAGAGACACTCCACATCTCCCTCGACGTCTCCGGCAACGGCCAGCTCGCGCTAACACCCGACGACGACGAACCCACCCGCTTCCACGAGATAACCATCTTCCTCACATCGAGCGTGACAGAAAGAAACTTTACAGTCTCGAACGGGACGACTCCTACACTCGTATCAATAGATCTCGACTCCGACTCGGATTCTAGTTCCAACGGAAGCGTAACGGCATACACCGGCCCAATCCTCTCCCTCGAGCCCGGCTCAACGGTAAAACACGTAAACTGGGTGTGGCCGGACTGTTTTGTCGGAGCCGGCGATAGCGATAGCGACGATCAGGGCGCGAGGGGGAACTATAATATCTCGCTGCATCAGTACTTCCGCTGGAACTCGACAGACTACTACACAGTCTTTGACTTGCCGATTTCGGTGTCGAATGGGATCGACGAAGATGATGAGCGGGTGGAGTGCGGATTACTCGAGAATGAGTATCGGCCGGCGCTGAGTGCGGAGAGTGACCAGAGTGAGGACTTGCCTGGGCAGCCGTTTGTGGGTGAAGGGGTTGAAACGACGGTTTTGGAGGGGGTTGATGGGGAGAATGGGGGGAGTAGGCTTGGAGTTGGATGTGGGGTGGGTAAGGTGGTAAGGTGGGCGATCGTTGGGTTGGTGCTGGGAGCTATGCTGTAGGATTATTTTCTTTTATCTTGATTGTTTTACTTGTACACTCTATGATTCTATAATTTATCTTGTTAGGAAAGGCGCGATGGGCCGCTCTCTTCTACTATATATAGTCCTCGAACTCTACCAACCTTCTTCACTAAGCAACTTCATATTTACAATCTCTGGAGAGAGATCTTGACTGCAAATCATCTAGGTCTACTATCCAGTCCCAATCATTCAGTGAACGTTGTCTCCATAAACAGACCCGTTGTATAGTAACTCTAACCGAATCCGCGGAACCGGACCGCACTCCACATTTATTTCCCCATTTCTCCCCCACATTCCCCGACTTCCCCTCTCGTGTTCCTCACCGTCTCGCCCAGCTTGCTCCGTGTGGGAGCACATCGAAGCTAATGCTCCTTTATCCAAACCCGCACCAAGCTAGCTAGTCATACACCACGATGTCCCAAGGCCAATGGCAGTGTGGCCTGTGTTCCACGCAGTTTAGCCGTGCCGAGCATCTTCGGCGCCACTTGAGATCGCGTAAGTCTGCGCATACAGAGTATTTCTACCAGTGCTAATCGTATTTCGATTAGATGAGAATAAGCGGCCATACGAGTGTAGTCTCTGCCAGCGGTCTTTTACCCGACGGTACGTTTCTAGGTTCTTGGAGAAGGGAAGGAAGTCTAACGCAGATAGGTAGAGATGCGAAAACGCGGCATGAGAAGACGTGTAAAGCGACGATGCAGAGCCCGATGCCCGTAGCACAGTCTCAGCCAACTTTGTTTGGGACGACGAATCTCTCCCATGGCCTTGAAGATGACTTTCTGATGGACATGTCGATGCCGTACCCGTCTGACTTTTCGGCATTGGACTGGCTCTACTCCACGAGTACCCATATGAGTTCTGATAATATCATCACTGCAGAAAGGCTTGATTTCCTAGCGCATTTTACCAGCGAAAACGGGATGGGCACGTTCTTAGCGCCTGAGACACTAGAGGAGAGGCAGAAGCTCATACTGAAGCACGAGCACGAGTCCCGCACAGTCGGTGGTGGCCATGAGCTGCCTATCACCTCATCGATTTCCGCTGCCACACATCAAACAATAGAGCCAGCCATGCTCCACATCACCCCCGAAGACCTCGACCCCCTAACAGCTCGAACGTACGAGATTCTCCATCACTTCCGCAACATCATAACGACCAAAGCCTCTGCAACCGTCGTGAAACTTGACTGGACCCCCAATGTCGAATCCGCCGTTCGCTCCTTTTTCTCTCCAACAAATATCACCCGCTACCTAGGCTACTTCTGGTCCCTGTGGTATCCCAACTGTCCATTCGTGCACCGCGCCTCCTTCGACCCGCAAACTGCGCCACCTGCATTGCTCTGTGTTACGGTGTTGATTGGGGCATGTCTCTCACCGCACCGCGAGGATGCCGTCACGGCGCGGATGTGGCTCAATGTAGTTGAGGAGTTGGCGTTTAGTGACAGTTCCTTTTGGGAGGAAAGAGACGGCGGTGGGAGTGGAGGTAAGGCAGTGGTACTTGATCAGTATGTCGGGAGGAAGAAGAAGAGGCTCGAGTGTGTTCAGACGGTGTACTTGGTATGCTCGTTGCAGAAGAGAGAGGGGGATGAGGAGGCTAGGACTAGGGTAAGGAGGTATCGACATGCGACCATGGTTATGGTAAGACCTTCCCAGCGCTGTGTAGACGGGCGACTGACTTGAACAGCTCGCGAGAGATATCGGCCTCACGACCGCTTCTCATCGAAACCTTAGCATGGACACGCCCTCGGAAACATGGTGGCAGCAGTTTGCCGTTGAAGAGGGATTGATTCGGTGCGTACTCTGCCCTCAACATTATTCACAGCCCCAGTGTATGTGACCGCGCTGATAAGCCAGAACAATGACATATGTCTTCCTCTTCGACGTTGCCCTGACAATCTTCCACAACTCGCCGCCCCGGATGGTCGTTTCAGAGCTCAAGATGGAAATGGCCTGTCCCGAAGCCTGCTTTCAGGCCGAGTCAGCCGAGGAATGTTTCCGGTTATTGAAGGAGTGGGAGACCACGACCTTTTGGAAAAAGCGTCTCTCCATTACCTCTGTTTTGAAGACTATTTGCCAAACTGAGTTGACAAGCTCAGCTGTGGATGAGTACTCGCGTATGGGGAGTTTGAACTTGTTCACTGCTGTGCAGAGTACGCCTCCCTTTCCCTTTCGCTCTTTTCCCTTGTCAGAATGAAAGACTAACCGCATAGCCCTCCACTCCTTAACATTCCACCTCCGCAACTCGATCATTTTCGAATCAACCCTCCTTCCCTTAAAGACCGGACTAGAGAACTGGCGCCGGATCTGGAACCAGCGCGAGGCAGAGGACAAGTATGTCCCCGACACTCCGGACCAGATTTGGAAGAAGGTCGGGTTTGTAAGCTATTCGCCGGAGTTCTGGCATCTGGCGAGGATTATCGTTGAGAGGATCGAAGGGGATAGCCATGATGATGAAGAAGGTGAGGCAGATGGTTCGAGTTATGAAGACAAGAAGGTAGCGGCTGCGGGAAGGAGTCAGGTGCGAGATAGGGAAAGGTATGACCATACGGATATGACGGATGTGAATGGGTTGATCATGGAGTATCGGCGGTTGAGTTTGGGTGCAGTGTGAACTCTGTCTCTCAAAGAGGCCTATCGACTATTAGGAACTCATTCCCAGGACATCACAGCCTCAGTGCTGCAGAAATCGCCACGAAAAGCCGTGTGGTAATGGGAACATTATATCTCGGGCTTCGTCGGCCGCGGGTTCTGAGACCTCGGAGTGGTGTCTTGGAGGCTCTGTTCCCATTTGAGCGGCAACTATCGCCCTATATGCTTCTCCAATCGCACGGAGTCGCGTTACAAGTCTCAGGATTGCCTCAGGGAACTGGTACGAATGCTGGTGATTGTTCCTCGACAAATCCTCGATCTTGGCAATGAAGGTTTCGATTATCCCTTCAAGGTGGAGTGTATTCCGAACATGGTCGCGGTCCCAACCTTCACCGGCGAAGAGCAGAAGATTCGATAGCGTCCCGAGGACGTAGAAATAAGCGGACCAAACCGGATATGGGAGGTTTAGGTAATTTCGCGTCGGGATGGCTGAGAATAGATCGATGAATGCTTTTGCTGCGCTAAGGCATGAGGTGAGCAGGGTCAGGCCTGCGGATGGGTGTGTCTCGTGTCGAGGGAAGTCGTTCTCAAGGGCAATGCTGTATAACTTGATTTCGAGGGTAAAGTGATGCAATTGAAGAATTGCTAGAAGCGTTAGCCAAGCCATCTCCACCACGATCATTTTTGAAAGGTAGCGCACCGTCATGAAGACTGTGGGGCGGCTGCGTCTGTTTCGTCCGCTGCAACTCCGCCTCAAAAGTCTTGATACGCGTTAAGATTGGTGTAGGAGACTCCTCATAAGGGGCATCGTCATCAAGAGAGACCATACGACCAAGTCTCTCCACCATCCGATGTACCCGTACCAGTCGAACAAGATAGAGGTCTGTAGAGCCCCCAGCGGATTCAAGCACACGACAGCACTCTTCCGTGTATGCCGTGTATCGCATGGGTTCTACATCGTCCGTACATATCAAGGCTCTGGAAATATTTATTAGCTGTGCCCGAGAAGCAGAGGGAGAGGGCAAAATACACAGCACTCAGATAAAAGCACCCAAGGTACACCCGTCTTTCATCGAAAGTACGCCCCGCATTCTGGCGCGTAGGATCGAATCGAAAATCATCTAGTCGCAGCATACTCGTTCCTCCAGGTCCAGCTCCTGGCTTCCGACCCAACCCCAACCCACGCAGCATCCCCAGCGCCACATGCAGAAACCCACCAAACGAAGATTTCAGCTCAAGCTGGAACTGATACCACGCGAGAACAACCAGTAATCCCTGAATGAGATCAAGACTCATCTCGCCATTCGCAACGACTGAACTCCCGATCGCTTCTCGGATCCTGCGCTCCATGCGCAGTTGGCGGTTTGCGTTGCTTACGTCGGATACCATGAGGATCGTGTCGAAGAGGAAGGGACTCGATGCTTGAAGGTCTGCTGCTGTTATTCCCATTGGTAGCACGATGAAGGGGAAATAGGGGGATAGTTCGGTTTGGAAGGTTGTTAGGAGGGCTTGGGTTCCGAAGGCAGTTGAAAGGAGGTCGTCGGGGAGTATCGAGGTCGAGTCGCGGCTTCGTTCCTCGAGGGTGCTTTGTATAGATAATGGCGTCTGCGCCGTAAACGCAGCAGAGATGCTCTCGAGTCTCTCCTCGAGTCTAGCGACGTCACTGTCATGTACATATGTACCCCGTCAGCGACAGATGATGGATCAGATGTATAGGCGAGCTACATACGACGAGTCGCGACCCACAGCATCCACCCGTCTATGCGCCCCGGGAGCCTGCATGATGCATTCCCGATTTAAGCGGAGACATCTACATACGTAAAATACTGCATCAGCCTCATACCAAGACCCATGGCAACAACACAAGGAATTCAGGAGAACATAGGTAGGTAAGTAAGACATACCGCGTACAGCCCTCTGTCCCCGCTGAGACTTCACACCTAACCTTCAACCGCGCACAAGCAGTACAGGCCTTTGGTTCTCGAGGACGGAGAGGCCGGTGTTTTCTCGGCATTGCTTGCACAAGCCCGCACTAGGTACCGAGAGGTTGAATCACAGGCTTCGCGACAAGTAGGAACGTCTAGATCCAACTAGGTCGTATCTCCCGATTGGCTGAGATGACGTCCTAGGCTCTTCAGGCTCTACAGAGAGTCGAGACTCGAGCGATGCTCTGTACCGTCAATTGGTGTTGTGAGTGGGGCTGTGCTCTGAACGGAGCAGAGATCGGGGAAGAGCGTCCGGCACCGGCGCCGCTTGATTGGTTTTCCCGTGTAGCGTCACGGGACGCGGAATTCCGTGTCCCCTTTCGATCATGTTTGAGCTGTCGAGGACGGAGGGTCGGCGGCGGAAGATATGCTCTGCTGCGGTATATAAGAAGAGGTATTTCTCATGAGAATGATGAAAGTAGATACAGAAAACAGTCCTCTCTAGTGGCATATAATCCACTTTTCGAGCCTACATTTATTGCCAACCATACCTATATTCTATCCATCTTGCCCAGATATACATACTGAACCTTCAACCACATCTCAAAATGCTTCTCATCACCACATCCATCGAAATCAACGCCCCGCCAGCTGCTGTTCGCGAAAAGGTATCCTTCCATCTTAACCCTCGTATATCGCTGTTCCGACAAGAACAAAACCCCTACTAACAGATACTAGTTCCTCGACTTCCCCTCCATCCCAACATACACAACCGGCTTTGTGGGCAGCATAACACCCACGCCCGCCAAAGATCCTCACACGCTCGTCCCAGGCGACAAGCTCGCCTGCGTAATGGGCAACATGAATTTCGCCCCGGTGGTCGTGCGCAACGAGCCGACGATTTTCTCCTGGCGCGGGTCGCTTCCGCTCGTTTTTACGGGGGAGCACATCTTTCGCTTTGAGGATGTCGATGGGGGCACGAAGACGAGGCTCGTGCACGAGGAGAGCTTTACTGGATTGCTGGCCGGGATTATGGGGGAAGGGTGGATGGGGAGTCTGTCGGGCATGAGAGGAGATACGATCAAGGGGTTTGAGGGGTTTAATGTGGATTTTAAGAGGTGGGTTGAGGGAAGTGGGAGTCAATAATTTTGAGAGTTTGACTGTTGTGTGTTTTCATTGAATGCTGGTGTGGTTTCGTTTTGTTCTGCTTTATATACAGTAGTATAGTAGCGTCAATTGTTATTCTTTCTTTATTCATATTTGTTCATAGCTATTTTCTCATGATATCACACCTTCTCAGAACTCGACTCCCGTCTTCGAACCCTGACGCTAAAATCAGTCGGCTTGACGAACCAAAAGTTCTCCGTATTCCACGTCGCTTTCTCCGCAACGAAATCAAGGTCGCGTAGAATACGAGGAATTAGCTTCGACATCTCCAGGATGGAGATGTGCTTCCCAAGACACGTTCTTGAGCCAAGACCGAACTGCAATATCGATTAGCAATCAATACACAAGACGAACAATAAAGCAGGAGTGAATAAAGGATGTGACGTACAGGCATATAAACCTCATTCATAACCTTCAACCTCGCAGGATCTCCTTCAGCCTCGATCCACCGCTCCGGACGGAACCTCTCCGCATCTGGGAAGACGGCCTCGTCGTAGTGATACACCCACGCATTGACCCCGACAACCGCACCCTCGGGGAAGAAATGTCCACTAATCTCTGCGCCACCGGGAGGCACGACGCGCCAGAAGGGTAGGCCCGTTGCACTATGCATGCGGAGGGCCTCTTTCATGACGGCCTGGAAGTACGGCATGTCCTGGCTTTCCTTGAACGTGACGCGCTCGCTGCAGCGACCTTGTTGAGTAAACTCGTCGATTTCTGCGCGGAGCTTCGCGAGGACGGGTGGGTTGTGGACGAGGTGGTAGAGTATAGCCGAGAGACTTATAGCTGTTGTATCGGAGCCAGCAATGATGTTCGACAGACCCATCATGAAGACGTGGTAGTCTGTGACCTTCTCCGGATCCTTGTCTCGGGCGAGAATCATTTTCTCGAGAAAGGTCTGTGTCTTTAGTGAACCTTCTTTAACGGCGGGCTTTGGTTTGGAGCTGAATTGTGCGATCTTCTCTTGCACGTAGCGCATCAGATATGTGCGTCCACCGGCTCCAGACCATTTGAATCCGCTTAGCGGGCCAAAGAGACGCGGGTGCCACTCGTGGTATATTCCGATCAATGTGCTGTATTTAAGGACGTGGCCGAGGGCGTCGATCGTCCCGTCGATGTCGTGGCCCTTGTCAAGGAAGCCTACTATGGTCAGTCTCAAACTGCAGCTTCACGGATGGCCACCTACCAAACCGCTGCCCATAGGTAATCTGCCCGATGACATCAAACGCATAAAACTGAAACCACTCGCCGAGGTTAAACGTCACATCCCGGTCCGCGAATTCACCCAGTCGCTGGAAAAAGACATCTGCGCTCTGATCCACGAATTCCTCATAAGACACCAGCGAACTCATCGAGTACAAGCTCGAGAAGCGCTTCCGAGTCTCACCTGTTGCCATAAGTTAGTCCCCACTCCCGTAATCCCCACCTTCAAGCCCATCTGAACGAAATCAAACGCACCATGCCTCTTAATATCCCTGTCCGGAAACAAAGTCCACCTCTCCGGATCCGGATGCTTCCATCCCTCATACCAAGCGCTCTTCGCGAACTTCGTCCCGGGCCCGTAAATCGTTCTCAGTGCGGTCCGGTCATTGATGCTATACTGCCCCGGAGCAATCCGGACAACGGTTCCGTATTTCTCGTGCAGGGCGATGTTTTCTTTTTCGAATTTGCCGTTCCATACCCGTCGGAAGTACCAGAAGCGCGTGAAGCGTGTCCACAGCGGCCCGGGGATGGAGAGGAGGGTTCGGTGTGTGTAGCTTGTGGCTAGCACGGTGAGGATGTACCGTGTTATGAGGAGGATTGGGGGGAGGGAGAGGAGGAGGAGGATGTGCATTATGAAGAGGAAAGTGGTGGGAGCAATATGTTCACTGAGTCTGCATTGTGGGGGGTTCCATTTGATGTTCTTATATAATAAACTGTTGCGTTTGACAGTGTTTGCGAAGCTTGGGGGGTAGATCGACGAGCTAACCCCACCCCCACCGCCACTGCGGAGGTGTGGTCCTCCATGCAACCGTGCAGGCCTATTGGAAGCCGTGCGATCCGTCGAGCAGTCCCCCAGACCCATTAACTCCTCCAACGTTGTACAACGCTGTAGGTAAATAGCTCCAGCCTAGTATGGTAATACATATATCGTGCGGTATCGGATTGTTGTCCACGTGCCGAAACTCTGTACATTTATGCCGAGAGCAGCGGAGTCTTGGTCTACAAGAAATTTGCGCGCACCTGAGGATAATGAAAACCAAACGCCTGACATTAGTTTCAAGAATAGAATACATAGATCATGAGGGTGATATGTTGAGAAGAGATTGGTAGAAATCAATCCCTCATAGATAACCCCAGTATAGTAAACTGACGGACCGAATCCGATGTATTGGTGTCATTGGGAAAGACACCGAACTTAGCTCCGGTCCGAAAGCCCGGCAGTTGCAAGACAACAGCCTGCACTCAGGCACGACGGTCTCCCCACAGACCAACAATCCCCATCGCAAGCGCGATACCGGAGAAAATCCCCCGCACGCCTTGCAAGCGGCGCTCAGCATCCATCTCCCTCCGCACACTCTCCCCATTGACGCTCTCCTCCGCCTCGACAACAACAAGATCCTCCTCCTTCTTCTGTGTCTTCTTCGCGCGCGAAGACAAGTACCCCATATCCTGAGCGACGCTGCAGATCCAAGCCTTGACACCACTCTCGCGATGGAACCAGTAGTCGACGCCGTAGGAGCCGATGGTGGACATGACGACCATCCAGACCAGGTACGGGTGCTTGCGGTGGCGCGGAGAGATGCCGTATGCGAGGAGCAAGCAGACGTTGGAGATGTTTGCGAGGCGGAGCCCGTGTTTGCGGTTTAGGCGCTTGACTTCGGCGAGGGATTTGGATGCGCCTGAAGAAGTCGTGAGGAGGCTTAGGGAGGGGACGGTGATGGTTGATGCCGAGTATGAGAGGCCCTACACTAGTAAGTACCACTCGGATGGATGGATTGTGCTGTTTTCCAGCAGAGTTTGGATTGATTGACATACTGTTAACAGGCCGAGGGAAAAGGTCCCGATGAATTTGGTGACGGTGATGGGGCAGGCCATGGCGACGGCTCGACTGCGGCCAGTCGGGTAAAAGTATCGTAGTTATGACCGGTAGTCAATTATCTGGTTGTCCCTGAAAGATTGATAAAAAAGTCGCCTGCGGTGGTCGCGTGGGGATGAAGAGTTGCTGTTCCGCTGAACCTGATCTTTGATGCGCTGGAAAAATGTTGGTGACGTCGGGTGTGGCCTGATTGTGGCCTGAGGCGAAACACAATCTACCAGTTAGAGCGCCGGATTTGTCAACGCCGCGAGCATGCCTATTTCTCCAGCACTGGATCTCATTCCACACTGCGAGCAAGACCATACATGGAGATGGGTTTCTGGGTACGCAAATTTGTACATCAAAGTGATCTCAGTCAGTCGAGCTCCCACGTCCAAGAGGGTGAATTTGTGCGACATGAAAATAGAAGCGCCGGTGCATTCTCGCGTGGTCGTTCAAGATACAAAATCGTAGTTTGCAAAGGGATGTCTGAACAGTCGGGTCTCTTGAGCGAAGAAGCATCTATTTACTATACAACTAACCCCATCTTCATCCATTCGCAGGCTTCATTTGTGGGAGCCAGCCTATTTTGGTAGCGATTTGGTATCGGTTGTTGAGTATCTCGTTGGGACGTACAGGATAGCAGTGCTGAGGCTTATGAAACGTGTGTTGTTCCTCAACCAGATTTGCCGTTGGGAGTAGTTTTGCGGGAGCGAGGACGGTTTGCAGGGAACAGACTGGATAGTTCTCCTCAGATACATAGCCCGAAGGAAATAAGCATGTTATTCGCTCCAAGTTCGCTCAGATATTGACTTTTGTTTGTTGTGTTGAGAGCAGAGAGCGTGTTTGTATAAACGGACCAACAGGCAAATATTGAAATGCAGCGGACACATCCAATTCCAGCCTTGGGTTTGTCACAGTAGACCAAGTATGAGGCAACTTGGGGATTGTGGACACACATTTGACAAAGGCATATAGCAATTTTATGCTTCCAATTGTGCACAGCATTAGATAAGAGTAAACTAACTCGATTAGGCACAACCGAGGCTCCCGATAGCCGCGGCTGAATTTGTGGGGAAGATGAAAGAGACAGGGGAGCTGTCAGCTTCGACTCCCTTTCATTCATAAACCCACTACAATCGTTTTCCCTCCCAGATCATTTCACTCATTAGACCACTTAGACCCCTCCGTCAAGATGCCACTCCCGAAATCAGACTACCTGAGCGACACCTGGAAGGACGGCCTGTTCAGTGAGTCCGAACCACTGTTTCTCGTGCGATAGCTAACCCCCATTAGCAAACAAGGTCGTCTTCTGCACCGGCGGAGCCGGCACCATCTGCAGCGCGCAGGTCCGCGCCCTCGTTCATCTCGGCGCCAACGCGTGTATCGTCGGACGGAACGTCGAGAAAACCGAGAAAGTCGCCCAGGATATCGCCACCGCTCGACCGGGGGCAAAGGTGATAGGAATCGGCGCTGTCGACGTGCGGTCCATTGACAGTCTCAATAATGCGGTGGAGCGGTGTGTCAAGGAACTCGGAGCGATTGACTTCGTCATGTAGGTTCATGCGTTCGCGTTATTGCGTTATTCCCTCTTGCTCATGTTGGATGCAGTGCTGGTGCGGCGGGAAACTTCCTGGCCTCGATCAACCAGATCTCTGTGAATGCTTTCCGGTCGGTTATGGAAATTGATGTTTTGGGCTCGTACAATACGCTCAAGGCCACTCTTCCGCATCTGATAGAATCAGCGAAGAAGCACAGGGTGGACTCGAAGACATGTTTGTGGCCCCTTATCGCATTATCGGGCTTGACTAACGTGGTCAGTGAAACCATCTCCAGCGGGAACTGGAGGCCGAATCATCTTTGTTAGCGCAACACTACACTATACCGGCACACCATTCCAGGGTCACGTCGCAGTCGCCAAAGCGGGTATCGATGCCTTGTCAAATACAGTCGCGCTTGAATTCGGACCCTTGGGAGTTACCTCGAACGTCATTGCTCCTGGTCCTATTGCCTCGACAGAGGTACGTTCTTTCAGCATACTTGAGAACTTGACTAACATATTCAGGGTCTGGACCGCCTCCTCCCCTCCGACAAAATGGCCAAAGTCGTCAAGTCGCAGCCTCTCGGTCGCTTTGGCTCTGTCCGAGACATTGCAGATGCGACCGTGTACCTCTTTGCAGACACCGGTAGCTACGTAAGCGGACAAATCCTTGTTGGTAAGTTCCGGTCATCGTATCAATAATTTAGTTCGAAACTAACAAAGAGCAGTGGACGGTGCCAGTTGGCGCATCTCATCTGGCGTGGGGTCGGCGGATTATCCCGATTTCCTTCTTTCAGGCGACACGTTTCAGAACGTCAAGGGGAAGAAAAAGGCGAAGCTTTGAGCGTTTATATAGGATAGACTTATGCTGTTAGGTACTCTATCAATCATGGATATATGCATTCATCTTGTGTTGTGTTGATCCTGGTCGAACAACTGACTCGCAGTTCAGCGTTCTTGTTAATTCGACAGTCCTCAAAAAAGCCAGCGGCCCTTATCGTTGAAACTTTCGGTGAACAAGGAAGTTGATCCGCAAGGTACCTCTCAGACTGTCGAATCTGCGATTTGTCTTGTTATGGTTTGAGCCATCGCCGACGCAGTGCGTTGTTCACGTTTCTCAACAATCATATTCAGGCAAAGATAAACAGGTTTGTTCCTCTCTCCAGACCTGTTGCTGGCAAAGGCCACCGCAGTCAACAGAATGAAATCAGCCTACGAAAAACCTCAAGTATCTAAAAATGGGACTGAAACATCGGACAAAGGTTACGACGAAGAGCGCTCGAGAATGTCCAGCATCCCATTGTTTACGAACCAAGCAGACGCGAGTCTCGTTTCATCAACAATGTAACAACGCCTTGTTTTGCAAAGAGCGGTTGAATGGTCTTGACAAAGAAGACCTGTCTTTGTTCAGCGTGCTTATAAGTACTAGTTTGATACCCGCTGGATTGCCCCTTCATCCCCATAAATCTCGGCCTATTGACTCCTCACATTAACTCGCAATCAAGCCAACAAAGACAAAGCAACGAAACAAAGCACCTACTCAATCGACATCGCTTAATACACCAAGAACCACTCAAGCAACATGTCTTACACCGGCTCTTACTACGATCCGGAGGACCCAAAGGGCAAGCGCAGAAAGTCTAGAACCTCCGACTACCAAAGCTCGGATGCTGGAACAGTCCGGCCTGGAGGCAGTCCTTATACGCCCGAACCCGAGAGCTCAGAAGAAACCGGGCTCAGCAGCTCCAACTTGTACGATGCCAGCAGTTCGGATGAATTTGAGCGGACGACAAGGGAGACCAGGGAGACAAGCGCCGACGGCGCCACCCCAGAAGCCGCACGCCAGCCTCAGCCTACGCGTAATCCGCTTAAGAACTTTCTTAACGATTATCTCGGCAACCCGGCAACACCAACCGCAGAAAAGGTGTCAATGGTTACTGATCTGATGGAAGGCACGGCGGCTGCAGACACCATCGCGCAGGCAGTAGGTCAGATAACCGATCACAACGAGGTGGTGAACACTTATCAACAGGAGAATGCCAAACTCCAGGCAACACTCGCCCGATTGAGAAAGGAGAACGGGTTGGATGGACTAACCGCAGACGGAGATCCCACCAGACAGAAGCAGCTCGAGATGATTGAGAAACTACAAAAGGAAGAGCGGGCGTTACGGAAAGAACTGGCAAAGGAGAAAGCCACCGTCGCCGGCTTGAACGTCACCCTCGATTACGCAGGCAACGTCGTGGGTGACTATCGGGGTAAGATGGTCGACTACGAGCAAAAGTCCAAGAATTGGATCAAGAGCCTCGAGACCTACATTGGAACACTAACCCTCGAGAACGTCAACCTGAAGAACCAAGTCGAGGAGATCAAAAACTTTGTCGTTTCTGTCCGTAACACCGACACTAGCAGGTGGCAAAATATGTTGAAGGAGGAACAAGACGTCAAGGAGAGACAAAGACGGGCGGAATCTGGTGAAAGACTGACATATGGAACTATCGATAGGGAAATGCAAGATGTCAATGGCGGGGACATCAACATGCCAGATGTGCCCGAGCCGTATATCCCCCCGGCCGCGACGCGTGTTCGACGCCGTCTCGCCAACGTCAAGCCCCAAGCCAAGCGAGCAGGCTCGCCAGAGGTACAGATCGCGCGGCCTCCAGAGTGCAGATCGAGGATGGCCCGCGCTTGCGAGGCGTACTTGAAACTCGTCGATAAAGAAGGTAAGGTGATCAGCCCTGTGAGACCACCCAAGCAAAATGTAGCAAAAGTCCTGCCGCGTAAGCGTACGCGGCTGGCAAAAGGAACTGATATGGTTAGGAGAGTCGAGGCAGTCGCACAAGCAACGAGGTTGCCGCCCCTGCCCAAGCGGATCGGGCCCTGGTACTCGACCAACCCGTACGACAGGCGCAATGACGAACTACTGGCGAAGATGATGGCGAAGATCACCTTCACAAGAGATGAGCACGAGGATCGAGGAATTCAGACCGAACTCGACCTTGGGTCAAAGCTTGTTAGCTACTACAGACCCGTGGAGCAGATCGAGGGCTACATTCCCAGAGTGAAAGTCTACTCAGGCCCTTCCTATCTCCCTCCACAACCCACTCCGCTCTCGAGAGACCAGCGCGCGCGATGGGCAATGATCGCAGACAAATGGACCCTCGGACCCGAACGAGCGCCCAAGAAACAGGTGAGATTCGCAAAGGACGTCGACTTTGAGCCCAGACACATGGACCAGCGCCCCGCACCCGAAAGGAAAGAACCCCAGACCTCCCGATTCCGCATCAACTGGGCTCACATGCTAATCATCCTTCTCACGTTCCTGCTCTGGTGGTCGAATCTGGGCTCGCCCGAGGACCCGAAGCAGACGTGGAAGATGGCCAACAGGAAGCCCGACGAGTTTGCGGCCAAGTTGAGGAATACGCATGAGATGGATAGTAGGGCAGTGAAGATTATTGAATTCGAGGTTGGGAGGTTTAGTGATATTGATCCGGGAGTTATTGGGTGACTACAGGGACTACAGGTATGTTGCATTTTGCTTTTATATTGTTCTTTGTATATGCTTTCAAATATAATGATCTATCTTCAAAGAATTTGCTTTTATTCTAGTTGTATTTTAAGAAGACTATGTAGGATAAATAAATCCCCGTGTTCATTGGTAAGTATCAGGCATATAGTGCCCTTTCTTCATACAAATCGTGGGAGTAGTAACCGGAATGCGCCTCTTCCCATCACTGAGGCTCAGCTTTGTAGGAAGTACTAACTCACTAGGCTATTAGAGTATACGAGGCAGACTATTGTTCTCAGGCTTATACAACAACGATTGTGGCGGATTTTCTTGAGGCTGATATAAAGGCTGCCTTGAAGTATATAGCCCATTTAACGCGACGAGCCCTGGGTGCTGTATTTCGCTACCTAGCCCGGGATCAGACAGTTACCAAGGCTGGTTTTCCTATATACTGTGTGAAATTTGGACATAACGTGGTTGGCACAGTGACTATAGACCACCAATAACAGGATAGTCATCAAAAGGTGTTTCTAGAAATACGTATCCACTAGGGGGCGTTGACTGTAAGAATACTAGTACAACTAAATACGTTCTCTCTGATGGTACAGGGGTATCGAGGTGTCAAGGCGCTTTTTGAAAATTCCAAAATATTGCAGCCTTGTTTGATCTGTTGCGCCACAACTTGGGTTGCGCTAAAATAACTGATTCCTGTACCACCTCTAATATTTTTATATTTATTCTCACATTTATGATATTTCGTGTGTTATGAATGCTGAACTATGGGGATAGAGGTTTAAAACTCGACTAGCCTGCTATAAATGGGTGATTTTGGGTTGCTTTATCTGATTCAAGATGTATAGCATCAGGTAGAACGAGGCGTTCCCAGAAGTGACTCGCGAGCAGCGCCCACTACTAGTATTTTGCATTTCCGATTACCAGCCAGTCAGATATGACATGGGAGTTCTCGTGTGATCTGGCGCCAATCCGCAGGCCCTCCGGCTCCTCCGAGTCCGATTGCATCGCAAGCTCGCAGCCTCGCAGTCTATGGAATCGGAGTGTGCAGTGCACGCCTTAGACGGGGCTAGCGGCCAATCTCCCGGTCGGATAAGAATAACTTGTTATCGGAGCCTCAATAGGTTCATCGCAGCTCAGTGCCTCAAGCCCAAGAGATGCTATACAAGCCATCAGGGGTCATGCTGGTCAACAAAGGATTGCGAAACACTGTCAAACAATTCATGCTCAATAGTCTGCAAAGAGAATGTTTGGAGTCGTCAGCAATCCACTCTGGCATTGAAGAAGGCGCCACTAGACCCAAAAGCGAATAGTGGTTGCGTCAGCCTGAGGACACAGCCAATCGCCTCCGAACCGTCCGTTATCCGTATCCGTAGCCGCCTCCCAACTTCCCTCTGCCATCTCTCCATCCCACTCTTCAACCTCTGTGAGATTTGATCAGCTTAAATACATTCTGTCATCCAACCTCTGTCCCTCTTTCTCATGTTCATCTTCTAAACACCTTGTCGCCATGACTCTCCGTTCTTTCCTGCTCGGGAGCACCCTGGCCCTTAGCAGCGCTAGGGCCATGCTGGTTGTTCCTGAAGTCGACGCTGACTTCACCACTGCCGACATTGCAAAGATTCAGCCTGTTGAGGTTGAAGCTGCCCAGCAGCTGGATGTTGACCTACTCTGCACTGGATGTCCCTTTGCCATCCAGAGTGGTGATGAGACCTCCTTGGTGAGTCCGCCCATACTCCCTGCGCTATCCATATTAGTATAAGAGGCTAACTTTTGCAGTCGCTCAAATTCACTATCGACGATGGCCTTCTTTTGGCCAACGACCGCCAGATCTTCCCTCCCGCCCCTCCCGCCGCAATCACCGCCGTCGAGCGCCGTCGGGAAGATGGTGAAGAATCCAACCCCATCTACCTGGGCTACGCCGTTGAAATGATGCCGCTCCCATCGCCCCCCGATGAGCCTTTTGATATGGTCGAAGTACGATTCACCGTTCTCGATATTGATGGATACCCCGTTCCCCTTGACACTGTCGCCATTACCCTTATCCACGACGCAGAAGGCAACCTATACGTGGCTGGCACCAACATTGAGGATACTGCCGACCGCGAGTCTTGGAGGAAGTGTGGTGGAAAGTCGAGGTGCCTGAGACGGTACCTGATGCACCGCATCCGGACGATGTTTGCTGTGGCCAAGGAGCGCCTCATCGGGATGTTCAAGGGCAAGGAGTGTGGCGGTCCTCGTCCTCCTTTCCCCCCTCACCCCCATGGCGACTTCGACCAGTTCTCACCTGTTGACGGGAATGATGAGCCACACCGTGGTCCTCACCGTCACCACGGCCACCACCCTCACCCTCACTACCACGACAAGTTCCACAAGACCTGGGAGCACACTCTTCACCGCGTCATGCGCTTCGTCGTCGTTCCGGCCATTCTCGGAGTTCTGGCAGGTCTTGCTGCGAGCGCCATCGGTATGCTGGTTGGCCAGCTTGCCATTTTCATGTGGCGCCGTTACCGCCGTACTTCCAAGGAGACGACCGAGGAGGGACTGGCCCATGAAAAGCAGGGTCTGATGACCGAGTCTGCGGACGACCTGCCCCCAGCATACACTGATGAGAGTGCCCCTGAGCAGGTTGCTGACAAGGCATGAAGAGCTCGCATGCGAGAGCTTGTCGTGAATAAAATGCCAGTATTCTAAGGAACCTGTGAATGGAGGCTGGGGCTCTAGCTGCTGGACGGGAAGAGCTATGTTTGAACAGCAAAGGCGATCTGATTTCCTTACTCCGCTTTACTTCCGTGTTCTCAGTTCTCGCTGGTTATTGTTACACTTGACTCGCAACTAATCTTCTAGTATCACTAAACAGGCGATAGTTTACCAACATGTAATTATCTACTTATTTTCCCTGTCTATTGAGCAACGCTTTAACCTGTAAGAGCAGTAATTTACTTGCATCTTGGTGAGATCCGGCGTGTTTCAAGAGGCATTACATCACGTGAGGCGAATGGCGGATGCCTGCCAGGGACGATCAGCTCGACTGGCCGATTCCCCTCCTCCCGCCTTGAACACCACCACTGAGGTGCTGTACCTGTCGAACGCCGGCAATGACAACCGAATGATGCTGCGCTAGCTTCTACAATGACCTTGAATTACTCGCTGACCCTCCGTCGGCTTTTGTCCATCTCCAGCGCACAGGTCTGAGTGCTTCCGAGCTTCAGCAGCTCCCGCCTCTGCCGGCTGAGCCTCACAGCCTCACTTAACCTGACCTCGAGGAAACCGTGTACACTCGTTTCACCCTTGTGCCATCAAACCAGGTCGGGATCCGACCGGCTCGCCTTTCACCAAGATGATGCAATGGTCGTCCCTCGTCCAGAAAGCTCAGTCCTTCATCGACCCGGCCAACTTTAATATCCCCAACCTCACCTCCTCCTCCGACCGGAACCCCTCAAAAGCCTCCTTATTCCGCCAGCAGTTCCGGCTCCCCGATTCACAAAACCCGCTGCAAGAGATTACCGCAGAGCTTATACTACCTTTATCACAGTCCACAGCTTCCGGGAATCAGTCTCGGAATCTCGATCGCGGCGGAAATCGGTATGCCGGTAGGCTGCATCTGAGCGAGCGGTTCATCTGTTTCTCGACGCAGCCTACTAGCTTCGTACCGTCTGCTACGCTTGGTGCCTCGACACATTGGGCGGGTCAAACAAATGGTACGGGCCCATCCGGAAATGGGTTTACGATTCCTCTTTGCTGCATCCGCAGGGTAGAGCGGCTGAATAGTCTCAGCCATGTGTTTTCACTTGCATTGACAACGTGGAATGGCGCACTGGGCAAACAAGCGCCTGGTTACATCCCGCAGAGATTTACACTCGAATTGGTCGGGAGCAGGCAGGCCTGCGAGCGGTTCTGTGATACTCTGAAGAAAAGTCTGCGGGAGTCTATGAAGGAGATAGAAAGTCTACGTTCCGTCGTTAATGATTGCTACTCGGAGTATTTGCTTTCGGGCGCAAAGTCGAAGAGTCAGTCGCCTGATGCCGCGGATGCGCGACAGCCTCCGGACGCTGGTCTGGGGATGCTCTTCCGCTACCCGGGTGACGCCCGTAAGCTGAGAGATCGGAGTAAGATGAGACTGTGGGGAGAATATTTCCGAGGTATGAGATATTTACCTATTTTATTGGATGGCTGCTGAATCTTGCAGAAAATGGCCGTAACGCAACTCTGATTCGGCAGCCTACGTTCCATAAACTCATCCGTGTCGGTCTTCCCAATCGTCTCCGTGGTGAGATTTGGGAAGTAGCCTCTGGGTCACTATACCTACGGTTGCGGTCGCCGAAACTGTACGGTGAAACTCTCGCCAAATTCGAAGGCCAAGAGTCGTTGGCAATCGACGAAATCGAGAAGGACCTGAACCGTAGTTTACCCGAATACGCGGGCTTCCAGAGCGAAGAAGGAATCGGCCGCCTGCGAAGGGTTCTTACTGCGTATAGTTGGACCAATGCTGAAATCGGCTACTGTCAAGCGATGAACATTGTGGTTGCAGCACTATTAATGTAGGTGATCGACGGTTCATACGAACCAGCGCTGACAGTACTAGATATATGTCTGAAGCGCAGGCCTTCTTTCTGCTGTCCGTCCTGTGCGATCGCCTCGTGCCCGGATATTACTCGACTACTATGTACGGGACACTGCTTGACCAGAAAGTGTTTGAATCCCTTGTCGAAAAGACTATGCCGGTGCTGTGGGAACATCTCTCCAAGTCTGACGTCCAGCTTTCTGTTGTTTCTCTCCCCTGGTTCCTTTCCCTATATATCAACTCCATGCCCCTGGTATTCGCCTTTCGAGTTCTCGATGTGTTTTTCTTGGAGGGTCCCAAGGTTCTTTTCCAGGTCGGATTGGCTATCCTTCGTATCAATGGAGAAGAGCTGTTAGACGTTCAGGACGACGGTTCCTTCATCTCGGTCCTCAAATCATACTTTTCCCGTCTGGACGAGTCGGCTCACCCTCGATCGGAAAACCCCAAGCTTCGAGCCATTACTCGGTTCCAAGAGCTGATGGTTGTCGCTTTCAAGGAGTTCTCTCAGATTACACATCAGACAATCACGGAGCAGCGTGAGAAGCATAAAGATGCTGTTCTGGAGAATATCGAAAGTTTCGCCAAGCGAACATCGATTCGAAACCTGGGACCAGACAGCAAGAAGCTGAGTCTTGAGGATCTCGGCGCGGTATACGACCGCTATTATGAAATCTTATACGACTACCAGCAAAGGCAGAAGCTGCTCGAAGAGGAGAAGAGGCGGCAAGAAAGGAAGAAGTCTGAGCGGATTTCTGTTATTGGGCCAGTCGTGGATACAGAGGTTGGCCGCGTCGGACTTGGCCCTAGCCCGACGCATATGGACTACGATGCATTCAGAGAGTTCCTTGCCGCTACGTCAAAGTGGGCCATAGCTGACTCCCCTGGCCCGTCTCGAAAAGAATCGACAGCCGACTCGGGTAGTTTCAGAGGGTTTGGCCGATCCTCATCTATCTGGAACAATAGACCTTCCCCGGCGGACCACGAATTCATGCAGCGTCTTTTCCGCAAGTGGGCTACCGATCCAGCAGAAGGGCTGAGCTTGCAGAATGTGGTCAATGGGATCGCGCGCCTCAAGGGCCCACGCGATATCATGAACAACATCAGCTACTTCTTTGATCTCTATGACGACAATGGCGACGGCAAGGTTGACAGAGAGGGTATTCTCCGAATGTCGGAAGCGTTACTCTTCCTATCGAGGCGGGGATTCGAAGGCACAATCACCCCTAGTCAAAGTACGGAAGACCTGAAGGAGGGTCTTGAGCAAGAGAAGCTCAGTACCGGTGAACGATTCCTCGGCAGCGTTAGCTCATTCATCCGCCGATGCTTTGAGTACGCTGATCCTACGAACAAGGGCATGGAGGAAGAAAAGGTGGCCGAGACTGCCGAGAAGCTCGACTCGTTTGCTATCGGGGATGATGAGGAGGATTTGATCGACATTGGAGATGACCATGTAAAAGCCAAGTCATCAACACCAACTCCCGACATCGAAACCCCAGAGACAGCAAATAGTGAACCCACAGACACGACACAGCGTCACCGCAGCGTATCCGAGTCGGCCAACCCCGCTTTAGATCCGAACAATCCCCTTCACATCACCCTTCCCACATTCCGAATGGTTGTTCTGGCCGACGAGTTGCTTGAGCAGTTCTTCGACGCGTACTTCCCACAGTCATTCCACCTCTCCGACCAAGGAGCAGCGGCCACACTCCTCCCAACTCTGTCATCCAACCTCACCACATTCTCCAACATTGGCGCTGCTAAACCACATGTCAGTGCGGCTGCCGGTGCCACCGTTGCAGGCGCATCTGGCGGTATCGTTCCACCAAACAGAGGCCTCCGTGGCGTTCTTGACAACATTGTCTCGGACGGCATCCGCATGGCGGCCGAGGTGAAGAAGCGCATGGATGAGGCACAGCGCGATCTAGAGCGCAACGCACTCAACCGCGAAGACGACGATGAAGAAGATGAGGACGATGACGGACCGCACAGCGCCACCGCACCATCTATGGTTGGGGGCATCTCATCCTGGGGTGCAGGAGCCTACGGCGCGGACCCCGAGCGCCGCAGCGTCCGAGACACAGACCGCGATTTGCTTGAAGGCGCCGAAGTCGTCAACATTCGCGGCCGCGACGAACAGACCTCGTCACTCATCGACAGAGACACACAGCAAGGTAGCAGTCAAGGTGAACCCACCCGCGACGACAACGTGGTCAGTAAGGTAGTAGAGTTCGAGTCATGATACATGCATTCCACAGTCTTTACTCAATGCAGCAGCACCTTGGTTTGTGGCTGCTTGTTTCTGATGTTCCTGCGGCGGCGCCTGTTATCTATTTAGACAGTTCTGAGTGATCAATATATAATCCGACGTGTGGTGCTTCGATGGCTGCTCGCCCTTATGCTCGAGTCTGTGCCAAGATCTCTGTAAGGCTTAATGTATCGATTCTCCTTGTGTACCCCAAGGTAGCAGTCCCTTACATACCGTGATTATCCTCCGCATCAGGAAGTTCTCTAAACCCTGCTGACGCCCCATTCGAAACCAAGTCTCGACAAGGAGCTCCATTCTCTGGTACAGTGCGCTCACAAGCGTGTCTCTGCTTCAACCTGTACCTAAGTAGACACAGCCTGAGGTATGATCTTCTGACCAACCGATCAAATTGGTCGATAGGGTCATTTGCGCGCCCTACATTTCGTAACAGGCACACAGACAGCACCACCCGCCGCTGGAACTGGTCTTGAGCCCTCGATTCCTACCAAACCGGGGCCTGACTCGCTTGGGAAAGCTACTATGCTCTTCTTTAACGGCTCTTGGCTCTGGCCCCCCTCTCCTCCGCCGTCGCGTGGTCAACCATCCCGGTTATAACGAGTAAAAGCCCTAACTAGTCGGACGCTGCCAGTAGATAAGATCCCCTCCAGGCGGGAAGCCAGTGCCTGTGCTATCGTAGAGGTGGGATACGGATACAAAGGTTGAGACGGGGTATGGTGGATGGGGTCTATAGGGCTTCGTGTTCGTCTGCTTGAGTACCAATTCATGCGTCCCTCTTGATTTCTGATAGATGGGATTCACTATAGCAGGCGGGTAGTGGGTGCACATATTATCTATAGGTTGACGTGGCTGGTAAATGAGTGATTATAGCTACCTGGAAGGATATAGCAGCTGTCTTTCCTGTAATACTAGATGCGCGAGCTCGTCTGTTAGATACCAGAAATCGGCAAAGGAAGTACATCGGTCTAGTACCCAGGTTAATGGACATTCCCAGCCAGTCAACAGGTGTCTACAACCCATTTGACCCGAGTCAGGGATCTCAGATCAAACATCCATGTGCATACATCTATTCCAGATCAACAAACGGAACCGGCAAATTCCGAACCGCATACCCCCTCCACTCCGGCAAGCTCCTCTGCCACTTTGTACGTGAGCTCTTCTGCAAATCCTCAATGGCACTGGCCCACTTGATCAGCGCCGGCTCTGAGAACGCAGTATTGAGAATTGCCAGCCCATACGGCATCCCGGATTCGGTGTTTGTACCTGCTGGTATTGTAATCGCGGGATATCCCGCCTGTGCGGCGATCTGGATACTCTGCGCTACATCCGCGGGGACCAGCAGGCCATCTAGGACGACGGTATTATTGTTAGTTAGTTTGAGCGCAGCATCAATCCCCTCCTCACGAGACGTGCGGCGGCAAAACTCCAACGCCCGGTAGTACGTTCCATCCATGATCCCCCTAGACGCAAGCGCGGCCTCGAACCCGTCTTGGCCGGACCCAAAGGCCGGGTTGATAGATGGGAATCCGCCTTCAGACCCATAGTTCTCCCGATTATACCGCACGATATCGTCGAGGGAGCGGATATTCGTATTATCCAGCTGCGCGAGGTATGCCCTGATGTGATTGTAAAAGTCCACCTTGACATAGCTGTACTCGGATTCATTGGGATACCCGCGAGCCGAGCCGTAGTCCCAGTCCCAGCCCGTGGGCGGGACGATGGTTCTGTAATGAGGGAGCTCCGTCCCGTTGATGACGGTCGCCCCCGCGTCCTCGAGCAGGTGGATGAGTTCGAGCAGCTGCGCGATTTGGGCGCTGTCGCCCAATGCCCAGAAGGATTCCCAGGGGAGGCCGAATGTTGCGCCTTGCAGGGCGGATTTGTCCGCGAGGCACTGCGTGTAGCCACCACTTTGGGGTTTAGGGGTTCTGCCGACCTGCGCGGATGTCGCATTGTCGCGCGGGTCGACGCCGTAGATGGCATCCAGCACGTAGACGGCATCGCGGACGGTCTTGCCAAAGCACCCGACAGTATCCTGGTTAAGAGATATGGGGATGACACCATCGCGAGACGTCAACCCAACAGTCGGCTTGATCCCCACAATCGCATTCCGCTGCGCAGGGTTGATCACGCTCCCATCCGTCTCAGTCCCTAGAGCAAAAGGAACGAGATTCGCGCCCACAGCCACCGCAGACCCCGAACTGCTCCCACCGGGGTTGACCGTGAGGTTATACGCGCTCCGACACTGCCCTCCACGCGCCGAGTATCCCTCGGAGTAATTATTCGAGCGCATGTCCGCCCACTCGCTCAGGGCGGCTTTGCCGAGGAGTACAGCGCCCGCTTTCCGTAGCTTGTGCACGACGAAGGCGTCGCGGGGGACGACGGAGCCCAGGAGGGCCCAGCTGCCGGCCATCGTCTCCATGCGGTCTTTCGTTGCGATGTTGTCCTTGACGATGAAGGGGATCCCGTGGAGGGGCCCGCGGATTCGACCAGCGGCACGCTCGCGATCTAGGGAGCTGGCGATGCGGAAGGCGTCGGGGTTTTGTTGCAGGATTGCACTAGAGGTTTTTGAGTTGAGCATCGGATCTGGATATCGATACCGAGATGTGGAAGCGTAACGTACTTCAAATACGAATCTGTCTGGTAGATGCGCTCCAGATAGCATTGCAGTAAGTCGACACTGGTAAGCTCACCAGCGGAAAGCAGCTCCTGGAGGTCATCGATACTGGCTTCCAGCAGCTGGTGCCCCTTGCACGGACGCATGGGGAATAGGTCAGCACCATCAGTGTTGAGTCGGGGAAAGTCGTAGGCATAGGGGTCTGTCAAAACCTGGGACATGACCAAGGCATCAACGCCAATGTCAACATCGTGATGGGTGTTGTGATTGTGATTGCCGGTAGCCAAAAGGGGAGTAACAGCAGGCAGGAATCCTGTCACTCCCAAGAGGAAGCGTCGTGGCATTATTCTGGTTCCTGGGGACGCGATGTTAGTCGCTAGTAACTCATCCACCATAGAAGAGGTACACTTACCGATAATCCCTGCGCCTGTATCTCGAGAAAATCAACTACCACAAAGTGAAGATGACCAGCAAGAAAACACAATCGCTAGTGTTGCACTAATGTACTGGTCCCTGCGCTGACGTAAGGGCTCATCTTGCCTTGCATGGCCGGCAGTTGAATAGCTTAGAGTATTGACAGGACATGTTTTTGGGTGATTCTGCAGTATACTATGCATTTATATATTTCTAGACTGTAGTACGAAGAGTTTAACCTCGAATCCACCTGGTGTAGGGTTAACCAAGGCTGAAACCTCCACTGCCCTACAATAAATATATAGATGCATGTCTACAAGGAATTTACAGCTCAATTTACAACGCTCACTCTGGAAATCATAATCATTATTTATGTTATTTTTATCTTCTATAGAAGAACTCTAGACACAAATACCCCAAATATGGATGGATACACACGAAACACACCACACACAACCACTTTTTCTTTTCTCATAGATTCCCTCTCCATCTCTCTACAAAACAGTCCCCTTGGTCTGAATCCCCCTCTTCTCCTCGACCTCCTTGACATTAATATTTTTCCAAACAACAATACTCGCCAGACAAAGCGGCATGAGCGCCGCCCCCGCAATAACCATCAACCGCATCACATGCGCATACGAATCCACAATCGCCGCTCTCTCCGGCGTCCCATCCGCAAACGACATCTGCAGCACCATATCGCCGAATATCGTGCGTGAATTCGCTTTTTGGGACTCGGGGAGTCGGTTGTGCAGTTCTTGTGGGAGGAGGTTATTCCACAGCGCCCCCGCAATCGCGAGCCCGATGCCTGAGCCGACGCCCCCGAATAACCCGCCCAGCGCGTTGGTCACGGCGATGTATTGGTGCGTCACTGGAGCCATGATTGCGAGGCTGGAGCACACGGTGAAGAAGCCGGAGCCCAGACCCACGAGGATCTGTGTTAGGGCGAGGACGCCTGGGTTCGTTCCGGGGGAGCGGAAGGGGATGATCAGTGCTGTTCCCAGGAGCATGATGGGGACACCCGTGGAGGCCGTCCACTTGAAGTTCCCCGTGTACGCGATTATGGCGCCGATGAGAGGTGCGAAGACGGTGGAGGTTAGGCTGTATGCGTTGAGGACGTAGTTTGCGTTTTTCAGTGAGAGGCGGTGCACGACTTGCAGGTACGACCCGTAGTATCCGTTCCAGGTAAAGGTGGACAGGAACATGAGGCCGTAGAGGAGGGCGGAGCCGATGATTGTTCCTTGCTTGAGGTATTTGAAGGGGAGGAATTGCACTGGGGCGACGTAGGCTTCGTAGAGGTAGAATGCTGGGAAGAGGACGACGCCGAGGACGAGCATCGCGATGATGTAGCCTGTTTTCCACCCGTCGGGCGCGTACGCTACCAAGCTGAAGGGGAGGAGGAGAAGGGCGAGGGCGGCGGTGATGAGCAGGATGCCGGGGACGTCGAATTCGATAAAGTAGTGTTTCAGCGAGCCGAGGATGGACCGGTTATTCTCGCGTCGGCTAGATGATATCAGGCCCTGCGCTTTGGCGCGGTGCGACATCCACACCATCAGCCCCATGGCAGGCGCACTACATCCAACAAGAATAATCGCAAAGGCACCAAACGCCCAGCGAAAGTCAAGATGCTTGTAGAAGAGGTCCGCAATGGCCGGACCGGCAAAGGTACTCGCAATGCGCGGGGTGCCGTTGATGCCAAAGTAGATCATGCGGTTGCGCAGGGTCGTCATGTCGGAGATCATGACTTCAATCACGTAGATCATCCCAATGTGGCCCGTCCAGTACAAGACGTGCGCGCCGACGTACTGCTCGACGGTGTGGCAGGTTGCCTTGAGGATCATCCCGACCACGCAGACGGTGATCATTACGACAAAGCCCTCGACTCTGCCCCAGATGTCGACGACTTTGGCGAGGGCGAGAGGCGCGACGCCGCCGATTATTGATGATAAGACGCTGCCGACGTTGAGGAGGCCGTGCCTGCCAAAGGAGGAGGTGATGTATGGGTTGAGGGCGGCATCGATTGCGTTTTGCAGGTAGTCGACAAAGGAGATCACGTATAGTCTAGAGGGTTAGAGAAGATCAACCGTAAATCTCAAGAAGAGCAGCTTACAAGCAAAACAAGGTGAGAAGCGTCCACTTCGACCAGATGGCGGTAATAGCTCTAGCGCGCTGGACACCTTCCTGGAAATTGCTATTCGCATCGGAATCAAAGGCATCTTCATCCTTGGTGTAAGCAGGAGGCAGCGCCTGCGAGTCGACAGCAACGCTCTTCTCAACGTCGCGAAACGCCGAGACGGGGTCGATGCTGCCCTCGTGCACCTCGTTAGGGTTAGACATGCTGAGTCGATATAAGATGCGCAGTGCAGCAACAGGAATCAGCTCGAGCCCTCTCACTCAGGAAGGGATCACACGATTTTTAAACCCGGATCGTCCCAGCACCGACGCACCCCACTGGCAGAGCAACAGCGACCTCAGGGCAGGAAAAGTGGGCTGCTGCAGCCTGCACCCTTGCTCCCCTTGACCATTGCCAAGGCACACGCCAAGCAGCCCGAGGCACGCCAGCCCAACGCCAGGGCTGGGCTCGCGGACTCTGACTGGACAGACAGATCAGATAAGACCCCAAGATTCTGCTGCGTATCCGCCGCTCGGTCCAGCAGCCAAATGGGGGCTGGCCGCCTCTGGAGTTGTGGCAAAGATTAGATTATCTCTCGCCTAATCGCCTACTGGTGGAGTCGTTTCTCCCATGCGGTTCTTGCGAGGTTGCACTGAGTGACTGGCTTTATTCCGAGAAGCAGGGCCAAGGCGCACCGTGGAATCTAAACTGGTTATTTCCACATGTAAAGGTTGAAAATTCTTCATCTCGTCCGAGTCGGAGTCAACCGCTGCCGCTGGGGGCCAAATCCGGGATGGAATTCGCCAACATGTGTTACACACTGGTCGAGAAATTTGACATTCAGGCGCAAAACGAAGAGAAATTCTGATGCAGAGTATCTAGTATGGGATTCAGGTGTTCCCCCTGGGCTGAAAACAGTCGTATTCTTTGAGCATGCATATCAATGAAACCCCCTTCCTTGAGGCTCCCCACGGAAAACCCCCTTCGAAATCTTCTCGTCAACAGGGACGACTAATTCGAGAATTCAAAAATCCCTCATGCCACTCGCCTGAGTGCATTATCCGGCATCGCCACGCCTCGTCGAGTCGAAGAAGCGAGGGTGAAGCCATGACTCGAGAAGGTCGCTTGGCTCGTAAGCGTATTGGGATATTGAGGATTCTGGAACTTTGTGAGCCAACCATATGATTCATCTGGGTCCTGGATCCTGCACCAGTTTATCTGATTGATAATTGGACCCTGTCTCATCTCTTGTCTGGGCATGCGACTAGCTCTCAGCTAGCAGCTAGTAGCTTGCCCGGTTACCGGCACAAAGTTTTGCTTGCATATCCCAGCACCGAAAAACAACACGACCATGTGTATTATTGGGTTAACGTAGTCTTCAAGTACATCGAGCTGACAGGGTGAAAGCCTCCAAATGAGCATGGAATATCCCGTGGGATGAAAAAAAGAGAACAACGCTGGCCTCTCTAATCACACTTAACCAAGGCAGTCAGTATGTATATCGGCCAAGTTTGGGGGCCAGGACTTCAAATTGCCACGGCGCGACTATCGGCGAGGTTTGAGTCAAGGACTTGGGCAGTCTAGAGCGTACAGAGGAGTGGATCATCGACACTGACTAAATCGTCAACACTCGATTGTTTGAATCGCAAAGGAGAAGAAGAAGCTTTTAGTTGGCATTCTCAGCCAGCGGGCGCTCGACGTCCTGCAGCCAGTGGTTTATCCGCCAGAAGTCGTAGGCAATGTACTCGCCTAGATGGCTCGACGACGATTTTGAGTGCAGGGAGCTGGTTGAAGACGCCGTCTGCGATTAGACCTAGGAGATGTAGAGACACTCTATTCGGGAGGCTAGCAGTGGACCGACGAGGTATTTCCGCGCGTACATCTGCTCAAAGTACCGGCCCGTCGGCGCCAAGGGGTGTAGATACAGCGGGACCGAGATCTTGGCGCACTTCCCCCAGAAGACGCTGGACTCAAAAAGATTATAGAAGGGATACTTCACGCTGCCTGCACCTATATTCCAGAAATTCTTCACCAGCGCCCCATAGAACTTGTACTTCTTCACAGACTGCTCGAGCTCCCCCGCTGCCTGCACAGGATCATGCATCAACAGCACAGAGAATGCGCCAACGAGCTTGTGGTAGTATGGATCCCACTTGCAATCTAGTTATACACGCGAGTAGCATGTTCTTCTGCTTTGCATTTATTAGATATCCCCTGCGCGCCTGGGATGGTGTGTAAGCAGATCATGTACTTGATTCCGCGGTCATTGGCCTTTTGTAGGCAGGTGCCTGTAGGATCTTTAATGTGTTCCATGTTTCAGTTAGAGTCGGTTAGGTCGATGAATTTCTGGCAAAAGATTGGACAAGAGACAGTTAGTTGCCATAGGCAAACAGAAACGATGATCCTGCTTGGCTGGGCAGTGATATCCAAGGCCCCGCGTAGACCCTTCTGATACCTTTGAGGTCCCACTCATGGCATCCATGAAATAGGTATGAAGAGCCTGCGGGGATTCAAGAAGGTGAGTGACAAGTAACTCCAGACTTTCTTGGTTAGGATGTATTTATTGCAGTAAGAATGGAGAAGGTCAGGAACGCGGGACTTGCTTCCGCAGCTTGGCCTTCAGTTGGAGGGACGCCACGTTTGTGACAGAAATCTGCCTCGCTGTGCCTCAGACGGAAACCATCTGACTTGATTAAATGCCATGCAATAGAGAAAAGCTTTTTCTGCCTAGAGCAACCGAATGATTTCGCATGGCTGGTCCGCCCGTGAATGAAAGCCGACCGCAATTTGGGGCTTTGCGGGCTTAGCATGGCAATTGATCCTTAGCATCAGGTTTGATTTTCGTGGGTTGTGAATTCCAGACGGCCAAAAGAGGAATGATCTAGAAGTTGATAGTTACAGATAGAAAAAGGCTGTGGGTTGACAGCCTGGTGGGGGTGAGATTGGTTTGTCGCTGCAACGCTCTGAAAGCTGAGCCCGGCGCCTCGGACCTGTTCGCTTCATGTTGGCGGAGCCATACATATGTAGAGGCTAGTCAGCAGGTCATGTGAGCTGCGGCTCATATGGTCGTCCTTCGTAGCTCATAGCTTCCGAATGACAACCTCCTCTTCTTCCAGAGCCTTGTGCTTGTCACTTCATTCAGTGGTTGGCCAGGTAAGGATATCGCCTTGATCAGCCGGATATACAGAGCATCCTATCGGCTTGTTATTACCAATAACTTGGAACTGATTCAGCCCCTCACAGGTCGAATATGGCTGAGGATCACCGCAGGCGCGGGTGTGCCTTGTCAAGGTGGAGCCGAGGGCCAACCAACCAAGACCCATGGATCCATGATGGATGGACGCACCGGGTTCCCGAGTCAGCCTGGATGGTACCTCGAGTCCTTTTTCCACCAGGCGTTCCTGGTTTACTTTGCTTCGCCCCATTAAAACGCGCTCTACCAGACAAGAATGTGATTGTGAGTTCAATCAAGCAATGAGAATTATCTTGGATATTCTGATTAGAATTTAGTGCCCTGAGGACAAAGAGCAACTCGTCCAAGTGTTAACTGTTTCTTGTCTTGCTGCAATACATGAGGATTTCTGCTGTAGCAACAATAGGGTGTGTGGACGTGGTTACACCCATCAGGGAAGCTAATTGGATCCGCCTGCTTAGGTACTACCTATAAAAGGGGCTGATATATAGAGTGGTGATCTGAGCGAACTAGTCAACTCACGTGAAGTGGCTGACGCTCTGCCACGTTGTCATCACCACTGTTGCAGCGAATCTTGTGGTCCATCTCTGACCATTTTCTTCGTGACGATCGAGACTCTGCTTCATCAATCGCGCCATAAATTGTCTTGTCCGAGAGTCTCGAGCCTCGAGGGCTGCCTTGATCCTGGTCGCCTCGATGGCCTCCCCGCCCGCCAGCCGGAATGATTTCGAAATCGCGATAGTTTGCGCATTGCCGACGGAGTACAACGCGGTCACAGAGCTTGTTGACCACTTTTGGGAGGATCACGGCTACGAGTATGGCAAAGCCCGAGAAGATGCAAACACCTATACAACAGCTCGCATTGGCAACTGTGATGTCGTGCTCGTCCTGTTATCTGGAACAGGAAAAGCCATCGCCGCCAGCGCGGCGACAAGCCTTCGATCGAGCTATCCAAGAATAAAGCTCCTGCTGCTGACCGGAATCTGTGGCGGTGTGCCTCTTGTGGGAACGGAAGATGAGATACTCCTTGGCGACGTCGTTCTCAGCGAGACTGTTATCCAATATGATTATGGGAGACGCTACCCTGACAAATTTGTAATGAAACATACAGTTGCGGAGAGCCTGAGCAGGCCGGCAAAGGAGGTTCGCAATCTGGTTGCCATTTTAAAAACGAACCGCGCACTACAGAAGCTTCAACAACGAGCAGCCTTTTTCCTTGAGCAGATTCAGGACAAACCGCCAGGCGAGCGCTCTAGAATAAACTACGACTATCCTGGAGCTGTAAATGACAGGCTGTTTGCGGCAAACTTTCGGCATAAGCATCACGTGTCATCGGATTGTCTCTGCAGACATTGTCACACAGAGTCGGACCCAGTTTGTGAAGAGTCCCGAACGCTATTGTGTGATGAGCTTGGATGCAATGCGGGAGACCACATAAAGAGGCACCGTCTCGAGGCAAAGGAACTGCTGGAGCTTCAAGATCGAAACAAGGAGGCCCAGGCTCCGTCTATATTCGTGGGACGGATTGGGTCCGGTGACATAGTGCTCAAGTCTGGCGAGGATCGTGACAGGCTCGCCAAGCTCCACTCCATCCTCGCTTTCGAGATGGAAGGTGCCGGTGCCTGGGATGAGCTACCCTGCATTGTCATCAAAGGGGTCAGCGACTATGCGGATAGCCATAAGAACGACAAGTGGCAGGACTTTGCGGCTGCGACGGCAGCATCTACCATGAAGGCGCTCCTGGAACGGTATACCCCTCCAGATAAACCGCCAGATAGCTCACTTTCTTTTCATAGTCTGCAGATAGGGCCCGGAATGTCCTATGCCGAGAGAAATGAGGGTCAAAGTCGAGTCCCTGTTTCTGGAATTTCTCCACATAATCTCTCACACCTCAACTACCGGCTAAGAAGGAAATCACCCCGCGGAACGATCACTGATGGTTATGAAGCTTCCGCAACACCTACAGCTCTCGCGCCCCCACCGACAAAGTACATAAGAGCTCTTCCGTCTAGAGAAAATGGCCAAGGCTCCGAATCTTTAGACAACAGTGTGCCATACACCCCTGTCTCGACTGCCACAGGTCTAGCCGAGAGCATCGAATCAGAAGCCCACGGTGACATTTCTGACCAGGGTACGCACTGTATTCACTGATGTTGCTGTCGGACTTGACGAGCATGCTAAAGGATTTCGAATTTTGAAGACAACAGGTGCCTGGACGGCTTCCGACCGACCGCGTCTCAACCCAAGGACGCAAAGATCAATAGCGCCATCGACTCTGCTACAAATCAAATGCTTGTAGAGCAGCTATACTTCTCCAAGATCGATGAGCGGCTCACCCATCTGACTCCTGCCCAAGGTAACACGTGTCGCTGGCTCCTTTCCAAGTCTGAATACACCGACTGGTACAATAACGTGAAGCTGCATGACCACTGTGGCTTCTTGTGGATCAAAGGCAACCCTGGAACTGGAAAATCAACGCTGATGAAGTTCTTGTTCGAAAACGAGCGTGCCAACACCAAGAACGACCACCTTCAGATTCTGCTCTCATTTTTCTTCCTCGCTCGAGGCACGCCCGAGGAAAAGTCAACAGTCGGCCTTTACCGCTCTCTTCTCCATCAGCTTTTCCAAAAAGTACCGAGCCTGACAGAAAGTTTGAACTGGATGACACCCGACGGCGCGAGGGTCATCCAACGGGGTGGTTGGTCTGAGGAAGCGCTCAAGCAGACCTTGAAGCATGCTGCCGAGAAGCTTGGCAATATGTCCTTGACGATGTACATTGATGCACTGGACGAGTGTGAAGACAGTCAGGCTGAGCGTATGATTCTCTTTTTTGAGGAGCTATGTGAAGAATCTGTTGGAAATATAAGAATCTGCTTCTCCAGTCGGCACTATCCCCACATTGAGATCACGACAGGCACCGAGCTCACTCTAGAAGATGAAGACGGGCATAAAGAGGACATACAAAAGTACATCAAGTCGAACCTCAAGCTGGGCAGGAGAAACCAACAGACTGAGTCGCTTCAGTCGGAAATCCTCGAGAAATCTTCTCGCATTTTCCTTTGGGTCGTCCTTGTTATCAAGATTCTGACTGAGCTGCCTGACAAGTCCATCCGCAAAATGCGCCAGCGCCTCCAAGAAATCCCAACTGAACTTACCAAGTTGTTTGAGATGATCCTTGCACGAGACAGAAAAAACCTTGAACAGATGAAGCTTTGCCTCAGCTGGGTCCTCTTCGCGATCCGTCCCCTCAAACCACAAGAGCTCTACTTCGCCATCCAGCTTGGTCTCGACAAGGCGTGCTCAGCATACTGGGACACGGATGATATAGATATCGACTCGATGAAAACCTTTGTGAAAAGCTCTTCCAAAGGCTTGGTCGAAGTAACGCGTAACAAGGCTGGGGAGGTCCAGTTCATCCACGAGTCCGTTCGAGAGTTTCTGCTGAGTGAAGACGGGGCTCGATGGTCCGGGGCTTCGGGCAACTTGGTGGGACATGGCCACCGGCATCTGAGGGATTGCTGCTTGGCTCAGATCAACGCGACAATCACCCAACACGTCGATATACCAGAGTCTCTACCAAAGCGTACCGAAACAGACAAGCTGCGTAAAACCATTGCCTCCAAATTTCCGTTTCTCGAATATGCGGTGCTTAGTATTCTCCAGCATGCCAATAGCGCTCAACATGCGGGTCTAGACCAGCGTGCCTTTCTTTCAGACTTCCCTCTCCCAAGGTGGATATTTCTCAACAACGCGTTTGAGAAGTTTGAAGTTCGGCGATATACGCAAACAGTTACACTCCTTTACATCCTTGCGGAAAGGAATCTAGCCGACCTTATTCATATTTATCCCCACCTGGAGTCCTGGCTCGATGTTCATGATGACCGCTATGGACCCCCAATTTTTGCTGCCCGAGCCACCGGAAGCCACGAGGCGGCAAATGCAATTCTGCAAGCTCAGATCCATGAGCAGCCAGCAGGATCTTCGGTTCGCCGCCTATTAGAGCGCTGCCTCGAAAATGCACACAACAATCCTACTTTTGGCCGTGACTTTACGTTCTCGCGCACCAAGGGTGTTACCAAGCACGTCATTGAGCAAGGTGACGAAGTAGTCCTCAACTTTCTTTACAGCCTGGGCAAGGTTGACCCCGCGTGGAAAGAGAAGACGGTTATACATGCTCGGAGACCGCTGGCATGGGCCGCCAAGAATGGACACGAGGGCGTTGTCAGATTTCTTCTTGAGAAGGGTGCTGAGGTAGACTGGATGGATCCAAATGGTAGGACAGCACTGTGTGAGGGGGCATCAGGGGCCCATGAAGCTGTGGTTAAGCTACTCCTCAAGAATGGCGCTGAAGTTGACTCAAAAGATAATAGCGGTGAAACACCACTATCACATGCAGCATATAAAGGGCATCAAGCTGTGGTTAAGCTACTCCTCAAGAATGGCGCTGAAGTTGACTCAAAGGATATTAGCGGTGAAACACCACTATCACGTGCAGCATATAAAGGGCATCGAGCTGTGGTTAAGCTACTCCTTGAGAATGGTGCTGAAGTCGAGTCAAAGGATAATAATGGTCGAACACCACTATCATGGGCAGCATCATCCCAGAATAAGGATGTGGTAGAGCTACTCCTTGAGAACGGCGCTGAAGTTGAGCTGAAGGATAATAATGGCCGAACACCACTATCATGGGCAGCATCAGATGGGAATGAGGATGTGTTCAAGCTACTGCTTTCTGACACCCGAGTTGACCCAGAAGCAAAGGATGATAATGGTCGAACACCACTATCATGGGCAGCATCATACGAAGCATCATATGGGAATAAGGCTGTGACCAAGCTACTGCTTTCTGACCCCCGAGTTGACCCAGAAGCCAAGGATAAGAATGGTCGAACACCTCTATCATGGGCAGCATCAGGAAAACTCACCAGTGATGTGACCAAGCTACTGCTTGCTGACCCCCGAGTTGCCCCAGAAGCAAAGGATAATAATGGTCGAACACCATCATCGTGGGCCAGAGAAGTGGGGAATAATGATGTGGCCAGGCTATTGGAAGGTTAAGGTTCCTCCCTTGGTCTCCGTGTCACTACTCTATAGATCGTCTAGTTCTGGAGGAGAACAAACCTCGAGATGGAGACAAGCGAAAAGATCACCCCATTTGAGTTTGGTGGCTCCAGCGTGTCAGTATTTTCTTGTTGTATGTATACATTCATAGCGTGGCAGCATAATTTCTGAGATACGATTCATGAAAGCGCGAGGTGCGGACTTACCGTGGTGGATATCTATGTGTCTCTTTCCTAGTGAGGTAAATGAACCATATAGCTTTGGTGACGTAGGATTAAAGCTATTCTTCCTCATAAAGTGTAATCACCCTAGCCTCGAGTTCAGACTATTAGCCCAGCAGGGGTGAAAACGAGCCGTCGAGGCGATCATACTCGACGCGCTATAAACAAGAAAAGTGATAAAATAAACAATCACCTCCCCTCAACTCTCTCAATATGAAAAGATCAAAATCGCTGTACACTGTTAGTAGGTTTCTGTATACCGTATGCAGCACATGTCTGGCATCCAGATTGCAGACACGATTAACTCGCCTGCAATGATAGAATGTATACATGATCTTATCATCAGCATGGGGGCGCCCTCTCTTGACCTAGTTCCGACCCTCGATTACATAGTCATGGGCTCTGATATGAGGCCTCCATGCTTACCTTGTCACCTAGAGTCGGCTACTTCTCGCACATTCGTTACTGCACTTGGTACCTAGAACAACATCTCCAAATCCAAGCAGCCACTCAAAAGGCAGCCATCGGCATCACTTTTGCAATGATAATCATAATCATATCCATATACACGTGAGGCTCACACAACAGATACAATCCTTTCATTTCCAACCCCATCCATCTAAAACTTACTCCGAAAAACCACCCCATCCCTCTCCGCATTCCACTTGGCAATCGCATCCATCAGCGCCGGACTCAACGCATCATAGCTCTCCAGCCCCAACCCCTTAACCTGCGCCCTCACCACATCCGCAAGACTCGGATCCAGCCCCTGCCCGATCAGACTACTCACAAACCCGGCAAACTGCACAGGCTGCCACCCCTCCTCCTCGCTCAACTCCACATGCACGAAATCCAACCCCTTGAAGGGGTGCTCGACCTCGATCCGTCCAAAAAGATGCACGCCGCATTCGGTGCATGCGTACCGCTGGATCGGCGCGGCCGCGTCGACGATGGAGAGTTTCGCTTCGTTGGCGGTGACGCGGAGGTTCTCCCGGGGCACGACGCCGACGATGCTGAAGAGGGCGCCGCTTGGTTTCCAGCATTTCGAGCACCCGCAGGCGTGGTTGTGTGCGACGTTGCTGGTCAGTTCGACGGTGACTTTGTTGGTGCTGCAGTGGCAGGAGAGGGTTCCGCCGGGGAAGGTGTCTTTGCTTGGTTTGAGGCCTGCGCCTGTGTCGAGAAGGGGGTGCAGGGGGAGAGGGGTGGATGCCATTTTGTTGATATCTTTGCCGTTCTTTATGGTTTGGAAGAGGTGATTGGTTGGGAGGGGAGGGAGGAACTTGGTGGTTAGGTTAGATTGATGGGTGGTAGGAACCTTGGGAGAATCAGTGCTTATATAGACCTTTCTCTCCCTAATCCAACTATCCAACCCCCAATCCCAATTCCAGTGCATTCTGAAGATGAAACAGCTGAGGACAAGATGGAGAAATCGCACCCCTCACGAGGGGAATGTCTACCGCGTGAGGGGAACCCTGCCAATCTCCAATTCCGCCATCGCCCTGGCAAACCCACGGAAGCGTCGAATATGTCCCGGAAGGGGTAAAAGACTGAGCCACGCTGTGCTGTGTGGGGTGCCGCTGAGCAGTGTGTACGAAATTCTGCGGTGAAATGAGGCCATCTTGGTTGCCCGTTTGGGTCTCCGATTCGGCTCCACACTGCGGCGCCCGGGTAGCCTTCCGATCCGCGTGCCGCCTGTTGCAAAAGCCAGCACGAATGTCGATTGGCAAGGCGTGTGAAGTGGGGATGCGTGTGGTGCAAATGTTTTCTACATGCGGAGTACAGATCCGAGGGTGCGCTGATACAATGCGGCAGACGAGGGGAGAAACTGCTCCGTCTTGGCTGTTGGAGATCGACCTCGGGTCCTGACTGAGATTGTCAGGGGAATAGTTCAGTGAGCTCTCAATTCGTAGTGTATGTACAAGCCACCTATTGCAGCCGGATCATGAAAAGTAAAACACGGACGCCAGAATAGACACAAAATGGGTATAAATGTCCAAGATGTCAAACAATGCAAGGCTTGTCTCATACCCGTGGAGATGTCATGATCCGTAAGACATGGAGAAATCATAACCAAAAGCTGCACAAAAGTTTGTTGTAAAAGAAAAAATTGGTCTAACATGCGTGGTGTGGAGAAATATGTTTAGTCCTTCTGTCCTTCGTTTTCGAGGAGTTCGAGGACAATGAGGTTTCGGGGGTAGTCGGGATGCTGCATGCAGATCTTGACTGTACGGCCTTGGATGGCTAAAGAGGCCCCGTTGGATGTGCCGCTAGAGAGGTTGACGGTACCACCAGAGCTCGTGGGGATGCTGTTCACGCCGGAGCCGGGGAACCTACTGCCGTCGTCGAGACAGACGACATTGTGGCCGGGAATAACCTGTCGAAGCCGCCCGTTCATGGCGTTGCGCACTTCGACAAAGTCGTCGTTGAAGAGAACCAGGAATTTACCGTACAGGCAAGCCGAGTGTGCGCGGCCGACAAACTCCATGACCACACTGCGAGACACGTCTCCGTGTTGGTTGACATAGACGGCACACTCGGTATAGGTGACAAGGAATTCCGCATCGCTAAGACGGAACATGCCCAACGGCCGGAGACCGAGGATTCGTTGCGCGATTTTGCTGAGATGTGCCTGCGCTTCGGGTGCGTCGGTGCGGAACTCAGGAACAGACCAGGTCTGCTTCTTGTCGAGTGTGAGAATCTCGATTCCTTTCTGGGTCGAGATGGCGAGGGAGGAATGGAACAGGTTGATGCCGTAGCTTTCAGCCGGAATGTAAAACTCGTCGTATTCGCGGAAGAACTCGGTTTGTCCGCGACGCGAGCTGAAAAACCGGCTACGACTCGTCGCGGACTTTTGAAGAACGGGCTCCAGGATCTACTATTGTTAACAAACCTTCCCATGAAATGTAAAATGTAGAACAAACCTTGAACGTCGACGACAAGCCGTCCCGCTTTTTGTACATCACCAGAGTACGATCCTTCATCTGTCCCGCCGCAAAGAAACCGACTTCTCTATTTCCGGAGAGTTTCTGGGGTGCTCGCCGCGCCGAGTCGTTGCTTGTCTGCGTAGCCACGGCGCCGCCGCTGGCCGGGCAGACAACGTCAAGGTGGTACGCAATCAACGACTTGTCAGCGATGAGAAGGAAGACGTTGAACTCCTCGAAGACGGAAATTTGTGTTACTCGAACCATGGGAATAGCCTGAATTTGTAAGCTTGGCACTTTCAAACAAGGTGGGAATCATACTCTGGTCCAGCCTCGGGGGTCATTGTACTCCGATATGTAAACACCATAATCAGTTCCAATCGCACACATCTTACGCCCAGGAGGCTGCTCAAACACAGTAGCGCAATGAACAGCTGCCCTACAGATCGGCGACGGGCGAGAGGCGGGAGGGTACTTCTTCTCCACCTCACGAACCGCGCGATCAAGTGGCGTGCCCTTGATAATCACACTGTTAGCGGGCGGAGAACTATCAGAACTGCTAAATGCAGTGTCTGCCAGAACACGGAGACGGAATGGTTCCGAGTTCTGCGTGTAAAGCGCAGCCGCGTGTTTCGTCTTGGCTTCCGTAATCTTGTCACACCATTCCTTTCTGTTCTGCGGCGAGCTCGCATACAAGGTGTACGTTCCGTCCCGGCCAAGATGCTTGATTTTGAAGGGATATAGGACCTTGTCGTCCTTGGGATTCTCGAGAACCGTAGCCGGAACCAGCGTTTTACCAGACGCATCAGTATTCGTGTGGACTATACCCGCCCCCGCACGGGCGGCAGGCTGAGCTCCCGCAGCCGAGACTACTCCTCTGACGGCTGACTTGACGACAGGATCCTCGTGAGTACTTTCCAAGACAAGCAGGTCCATCGGAATCGGCAGCTTCGACACATCATAGTTTTCGAATTTCACCGTTCGGGCAGCATCGCGCATGGTGGAATGCTTGGCAAGGACAAGATAATGATCAAACAGAATCGCGTGCGTGTCGACCAAAAATCTCGTGCGCGTTCCTGGGCGCTGCAAATCGCCCCGGAAAACAATCTCTCGTCCTAGATGGTCGAGGTTAAGCTCCACATCCTTTCTCATGTCCGAGCGAAGCTTGAGCTTGGAGGAAAGCTCTATCAAGTCGACCTTTTTGGTCATCTCTCCGACTTTGTTGTCACATTCCAATGCAACCAACTTGATTTCTTCAATGGCCTGAGCAAGGTTTGTCTTCTCCTCGGAATCTTTGGGCATGTTGTGGTGCACAGTCGTCAGCAGCAGAGCAATGCGCTGAATTCGCGTGATGGGCGCCTTGAGGAATGTATCCCAATTGAGACGATTTGAGAGTTTGTTATCCCTGGCATCGCTGAGGAATTGGCGGAATATAAGATTCCTCTCGGCTTCTTTGCGTACAAGGTAGTTTGCGCGTGGAAATGTGGCGGCGTAGCTAATATAGATGGACTTGGCTTTGCGGATCCATTCGCGAAAGATGTCACTAAATCCAACGATAAACGGACCTTGCACGTTCTGTCGATATTTGAGCTGTGCCAAGAGGTAGTCTTCGTTGACCTTCTTTACCGCGTCCACTTTGCCAAAGACTTCGGTCAAGAACTGGTTGATGTGTTTCGGGGGAATGATGGGTGGGTTCGACGTGGCCAATCGATCACGATACAGCTCGCGCAGGACATCGAGTTGGCCAATGAAGGAGTCCTCGGTTGTCACAATCTCGTGCAGGTTGTTCTGTCGCTCAATCTCCTTCCTTGGATGCGCCTCCCATACTTCCTTGGGCACTTTATAGAATGTAACCCAGTCTTCGACCTTCTTCTGCGGCCCTTGAGCCCGTAGGTTGACCTTTTTGAGCGTTCGCATGCAGTGGTGCGAGTAACAGCGTCCGACGACCTCCGTTTCGGATTCCTGCTCGTGCAAAAGAGGGGAGTAGCATCCTGTGCCGGTGATTTGGAACAGGACACCGGATAGCTCGCCGCTGCCAAACTTGACCCATTCTTCATCGTTCACCAGCGCCCCCTGGTTAAGCATGTCCTGTACGACACCTGCCGCAAGGGTCTCAGCATCGGCGGTATTCATCGTAGGTACCTTGTGCGTAAACAAAGCGACAATGGCATCAACAATCGCATGTTCCTTGAGGTCAGTCTCATCTTCAGCCAGATTCCGAACCCAGGCCAGGACAGCACTAAGAGCCCAAGGCTCCGCGCAGCGGCGAAAGTCCTCGGATGACAGCTTGTTCGGGTGGAACTTCTTGCGGCGACCGGCGGGGATCGCAGGCAGGTCAAGGGCGATAGCAGCCGCCGCAGGATCCATTCCGGAATCGAGCTTGAGCGAACCTTGGCGTAACATCTCCTGCTGCTGCTTGTACTTGGCCCTGTCTGCATCGGTCTTCGACCTGATAGGGGGGTCAGCACGAGGTCCAATGGGCTGGCTCGTCAAAGATGTGGACCGCGAGAATTGAGTGGGGCTGGGCACGGTCGCTGCGTACGAGTCTGGAGACGGAACTGAGAAGTACGAGTTTGTATACTGCTCCCCAGGATCCGACTGCCGGTATGTACCGGCTGGCATCAAATGCGGCCTCAAGGTCGCGTTCTTCGCAGGCTCCTCCGGTGGTGCTGGCAGTGGGCGCATTCCTGGGTGGAAGAAGAGATCGGTCAATTCATCCTCTCCCCCGATTGAGCCCTCGCTTCCGGACTGGTGTGACTGCCTCCGGTGCGACAGTGAGCCGTCCGTCTCATCGTCGTAATCAAAGCTCATCCGCCGGTTATATGTGCTGGGCTCCGACAATCCACCCGTCCCGCCAGCGTCCACCCGCGCACTCGAGGGAAATTCGGGGAATGGGTGCACATAGTCGTCGTTGATCGGGGGGTAGTCATACTCGTCGGAGTACTCGGTATGTTCTTCGCGGGATGCATTGGAGCTGTGTCGGGAGCCCGAAGTGGCCACCTGGCGGTTGTCGTGCTCAGGCTCTTCGTCATAAGGACTTGTGTGCGGAGCTCCCTCTTCGTATGGAGACTGGCCGAGCTGACTGGTGCTGCCGTACGGAGGGTACCAATCTGCACGGGTATTCTGCGCTGGAGAAGGTGCTGTCACCGAAGGCCGTTTGGAAAGTCCACTCGTCGTCGAGGCATTGGTTTCGCGGCGTGATCGCTCCTGCATGCGGTCGGCCTGGGCGCGGTCCTCCTCCTCCGCCATCGCCATCATAGCTATCCCCGCTTCGGCTTCGGCGTCACTGTCATCCTCGTATGCGCCGTAGTTGACATAATGCCCGGTTCCCGTAGCTATACTTCCGTTTGTATGCGTATGCCTCTCGTCCGGGGAAATATGGAGCGGCGCTGGCGTAGCAGACTGAGGTTCACTCGACCCCCTTCTGTCTGAATCTAATGGATCAATGTCAATGTGCAGTGGCCTCTGGTTGGACTGGTAGTTGCCGGTCCATTGAGTTTCTGGGAAAGCCGCTTCAATCTGATTGACCAGCTCGTCATACCCAGATTGGTCAGCGGCTTGATGCGCACCTGCACCGTTCAGATATCCCGAACCTCGGCGATCATCAGTCTCGACTGGAGGACCTGGAAGAGGGCGTGCCTGCGGATGCCGAGTCAATGTATCGGTTCGTCGCGGCGATGTCGAGGGCTGTGCTTGATGGATGGGAGGTGTAGGGAGGGCGCGTCCCGGGCCATGCATCGGCTTGTCGTAGTTGTCGCCTGAATAGTGCGCTGGAGGCTCGGGCGGCTCCTCATCCACTGACGGTGTCCGACTCGGATCGGCAAGACGGGAAGGATGCGTGGTATAAGCGGGAATAGGGACTCCTCCAGAGTAGGTGCGCGAGGTATAGGACGTTGCGCTGGATAATGAACCGCTCCCAGACGCAAATGCAGTACTCGGTGTGGTCGGCGAAGCCAGATTGTACGACGAAACGTTGAGAGACGATTGACTCGACTGTGTTGGAAATCCGTACTGGGGCCCGGGCGAGGCACTGGGATACTGCGGAGAGGGGCGGCCGCCGTAGGGATGGTCAGGTCCACGAGGGGGTGGTGGGGGCGGTAGCGAAGTGTGAGAGGATTGGTATGGATGTGGCGATAGCGGCGTCTGCGCGAAAATCATGCTCGATTGGCGCTGTATCGTAGGAGATCCAAGCCCGCCGATGCTCGCCGCCTGGTACGCAGCTGGATTGTATGGTTGGTGGGTCGGCGACGCACCGCTGTTCGTGCTGTTCCCGTACGAGGTGGAAGAGGAATAGGAGAGTGGGCTGTATCCAGTGTGCTGAGATGCGGGCGTAGGTAGAGCGTATTGTTGCGGATTGTATGATTGCGTGGGCGACATGGGGGCCAAAGACGACGAGGTGTACTGATACTGATAGCTGGACTGAGACTGGGCGCGGGCCCGAGGCGGCGACGTTGCAGAGACCTGAGAGTATCGCGGATCGGCGTAGTCATCGCGCACGGCGTTGGAGGCCGAGGTTCGCTCGCTCAGACTCGAAAATCGATGGTTTCCGTCGGTCGCTCGGGGGTTGTGGCCGGCAGGAGCAGCGAAGAGATTCTGGTCGTCCCCCGCGTCGAAACTGGGAACTCGTCGGAGCGGCTGGGCGGTCGGAGGGGGGTACGCATCATAACGGGGAGTCTGGCCCGGCTGGCCGTAGGATTGATTGCCATTGTGATAGTTCGCCATGCTGAGAAGGGACCATCTGGCTGTCGAGCAGCGGCGTGGGAGGAGGTGAGGTGCAGCTGAGAGTTGTCGCTGGCCGGTCGGAGGGGAAGCGTTTCGAGTGCTGACAGCAGGCCAAGTTGGCGGAGGCGGATCGGGTAAAATGCCGAATAAGCGAGAGACAATGAAATGAAGCCAAACAACGCAACAAAATACGAACAATAACGAAACAACCGGCAGCGAGAGATGGGCAAGGGGAAAGACAAGTCGCCCGGCGACGTTGGGTCAGCGAAAAGGTGGAGTTGGCCCGTGTCGGAAAGGCCGATTCAGCCTCATCCACCCTCCATCCACACGTGGTCCAGTCTTTGTCCTTGGTGCAGCGAGAATTACAGCAGTCTTACGAGGGATATCGACATCAAAGAATCAGAGCGCATTGTCTTTCCTTGCCTGGTGTGGCTCAAGAGTTGTTGCTGATGCCATTCAGCCAAACAATGCCGTGCTGTGCGTCTTGGGTTTCTGCTTCAATCTCACTGCCTGATCCGACCCAAACTCTTCCAGGGACTGAACTCTCCGACTTGTCTCTGCTGGTTGGAAACTGAACTCCGAGTCCGTAAGCAAGCGTATGTTGCACAGGGCTCGCAACAGCTTACCCGACCGAGAAAAATGGCGCTTAGAGGGCAGCACAATGACTGAAAGGAGGGTATCGGAGCAAAGGTCGATCTAATAATGACTTGTTATTACCTCGCAGGACGATTGTGTTCCTTTGGCGACCCCGCATTTGAAGCAAAACTTCCGAACTTGCTTTTTCTAAAATTATATATCGCGGCGGTCGGTAGCGTGCCACACCACAGGCTCCAGTTAAGCTTAATCTTTGAACAGACAACTCTGATTTACCTTGGCGCATCAAGCAGGACCCTGCAGGATCTGAAGGTTTGTAAATGGATCCAGCATTTATCATGTCAAAAAAAGTTAGGATGCAGACATGCGAGGGATGCTTCAGGGTGACATCATCAGCTGCAGCACCTCAACCTGATCATCAGAGCAAATCAGATCTCAACTTAATCTTGCACTAGACATATAAGTTATCTAGGCAAAATGTCCAAACGAACCATAGAATCATTCTACAAGACCGTCTCCCCGCCTAGCAAGAAGATAAAAGCTGACGAGGAGCTCATCCCGACCACCTTCACCACCCACCCCAGCTATCCGCACCCCATTGCTGATCTCCCACCATCCATTGCAAATGCCCTCGCCACTATCAATTCTGAGTCTACGTCTCCCAAGATAATCAACAACCAGCCTCATCTCGACCTTCTCTACTTCCATCCGCTCATCCCGCAAGCTGCAGCTCGTGATCTGTTCCAGTTTCTCCGGCGCGAACTCCCCTTCTATCGCGTACAGTACAGCATCCGTCGTGGCGGCATAAACACCCAGATCAATACTCCGCGATTTACTACTGTGTTTGGCCTCGATGCGACATCGCAATTCATCACACCTCTAGATGCATCCTCTGCATCGTCTACTTCAGCAGTAAAGGCAGAAACCGATGGCGAACCCGCGAAAGAAAACAGCAACAAGTCAATCATAGTCGACGCCAAAACGCAGAACCCAGTCCCAGAATCTAAATACCAATACACCCCGCGCCCAATCCCCGGCTGCCTCGAGACGCTCCGGCACGCCGTCGAGCGCTCCATCAACGACGGCTCAACCTACAACTTCTGCCTGGTCAACTACTACGCAACGGGCGACGACAGCATCTCCTACCACAGCGACGACGAGCGCTTCCTCGGCGCGAACCCGTCCATCGCGTCGATCTCGCTCGGTGCGCAGCGTGATTTCCTCATGAAGCATAAACCCGCTGATGCTCCTAGGGTAGGTTCTAACCAGCCGATGAAGTTTGCCCTTGCGGGCGGGGATATGGTTGTTATGCGGGGGGAGACGCAGGCGAATTGGTTGCATAGTATTCCGAAACGGAAAGGGGGTGAGGCGCATAGGGGGAGGATCAACATTACCTTTCGCAAGGCGGTTGTGCCTGGGGGGACGAATAATTATTATAATTATAATGTTGGCGTTGGGGGGGTTTATCGGTGGGATGAGGGGCTGGGGAAGATGTGTCCTGTCGTCAAGGAGGAGAAGAGTTAGAGGGAATAGTCAAAATATAGTATCAATAGCCGGCTTAGATCCTAGAAGCTGGCTGATTATCCTCCCTGGGCTTGTGCCGGTGATTGCTCCAGAGAAATAGAGCAGCCAGCGTATAGTATTCATTCTGTACGCCACGCGGAGCGTCGATGTCAGTGTATACACCCGCAGATACAACGGAATAGACACACAGGTCCTCCTTTCTACTTAGCAAGAACCGACCCAAATTACCCGCCTGCAACCCAAGCCCCGGAGGATGTACTCCGTGCACATCTCCCTTCGGTAGAATCCTGGAACCGATTCCCCCGAACCCCACCAGGATCGACACGCAATGCGGGGACAACAACCCTAACCAGACGAAACCCCCGGACCAAGACTCGACTATTCGGGGCATTCGCCGGCGGTTCTGCCGATCATGTATTTCTTCAGCGGGTTGCAGCGCGTCGTCGGAGAAATGCGTCATTTGGTTGCTTGACTGGCGCAATTATGTGCTGAACTTAAGTTGGTTGGGAGGGTTCGGAGCGGAGGGTTTGGTGGGTTCATGAGGCCTGGAGCTGTACTTGCATGATTAGTGACGGCAGGGGTTGATAGTAATAATGGTAATGGAACGGTGGCTCGGTTAAATAGGAGAAGAGGGTATATAAGGAGCCCAAGGTATGGCGAGTTCCCGGATTAATCTGATCTGGCTCAAAGACACAATATCAGACCAGCCAATATGAAACTCTCATCCTTCACCAGCGCCCTCCTAGCGCTGTCCCCCGTCCTCGCCTTCCCCGCTTCACTCAACTCCCTCACCAAAAAGGCAGACTCGACCAAGGTCGGCTACCTTGCCGTCTACTGGACAACCGAGGACGAAAGCGTCTACTTCTCGCTCAGCTCCAACGACGACCCGTTGAACTTCCAACGTCTTAACGGTGGCAACGCCATCGTCTCTCCCACCCTCGGAACCAAGGCGATCCGGGACACGTCGATTATCGAAGGGAAGGGTGACGATGAGGGCAAGTATTATATCATCGGGACGGACTTGGATATTGATACCGTGAGTCCTCATGTGCTCTTTTTGTCGCATCTCTTTCTGGGACAGATGCTGATTTCTGTATAGACGAACTGGGACGCCGCGACGCGAAACGGGTCACGGGGGATCTTCGTCTGGGAGAGTACAGACCTGGTAACCTGGACGAACGAGCGCCTCGTAACAGTCGAGGACGAGACGGCCGGAATGGTCTGGGCCCCCGATGCGATCTGGGATGAGGAGAAGGGGCAGTACTTTGTGCACTGGGCTTCGCAGTTGGTACGTACCTTTTATCACCAAACCATCCCGCCATACCCTTTGGAAATGCGGGTGACTGACCAAACCAGTACGCCGAAGACGACACAGCGCACGCCGGCGACCCCGTCCTAATCAACAGCCTGCGCTACGCATACACCAGCGACTTCAATACCTTCTCCGAGCCACAAACATACATTACCCTCGAAACAACGACAGCAATCGACCTCAGCTTCATCCAAGTGGACTCGTCCACGTTCGTCCGGTACTACGTCGACGGCGCGACGACATCCCCAGTCCAGGATATTAGCACGACGGGTCTGCTCGGCGAATGGACGGCGGTGACGGGTTCGATTGAGGATAGCGCTAGCTTCGAGGCGCCGTACCCGGTTTGGGATAATGTGCAGGAGGGCAAGGCGTATTTGTTCTGTGATCGGGTCGGTGGAAACCCTGGTGTGTTTGCGTGGGAGACGACGGATGTAGAGTCGGGGAACTGGGCGAAGAGTGATGCGTATGATTTGACGTGGATGAGGCATTTGTCTGTGCTTGTGGTTACGCAGGAGCAGTATGATGCGTTGGCGGCGTTGTAAAGGAAAGCTGGATATAGTGCAGCACAGCCTTGAGGTGCTACTGTAGTCAGGCACTTGTGGATGCTAAGAGGTGCACTCTAGGGAAGCTTTCTAGCTAGATGGAAATGAATAGACTAAGAAGCTTAGAACCTACCAAGAGGAAGGAGATCAAACACATGGTCGATCACATAAGCAAGTGCACTAGAGGATAAGATGCTGACTGTCCTAGAACCCTAAGAAGACGTAATCTGAACCAAGACGGCCCTAAGTCATTACGGTGTATGATGCCCTAGGCTGCATCTGGTTGACTAGTGGTTGCTGACATGCCTGGTCAATCGCGGCTAATAAATCGCATAAAGAGCAAGGCCAAGAGGATGGGAGGATTCTTCAAACGTACTACACTGTTCCCTTTTTGGAAGTACGTTTGCGCGTCTTGTATGGCTGGGTGTCGAAGACGATCCATGGTCTAGTATCTTAGCATTCCAGGCCGGACACATATAAGATCCCCCTCTTCATCCTTCAAGAGAATGAGTAAGTCGATCTCGTTTGACGCCATTATCTACTATCTCATCGCCAGAGCTTCATACTCTACCATGGACATTGCAGATAAATTCCTCTCCTGGACTTCCCAGGATACCGGCCCTTTCCCGTACCCACTACCATATACCTCTCCGACCAAGGAAAGCGATTTTACACTACAGCTGGCTTATGGACTGGTGGGTACAACCCACGTTATCCTCAATGACGGCTCCTGATAGACCACGCACAGCACAACCAGGAAGCTAGCCAGACAAAAGATATCCCGCCTCTACCACTCGAGATCGATACGGATACCCCCGAAACACTAGAACAGCGATCTACATCTCCGAATACTACCACCGGCTTCAACTCCCTCCTTTCGCCCACCGATACATGCAGCTCCTCTCCGACCCTCTCGGAGGCCCGAGGCTCAGTCTCGTCGGAGAGCAGCGCGGGCACCAAACAAGTTTCTTCCAAACCTGGACCTAAAAATGTGAGTTTTCCTTTCCCATTCCGTTCCCTTCTATACTTGAGTAACTATGGCTGAACTTATAACAGACCAAACGCGCCGTGCAAAACCGCGCCGCCCAGCGCCGCTTCCGCGAGCGCCGAGACGAGCAGAATCGCACCCTCCGCGAAAAAGCAGAATACCTCCAAGAGCGATACGAAGCCCTCGGGGAACGGCTCAACGCAAAATCAGACGAGGTCAACCAGCTAGAGAGGAAAAACGGAGAATTGAGCTCGGAAATCCAGGACCTGCGCCGGCGATGGCGCACGATGGTTCTCCTTTTACAGCGACCCAAGAGTCTGCAGTTCTTGTCGATGTTTGTGGGCGATGCGGGGCTGCCGCTGGATCAGTTGGATGGCTATGTGCGGTGCTTGGATGCGTTGATTTTTCCGGAGAAGAGTTGACTTGATGTTATGATACTACCATATAATACCATCCTTTTTATAACAGGCGATATCGTAATAGAGAGCTACTGTATTGTCAGCTCTGACTGATGTACTACGAATACGGCCCATAGCTCGCCCTAATTGGCTCGTATCATGCACGAGCAACGTTGAGGGCTTGGTTAGTCCTGCTATCAGTGTACTATACCCCGTTAAGACATACTTTGCCCTATCTTCCTCGATTGAACCGTCCTACCCAGGTGGCAGCTGCAAGTACATATACTCACCGTTTCGCCACCCCCAGACTCGACCGCGTCTAGACTCCATCATGCAACAGGCGAAACAATTGATGACAAAACGCCTAGTCACGGCCGGTTTTATAACCGCCATAGCCCCGGCAGTCCGAGTCCCTTTCAGTCTCTCTTCCTTTTTTGCCCCTTCTTGTCATAGTGTCGGTCTTTGTCATCTGGCTGACACGGCCACTTTTCTTAGAAATCCATCCGTTCTCCGCCTCCCTGCGCAGCACATCTCGCAATTGGTCGGCGGCATTGGACGACTATGGTCTCACAGCCTCAAAGCCCGCTCGATACTACCATCCACGTGCTAGACAAGACGACAGCCCCGGCCCCGAGCTGAGAGAGAAAGACCCCGACCCGACTCTTCAGCCCCCAACGGCCAAACCTGCTGCGATCCATGGCGCGACGAATATCTCCTCGCGCCGTGACTGGTGGGCGAGTACGATGCGCTCCTTGGCATGGCTGAATCATCTTTGAAATCACCGCTGCGCTCGCCGTTATTGGAGCCGCAGGGAGCTATGGCGACGCCAGCGGGTTAGCCCAGCTTAGCCTCCGCACTATGCATGGCGGCTGGAGGAGCCGACTGGCTCGACGGGGCGAGGAAGGGTCCACTCGTGGTAACGGGCAGAGTGGTCTCTACCAGGGACTTTGCGAGCGTGATTGTCTATAAAAACCATGAACGGGACGAGGGGATTGATTGATTACGAAGCAGCTGCTGCGAGCATTATTCATCAATTGTCCGTCTTCACATTCAGATCCTGATTCTGTCAATCAATGGCACCTCCACCGAAACCGCAATCCTCCTCTTCGAATTCAGCCCGGTCTTCCATCTCCTCTGGCACTTCTCTCGAGCTGCCAATTGGCAACTCTGCACCAGCACCGCGGAGAACAGTTCAAGGGCCAGGCGGAGGCGAGTTCCTCTTCGTCGACTCACAGGCCGATACAGCCGAGAACCATGCGCTCAAGAAAGAGAAACAGGCGTTTGCCCTGAACAAGTATTTCCGGCGGCGGCGGGAGGCCGCAATTGAACGGGTCAAGCCCTCGAAGCCGCTGCCGAGTTCTCGTCGGCGTATCGAGCACCAATCGCAATTGCAGAATCCAGCCACGGGCGATGATGAGGGCACCGAGAACAGGGACTGGGAACTCGAAGATTTCAACGACTACTCTGCAATCACCCAATATACATCTCTAACCACGTACCTCAGCCAAGGCCACACGGACCCGTTCGCGTCCGCCGCGGTGGAATTGACGAACCCGCGATATAGCTACTTCTACCACTGTATTTCCCCCTGCCTACCTACCCTACCCCCAACCCCGCTCCCGCCGAGGGCCGGCACCCTTTGCTAACGAGTCCCAGTCCGAACCCACATAATCCCCGCCTGCTACCCGCTCGACGCAACCCGCATCAGCACCTACTGGTGGCGGCAGGCAATCACCCAACCGGCCCTGCTGCAGGCCCTCATGTTCCTCGCCGCAGGCCACCAGGCAAGTCTCCAGCTAACGAATAACGCGCATGGCCGGAACTCGCAAGAGACAGCGTTTCGGGCGCTCAAGGATTCGTGGCGCTCCCGCGGGGATAGTCTCAAGCTCCTCCAGGATATCATTCGCGACCCCGGGTGGGCCGTTGCCGAGTCGACGGGGTTGGCGATTGCGACGCTGGTTACTATTGAGGTTTGTTTTTCGATTCCCTTGCGGGGTGTTGGGTTGGTGTGTGCGTATTAATGGGTGGGTTTAGGCTGTGAATGCCAACTTTGCCGCTGTCGAGGCGCATGCCAAGGGGCTCCGGAGGGTCTTTGACCTGTTCGGGGGGCTGGACCGGGCGGATCATATGTTCCTCTCCAAGATATACCTGTACGTCTCTCCCATGAAAACAGGCTACATACATGATATGATGAAGCTGATAATCCCTTAGAAGCGACGTCAAAGCGGCAGCCCTAACAAACACGCGCCCCAGCTACCCCATCTTCCCCAAATGGCGCAACGCCATCCTGCAACACGCAAAGCTGTACCAGTTCGAAACGAGCGCAGGACAGGGACAGGGACAAGCACGGGGACAGCCTGCGCACGAACTCAAGCTCACGACCCCGAGGCACCTGGGTACACTGGGGACCTCGTTTTTCAAGGCACCGTGGTATCCTGGTCTCGCGTCGAGCATGAAGACTTTCCTACGGGTTTTCTTGAGACTGCTCGTTTACTACGAGTCGGCGGTTCTGGCGCCGGAGCTTGTCATGGATACGGATAATGATTTGTATATTCTCTTCGAGCATCAGCTCTTGGATACGCGGTACACGACTGCGGAGCGCGTCATCACAACGGCAGAGGACGAGGCCGAGGCCGAGGCCGAGATGAGCAGGAGCCTAGGCATAAATCCAAGAAACAGCCCGCTCAACGAACCGCTCCGTCTCACGCTCCTCACGTTCCTCACAACCAGAATGTGGCATCTGCAGCCCTTCCCGGCGATGGAGTATACGACGCGATATCTAAAGGAAGGCCTCTGCGCCACTCTTCCTGACGCAGAAATAGACCGAAACAGAGATCCGGAGACTGCTCTAACCATAGATCTAAACACAGATACAAACACAGTCTTACACCATCTCACCACAACCGCCCCCGACCTCCTCTTCTGGATCCTCTTCGTCGGCGGGATGGCGAGCCAGAGCTATACCTCGTACCCGTGGTTCGTCGAGCAACTGGCCCTGTCGGTGCGGTCTCTCGGGCTATGGGAGTGGGAACAGGCGCGGGAGGTGCTAGGCGGGTTCTTCTGGTGTGACCAGGCTGGGTTGAAGAGGGCGGAGGAGGTGCTCTGGCGGGATGTCCTCGGGAAGGTAGCTGCAATAGGTTGGGAGGGGGCGGAAATGATCTCGAGGTGTGATTGAAGATGCATGGTTTCTCCGAGCTGTAGGATGAAGACTGGCAGGGTTGAAGCGAGAAGGGCCTTTTTACCTGCGTCGGGTAAGGCGTTCGCGTCATACAGCGTGGTAGTAGCGTGGTAGTAGACGCCTAGAGGGGCTCAGCAGTGCGTTGTAAATACCAGCTAAGCGGAACGCGGCCGCCAGAGCAGCCTACTCTGGCCCGAGAGTGCACAGCAAGCCACTACCTCGCATAAGGATTAGGACGAGCAATTTTAGTGATCGTCCCATGACGTTGCAATGGCGTTTCACCCCGTAGGCCTCGGCAGATCAACCAACTGCATCACCTTCTTTAACGAGACAGGCTTCGTGACGAAGACGTCGACGCCCGCTTCGTAGGCCTTGGTGATATCATCATTCGAACCCAGCCCGGTCAACGCAATGATCTTAGCGGGGGATAGAACCTGCCGCTCAGCTTCGATTGCACGGATTGCTCTTGTTGCCTCGAATCCGTCCATCACAGGCATTGAGAGATCTAGACATTCGACATTAGCATATGTTGCTCCTGGAGATCTGACTCGTAGCACGAATGGATGGGAAAGAGTGGCTCACCCATGAAGACGTAATGATAACCCTCGACTAGGGCTCTAGCTGCAGCAACTGCTTCCTTACCGTTTACTGCCTTGTGAATGACGATGGGTTCTTGGCGCTCGATGATCCGCTGCAGGAGTAACATGTTGATTGGGTTATCCTCCACAAGGAGGACGCGGCGGGGTTCTGTTCCGCTAGAAGCCAGAGTACCAGATTCATTACTTGTAGCCGGGTCCTGCTGCGGTATATCCCTCTTTACGGAAGTGCTCTTCTCAGGTTCTGAATCGCGGGCTAAAACTGGAATGATAGGTTCTGTGGTGGAAGGTAACGGGGACGGCCCCGCTGGACGTAGAGGGAGGCTCATCTTGTGGCTTTGGCTAGAATGCGCACCATTTACCATTTTCTCGCCACTTTCGCCTGGAACAGGTCCAGGTAGAGGTTGGGGCTGGGCCTGTAGACAAGCTTGAATCATTCTGGCCAACCGGTATGGACCACAGGGAAGGCTCAACCATCCAATGCGTGCGCGGATATGATGATGCCCGGTCGACTTCTGGTAAGAACGATGCCCTTCGCGATGAAGGATCAGGAGGTGAGTTTCCTCTGTTAGGCCGTGCAAGCGATGCAGCTGGTTCTCATCGGCTATCACTAAATCTGCGCATAGCCTAGGCGACCACTTTCGAACGGGTATGTTAAACCACTGATTGAGATATTTCGTGATGGTAAGGAAGGAACGGGGAGAGGGAGTCGATGTGTCTTCTGGCTCGACGAAAGCAACCGTCTTCAATTTCAGCGCTCTCCTTACGTTTTCAAAAACATCCTCGGGATTGCTGCCTGGCGATCCATGATGTATCCCGTTGGGTTTCTCCGGCCGCATAAGCGGAATCGCGACTTTGACCACGGTACCTGTCTCAACCTGGCTCTTTATCTTGATGGTGCCCTTGAGAGAACGGACGATGCTGTTGACCAAGGAGAGACCAAGTCCCGTGCCGGGCGAGAGAGGGTTCTCCTGCATAAACGGGGTGAACAGGTGATGGCGGAGATAGTTCTTTGATATGCCTCGTCCGGTATCAGAGACGGTTAGAAGCACCGTGTCATAGCCATCACGGGAGCCTGTTTTGTTCTTTGGCTCAATCTCCAACTTCACACGAATGGATCCTTGGCTGGTATACTTGAGGGCGTTGCCAAAAACATTCATGACAATACGTCGCAATGCCCCAGGGTCCAGCGAGAATGTCCAGTCGTGCTTGTCGATATCTAAAGAGATGTCAACGTAGGTCGAACTACCTAATGTTTCGCTAGCTTGGGTGATATTGAGATGATGTGCCCCAGAGCAGATACTCTGGATTGCGTCTTCCACAATAGTGACAATGTCGACCTCCTTTAGAAGATACAGAGAGCGTGTCTCTCGATGCGTGCTAACCGAACCGTCCGTACGGCCTCTCCTTCTGAACGAGTTGATTTTGCTGAAATCTAGGATTTGTTCAAACACATCTGAAAGAGTCTGACTGCACGCGCGAATAGTGTCTAGAAGCAGCATTGCCGAGTTGGGCATTGTCTGCTCAGCGAGAAACTCGACCGCAGCCAGGATTCCGTGCAGCGGGCTTCGAAGTTCATGGCTAGACAGTAGATTAGTCGCGTGGTTTCACATTTGCGAGCGTAGCGGTAGATAAATCAACACTCACGAGATACTGCCGATAAAAGCTGCCTTCTTATTGTCCGCTTCTTGACTCCGAATGCGACTGTCCTCCGTCATCAACGAAGAACAAAACCCAAGCACGCCGCCAAGTTCAACATTAGGACTAAAGATTCGCGTCTCCTCGGAACTCCAACAGAAACATCCGCCGAACCAGCGAGAATTCAACGGATCCCACAAGGGGGCAAAGATGATCCGCGTAGCAGTTGGAAAATACGCCCGTAGGAAATCCGTGTCCTTGCCGCTCAAAGCACCCGAGGCACGGGGATGCAATAAAGCTGGTGGTTGGAGAGTTACCTTGTCAGTGCTACGTTGATTCGTCTCCTCATCAGAGGAAAAAGCGGTCCCGTCACGGTGGAAATACCACAGGGCGCCATGACAGAAACGGCGCATTAGCCGCTGTAGGAAGCGTCGAGTCATCTGCCTTGGGGGTATCGCGTCCCGCGCGTCTCCGTCAACCCAAGTCTGGCTGTGCTTGGTTGAGATTGCCCAAGCGCTAGCAGCGCTCCCCGGTACGACGTCGGGATCCTCCTCCAATTCTTCTTCGTCATCAATGTCGACGCTGAGCCTTTCTTTGAGGGCGAAAATCGCAACGCCCCCGTTCTCGCCTAAGCCCAAGCTCCGGCGCATGGTGTCTGCAGCGCGCTGGAAGGCTTCACGTCTATTATGCATTGGAGAAGCAGCTAGTGTAGCAACAGGTTCGGGATCCACATTGCCCCGTTTTTCTGGACGGGGCAAATCCAAGGCCCTTATAGACAAGCTCTTTCCCTGCACCGGACTCACTGTAGGAACGTTCGATTTCGTGTCTTTCGAACAAGGACCGACATTCGCCTGTGGTGGTGAAAGGGGAGGCGTACTGGGGGGTGATGATTGATCACTATCAGACATGTCGACACTCAACGAGGAAGATTCGCTCTGACATTCGGTTTGGCGTTGGTCTTGCACAAAGGAATTGAAGCCAGAAAGAACCCTCCTCAGGCGACCACTCTCGAGCGACCGACGCGACGTTTCCAGATACTCCATTACAGCCCTCGCTGTGACGCCTATAGTTTCCTTGTGAGAGTCGGTCAAGACAATATTCGGACACGGATCAATGACATATAAACTTCCGATATTGATGCCATTGCTAGTCATGAGGGGCGTTCCAGCATAGAAACGGAAAAACGGGGACCCGGACACGCAGGGAATGTGGCAGTATCTAGGGTGAAGCTGGAGGTCATCCACGGTGAAGAGAGGATACCTGTCTTGCGGCGTCGGATAGAGTGTGATTGTTTTCTAGGAGCATCAATGAATGACTCTGTTTGGGACCGCTATAATAAGTACCTCGCACAACGATCCGGCCGCGGGACCCCGCGAGCAACCCATCCAGAGCCCTTCGCCATCATTGTCGTAGACGCTGTTGTCGCCAAGGTTAAGCGAGCGCGATGCCTCGGCCACGACATATAGCGTTTCACGGTCAATCAGACTAATTCCTGTTAAGCACACAATCTGAAGACACTTGTCGCCATAATTACACGTACCTGATAATCGCACGCTGGACACCTACCTTGATGGCAGCCAGTTGCGCCAGAGCAGTAAGGACTAGGTTGGGACTGGACTTTGTCTGGTTACTCGAGGCACCTGGTGTATCACAGGGTGAGTGATCGGGCAGCAAGGCCGGGTTATCAGGCTGGAAATAATGGAACAGCTCTCGAGCGCGATAGTCCGCTTCGTGCTCCTCTTGCAGCAGCGGGGCCGGAAATTGCGATGCCTCCATTGCTGTAGAAGGCGGGGCTACTTATAAGCCCCGGTGTTGTTTCGTCCGTCGATCCCGGGTGTGAGGAAAAGACTGTTGCGTGTGGTCTACTCAGATTTCCAGCTGCAAGGTGGCTGGCTTTAATCTGCACGTGTGGCGAGTTCCAGGTTTTTCTGGGGAAGCTGCGTCACACGTGTGGTGCTCCCGGATCTTGCAAAGTGGGCCTCCGATCTCGCGGTCTAGACCCGGGCCTATGCTGCCACAAAGCTTGGCTTGGGTCGGTTGTACCGAGTATAATCCTGCCAGTGGCGACTACCACGTATAGATGTATTGGGTCTCTGTTCTTAGAATAAGACTTTTTCAGGGCGGCGTGAAACTGGTCGGTTTTCCCATCGGCAGTACTCTCAGGAGAAGAGAGCTCATATTGTTTCTCTTCGTCACGAGGCTATGGACGTATGAGATGACAAGCGAGGGCTTGCATTGAGCAGGAGGGATTGTCAACTGCTCAGAGCGTCGCCCCGCCTGTGGCACCGAGTATCGATCAAGTCCCAGCAGATGATCGGTCACCGGTCGTCGCGCAGCTCCAACCCGATCTCACAGGAGGCAAGGTTTGTATCAGCGCCGAACTCCTCTAGAGTTCTCATAATTCTCAGGTAGATCCTCTCTTCTGCGATAGACCACGCAGTCTGTCCACGGGAATTCACGGCATTTGGGTCCGCACCCGCGGTTAGAAGTATCCTAACAATAGTCGAGTCGCCTGTGCGTACTGCCACTAGCAGTGGAGTTTCCCCTCTGAAGTCAGTTGCATTGATGTCAACTGATTGCGTTTGCAGTAATGCTTCAACAATGGACTCGCGATGGCCGCATGCCGCGTGATGGAGGGGCGTTCTTAATTCGAAGTCTGGCGTATCTGGAGGCGCGCCTTGCTCCAGGAGCCTTTGCACGGCCCATAAATGTTTGTCTCTGACAGCTGCGCCCAGTCTGTAAACAAGGCGTAGCGTTTCTGTGATCTGACATCCAAATCTCCTCTCATAGAGTTTCAGAATCTTTATACCACTATGATTTGATGCAGCAGTGGCCAGTAGCACTCGATCAGTCAAGCATAGCTTAACTTCGTTGGGATACTGCCTTGCGAGTACGTCCGCCACTTTATGGCCAGCCGCAAGAATGAGAATATCTTCTGTAATTGGGATAGGCTTTCCACTGGCCCACATAAACTCAAGCTTCTCTTCCGCCGCGGTCTCCCATATAAAACGGCCGAATCCTCGGGAACGGTAAAACATTGCCTCCATCATCTTCGGCGTTATGGCAAGGTGATTTGCGCGAGGAAGAATCAACCGTAGCGCGTCAGACTTATCGGCGCCAGTAGCGGCTTCAAGGACTTTCTCAGTAATCGGCACATGTGGACCAAATCGATGCAAGAGATATTCCAGAGCCTTGGGGGCATGACCAGCGGCGTCAACCATAATATCCTCCGTAAGTCGGAAAGAATCTCCGGCCGTATCGATAAGAAATCGAAGAACTGCTGTAGACCGCCTGTTCCGCATGCTGGCGCGGATTAATGCATCATCCACGGAGGATGGCCCCGCTAGCCGGTGGAAGAGAGCTTTGAATGTCGCAAAATTAGCTTGTTTTGGTGGATGAGGACTGGTCGCTGCGGCTCGAAGAACGCGCTGGATCATAAGCTCATCCCCAGGAGAGCCTACTGCGGATACAATTCCCTCTCTGGTCACGAGACGGCCATTAGCCCGAGAAAGAAATATTCCGAGTAAGTCTTCCGAGTCATTAGCGGCTGCAAATAAAGCTTCTCTCGCAACCATGACTTTGTCTTCAGGGTACTGAAGCAGGGCTTCCACTGGTTCCCAATTGCGGCAATAAGCTATAAGCATGGCTGTGCGCTCCGTTATCAGGAGGTTCATGGCTGGATAGAGTCGTTGAAGGGTGTGTATGATGTCCTCACCATACAGCCAATTCTGAACTACAGAGTCAATCAGATTCTGGCAAAATTGGCTGTTGAATGTTGGATTGCCTCGCTGGAGTACGGACAAGAAAGTGTCATGTCTGCACCTTCTCGCACAGCGAATTATGAGTTCGTCTGTAATCGCAACCTGGCTGTCCGGATGGGCGAGAACTGCTCCAACTACCTCAGTATATTCTTGATAACAGGACATTACCTCAAGAACCTCCTCTGAAAGCCAACTCACGCCATGGTGCTGACACAGGAACGCCTCCAGCGGCGCTGAAATGTCCATCCAAACCCTTAGAGGTAAAAGTTTCAGCCATTCAGCTGAGCTCCGCAGTTTCGAGGGCTGGGCATGAAACAGAAACTGAAAAGTTCTTGCGTTTCCGGCAATGGCGATCCGAGCTAGCAGATCTTCAATCAGAAGAAACTTTTCCGGACCTCTGAGAATCGATGCGGCCTGGTGTTCATTGGCAACAGCGTAAAATGCTGCCATACGAACTAGCGTCGGGCTCGTGTCATTTCCTTTCATGATTAACTGATATACGATCACTTGTAATCCAGCCCCAAAATAATACGGTTGCTCAGCAGCTATGACGATATCCTCGGTGAGTGGAATATTCCAGCGTTGGTCGACCAACATCTGGAATATGACATTGTTCTCAGCGTAATTATGTATTACTGCCAGAATGAGATCCTCTGGTATGACATGGTAATCTGTCAAGACCTGTCCACATATTGCTGAGATGGTCTCGATGGATCCATATTCGAATACGGTCATGGTAAGTTCGTCACGACGCAAAGGGTTTCGGTCAACCAGAGAGTAGAGATGCTTTACTAGGGCGACCCGTGTATAGTATGCAGCACTCTTAGAGAGCAGCTCGCCAAGGCCCACCGAGTCACTGTCGAGCGATTCAAGCCAATGCATTATCTTCGGGCCCCAAAGCCTATTTGCAACAGCAGTCTCAAGTAGTCCGCTCGTGACGCGGAAATCGTCTCCGAGATACCTCACTAACAATTCCATCAATTCTAGCCCATGTGCAACATTAGCCGCAGCAGCCAGGACAGTTTCTTCCGCAATTGTAATCCCTGAGACATGATCTAGTATAAGCTCAATTGTCCTCGCAGACCCGTGGGAGGCGGCGAACGTCATAAATTCTTGGTCAATGAACTCACAGGTGCTCGACCTTGCTAGAATCACTGTCAAGAACGCTTCATCATTGGCCTCCACGGCCGTGCTGAGCATGTCTTTTGTGAAGGCAAGAGCGGGCCGCTTCTCCAACAATATTGATAACACACGGGCGCGATAGGTCGCCGAGCAGTCCCACAAGTGATACAGGATAGGGACCATATCACCAAGGAGATCAAGAATGATTTGAAACATTTCAACCATTTCATGAAAATCGTCCTCGTGAGGGAAAAAGTCCAAGTCCACTGATACGGGCAAATGGTCACCGAGACAATTCCAGAAAAGCCGAACTGTCTTCCAACTTCCCCAAGGATTTAGAAGTGCTTGCTGGACCACATCCTCGGTAATCAAAGGTTCGACCGCTGGATAATCAACTAGAAGGGCAATAACTGCTGGATTGCCGTGTCTAGCTGCAGTTTTCATGTGCTCCTCCGTAAAGATGGGGTTGCCACTAGAATGGCGTAAGATTCGTGACATGATTTCGAGGACGAGACCTTCATCCGAACCCCAAATAATGCGATGAAGAAGTCTTTGGCTAAGGGCAAATTCGGCCCCCCGCTGCTTAATATACCATTGAAGGAGCTCGATATTCCCACACGCTGCAGCTCTGTCAATGATGGATTCTGTTATCAGGTTGCTGACTCCTCGGCGGCTAAGAATTATCTTAACAATTTCCCTGCCGTTTATGTCGTTTTGTAGAGCAGCCATTATGACACTAGTTTTGACTATAGCAAGCGGCTGATCAAGGAAGAATGAAAACATCCTCGTGTCACCGTTGCGAGCGCTTGATTCCAACAGATTCTGAAGTGCATGCGTGTTACCGAGACCTGCTAGGATGTAGTTGACTACTGGAAGGATCTTCCAATGGCCGGCTAACTCAAATAGAGAGTGCAAACTGGAGTACGGCCAATGGAACAGTTTATGATAACTGACAAATGCCCTCCATGCGTCGCGTACTTGAGATTGTGGTTCGAAGAATATTGAATGTCGTTGCAAGACACTGAAAGCATCGTATCCGAGATAGGCATGTTGGGACCAGTATAGAGCAGAGTAGAAGAGGAAGGAATCACTCTCTGGCGTATATTCATAGATGTCAAAATCCTTGAAACTAGCAACGACCAAATCAAGGCAGCGATAGGCAGCCTGAGCGTGCGCTGGCCTCTCTTCAACCACTCGCTGCTTTCCTCGGAGCAAGAAATCTTTCAGAGACTTATGGAGAAGAGTAACAGTCCCATCCTGCACCACGATAAGCAACCGGCACATATGTATAGTGTCCCTTGTAAAGGAGTGGCGCACATCCTGGTCTTGATCTAGATAGATTTGGGCGAATTGCGAAAGTTCAAGTATTGTCAGCGGACGAAGAGCAATTGCAACTACCCCAAGGATACGGACAACAGTTTCAAATTCATCCGGAGCATGGTCTTTTGCAGATTCAAGAAGAGTAGTGTAAAGTGAATCCAGATTTCTGGGAAGCCTCTCGAGTGTCTTAACAGCGTTTTTGAAGGGGACGTTGAGTAATTCTCGACACGCTATTCCCACCCAAAGTGACGTGCCATCCGCTTTGTCCTTCAGGATGCTGGCAACATCTTGTCGGATGGATTGAGGATATCTGTTCCTCCTGCTCAGTTCATCAACTTTCTTCTCGATGAGTAAATCCACGTCATGCCTAAGACTGGGGAAGGATGACAGATCGTGATGATAGAATTGTCGTAGATGGCGGCCAATTTCCTCGTATGGTCTACTGGTTACCAGTATATGAAGGCCAAGGCCATCTGGTCCTCCACTGCCTTCATCGAATGTTTCGGCCAATTGGGCCAGTAGGGTCTCTTGCGAGTCTCGAGTGCACTCATCGAGAGGATCGATGATGCAGTATATCTCGCCGAACTCTTTGGCAATGGCAAGAAGAATGGACCACAGGGCCTCAAAGGATGTGAAAAGCTTTTCTTTCCGAACAAGATACTTTGGCATGAGGAATCGTACCCATTCCGGGTGTTTGTGAACTAGCTGATGTAGGAGACCGCGCAGTATGGATGTAGCCGAGGTGTGTTTATCAGAACTGGATTCGCAGAAGAAATACGCGAGCGTTTTCTCATTACTTTGAAAGCAAGGACGTGACTGCAGGATTTCAGTCATGGCAATTGTTATGGTCGATTTTCCGACTCCGGGATTCCCGTGAAGCCAAAATATGCTTGGCCTAACATCGGCTTGGCTGGAATCGCCGAGCCACAGATTAAGCTGTTCTGTGTCCATTATCCAGTCGCATGTTCCAGGAACATGGCCTCCTTTTCTGCGCTTTAGCCGAAGGAGATCCTCCTCGGGGTCTGTGATGAACAAAGCGCGGCAGCACTCCAGTTCTTCAGGTGTAAGCCTGGGCACAGCTTCTATTATCAGCGTGAATCTCGCTGAAAGGATAAGGCAGTTTATTTACCTGAAGATTCCCCAAGACTTGGTACTGCTCTAGGAACTCTTGACAAAAGCAATGTTGCGTATGCCGCTGCAGTTATGGCGCGTATCCCTGCCATTTCTTCTTCTTATGAGAGTCACAATAGTCGCAAATACCGCGGACCACGAGGCAAGGAAGATAGTTCATGAGTCCAGCGGCTTCCATCTCGAAACAAAGAACTGGGAACTTGCTGCTCAAGGCGTCGCGAGCCGAACCATCTTTCATTACCTGGTTCCCCGATGCAATGAGCCCGTACCAGATATGGGGTTCTGTCGTTGAGCGAGATTCCCGTCTTATGAGTCGATCAATATCACACTGGCTGCAGTCATCTTCGAATTCTGGATGGTCGTAGGACGATTCAAATAACTGATCTCCCTCCGGGCCTGGACAGCGGAAGCTGGACATCTTCCCATTCCGAGCCAATCGCTCCGTGACAATCGTAGATATCGGCTCGTTTAAGGTGGGATATTGAGCCTCAAGGCTCGCCATGGCCCCTAGAAGGATTTCCGGGGGCCGATTAAGAGTCCCTGTTTGCTCGAAGCGTCCGCCAGCGACCGACTTGCCAAAGTCGTATTGAACAACCCCAGGGTATTTATCCACTGGTTTACTAACAACGACGTCCCCCAGGCGAATGTCGGCCTTCTCACTCGGAACCCCGCCGCCAATTCCGACCATGAGCCCGTATTGAACGTTCGGGAAGGATGATCGTAAGTGGTTGACGACTGCCGCTGCAGAATTTGTGCCCATGGCCGGTAGGCAGACCATAACGACGTTATGACCACTGATGCTGCCAAGAGTGTATGAGTTAGTATCGCCGCTGCGTTGGGCAAGGTTGGGATGGACGTCGTCGAGCATCGTCCTGCCGGCTGCCATCTCGTGGGGGAGGGCGCTTATCCAGGCGACCGTGTAATCGCCGTGAGAGAGAGAGGAGGGCGCCATGATCAGAGAGTTTCGGTAAGGGATTGACCAGGCATCAACGCGTGAGATTGAGGAGCGACTGACTCGCTTGTTCCGTTGGGTTGTTTGGATTGCTGCTCTCTGATGTTGCGCGGCCAAAACGATGCTGCAACAACAAATATTGGGGTAGCCGCTGTGTTAAGCTTGTCAAGTCGAAGTTGAGAGTGAAGGGGGTGAGCTTTAGACACACACAAGTCAAAGATTCGATGGTAGGAATATTTTTTCTCGATAAGAATAATGGACGATTGTTGAGAAGGGGAAGCTGTGCTGCTGCTCAGGTTGCCTTACCCCGCCGCCACAGAAAGGCAGGCAGACCCCTCAGGCGTCAACTCGCAGCCTTGCGTGACTTGATCAAGCATTGAAATACCGCAGCAAAGAAAGTGCTAGGAGTAATATCATTCCGTCTATATTCCTACATTCAAAGACTGAACTCCAACCTGTTCCCCGCAAAATCCCGCGCAAAAAACCGACTCGGATACTCCACTCCTTTCGCTCCTACGCGTTGTCAGGTTGTTTGTTTGGATTTTATTCTCCTCTTGCTCCCAGCACGCACCTGAATTTTGACCACCGGGCTGATCAGCCTGCAGTGGCGCAGCATCGCCCCCTCGCACGTGGTGATCCCATATCCGCTGCTGCAACTCTTGCAGCTTCTCGGGCGATTCCAGCTTGAAGCACGGATGACGACGCGACGAGAGCGACTCGTTTGGACCAAATGCGACGTGAACTTGCTGGCCGGAATTTCCGATATCGAACCTGCGATTCTTAGGAAGACCGCTCAGGGAATTCACAACTTACTCACCAGAGAAGTGTGCCTTTTTGCAAGTGCGGGACCGGCGCCGAGGTGAGACCAAGAGTTTCCCCATAGAAGGCCTCGGCCCTGTCGAGGGTCCCTTCAGGGACGAGAAGGTTGATGTGCGCTAATCCGGTGATCATTTTGTTTGTTAATGCAGTCGTTCTAGGGGTCTGGGGAGGAATTGTGGTTCTTGAACTGGGGAGGGGTCAAATTTATCCACCCCGCATTCTGGATGTCGCCATCGGCGTCTGGACCGAAGACCGGAAATCACCACGCGTCGGAAACTCGTTCCCGCTAAGTCATCCATTTATCCTCTTATCTGCACAGATATTTACAAGCTTATTCTCTTCCAATCAATCCAGCAAGATACGCAGATCCGACGCTGACAATGACCACGAAGATGAGAAAGTTTCGAGCCGCAGCGATCCCGCACCGAACCATGTTCTTATCATACCGGCGGTTCGTCGCGTCCAGCGTGTTACCTTCTGGAAATGGTTCGTCCGGTATGGGCTTGTCGAGAAATTTGCACAGCGGCTCCCAGCCATCCTGAACCTTCCACACGAGCAGTCTCTCCGGCTCTACCAGACCCTTGATCGTCGCCGAATGCTGCTCGTACACCCACTTTCCGTTTCGCTCTAGCGAGTCATAGAAGAATTTATTGAAGCAGTGAACCGTATACTGCACCGCCCAATACATATCCGGCTGGAACCAGGGCAGGACGTGGTACCAGAATCCGCGTGCATGAGGCAGTATCAGCGCCGTAAGGCTGGCATACCACGAGTCCACGTCGCGATAATTCAGGATGACTTTCGCCTCGGGATAGCATTTGATAAGCTCGGGCGCGAAGATCGCGCAGGGCTGATCGGTAACTGCCTCCGCGTGGCCGATAATAGAGTCAAAGTCTTTCCGGGAGAGCTCGGGGTCCCCTTTGTGCGTTGTCCCCTGGATACCGTATTTTCGGCGGCCAAGCAGTGCCCACTGCTTCCATTGCATTGGAGTCGATTCGCTCATGTCGAAGCCGTGATAGACGTGGTCGTAGCCGAGGATGATCAGCGCCCGGCGCAGAGATTCGGTCGCTGAGCGCGACATGCCGAGTGCCAGCACTTGCATAGGTTTTGTTCGCACCCGTGGCGCCGGAGATGGGCCGGGATATATCCACCTCTCGAGGAAGCCCATTTTGCTCGAATTTGCAGATTCCGATTCAGTTGCGTCGAGCATGTCTCCGAGTTCTTATGGACTCTTCCTCCTCGGCACTGCCACATATGTCCCTCTAAGACGGATAAGGTTGCATCACGCGCTCTGTGATTGACGGTGGGGACAGATGTAATCCGATGTAATCAATATTTTGTTATGTAGCAGAAAACCGACAAGATCCGGTGGCAAAACCATGCAATTAGTCCCACAGTATGAAACCCACCTAGGTCAACCGGAGTACTGTTTGTCTACCTTTAGTTCTTCCTATATACTTCTTATTAACCTTTATAAAGTTCAAAGTATTTAATACGCACTAGCCAGCAGCTGTGCCGCAATTTGCACCCCCGCCCCCGCCACACCCCTGGATCATTGCCAAGGCGCCTATGTACCAGGTTGGAGAACGTCGGGGGAGGGCTTCCATCTTTCTAAGAAAAGGCACGGAGGATTCTCACTAGCTCTTTCTGTATTGTCTTGAGTATTAATGTAAGAGTCAGTAGTCTGTTGAAGCCTAATTGTGGGTGCTGTTCTGTGGATTGGAGTCGGGTATGGAACGCCATTGTCTACATATATCCAAGCCGTTATAAACCCACAGCTAATTTTCCACCACATTTTTTGTCACTACAAAACACAAGATATAGTTACGCTAGTCCCCCATCCAAGTTTCGCATCGGAGTATTCTTTAAATTTCAACGTGCATGTGAAATGCCCCAAGCTCCGAGGAACAGTTTTAGATTAGCCGCCGAGCTCAGGAAAGGTTCTTCCCGCTACCAAGTAACATCTAGTGCTGCCCAATGGGGCAAATCCCCAGTATAGTATGGCACCCACAGAAGACCCTGGTAATGTTGGCAGTGCTCCGCCTCCGGTTGCCAGATATATTTGGAGGAACCAACAGGTACCAGGAACCCGTAGGCGGCGGCCGGCTCATGTTGGGCGGATGCTGAACCCGTCTACGCGTTGGGAAATCGGTTCTTGGCTCAGCGATAACGTATTACGGGGTCAGTGATGACTGTTTCCTGTTCAAAATGGGACACAGCCGTCCAAGAGTCGGCAGTATTAGTAGGGTAGTCTATGCAGCAGTCAAGGCTCAGCACAGTCGGCCGCGGGAGGCCCCGCCACGCACGGACATACTTTCCTCTGATCCTTTCCTCTGATCATTGTCACCGTTAATGAAGAAGAGTCAATTATTTCTTGGAGCCACATGATACCTTAAATTCGCTCCGCGCTCCAGTCCAGTTAGTATATATGTTGAGCGGGGCAGTGCTAATGTACACTAGGAAGGGCGTCACCACCAAATGTAGATGCGGCCATCTCGCGTTGTGTAATCAGGTCTAGGTCAATCGAGTGGCTCAGCGCACTGGTAAGGTGATGCCCTTGAAGAGGCGGCTTAAAAGGAACCACTGATTCGCCCAACGTTAACGAAGGGCAACTTCGGCATACTACCTTTGACCACACCTCTTGCCATTATTGCCTCTTTTGGGACTAGTTATTACTCTCCAAGTTCACTTATGTGCTGGAGATCTGGTTGGATCTGGGCTTGCTCCTTTAACCAATAAATTGTCTCCGCCGGTCCAACTAGGAACCTACATTGTGTACATTTGACCCTAAGTTCATGGTCCACTAAGAGTTGCTCTGTGCTGCTGCGTCATCAGGACGCCGTTGGCAGCCTGTTAGATTACACACTAACTCCTTTAGAATAACCAAACACAAGAACCTCTCTGGTGCGGCGCTAGTATTGCAGAACGTAAAGTGGCAGTGGCTTGCTTAGCAAGCGCAAAATGTGAGTCCTAATCAGCTTCCTATCGCGCCTCTATTGGCGTTGACAGCTATGGCAAGCCTCCGCGTCCTCCTGCTTCTGCGCCTGCTCCTGCGCCTGCTCCTCTCGCCAGGCTGGCCCCGGTCCCCGTAAGTGAACTTCTCCACTTGGAAACCTGTTGGTCCTCTAGTGGCATGCCAACAACGTTAACAAGTCTTCTAGAGCTTGTCTCAGTGAGCCGATCAAGCATATTCTATATTACTGTGCTCCGATATCTGCTCCCCGTTTGACGACTCTGGGTGGTTGAGTTCTTTGGATATTTTCTCCGTAGGCTACCCGCATGAACTCACTGAAACACATTTCTGCTGCTAAGGAGATGTTTCATGTTTGCCCAAGCGCTATGGCAAACTGTCACAGATATAAGGCATCATACGATACTTCATAGACGGCCCTTTACTGGGAAAGCTTCTGCATCTCCCGGATTCGCAGGCGGCAGCGCCGGCAGAGGGAGATCCAATTCTCTTGCGGCCTTCTTCGCAGCCCAGAAACCCGTTACAAAAGCGAGTGCTAGGCCGCCTGCATATCCTAGATTACTAAACCCGCCCGCATCGACACCGGCGACCAGAAGGCCAGGGATTCTAGTATCATCCGCAGTCAGGGCGTAGCCCTCCCGGTCGATTTTTATGCCACCGTAGGTAAATGTGATGCTGTAAATATTTGTTAGTATTGAAGTTGGGACAGTTCAATGGTTGGCGGTTGGTTGTTCTTACGACGGCTGCACTTCCATTGCGTAGAATGGTCCTTCCCCTTCTACCAATGGGCCAGGAGGCGCTCCTCCTCTACCAACAGGAGCGTCCAGCGCCAACCCCGGTTCCCCTTGTCGGACCACCCGGTCGTACTCGTCAATGGTTCTCATGGCGCCAGCCCTGTCGGCGCCCCAACCGGCGAGGACATCAACGAGTTCACCGAGTGTGGAAGCGGTGCCGGCATTGCATCCGTGCTCGCGAGCTTTCTGTAGACGATCGATATCGCCTGCGTTGGGGAACAGGGATGATACGCAGTGCTGCTGGCGTGTTTTCTCGCTAAACCCAGGGTATGCGTACGTCAGTCCAACTGGGCATCGCATTTGGGGGGATCGTGGGAGACACGAACTTGAATATCAGGAACCCTCGCCGTTTCTCTTGCTTTGCGAGGTATTGGTTGATGATCTCGTCGCCGGTAGTTTCATCAGCGAAGCGCCGCCCGGCCTCGTTGAGCAGCAGGCAGTATTTACTCTCTGGGGCAGTGTCAGATTAAAGCTCTGTGAACAATAGGGATTCTCCATTCGCAAGGTAACCTACGGTATTGCGCCAGGGGGAGGTAGTCCTTGGGGTCTACTTGGTCCGCGCTGAGCGGTGCAGCCATCAGGTGCCCATAATAGGTGTTCATCCCCCTACTCGTCGCCGCTCCAACCGCGACCGCGAGATTGAGTCCATCACCCACGGAGCCCTTGTTCGAACGCACGAAGATGTTGTCCGCGCCCTGGCCGAGGTATTGCGACGTCAGGCTGGATGATCCCTGGAAACCGCCCGTGGCTAAGACGACCATCCGTGCTGTGACCTGGCAGTATGTCGCGGGCTCCTGAGGATAGGAGGCGGCTCCGCGACGAACAATAGCACCCGTGATGCGCGAGCCTGGGACCCCCGGGGATTTCTGCATAAGCTTGACGACTGCGCTGTTTGTCCAGATCTCGGATCCGGTGTTGCTGGACTGGATTCGACGGCGATGTAGGCTGTGGAGGTGCGGGACCTTGATTGGGAAGCCGATTCCTGCGCATGAAGTGTTAGCATTGGTATCGTTTAGAAATGCCGTAGAAATAAAAGTGTACCGATTGTCATGATTCCGTCAAACCGCGGCGCCGTAGGGACCTGATTCTCGCGCATCCATTGCACGGCACGTAGATAATCGTCTAGCCAAGCGCGTTGCAAGCGGGGATCTCCATCCGGGACCCAGGATCTGAGTTTCTCGTAGGTCTGAGGGCCCCAGCTGGCTAGGTGTCAGCGGGAGGTCGTGAGGGAGGATGAAGACTGCGTGTTACATACAACATGCCTGCCGAGTAGTTGGACGAGCCGCCGACGGTGCTTTGCTTCTCAACGACCAGCACTCGAGCTCCGGATTGCGCTGCGAAGGAGGCACATGCCATCCCCGACATTCCCCCGCCGCATACCAGAACGTCGACGTTGATGGATTGCATCTCGAGTAGAAACTTAGTCTCGTGCTAGTTTTGTTGTCCGAAATACTCTTTGGCATCCAAATCTGGGGGGTTGTCGTTATAAAACTATATATGCGCAAGCCCATACATGTGGCCCAACTAGTCATTTCATCCGGCGCATAAATTAAATGACCGGGTGGGCCAGGACCGGCATATCGAGTGGGGTAACATCCATAGCACTCCTCTCATTCGTTGACCTTTCTAACTGCCTTGTTACATACACTAATTTTCTTATTGTTTGTTTTATTTAACCGGCGACGTTGGCGAGGATGCCTCAGGCCCCTTTGTCCTCGTCCCCACAGAACTGTTCTCCGCAACTTTCTCCAACTCGACACTCACTGCCTCCTCATCGCGCCCTCTGAACTGAGATGTTATCTCCAGCGCGTAGAGACAGCACCCCTCAGGGACGACCCCGTCCGGGAGCCGCGCTCGCTTGCGAGGCGTGCCGGAAGCTCAAGGTACCTACCTCTCTTTCCCCCTTCCTTCAGCGTAGGCCGCTAACGACGCCACAGATGAAATGCATACGACCTGCGCTGCAGAGCGACAACAATCCACAGTGTGAACCATGCGACCGGTGTAAACGGACTAATCGGCTCTGCAAGATTCCCGAGTCGCGACCACTGGGTAGGAGGCCGGGCTCTTTGGGCCGGTATCGCGGGCTGCACAAGGCATACCGGAAGCTACAGGAAGAGGCGAAGAAGGCGAGCCCTTCGCATGGATTCGACAATTGGTTTCAATCCCTCGCTACACCGACGAGTATGGAGATGGGTGTTCAGTCTTTCTTGACGGATGAGCCGACGGGTCGTCATCCGCGACCCCGTAAAGCAAGTTACGACCGCGCGGCCCCTGGGACTTCCTTTCTAGGGCCCGAAGTGACGACACCTGAGATAGAGGTCCAGAGTGACCATCCAGAAATCCCGGACGATTGTAGTGAACCGGCGCACGAACCCATGAGCAACCCGCTTGCACTTTTGGCGTACGCGTCTGACGCCGCTCGAGCATCAGAGCAAAGCCCCGCGTCAGTAAATACCTCGGCAAGCCCAATATCGAGGAGACAAAGCGCAGCTCACCGTTTACTACATCGCCCTGGCTACGTTTCTTTGGGGCTGCAGCTGGACCGAGCCAGTCTCGTGCAAGGCCTGGATGCCTTGTTCACCGGTGTTGACACAGGAAAGCAGTCCTTCGATTATTTCAAACGGAGGCGTGTATGCAATCGCGACGCGAGACCTGACCTTGATCCGGTAGAACTGGGGCTCGTTACGATGGAAGATGCAAACTACTTATTCCCCCTGTAGGTATTCGTCCCATGTTGTCCAAGCCTAAGCTAATCCGCTCAGATATTTCGCACGCCTGCACCCAGTCAACGGAATCCTAGACCCAATACTCCATACCCCGGAATTCGTGCGCGCGCGGTCCTCCCTGCTCTTTACGTGGATCCTCGCTCTCACAGCCCAGTTTGATCACGCCGCGGCGGCCATGGCCGAGCGCTTGCGACTGCACGGCGAGAAGTTGTCCAGGTACGTGCATACGTGCGGGTACAAGTCGGTCGAAATCGTGCAGGGGTATTACATCTCACTTCTTTCAGCTACGCCAGCAAAGACGCTGGCCGAGGAGCGCTCCTGGCTATATACGATGTACGCGATTGGCGTTGCGACGGACTTGGGATTGGATCAAGACAAAGGATCTGGACCGGGCGCCCATTCTCGAATCTCTCGGGCGCATCGTAATCATGAGTTACAATCACTACATTCCGGTGCTGAAGGCGTACCTGGACAGGCGTACGAAGGACTTTTCACAGAAGAGACTGTCCATCAAGAGAGGCTGCGTCGAAATCGCGAAAGAACCTGGCTCCGGATCCTCCTGTGGGAACGAGCGAGCAGCGCCGCATGCGGCCGGATCCAGAGTTTCCCAGAAAGCAGCTTGACGCGATCTATCGAGACCTGGTGGCTGCACCCACTGGCGGATATGACGGATAGATATACGAGTGCATTTATCATCCTGCGCAAGAAGCTCGCGTCGCTGCAACTGGAATTGAAACAACAAGCCGGGGTTCTCCAATCTAACCCCCATTGGACTTTAGAACTCGTTGATGCTTCGCTCCAGGACTGGTGTAATACGTGGCTTTCAAAGGCCAGCGACTACGCTACCTCTGCTCCATCGCCTGAACAAGTCTCGATGATTTTTCTGTACTACGTCTACGAGCATGGGCGCCTTTGGACTCTGTCGCTAGCATTGAGCGAGTCGATTTCACGCGCCCGAGATCTAGACGCCATCCGACAAGATTGCTTTGAGAGTGCCGTTCATTGCTGCGAAACAGCCGTCTGGGATTTACATGCTCTGGGAGAGCCATTGTACTGCATGCTGGCTCCAACCTGGGCGATGATCGCATACGCCGCGGTCCTAACGCTCAAATTATTCCCCACCCTATACGGGTCCAGAACTGGCAGTGACGTCGAGCTCATTGCGCTGTTGAGCCAGGTAGCCCTGCAGCTCCAGCGCGCTGGGACGACGCCACCTCATCGCTTTGGCATCGCGGCGCTGTTGGGACAACATCTGATGATGATCCTACGGACGAGAGCCCTTGATCTGAGAGAGCCAAAGCCATCCCATACTGGGGGCCGTGTCCCGCGTCACAGGGCATCGGAATGGCAATCTACCCCATCTGCGCTGGGGCAGGGGAATCCGCTTGTGTCTGATTGGGACCCGTTTCGGACACCCGCGATATCAGACCAGAATGATGTCGCGGGCGGTGGATTCGATGACCTCTTTGGAGAGATATTTGGGCCTGTCTTTGGTGATTTGCCTTAGGGGTGTAATAGAATATAATACCACTTCTTCTAAACAGATATGGGAGCCTGGAGCGATTATCCGGGTTTGCAGGGTGGTGGAGACGTGGAGAAGCGACCCCCCAATATGAGCGCTCCGGTGCATAAAAGAAAGGACCGGGTGTGATGACAATGCGGGGTCTGGCTGAACGCTCACCCCGGAGTTTAGATATTAGGAATCAAGCATCTGGTGCAGTTTATGACAAAGCAAATACCTACCTCATCACCATGGCGAAACAGCTATCATCCCCTCTCCCCAACGAGTTTGGCATCGCCACACTCTCCCTCGGCAACTGGCGACACCACCCTCTCCAACCGCGCCTCGAAGCAGCCGCGAAAGCGGGATACAAGTGGGTCGACCTCTTCGACGAGTGCTGGGCCGCGTATCTCGAAGAGCACGGCCTCCCAGGCGACGAACTATGGGAATCCACACCGTCCAATCTCCAAGTCGCGCGCAAGCTCGGCGACCTGGTCAAGTCCCTTGGGATGCGCATCGCATGCACGCAGCCACTACGCAAGATCGAGGGGATTAAGGACCCCATCGAGCGCCGCGAGACACTCGACCTCGTCGCGAAGCGGTTCCCTTTCATGCGCGCGTTCGACACGGACCTTGTCTTCATGTGCGCCAGCATCCGCGCCGACAGCGGCGCCACGACCGATCTGCAGACGGTCGCGAGGGATCTGGCTGAGCTGGGCGATATGGCAGCGGCGTATGCAGAGGCCGACGGCGGGCCGATGCTGAAGATCGGATACGAGGGGCTATCGTGGGCGACGCGTAACAATACCTGGTCGTCATCGTGGGAGGCAGTGCGGTTCGCGAACCGCGCCAATGTCGGGCTTGTCATCGACGCGTTCAACGTCCTGGCTGTGGAATTCGCGGACCCGCATAATCCGGCGGGCCATGGGCGATTGTTACCCACGCTGCAGGAGTCCATTGAGGTCCTCACGGCCTCCCTTTCGGCCTTGGTCGCGACTGTGCCGGGAGATCGCATCTTTTTCTTCCAATGTGGCGATGCGGAGCTTGTTGATCCGGCGGTTATCCGACCACCTGCACCGGATACCCCTGCTCTTCTACCGTGGTCGCGAGGCCATCGTCTGTTTCCACTTGAACAGGCTCGCGGTGGGTATATGCCGGTGGAGTTGGTTGCGGCGGCGGTGCTTGCCACTGGATATAAGGGGCCCATCTCGTTGGAGGTCTTCAATCATTCTTTGAACCAGGCTGGAGGGAATGTTCCAGGGGGGCACGCAACGCGTGGCCTAGCCAGCTTACAGAAGCTCCTCACCATTGCAACGAAGCTGCCGCCGTTCTGGAGAGGTAGAGGAGAGGCGAAAGAAGCGGTTGATATGGTTGTTCGGCGGTTGCAACCAAGCACGTCTCAGTTATAAATGTATTCCAAAAGGGTAGCAGAACTCGGTTGCATATATCCAACCCTCTACAAATCGGCCAACCTTTCAAGCTCCTTCGCAATTACATCCAGTAGAATCTCCTCACTCCCACTACTAACCACCAGCACTGGCACATCACGGCTACTCTGCTCCACGCGCCACCTTAACTTTTACGTTACTGCCTTCGGACGATACCGTGCCAATCAATCAGCGGGGTCCTTGAATTAGAAAGAATCGCTTTCGCCCCCTACTTATTGTCTCTGGATATATCTAATATAAGTACCAAGGGTGATGGGATGGGGAGGCCATTGCCCTGTTGGTATTCTCTATAATATCGCAGGATACTGGGGTGATGACCCAGTCGCTGGTAGATGCGCTTTTCTGACGGCTCTAGATTGCCAGTTAAAGGATGATCATCTGCGCGCTTGATTACAAGGTCGGTATCGGGTATTTTGAAGACCTGCCAGAAGCAACCGATCCCTGCGAGTTCCAGTCGTTGTCGATCTGCTCGTTCCAACGCGTCGGCCACATCGCGAGGACGTAGTAGTGAGGGTACTTTACATGGGGCACCAGCCTTAATAAAAAAATGCATATGGAGGGTTCTATTAGATCTAGAACCATGGTGTATTACGACTTGACATTGCATGACGCACGGCCCACTACAGAAGATATCCTGTCTATTTCTTTAGCACCTAGATTACTTAAGATATACTAGGATCCTATTTAATTCTTTTTACTTCTTTTTTAGTCTTTTGGGTATTAGCTACTTTGTGTTTAAGTAAGGTAGTATAGAGCCCGGCCTTATTTAGCCTATAGTCTTTATAGTTAATAGCCATAACTTATGTTAATAACTATTAAGAATAAGGGATAGGAAGAGACCCTTAACTTTAGAAGTATAAATAGAGTTTAAAGAACTTAAGGATTATTAAAAATTATTTAATAATTTTATAGAACTAAGAAGCAGGTGATATACTTAGAGTAATAGGAAATAGATATTCTAGTTATTAATATTAAAAATATTATAGAAATAGCCAGCACTAGTAATTTTGCTATTAATAGTTCTAGTGGTAGTATAATCAAAACGTAATTCTAACTAGTCTAGACTACAGTCGAAATAATCTGATCTTTAAGTAACCATGGTCTACACTGTCCTGGTATCTGATTAGATTTGGAGCGATCTCTGGACATGCCGTAATCTGTCGTTCCAACATTGGGATTCATAGTGCACCACCCTCTCTCTTCCTACAAGCCTGGATCAGCATTAGTTCTGAACTGATCGCATCCTTTGTGAAGACACTCGAGCCAAATTAGAACATTTCCGTAATTCCTGATGACCCCCTGCAGTCTAGGACCGAGGCAGGGATTATGACTTGCATGCTTCCCCGAGGGACTTGTGTTCCAGTACCACGAATCTGGGACTCTGGCGGACAAACTTGACTTTTCGCAATACCAGAAACAACGACTGCAGTAAGACGTCTTCATATGATTCCAAGGTGAAAATAGTGCTAACCTGCACCAGATGGCCGGTCTAAAGCGCCGAAGCACTTCGTTTCATCCACTCCAAGAATGTGATTCACAGCGACATTGGGAGTCACAACTTTCTCATTTAAGACGACGGCAGCCTGGTGCTCGTTGGCTTTGGCAACTCGAAGATTGATGATACCATACCTAAAGTGGCTTATTCGTCTCGATATGCTCGGCCTGGTTGCGGGGATGATTCCACTGAGATAGACGATATCTTTGCTCTGGGAACTCTTATATACGAGATCACTGTCGGTCATCGAATGTACAGCGACCAAACCGGCCTAGGGGTTATGAGATTGGTGCGGCGGAAGGAGTTTCCGCACCTGGACAACCTTGACCCAAAGGTACGGAGTGTGATTGAAAAATGTTGGTCCAGTAAGTATCGGTCGGCAGAAGAAGTTATATTTGACTTGAACTGTATACCCTCACACACATGTTGACTTGCCCTACATTCACATGTTACAGAGTCTGCAGGAACTGGTTCACGAATGAAGTCTGGTTCTTAGCTTTTGCACGATAACTTGCGTTGTTCCGATACCCGGAAGAGGTTCACCATCAGGATGCCCAGCCATCTTCTAGGATGAGCTAGGAACAGGCAGTATCTTTCGACTAAAGCAGGGGCGACCTTAATGAGGGCGGCCAGGTCATCAGTTCTATACAACAAGAACTTGAACGCATCTACTCACCCAAGCCTAAACGACATGCAGACGGTTAGATGCTACCCAAAGAATACTATTCTTAAAGGAACTATGGGAGATGCACATATAGATATTTTCTTGTTCGGGTACTAGTGATAATGATGTTTACCTGCCCTTCTGTTGCGCCTTGGCGCCTTGGTCGGGATCATCAGGACAAATACCATGTGGGAAAAGCCATGCAGCCTAGCTGCAGGATCAAAGATTTGTCAGCAGAAACGCCCATCTAACTAGCGCCCGTCAGCTCGTCTCTACTCCATCACCTTTGATGAACCAAGCAATGGCAGATCACGAGTGCCGCAACGCGGCCCATCAAGCGAAGAAGGCCGGCCTTGCATGTGAGAAGTGCCGCGTGCTCAAGGTGAAATGCATTCGTGTCGAGGGGCAACCTTGTACAAAGTAAGTCGCTCAGACCAGGCTACCACTCCTACATACGACTAATATCTGCAGATGCTCGCGATCAAACTCTGAGTGTATAGTTCCTGAGCCAAAGCAGCAAGTCCGTCCTCGGCGAGCCAAGCCGTAAGTGGATTATGCAGTCGGATGTCGCAATGGCGCTGACCCGTCCCAGACGCTTAGCGGATCTCGAATCCAAGCTTACCGATATCCTTGGATTACTTTCAGGCTCGAATACGTCCTCTAGCGGGGATCAGAGCTTCAATGTCCCTGATGTCGACCCCCCCGGTATCGATATACATGTAGGGAGCGACTTAGCCGACTGGCTTCGATATGAGAACCCCACGGTTTCTGAGACGATTCAACCTCCCCTGCCTGCTGAGGAAGCCCTTAATACCGAACACGGAACCCTGACTTTATCTGAAGCTCTTGGTAATTCTGACTCGGCATGGATCACCGACCTCGGACTAAGTCCGGCCGTCCTTCCGCATCTCCTGGACAACTTCCGGCGCATGTCCGCGTACTTTCCATTCGTGCGACTTCCTGAGGATCTCACTGCGGAGTCAATGGTCAATGATCGACCATTCCTGTTGCTTGCAGCTGTGACAAATGGTTCATCACGATACCGCCATTTACAAGGCGCGTTGATCGAGAAATTCAAGGAAGCCCTCAGCCAAAGTCTGATTTTAGCAGGAGAAAAAGACCTGGACCTCCTCCAGGGCCTTCTCCTGCACCTTGCCTGGTACGACGTTTCACTTTTCAACCATATTGTTGGGCCGTATGGGACCACCGTCAGAGAGCTGATCTGTCGAATCTCAGGTTTCATTTCCACTTCAACCCCTGGAGCCCTCAGACATACCGATACTTACAAATCGCAATCAGTATGGTGGTCGATCTCGGTCTGGATAAAATGGTTTCAGATATGATGGACGGATCCACCGAATGCGGCGACGCATACAGTCGGGACGCATCTCGCGCATATTTAGGCTGCTATTATATCTCCAGCGTGTAGGTCTATACTTATTTGATTAGAAGGGGCTAACTAGTGTTCAGCATATCAACATCCAACGGCAAGCCGAACAACCTCTCCCTTTCCGATAAGATGCTGCAAGCTACCAGAATATTACAGCAGACACGGGAATTCGAGACGGACAACCTGATATACCCACTCATACAACTTCAGCACCTCGTTGAAAGGATTTGCGAGACTTATCGATTCGAGAAAGGTCAGCCATCACGCTCCCGGCTTCCAACTCATGCTGGGATATTTGCGAGGGAGCTTGGGGAATGGTGGTCAGCCGTACCGGCGGACTTGCGGGAAAATGGTATGGTTGCGTTATGATCAAGAATAATTGACTGACAGAGCATACAGCGCTTTTGCTAAGCGGCTACCACGCGACAAAGGTCAGGATTTATGACATGGGCCTGGCCTACAATTACGGAGACGCACGGGGTGCCCCGGGCACCTTGCAAAACTCAGCTACATTACCTCTGTGCCCAATGCTCATCAACAACCTGGTCCAATGTGTTGAGTACACCAAGGAATATCTCGACCTTTTCTTCGCGATTCCCGAGAACGAGTACACCGGCCTTTCGTTCTGCATATGGTACAAGACTATTATAGCGATATTCATCTTATACAGGCTCTCCACCGGGGTTTCCGAGATTCCCGAATGGGATGTGAATCTCACACATCAGACACTCGATGTCGAGGGATATCTCGGTCGGATATCATCTCACCTGGAGTGCCTTCAGAAGGATGTGCAAGCGCCGAACAAGACTCTGTTTTCAATGATCCCTGAGATTATCGGGAGCGTGAGGAGGTCCTATGAGATGGCGAGAGGAGGGTATCGGCAGGCTCTTGATGCCCGGCATCCACACCAGTCTTTTTCACCCCCTGCTTCTTCTGCTCGGGGACGGTACCGTTGTCCGGGCATGAGGAATTTGAAACCACCCACAAGAGTGACCGTTACAGAGGATTCTACACTTCAAAGCGCTGTCTCTGCGGAGATCCAGATGATTGAGAACGAGCTGCTCTGGACTGAGCTCTTGGTGACGGATGCATTCTCTACCACCACAAGTGCCAACTCAACTACCCACTGAAACTGTGCCAATTTTACTACATATCAAGGCTCAGTCCCGCTTATAATGACACGAATCCTAGAGATCAGGCCAAGCCGTCAATTGCAACGCCTTGAGACTGGGACCACCGCTCAGGGGAAAACATGAGTAGAAACTTTCTTCCCCTCCGCATCAAACCTTGCAGGAAAGACGGTAAAAAGCCCATCCTGGTCCCTCGGCTCGTAGTCCAAACTCCTACAGGCCTCCCTAAGCACCTCGAGCCCGTAATTCTCCTTGACCCAATGCGCAACCATATCCATCCCCGCAACCGCCCCGCTGCCCGTCCAGATGTTCCCGTCGACAATCCACTTTTTCGCCTTTGTCCACTTCACCTTGGGGTACGCTTTGGCGACCCAGTCGAACTCGAGGTTATTCACCGTTGCGTTCCTGCCGTCCAAGACGCCCGTTGCGGCCGCGACGGCCGAACCCGTGCAGGTCGTGAAGAGCAGTTTCCCGCTCGCGACATGGCGCCGGATGAGGTCCTGCAGCTTTGGCGGGAGGTGCGTGTACTCTGGGCTATCGCCGCCGACGATGAGGATATCCAGAGGTGGGGCGTCGTCGGCGGTGATGGTGGGCACGATGGTGATGGTGCTGGTAAGGAGCTTGACGGGGTCGAGGGTCTCGCCGATGTGGTGGAAGATGATCTCGGGGGCTTTGGCGATGGTGTTGGGGTCTACGGGCGTGTAGATGCTGATTCCGTTGAGCAGGTACTTGGAGGACGAGTTGAGCACGTCGCAGGGGCCGATGATGTCGATGGCCTGGTAGTCGAAGACTAGGGTGCCGACTTGGAGGGGGGACATTTTGGCGATTTATTTTGGATTTGGTTGTAATGCTTTGGGATGTTCTTGAGTGTTGTGAGATGATTTCTGTAGTCTACACATTGAGGTGTTCTTATATTCCAGTTCTGGGTCTGTCACAATCGCGGAGCGGGATCTGTTAGGGCTCCGTCGTCCGTGGTTCACTTGGCATGTGGGTGGACAACGGGCGAACTTCAGCCACCGTGTCCGTGATTTGATCCAATCGGCGACAACTGCTACTTCACCGTTATATCAGGTAGGGTATGATCTCTTGACTTTCTCGAACCTTGCAGCGCCGATTCGGGCACTTCTTTCGCGATAGCCACAAGGGAGGTTCCGGTCCCGTCATTATCCGGCCACCCTCCTCGAGGAACATACACACGGTGGCCTCGCGGTATAGTCTCGCAGTTCTCGCAGTTCTCAGACGTTGATTGCAGTTCGTCAGAATGTGGGCCATGATAGTCCGATGAGCCACGGCCAGGCCATGGAAAGGGCAACCTTTAGAGGCAGAGTCGAGTCGCTTCACGAACAACCATGGAAGAAACATACAGCACGTGCCCATCCCTGTTCAATTCTGATCTATTCTCTGGTAATTGAGCGGCACGAGCTAGGGCTACGTATATCCTTCTCCTCAGGCAGACTAGCCATGCAGGACAAAGTTTTGTGCTCCCATTTAAGGCCTGTTCAGCGTACTGGTATAGTACACACAGAAGAGTAAAGGTTTCGCCAACGGCGTGTGTTGCACACTCTGTGCAAGGCAGGCTGCACGTTGCCCAGTGCGACCAAGTCGGGCCCATCGCTCCTTCCTTCTCTAAACAGTGTCGCACCTTCCTAGATAGCGACCAATGCCAGGTCCACGAGCCAGGTGCGGCCAATGCTGATAGCTACCTGGTACCTTCCCATCCTGGCGCAGACTCTAATGCCTGGCCATATACAGCGGATCTCTCGTCATGTTGCTCACAATCTGAGCCCTAACGGTACTAGGTGCCTCACTGAAGAATCTCTCTTATAGAGCACCTATAGCGTGGCGACGCCACGCCCTGCGTCTCATCGGTTGCGCATCACCGACACCACAAGTACTCTACTATTTGGACAGGAAACACCATAGGAATAGAGCACGGGTCGTAAAGAATGCTAGATGGCAAGCGCTGTCTACTACGCAGTCTACACAAGTGAACGGTATAGTGATCGCTCTCCTACTACGCCACCAGATCCGAGACTTCGAGACGTCCGCACATCGCTCCGAGGTGACATGGGTATGGGACCGACAACTATGACCCAAGCATTATTTTGTGATGCTCTTTGTGCTGGCTGGTATGTTCATCGCCATCTGATGACTCTGAGCATTGAGTATCCGTTGTCGTTGATGGAGACAGGGGTACGCAGCCCGGATGTATGTACTCCCTTTTCGACGCCAACTATTGTTCGATATTGTGGGTCCTAGCTCGATGGATTTGACAGCTTCGTTGATCCCTTCCCCAGCGGCCGGCCCGGTGCATAGAATACGGGTTGCCGAGTTGAAGTGGCTGTGCTCAACACAGCGTGTAAACGGCGGTGGTCGAGGCAATTTATAATCCGTTTTAAAAGTCTCCGAGGTCCTCGAAGCCTGTAAGCAAAGCAGGCGCCCGGCACCGAAATGAGCTCCAAAAAAAGATGCCGAACACCCGGACGGGATCCGCCTGCGGGCCTGCGACTCGGGATGGACCCAGCTCGGAACCCACAAATTATCGGCTTGCGGCTGCAGATTCGCCATTGCAGTCTTAGCATCTGCGGAACCAGGTGTTGGAAAAGTCTTGTTTCAAGTTTGCACCTTTGGGCGCGGAATTCCCCCGCTGATAAGATAGACACAGGTGCACTTTGTGGGTTCAGGGTTGTGTTGCTGCTGGGTCGCGATGGCGAATCCGACCCACAGGGCCACAGAGAAAGGGAAAATTCAGACCCGCTCCACGGCGCACGCTCGAGCTGCCTATTTAGCTGTTTCAATTCCCAATGGCGCCTGAAGCTGCGACTCTACGTCAGTGCGCGCTTCCCGCGAAGGACCTCACATCCCACCCGAAGGATGTCTCCCGAAAAGACCGGAGATGACAGCTCCGGCTTCGATGCCGAGTCGGGCCTTGTTCCGATTCCCGAGGGACACGAGGATGTTGAGCTCGAGCTCGAGCGGATCAATACGTTTCGGCTTCAGCAGCAGGAGACCATCGGGTCGATGCGCAGCCGCGTACCGCGCGAGCAGTGGTTGCCCCTTGGTGCTGGGAAACCGCATCCGCCTGAATTACCTGATGTTGAGGGGTATATCGTCGAGTTCGAGGGGTCAGATGATCCCATGCATCCGCAGAATTGGCCCATGAAGAGGCGGTACGCCACCTCCTCTCGATGTCTTAGATTCGCCAGATTGTTAACAGTAGTATTAGGGTGATTCTGGGAAGTATACTCACCTTCGCTGCACTGGTAGCCGCCTACGCCAGCGCCGTCTTCGGCACCGCCACTCCCGGCGTGATGAGCGAATTTGGATTCGGCAAGGAGGTCGCAGCTCTCGGGACGACCCTATACGTCCTCGGATTCTCTGCCGGACCGACCATCTGGGCGCCTCTATCAGAACTCATCGGGCGTCGATGGCCGCTATTGATCGGGACCCTCGGGTTCGATATTTTCATCCTGGCCACTGCTACAGCAAAGGATACGCAGACGCTTATGATCACACGGTTCTTCTCGGGTCTGTTCGCTGCAAGTTTGATTGCTTTGGTCCCGGCTAGTCTTTCCGATATCTTCAACAGCAGCCACCGTGGTATTGCAATTGCGGTGTATACCATGTCCGTCTTCCTAGGCCCGTACACTGCTCCATTCATTGGTGGATTCACAGCAGAGAGCTACCTTGGCTGGAGATGGACATTCTATATGCCCGCGATAGTCGGCTTCTTCGCACTCGCTCTGCTTCTAGTATTCGCGCAGGAAACTTATGCTCCCGTCATTCTCGTGCAGAAAGCCGCCATCCTTCGCCGCCAGACGCGCAACTGGGGTATACATGCTCGCCAGGAAGAACTCGAAATCGACGTTCGCGAACTCATCACGAAGAACTTTGCTCGTCCGTTCCGAATCCTCTTTACCGAGCCCATTGCGTTCCTTATTACTCTATACATGTCGTTTATCTACGGGCTGTGCTATGCAATGCTGCAGGCGTACCCACTTGTCTTCCAGGGCGTGCACGGGATGGGACTAGGTCCAAGCGGGTTACCATTTATTGGATTGATCATTGGCGAAGTTGCGGGTGCAGTCTTTGTCCTCTCGTTCTACGGCTCGTATACGAGGAAGCTGGCCGCGAATAACAACGTCCCGGTTCCGGAGTGGCGCCTGCCGCCGTGTATTGCTGGCGGAATCGCTTTTGCTGGAGGGCTATTCTGGTACGCATTCCCCTTCCAAGAATACAGATTCGTTTTTCGAGCTTGCGACTCACAGTAACAGGTTTGGCTGGACCGGCTATACCTCCTCGATCCACTGGATGGCGCCCACAGCCTCCGGCGTGATGGTCGGCTTCGGCCTGACATCGATCTTCATGCAGGGCTTCAACTACCTCCTCGACTCGTATCTAAATTTGTACGTCTTTCCCCTCATTTACCCTATCACCGCGCTCAGACTGACCCACTACCCAGTGCTGCCTCCGCCTTCGCCGCAAACACCATGATGCGCTCCATGGTCGGCGCCTGCTTCCCGCTGTTCACTCGTCAAATGTTCAATAATCTCGGGATTCAGTGGGCGGGAACGCTTCTAGGCTGTATTGCAGCTGTCATGGTGCCTATTCCCCTGCTGTTTCTGGTGTATGGGCCGCGGCTGAGGTCAATGAGTCGGTTGGCGCCGTATGCGGATAAGCAGGCGTGATTCTAGACGTAGAATTGAGGATTGGGAATGAGGGAAGTCGTAAAACTATATATAGAAGGGCAGGAATAATAAACACTTATCCGTGTCATGGCTAAGCATTTCCCCGCGAATGATTTACCCGGTTTACCCCAAGACCCCATTGCGTGTCGCACGATTCATCCCCCGCAGCCCCCCCAGATTCCACGTCTCATCCAAATCTTCACCAAGTAGCCAGGCCATATTGAACACAGTGCAAAAACAATGCCCGAATTCGGCATCGCAACCCTCTCCCTGGGCACAGCAACAGTCCACCCCCTAGAACCGCGCCTCCGCACCGCCGCAACCCACGGCTACAAACACATCGACCTCTTCGACGAGTGCTGGGCGGGCTACCTAGCAGAACACAACCTCCCCTCAGACCCCGAATCGCGATGGAAGCCTACAGAAGAAAACCTAGCCGTCGCGCGGAAACTCGGCCATCTCGTCTCGAGTCTCGGGATGAAGATCGCGTGTACCCAGCCCCTCCGTGAGATCGAGGGCTTGCTGGACCCTGTTGAGAGGCAAGCTGCGTTTAGGAGAGTCAAAGCGCGGTTCCCATTCATGCGTGCCTTCCGTACAGATCTCGTCTTCATGTGCGCGAATATCCGCGCAGATGAATCCGCAACGGATCATCTCGATACCGTCGCAGACGACCTTCGAGAGCTAGGCGACGCGGCTGCTGCATTCGCGCTCGCGGATGGCGGCCCCATGCTGAAGATCGGGTACGAGGGGCTGTCGTGGGCGAGAAGGAATACATGGAAGCGGACGTGGGAGGTTGTCCAGCGCGTGAACCGGGCGAATGTAGGCCTCGTCCTTGACGCGTTTAATATCCTTGCGGTTGAGTTCGCAGATCCGTATAACCCCGATGGATCGGGACGCGTCCATGGCGACATCGACGTTGCGGTGCGCGTCCTGAAATCCTCTATGACCGACCTCGTCCAGGCCGTCCCACCCGAGAAAATCTTCTTCTACCAGCTCGCTGACGCCCAACTCATGGATCCAACGACCTTCCTCAAACCCTCCGATCCCAAAATCCCAGCACTCCTCCCCTGGTCGCGCGGGCATCGCCTCTTCCCCTGTGAGAAGGAAAGAGGCGGGTATCTGCCCGTTGAGATTGTTACGGCGGCGGTGTTGGCCACGGGGTATGGCGGGCCGCTGTCGCTGGAGGTGTTTAATCGGTCGCTTGAAGAGGGCGGCGCACAGGTGGTCGAGGGGCATGCGACGAGGGGAGTTGTGGGGCTTGAGAGGTTGCTGAAGGAGGTACAGAGGGTGGAGCCGTTTTGGGAGAGGGGGAGGTTGTAGGCTGTATGATCTCGGACATGGATGCAACAGTGAATTAGAGTTGGGTTAAGTGAGGTTGTGGGTCAGACTTACAAGTATGTATCACATTGGTCGCATAAAATGGTATCATATTAACCAAATAGAGATGAGGACACCACGTCTAGCTGCAGGTCATGGGGAATTTACGGTTCGTTACCTGGAACCAGTGAATTCGGTCACGAATTCCAAATCCCAGATGTCATATAGAGAGACACAGGTGATAGTAGGAAACTCATTTGTAAGATTCATAGCAATTATATAAATAGCAAATGCTGGGTATGGAGCGCAAAAGCAACATCTCGCTAAGCGACAAGCTAGAGAACACAGAAGAATAAGCAAACGAGATCTAATCTATACAACCACGAGGACCTAGACACCCTCAGGCTTCGCCGCATCCTCTCGCCCCTTGACGTTCGACGCAGTCCCCAACGTAAACGCATCCTCGCAAGCCGGCCACTGAGTTGGCGTCTCCCAGTACTTTGTATGGTGCTTATTCTTGTTCATGATGCCCGCAAGATCCAGCGGATCGATAAACGTCTCAAACTTCGACCTCGAATCCATCCACCCAGGTCCCATGCGCTCCGTGACACCGTCGAAATCAAGATACCGCGTCTTGTCCCGCGGGAGGTAGCGGCCCGGGTGCATGAGGTTGATCCAGAATGTAAATAGAATCATTGGTGCTGCGTCAAAGGCGTACAGGAGCCATTCGTTGGTTTGGAAGTATTGGCATGTGGTGTTGCAGGAAATGTGAGGCGGGTCGATTGTATAGATTGCCTCGACGGCGCGGTAGAGGCAGCGGGCGAGAACCAGGGTTGAGGTTCCGTAAAGGGTGTAGAAGACAAATCTGAGATTACGCGGGAGGAGGTCTCGGGATGCGCACTGGCGGTGGAGGGTCGCGACAATACCGACGAGGAAGACTTCAACGACGCACTGCAGGATCACGGATACTGCAATTAGGGTTGCGCCCGTGCGGTAGATCTCCGGTCGCTCGATGGCTGTCGCGATACGCGCGCCACCTGCGGCTGTGAGACCTTCGACAACGATACCGATGTAGACAAAGAAGTAGATTGTGCGGTTGGGGTTGAGCCAGGCAAACATGGGAATATAGTGCATTATCCGGCCGAGGAGATTGTATGCCGAGGCGGAGAAGATCGGCGGAGCGGCGTAGATGAAGACTGTGCCGGCAATGTAGAGGTCGGTGTTTTGAGTGTTGTAGCTGGAGATGGCGCGCAGCACCCAGCCGATCACGTAGACGAGGGAGCCCCAGAACATCCAAAAGGTGATTTTCCAGAACCGATAGCGACTGATGGCATTTGATGTCAGTCATGTAAGCAGTAGGGAAGAATAACTTGTAGACATACGTATTCTGGAAGATGTGCATGCCCAACGATAGACTGAGCACGCTGGCAAAGATGATAGGCAGCACATGGCTGGCCTTGTACTCGTAGACGCCTGTTTCACGGTCGTATGTGGGCATTTCGGGCCGTCGAGTGAGAAGGTAGAATAATCTTCAGTTGAGGTGGTGGTCTCGACTCCTCTGGGGTGGAAGGCCTGTTATATGCCTGAGGTCATCCCGATCTGCATCTCCAGCGGCGTCCGCCATGTGGCCGTGTGTAGTATAAGGGCGGTCCATGACGCCAGAAGCGGTTAGAGATCAACAGCCCTGCGGCGCCGCAGACGTCGCGGCGGACGAGGGGCGACAAAGTGCTGACCGACAGCGCTGCACCAAGCCTGATATAGTCTAGTACGGCGCTGGATCGCGCCCGATCGGGTTGGTCGGGGCGCTCGCCAAGAAGGCGCAGCCGCATCCAAGATTCGTCCTCGCCGATGAACCAGCGTACCGATCGTTTCCTGTTCCGGAGGTATGGACCGCCGTGACGGGCCCCGAGGTTCCGACAATCGCGCATCGGAGCGATAATACAGAGGCCTCGCTCCTTTCGCGGGGTGAGGCTGAAGTCGAAGCTGAAGAGTCTGTCTAAGACGGAGCCTGAAACCTCAGGCCGAGAACAGCTTGCGGATCCAGCGCGCACCATTCGACCAAAACGGGCTTAGCGTCCCGATATAGATGGGCAAATCGCTGGGCTGTCCAGGACTGTGTTTGAGATATCCCAATATCAGATTCAACAGCTCGAGTATAAGTACAGACGGACGGGCACGGCAAGATGGGAGACGGCAATAAGCAAGAGGCCGCGTCGCCTTTACCTAGACTATCACCATTCCTCATGGCGGACAACTCTCCTTCACTCATCCCATTCCTGGGTGCGATGACAGCCGGTCAGGGGGACCAGGTATGTCTCAATTGCCCTTTAGGAGATAGTTGATTTGTATCATACTGATTCTGAACAGAGGATGCGCGCAGACCGAAGCCCCATGGCTCCGTATCCCAGAATAGAGGACATAGGATCTCAGGATCCGTACCCACCTCAGGCATATCATACTCAGAGGGCATCCCGATCCGTCCATGTTGACTTCACCAACTGGACTCAGGGTCCTCTCAATGTCACTGACGTTGGCTCAACGGGTGCAGCCGTCTACACCGTCACCCTGACCTCTCGGAGACAGCAGATGAAGTTCTTTCCCTCCGGGTCACAGAGCTACTTCGCAACCGTCGACCTGCGCACCGTGGGTCCAACCGTGGAAGCCAACATTCACAACCACAATGTCACTATTGGCGTCAAGACACGGCTCAAGAAGGAGGGGGTGTATATCTCTCCGTCGTTGCAGGGTGCCACGCTAGTATGGAAGAGCCAGACCATGAAGGTGGTCGACCTTGAGCTGCGGGACGGAAACGGCATTCCGCTGGCGCAGTTCAACCCTCATCCATCCTGGTCGAGACTAAAGGCTGGTCGGTTGGATCTTTTCGGCCCCAGCGTAAGTAGCGGCACGCTCATGGAGGAGGTCATGGTGACTTGCTTTGCCTTGGTGTATACGACCATCATCGAGCAGGAAGCTGCTGCGGCCGGAGCGAGACGCGGAAGCTCGAGTCCGGGATCTCTCTCACCTGTATGATGGTGTCAGTGTACGAGAGATTGTCTCTGCAGTTGGGCGAAGCAAACCTTGGGATATGGGGGCCGACCTAATGGTGTGTACTAGAGATGTTGTGTTCTTGGTCACTGGTGTTGTTTCACGACCTTGTCTTGAATCTGTTGTGTTGAGTTCTGGCCTGTCTTAGACTGAACGAATCAGAAAGCAATTTCGGGTAAAATAGCATACTCTGACTTCAAACAAGCGCGAGTCTGCCTTGAGGGGCCGAGCGATGAGAAGATACAAACATCAGCAGATAATTGGCAGAGACGCTGGCCAGTGACAGGTTGGACGGGGCGATCAACGGCTGGGCAGGGCTGCGCCTCGCCAAGCCTCAAAAGCTTGGCGGCCCCAGAGAATCTCCCCTGACGCGACGTCAACTCGTCTTCTCGATCTCACAGTTTCAGCTCTGCAACTCTCACAATTCTGTGTCCTGATCAGGGTCATACTTCTCGATTTGTTTGTTTCCTGTCAACTATGCCTGGTGTGCCCTCGGGAAGAGGATGTGACAACTGTCGCAAGTCAAAGAAGAAGGTACGTCATCAGATCAGGCGAGAACCCCACAACGGCCGACTCCGAAACTATCGTCTCCTGGTGCCACCGCTAACTTGGCTTTCTTGACTGTCTCAGTGCGACGAGGTAAAGCCAATATGCACACGATGCGCCCGCCGAGGACTCGAATGTATCGGAGCGGGGGAGAAGCGATACAAGTTTATGGAAGACGGACCCACGGCTCTTGCTCGGAAGAGATCGCCGAACCGCAACAGCAAACCAGCGGCCGAGAACAAGCCCACCCTCCTGGTCAAAACTGCGCCTAGCAATCATACAACCCTCCTCGGACAGGCTCTTGCCGACGCGATCTTGACAAAAGACCTAAGATACAATCTGCTATGGGCGTACGGGGGGTATTTACTCGCTGTCCCGAGTCGGCTTGGGGTCAACGAGGCGCTGGATACCGCGGTCGATGCTCTGGTTACTGCGCACAGGACGTTTTCATCGCGCAAAGAGATTACCGTCACCTCTCTTACGAAATATTCCCGTGCTTTGACTGCGCTGCGGAGTTGCCTTGACAATCCGAAGACAGCGAGCTCGTCGGAGACGCTCTGTGCTGTGTCGCTGCTACTGGTCATTCAAGTGAGACCTTCTGCCTTTCAACGCGGACATGGATTAACGGCTCTAGCATATACACGGATACCAAGATATGCAATGGACAGGACACGCTGAGGGGGCTGCAAAGGTTTTGAAGGCGCGGAAGAGCTGCAAACCGAGGGATAATTTCGAGCGTATACTGCTACTATCCCTACGCGGTCCGGTTGTATGTACGCTGCCTATCACCTTGCTAGCTTATACTGACGCCCCCGCAGCTTTTTGAAGGCATCTTCAATCCCAACATCCAGTTCTCAGCAGAAGAATGGAAGGAGCTAGTGGAAAATGAGCTCGATACAGGCACGCCCGAAGGTACAATGCTTGCCCATCTCGCTCGCATTCCGGATATCCTGGACCGAGTAAGGACAAATACGAACGGGTACGTCGGGCTGTTAGAGCTTCAGACCGAATTGAAGGAGTTGTATACGAAAACACGAGCCATCTGCAACGACTTTGCCACCGAACTGGCCGCGATCGAGGCGAATAAAAGTACCAACCCATCGAAGCTCCCTCCAACGATTCTTCACGCACACGTCCAACGAATGTACGGCTTGTGCATTGCCATTACATTATACATGAACTATGTCCTTGTTGCTATACGCACGGTAGACCACTCTCTGGCTACGGACGCCACCTTTCTCGCCTTTGAGATGCTCAACATTGCGGAAAAGGCAGCGAAATACCGCCCGTTTGGCGCCGCATACGTTACCATTGGACTCCTCGCAGCATTGATGACGGTCAATAATGAGGCTTTGAAGACACTTCTCAAGGCCTCAATTATCGACTACCAACACGACTTTAGGCAGCCGCATCTGGATAGACTCACGATGGAAGACAAATTTCAGTGGCTAGATCCCTTCCGAACTCTCGATGTGCTAGCGAGCTATGGCATTACGGACGACTGTTTGGAGACGGAGCAGAACGCAATGTATACTGCGTTGACGCCTAAGTTGGATTATGGAGTTGATTCGGCGTCTGACTTTCCTCCCGAATTCACTCCCGAGTTTACGCCCAGTCTCGCACCCGATTTCGCTGCGGAGTTTCCTCCTGTATTAACGCCGGACTCAACTTCGGAGATCCTTTCCGATACGAATTTCGAGCTTCCTGCTGACCTGACCTTGGAACTCACTTCTGAAATGAGTATTAAGTTAAGGGTATAGAGGATCTTGACAATTTCGCATACGTTGAACTTTGGCATTATGCACATAATTCTTTGTACACATTTTGGGTACTCCCGTTACCATGTAGACACAAATTTACAATGTCACATCCAGTAATATTTTGGAGGTAGAATACACTTTTCTGTCATCATCATCGTTTCCTCTTATCGCTCAAGTCTCTCAATCTCCCGCGCAGTCTGCGATTGCGATACTGTCTCGGCGTGAGACCATCGTCATCAGAAACACTTGTATCCGCACCCAACGACACCAAACAATCAAATGCCTTGCCCGACCATTCCAGCGCCGCCAAATGCAGGGGAGTCTTCCCAACACTGTTCCGGGCGTCGATATCCACACCAGCCTTCCAAAGGCATTTCACTACCTCCTCGCCTCGATACGATGCGGAAGCAGCCGTATGCATCGCCGTCAATCCTTCTTTCTCGCTAGTCGCCTCGAGCCCAGCCCCGTGCTCAATCAGCAGCGCCACCGTCTCGACCTGGCCATTCCTCGCCGCCTTGTGCAACGCCGTCCAGCCCTCCTCGTCCCTCTTGTTGAGCTCAGCCCCATACTCGATGAGCACCCTGCATACATCCACCCGTCCATATCCCGCAGCAAAATGCAGTGCGGTGCCACCCTGGGCATAGGGCACCCCGCGTCGTCCCGGCTCCCAACTGCATCGGTTCGCGACGATCATACCATTTATATCCACCCGAGCCGTCTCAATCAGCTCGCGCACATTGCGTACCTGCCCGTGAACAATGGCAGATAGAAATGCTGTCTCTATGAGAGAGTCATCCTGCCCGAACTCAAAGTGCCACTCTATCAGCTGTAACACGGCGTCGGGGTGGCCAACCGCAGCTTGTCTGTTGATAAAGGAGAAGATGTGCTGCGTTCGTGTGCGTTGACCCCAGGGGCAGTGTGTTATTAGCAGGTCGATTGTTTCGGCGCTGCTCGATGATGATGCGGCGGTGGTGAAGGCGCGGGTGTAGTCGAGGGCGCTGAGGAGGGAGTGGGTTTTCGCGTAGGTGAGGATGAGGCGTACGATCGGTGCGTCTTTTGTATCCACGGCTCGCTGTAGGATATCACCGTGTAGCCCTTGGGTCCCGGCGAAGCGAGAGAATGACTCTGGCGGCAGATGTGGGAGGATCATCGCCAGAGCATTGCTGTTCGACGATAGAACCATCGCATGGAGATACTCTCCCTCGTTATCCCCAATCATCCCGCCACCTTCCAGCAGCATGTTAAAGGTCCCTTTATGGTGATGCACAGCTGCCTCATACATCGGCGTCTTTTTTCCCTCGTCCGCCTCATTCGGATCCCATCCTGCGGCTAGTAGTTGTCGCACAATCACCTCAAAACCACGACTCGCCGCACGATGCAGCGCCGTGAATTCACCCGCCTTCTCCGTCCCCGGCTTCGCCCCCCGATGAAGCAAAAGCTCCACGACCTCGCCATGTCCATACTGCGCAGCAAGCTGGATCGCACTTTCACTCCGACAACTCCCACACCTCCCCTGCGCACCAGATCCAGAAGCACGATCCTCGCACTGATACCTCAAATCCGCATCAAGCCCATTCTTCAACATAACCCGTACAACACTCACCCTCCCACCAGCCGCCGCATCAAGGAACGCGCCCATCCATTTCCCCCGTCTGTAGAGGTACGGCCAGAATGGTAAGACTCGATACCGCGCAAGTAAGACCTCGACCGTCTCGGGATTCCCAGACCTCGCTGCTATCCGGATCGCGGGTGTGTGACCTGGACTCTCGACTCGGGCGCCGTGCCGCAGGAGTGCTTCGACGATGATGTTTTGGCTGTTTTCAGCTGCGTGGCGGAGGGCGAGGTCGAGGAAGTTTTGATAGATGAGTTTTGTGCTGCGGTGTTTTGATAGGAGCGAGAAGAGGAGGGGAATGTCGCCCCTGGCGGCAGCGGAGGATATGGCGAGGGAGGTGTTACTCATGGGTTTTCTCTTATTCTATCAAAGTCTTGGATAGTGAGTTTGACATTGAGGGTTCTGACATTGCTACATCTGTTGGTTTATGACTGTGGAAGAATTCCTCCTGACGAAACTGAAGGTAAGGTGACTGTGGCTATGGCTCGTATTCAGAATCCTGGGCATTTGGTCCAATGATCCATGCCAAACTATAAGCCAGGGTATAGGTATATTCTTTATTGCCATTAGATCAACCCCAAGAACGACAGTTTAATGAAACTAGTGGTGCTTGAGCCAGTTGTTCTGCGACAACCCTATTAATCTCATCCAAATACCGGGCAGTCACTCGCGGGAGCATCAGTATGACGAGACCAGAATTTAATTTACTAAAGTAAGGGACAATATCCCCTGTGAGTTATTGGGGAAGCTAGAGAGAGAGGTCATCTACTTACGCAGAGAAAAGAATCCTAGCAGATGAGGCTTCCAAGGACTCTTAGCCCTAAGTAATTGGATTCCCACAAATGGGTATTATTTTAAACTTTGTTGGGACTTTTAGACTATAAGCAAGCATAGTTCTACTAGGGTGTTCTGACCTAGCAGGAATATTAAATGCATCCCGTTCTTGCTCATTGTATCCTCTTGCTGTAGAGACAGATTGCCACGATATATAAGAGGACAATGCGAGGATTCGACCTAAAGATCCCTACCGCCACAACGGATTTTCCCTTACTCCGGAGTAAAGGTCAGAGCATCAATTTATGCTCTGTTTGTTTTTTCGGTACATCTTCCGAGTTTGACTTTTGCCTAAATTATTCTTCTCGTACGATGGTGGTTTGAGGACTGCTGAGAGTTGTGCGTGTAGCTGACGTAACTAAGGTATGCTTCCAGTCAGGTGACCTCGACCCGCCAATCAAAGGCAATAACGTCACCACGAAGACTGTGGATTGTTCCATGGCACTCAAGCGGCGGCCAGACGCAAATCAACAAATCTGAGCCACAACCGCCCGCATGGGATTCTGGAAGTGTCGCTTGCCCATCGTGGCTCCGTCATTCTCTTTCATTCACCTTCGCCGGCATTAACCACCTCATCCTCATCTGCTGTTGGCAACTGACCGTCAGTGACCATGCCAGAGCCGGCGTCCACGTCCAGCAACTCCTCCGCGTCCGTCCCCATCTCCATCCCCAGCGATGAGGCGATCCCCAGGGAGGAGGCGATCCTCTCTCAACACCTCGATCCCCAGTTCACGGCCTCCCTGCACGATGAAGCTGCGTTCCCGGATATGGAGACCCGACCGATCCCGTCGGGAACTCCAGAACCGCAGTCCTCCCTTCGACTCCAGGGCGGAGACATGCACCGTGACCTCTACCGCCTCGACGCCAAAACGAAGCAATCCCGCATGGATAAACGAGCCAAATCGTTCTCCGCTGCCACGGTACGGCCGTCCGAACGCGATGAAGAAGGGATAGCTGCCCTGGAGCCCGGTAGCTTCCGTCGGCACTTTATCCGTCAGAATATCGGCCAAGACCATCCTGCCCTCCGACGTTCGTTCCTCGAGTACCTAGACATGTACGGCAATTTTGCGGGAGAGGACCTGGAAGAGACAGAGTCGGAAACAAGCGAGGAGAGCGTACAAGGGGAGGAGGAACCTCCGGAGCCAGAGCGGAGACCTTTGCTGGGAACTCGAAGACATACACGGCGTCGCTCTTTCCGACCAGGCGATGCGACCAATACAAAGACTTTCTTTACCTTGCTCAAGGCGTTCATTGGGACGGGTATCATATTCCTGCCAAAAGCCTTTCGGAATGGAGGAATCCTGTTCTCGTCCATCACACTCGTGACGGTTGCGTTAATCTCGACGGTTTGCTTCCATCTCTTGTTACAATGTCGAAGGCACTACGGTGGTGGTTACGGAGACATTGGTGAACGAATCGCTGGGCCAAAACTTCGATCGCTGATCCTGGCATCCGTCGCGATTTCCCAAATCGGATTCGTCTGTGCGTGCATCATTTTCACGGCGGAGAACCTGCGAGCCTTCTTCCTTGCCGTCACGCCAGCAACGATTCGCTCCCTTACCACCGCCCACTTGATCGGGGTTCAGCTGCTCGTGCTTATTCCCTTGGCGTTTATCCGCAACATCTCGAAACTCGGTCCGGTCGCCCTACTGGCTGATGCATTCATCCTCTTCGGCTTGGCTTACATCTACTTCTACGATATCGCCAGCTTGGCAACTCGTGGCATTGGACCGGGGGTCAAGCTGTTCAATTCGGACTCGTTTACGCTGACGATAGGGTCGTGCATCTTCACGTTTGAAGGGATCGGGCTGGTCCTGCCCATCCAATCATCAATGAAGCGACCCCAGTCCTTCGACGGCTTACTGTACGCCGTGATGGCAATCATCACCGTCTTATTCACGGCCGTCGGAGCTCTCTCATACGCTGCTTTTGGCCAGGATACCCAGACTGAGATTTTCACCAATCTCCCGCAGGACAGCCCATTGGTCAACACTATTCAGTGCCTGTACTCGCTCGCGATCCTGGTCGGCACCCCAATACAGCTATTCCCGGCTGTCCGAATTGCCGAGGGCCAGCTTTTCGGCCATCTCTCTGGCAAGCGAGACCCAAGCACGAAATGGAAGAAAAACGTTCTCCGCACAAGCGCCGTCTTGGGATGCGGAGTGATCGCCGCACTGGGTGCAGGCGATCTAGACAAATTCGTCTCGCTAATCGGGTCGTTCGCGTGCGTCCCTCTGGTATACATCTACCCGGCGTTCCTGCATTGGAAAGGCGTGGCGGACACGCCCTGGGCGAAGCGAGGGGACTTGGCCATGGTTGTTTTGGGCTTTGGATTCATGGTGTATACCACGTCAGCAACGGTTTCAGTCTGGCTGAGGGGACGGGCCCCATAGACGAGATAGCATATTTTGGCTAAATTAAGCGGCTCAGCTCTCCGCAGGGTATTTGTGCAATAATGCAATGTGAAATGTGAAATGTGCCATGTTGAATTGTGACAGGGCCTATCGCCCCGCTGAAACAGGCCTGTCTCAGACTGGAAGCAGAGTATGACAAGACACGAATAAAAAGAACCCGACTGGGGATAACTTAACGTATACCCAGGTAGGTAGATAAGCAGGTCCATTAGCTCCACGCAGCAGCACTGAGCACACTGCACCCCGACTGGGAATGAGTGACACACCGCTATAATTGGCAACGCAACTGCAGCTTCCCTCGTGCTCCGCCAGCATGCCGGACCCTCTGTGCCGCCAACGATGAATCATGAGCGACGCTTGACAGCCCTAAGCCTCTGCCCGGCTGAGTTGGTGTCACCAAACCAAAACAAAGCATAGCACACTACTGCCCGGCAAATCAGGACGATCGCGACACGTTGGGACCACAGACGCAAGAGACATCCGAGTGACTGGAGACGAGTCACAGCTAAAAGTCAGCCATGGAGAGACCCCGACAAACTATTAATATCGAGGACGATGTTTATTCGTGGGTGAGCGGGATAAGCTCGAGGGCTGGTGCCGCCGATCCCGAAATCCTGAATCCTTCGCGCGAGCTGAGGTCAGAGAAACCCTGTCGGTCAGACTCTGATGAGACGTATACTTGCTTCTTTTTGCTTCTTTCTTGGGTTTGCTCGGCGGCATAAATAAGGCGCGCCCGGTCGCGTGGTGGAATAGATCGGTCTGACTATTGTCCATTATTGTTTTCACCTCAAGCCTTGGTCTTTCTTTCTGCGACGACAATTCAAGAAAAAATATGAGATCGAGATTACCATTCGTTATCGCCCTCGCGGCGCTCATTTTGCTCGTTTTTGCTGATGACGACTCGGATTCGGACTCGGACTCTCACTCCGATTCTGAATCCATCTCAAGTCCAACCTCGACGCACACAAACACCACCATCTCCGCAACATGCTACAATCTCGACGGCTCCGAAGCGACCGACCACGTCCCCTGCCAGTCCGGTGACGTGGCAAACTGCTGTAATGCGGGGGACATCTGCATGTCGAACGGGCTCTGCTTCCAGCAGGGCGAACGCGGGATGGTTCTTTCGCGCGGGAGCTGTACAGATCATTCCTGGGGCGCGAGGTGTTATGCGCCGTGTTGTATGTTCCCTTCTGAGGCGATATCTGTGGCAGCTAACTGACGATATTTGATAGCGGATTATCATCGCAGTGGGACTGTGGCGATTGTCAATGTCGGGTTCGATAGCGAGGGGCCGGAGTATTGTTGCGGGTCTGTCACTATGGATGGAGACAATGAGGAGATCTCCTGCGAATACGGAACTGGGCCGTTCAGCATACCCCGCGGGACAGCGATCCCAGGCGTCGCGGGGTTGTCAGACTACCACCCAAAAAGCGACGACGACAAGCACGACGGTGAAGATGACGAAGACGACGACGATGACCACAAACGCGTCTCCCCTGGTATAGCCGTCGCGCTGGGCGTCGGAATCCCCATCGGCCTATTGATCATGGGCGGCGTCCTCTGGGCAATCTGGGAGCGGCGGCGGCGGCAGCTGCGAATCGAAGAGGAGGACGGGCGGAGCACGAGCGGGATGACGCTGACGAACATGAAGATGCCCGGGCTGCATCATCGGTATGGGCCTGTGGCATCGCCGGTTCCGACGTGGAGTGGGCGGGCGACGCCGACGGGGTCGCAGTCTGTGTTGCTTCACCCGGTCACTTCGAGTCCGTTGAATAGCCCGCCGAGTAGTCCGCCGCAGAGTCCGCCGAGGGAGGGAGAGAGGTTTCAGTTGCGGGGTGAGAGAGAGGGGAATGAGAGGAGGTGAGAGAATAATGAGCAAAAAATAAGAGGATATTGGGAGGAAAGTGAGGAAAGAGCGGGGGAAAACCAAGGAGATAGATCTTGGATGGTTTCCTTTGGCTGTCTTGGCGAGCTAAAGCTATCCTGGATATCACATGGCTTTGGGTTGATTTTGCCGGAGTATTGGCCCTTCCTTGTTCTAATAGCTACATTATAGACATCAGCGGGTTTGCATAATACCACTTGACTCTTTCTTGTTTGCCCTTTCTGCACCCGATCTTCGTCTCTGGATTCTCATCCACTCTTGACAACCATAGCTGATGGATGGACAGCCGGGTCAAGAGGATGGATGAGGTGGACTGTATGATTATCTTCATCGGCCCCTGCATGATTTGTCATTGATATACACAGCCAGGAGCCCAAGTAAACCTTTAAAAACTACTCGAGTCAAACCTCGAGGAGAGCGAGGAGGAGTCTGGATGAACGAGAGAAGTCAAAACGCCATCGTGAGGGGAAGCTAGGGATTGCAACTTGGATTAGTACCCAGAAACACACGTAGGGTAATGTGGCAGTGCATCATATTTAGACCTTCGGAGCAAGAAGCACACCACCAAAGGTTATTACGCGGATTCTTCCTTGGTTAAACCCAAACCATGTCCCAGGAATACATAAGCCACCCCGAAAATCTCTCGCCCCCGGTCAGAATCTTCATCTTCATCTCCCTCCTTCATCTTCTTCCAGAGACTCGTGCCAATCCTCACTACAAAACCACCGAATGTTGCCGATCATCAATAACCTGGTACGGCGAATCCTAATCATGCCCAGGCAGGAGACATATTGCGACACAGAGGATAGGAAGGTTCAGAGGTGGATCGAGGCAAAAATCCGTCACGATCCAGAGGCTGATCCTCCCACCCTGGGGGTCCCGGAAATGCATGCGTTCCACGATTCGATTCATGAATGGATGATGACCTATGGAGAGCTCAAGCGGCTGTTTGGCATCAAAACAAGCGAGGTTCAAGTTATCCGGTCATACGGAGAGTCGCCGCACGCCAAAGAACTCGGTATGGGACCAGGGCAACACGATTTGAGCTTCCATTGCTGAGATTGCATTATAGAAACCATGATAAAACAAAGGACGGAGACCTACGATAGGCAATTCAGGAGAGTCGAGTACGAACAGCTGGATAGGATGTGGGACGACCTTCAAAATCAAGTACTATGCACGATCTTAAAACGTTGTATCAAGGCACGAAAGAAAGCGCTTGGATGCTCTGGGCGAGCAAGAAAGCCAATCCTTCGTCCAACCTACGTTAAAGGTCAACAAATGGTCCTACCTTACCGAGACAAACATACTGCTCTGCCGAAAGACCAAGAGTATTTCCTTGCAGACTCAACGTACGCGATCGGGTTCAAAGACAGCACTGGCAGGGTCCGTGACTACTTTATAATCCTTTGGGAGCGAGTGATAAACAAGCGGCTCCCCTTGATTCTATACATGGGTAAGCGTTGAGCCTATGTGACCCACGACCGACAGCTGAATGACTTCTAGCCATCACCCACCTGAGACTCAAAAGAGAGGGACGTAATGCCGTTGTTTATGGACTCCACACCGACATGTCAACCTTCGTTTTTCTCAAGATTGACCGTAACTCCGAGGTATTCCCCGTCGTTCCCACTCCCCGGCTGTCCGCTAACATAAGCTAGCTGATCGAGAACCTTGGCGAGTTGGACCTACTCTATGGCTTCTCAGGGCGAGTCCGCGAACCACGCGACCGGTGCTGGGATGTCACAACCAAGACAATGAGGCCTCCCTGGAGCGGTCTCGACGAGCTAGTCACCCAAATTGACAATATATTGGAAACTGCGGACGAGGACTGCTATGGAGTGAGAGGGCCCGCATCTGTGTGGAGTGATCAATGCAACAAATTCTGGCCTAGATGATATAACCTCTGACTATTACATCCATTCTTGATAAACCTAGCCAGGGTCAGCGGACTATTAAGGGAGAGCCTTAGGTCTGCAGAGTGATTAAAAGTCAATTGGCTGTTAGCACCTTGGTCTCGTATTATCAATAAACCGGCCTTTTAGTCTTCAAGGTCATTAAATATATACAAGCCTATTCTCTCTCTGCATTGTAGGGCCCTATTCCCATCTGTTCCTGATGGTAGTCCTCCAGACCCAATGGCTCTGCTGTCGTTGTTGGGCTCAGCTGTATCGCTGCCTTGATGCCATGGGTGATATGAGCGAACACCCGCCTTGGGTTAGTTTCCCATTGAACGACTGTCGCAGTGCAAGAGGTGGCTACATACTATTGTCAGGCGCCATAGGAATCCATCATAGGACATAATTTACGTACCCATATAGGCCGGAAGCTGAGTGTGGTCGCGGCAATACTCTTTCGGCCTCTTTATTTCGACCATGACCAGATTGGCCTCGCCGTGGCTGGCTCTCCCATAGCCGATACAGTGATCGACTCGTCCAGACAATTCTTGAGGTGCATACGAGCGGCTGCTCTTTCTGCCACGGAATGCGAATATTAGACACCATAAGATCGCAGCTTTGCGTATATGAGACGTACTTATGTACGCAAGTAATTGCGTACGGGCGGAGCTATACTCCTTGGGGCTTTTCGCCTCTATCAAGGCCCGAGATAGGCTTCGCCTTGTTTGTCAGTGGTGTAACCCGCGCAATAGTCTGCCTTTCCTGACGCTCATGTAGTCCGTCGACGCTTACTACTGTGCAATGTAAGGGCTTCTCGTATTTGAGTCTCGTTATCTCCATGGGATATCTTGTGTTGATCTCATCGATGGCGGTAAGGATTATCATATCAAAGATTGTTCTTGGGAGAAGAAGTCGACTTAATCGGCCAGGGGAACGCTTCCAGGACTCCACCGCACTCGCGCGGTTATTAATACTTTCGATATCAGCACATGCTCCAGAGGTGGAAGGGAACTCACTGCCTAAGTCACTTGATACATCAAGCAACTCTAAAACGTACCCTGGGGCTCGCTACACACTAGGGGATGTTGTTCCCGGATACTAAAGTATTGTCTCAGGTCTTCCTCCACGACCCCGGGGCCGTATGCTTCGTGGCCACAGTCCCTTCCACGCCACCCTACTAGCCCATGGAGCTGGAACTCTCCCAGCGGATCTCGTTCACTCTCCATCCATAGCCTCATTCGTGGTGTAAGCTGGACGCGGTCCATGTACTCGTGTAGCTGGCCGATGACATTGGGCCAATCACCATTGCTTGGTGGAATATTGGGATTGAGGCCAGGCCTGTTTGTTTTGAGCAGGAGGGATTGGTGTCAGGTAAGATCAAAGTAGTCAGGTAGATGAGGTTGAATGATCAATCGTCAAGAAGCTCGCCGAGGAGCGAGGCGATTGGCGATGATCTCGGCGACAGTCTCTCCACGTCGTCCTCTTTCTTCTCGGTGCATTCTCGCTTCTTGAATGCGTTCTTGATGGATGATAGGGGCGCCTTCCTGCTGACTTTTGGTATTTCGAAGCCTTCTGCGAGTTGGACGATGGGTAGAGTATAGAATAGTAAAGGAATGCGGGGGGTGTAATGCAAGATTGACGGCGAAGAGTCCTCAGATTACAGTGGACCTGAAGCCGGCTCCTGGGGGGGAGTTGTTGGGATTCTGCTGCGCCCTTCATCGCAGCTTCCCAATGTATCAAGAGCTGCGACGGGATGATATCAACCACCGTCCATGTGGATGCGATGTAAGAAGCCTCAGGAAGTTTTCAGCACATAAAGTAAGGTATCGATCAGCATTGAGATGGCGATGATTTGGTCGAATTGTCAGCGTAATATGAGCCGCAAGAATGACTGAAAAATGACTGAAGAATTGCTGAAGAATGAGGACGAGATGGAATATCGCACTCCGGCAGAGGTATAGTTTATAGCGCCGGCCCACTGACAACCTGAAATTCAAGACGCGTCACTCAATAGGTGTGCCCTAGCTTCACTGCCATGGGATTTATGTGAATATTGGTACTTGATGTATAGCTCTCCAACCTCCCTCTCCTGGCCCAGCCCAGGCTCGCGGCGATTGTGGTCGACTCCAGTTACATTCCGAAGGCTCAAAATTCACCCCTCTTATAGCGCCGCAGGTGTATGGGCGCGCATACGTTATTCACCGAGCAATTAGGAAGAAGCCGCTTTGAATGAAGATAATCTGGAATGACGTACTCATGCATCATGGCAATCTCTCAGCTGTCTCCCCCACCATCTTCACCAGGTTCATTCCCAGTGTGTACTCCGTCACCCTGAAGGCGAACTAATTCCAGTCTGATGGCGGACTATAGGCACAAACCGTCTTCTATATGCTATATGCAACAATTTAGGGCTACTTTGATCAACCCGGTATTCCCCGCCTCGCATATCCTTTGTCCCGAAAGGTGCCATGTCCCTCCCCAGGGTAGATGTCCATCGAGTGCTGAAAAAGTCTCCCTTGGGGAATGCTCTCTATCGTCGTAGTTGGGGTTATCTGGTCCGCGCCCAGTGTGATGTGACATAGCCACGTGAAAACCCTGGTGGGGTGTTGGGCCAGAAGCACGGAAGAGACTCCGTATACTAGCCACAGACTAGAATGCTAAGCACTATGTCATTTGTTGATGTTGAAGAAGGTCTGGTATTTTCCATAGATGGCTGCGTCCGCTTTCCAGCGTTGGTGGGAAGGATAGAACGGCACGAGGCTTAGTAGAAAGGACACGTACTCGCGTACTCCTGGAGCTGACCCGGGCGTCCCAAAAGTATGTCTGTTTCCAGCTGGGCAGTACCTCGAGGCTCGAGGCAGTGACTCCCACGGCTTCGTATGACTGGTGGCATTTTTCTGTCAGTGACGGTGATGGTGGAAGAAATGTGACCGTTTATTCAGAATATAAGTGATCACCACGAGACAAAAGCATCGGAAATGAGATTTAGCCTCTGGGGAGAAGACCCAGCGGATGGTCCGGCTGACTACGGAAGGTGCGTTTTGATGTCCGGTGTTATTCCTCCTGCAACTACCGCAACTACAACACCCAGTTTTATCCAAATCAACCAAGGAGCCCACTGCTGGCCTCAGGTTTATCAAATTCGTAACTCAGGCGCAACTCAGTTGCTCAGCCGGAAACTAACAAATCTCTCTAGGGCTTCAAAGCGGTGTCACTAATGGTCGCTTCTCGATAGTCAACCACATATCGCGCCAGTACCCAATCCCTCCCTTCACAAAGAACTTCGCTTCCGGTTTTCCCCTCACAGAATGAGGCTTGTAATGACGGAAGAACTGGGGGTGTTAGCCACGCGCAAATGACACTTCTTGGGGCGGACTCACCTGTAGCGGGCCCTTGAACAACTCCATCATCGCAATATCCCTCCCCAAACATCCACGGGCACCGTAGCCAAAAGTGAACAGGTATTTGTTCATGAGTTTTGCTCTCTCCGGGTTCATCCACCTGTCTGGATTAAACTCCTCTGCATTCTCTCCAAACACCTTCTCGTCGCGATGCATGATCCAGGGGTTCCCCGAGACCTCGGTGCCTGGAGGTGCAATTTTTCCATACAGGTCTAATCCCGGCTCAGATACATATCGAGGAAAGATATTGGGCGCTGGTGGGCACATTCGCAGTGTCTCGCGGACACAGGCGACAAAGAAGGGCAAATGCTCGAGGACCTCGGTATACTGGGGTGTATCTGCGCTGATAAGCCCTTTGCGAACGGCGGTATCGACTTCTTCCATCATCCGCTCGTATACCTCTTGGTGAGTGAGTAGGTAGTGGATCATAGCCTGGAAGACCGTCCCCGTGGTATCAGCACCGGCTAACAGGACAAGCAAGATCTCAGCCTTGATGTAATCCATTGTCAGTGGCTGACCATCCTCTGTGCGTGCCTCTAGGAATGTCTGCAATAGATCGATTCTCCCGATATCTTTGTTCTGTTTCAGCTCTTCCAGCCGCCGCTCAATGAGACTGTCGCGGAAACGCATCAGAACGCCAATACCGGAATCGTCCTCAGGCTTCGCAACGAGATACCTTTTCAGGAATGTCGTCTTAACCCAGCTCGTGAAGGGGTGCAACCGCGCAAGGAGGCCGAAGGCTGAAAGACCGTCATGGAAACCCTGAATTAGACCGCCAACGTCTTCGCCCTTTTCAACAAAGCCGAATGGTGCACCGAACCCGACCTCACTGATGATATCGTACGCCATGTAACTGGACAGATTAGCGCGCAACAGGTGTGCTCCGGCTAAGCGACTTACACTGCCCACCAGGAAAAGTCAAACGCCGCTCCCGTCCGGACAAACCTCTCATCCAGCTTGTTGACCCAGTGGCGGATACGGAGGTCGATCAATGGCTCCATGCGCTTTACGCTCGAGAAACTGTACTGTTCCCCACTCAGTATATACCGGCCTTCTGTCTGAAAAGAACACATACCGGACCTGCGGCGTGCTTCCGGAATGCGGCATGGGTTTTGTGCGATCTCATATTAAACAACGACTCGGTCTCGCCAAACGAACCGGTTATATAGTGACCAGTCTTATCGGCATTGCGGTGGTAGATTTCTGGCAATTTCGTTGGGTCGCTGACCAGCAGCAAGGAAGGAGTGATTCGCACGACGGGCCCTATCTCACACATTTATGGTCAGTGATCGCGCCCAGAAGCCACAAAGAACCTGAACTTACCATATTTCTTCGTCAGGGCATAGACGGTAGGCAACTCGGTCTCGTTCATGTTATGCCACGCGATCCATAGTCGAGTGACACTGCCCCAGAATGGCCCAGGGAAGACGGACAGCGGGTGAAAGAAACGATAATAGATAATCTGATATAGAAACTTGAGCGCAACATAAGCGGCGAAGCTCAAAATGACATTTGTCACTGTCAGCTGCGAGACGAGCTGCTCTCGGAGCCCCATGGTGCCAGTTGTCAGCCTCACGAACGATGGAGGAGAACGATGAACCAGAGAAGCAAAGGTATCGACGCTTCACTCCGCGACCCGCGATCCAAAACCGCCTACTCCCCATTTCGTGTCGTCTTTTGCTATCCCAGATCCTGTCATTTGAAATCCCAAGCCTGCGTGTCGGCAAGCCAGATCCATTGCGGACCCAATCACGGCCTCCACATTTTCTCAGATCCAAGTGGGTGACAGCTCGGGTGTCAAACTGGAAACGCTGCGAGCTCCTCATTAGGCAATCCAACTGTCGATTCCGAGTGGACTTTACTCCGAGTACGTTGAAATGGTGGAGCAGAGGCGGACGCCGTCGTTTTGAATTGGTAGCCCCGGCTGGGGTCAGCTCCTACTTCAAGCCCCGACGGGCTTCCTATTGGGTACTTTCTGACATGCTCGACTTTTGACCTGAAAGCGTCTCGTAGGCCACATCATCCCGCGGGCCGAGGAAGAGACACCAACCCCTGCTACATCCCGTTTCCGCCGCATTGCGAGGAAGTTCGTGCCGCGCCGCTTTGGGCCAATCCACACTCCACCTCATCACAAACACACTCGCAAAGGCGAAATGGTTCAGGACGTTTTCCCTCAAAGAGATCGGCAGTCCCGCGCTCCACCATGAGTATCCACTGACTCCATTCATTTTCTTGATCCTTCGCTTCGCTTCTTCAGCCAACCTATCTCATCTGGAGTATGTTCGGTCAAAGCTACCCAGGTTCAACGTTCAGCGACGTTAGATAACATGAGTTGAAGCAAGCCAATCACTACTGCGTGTTTAGGCACTTCACATCACTACCAGTCCCGGTTCCTTCCCGAATATCTCCAGTATGTATTTTGAAGTCACAGCCCGGTACCACGATGGCCACCAGTATCTCTGTGCCTACTCCCCAGAATAAGCACGGTCGGCTCATTCGAGAAGTCAACATCAAAGGCAGGACCCGTGCTTTGGAAGCATCGCTTTCCCGTTCATTATTACCCATAACTTGAAGTCGCCGCGAGGGGATTACTTTTCCGGTATCGTCCCGTGTAGGATTCATCCTCAATGCCGATCGCTGTCGACCTGACAATCCGTAACGCGGGGATGTCCGAACCCGCCTTGGCCAGGAGGGCCATGAATGGCTAGGCTCTGTGTCCCTGCGATTTCCTCCTCCGTGAGTGGCCATTTTGTTATCACCAGAACTTCCTTGTCTGATTGACCGAGTCCTTGAACTTGAGTCGTTGCTCTCGGTGTCGACAGGGAAAACAATAGGTCCGATGCTGGTGCATTCGACTTCTCCCCAGGCTTCTGCTTCTGACAGTCCCAAGCGACCGGTCACACTACAAGAGTGATCCTGTTTCCGACACGTTGTCGCTCAATCAAACTTCGTCCTCTTCTTCATTGAGCTAGCAATTAAGAGCTTGTCCGCCGGAGAAAAGGCATCATCGGCGGGATCGCGAAGGATGAAGCTTGCTCCGTATTTGCTTGGCAGCGTCAGTCCGCCATCTGTGAATACTGCCCATTATCGAAATTTTCGCGAGAGAGCTGTTAGTACCCTGGTCGTTGTTTTCCTCATAGTTGTTGCTCCCCGAGTTGCCGCCATCAGAGCCCTGGGAGTTCTCCTTTTAAAGCTTCGCCGCCGATGGGTCTGCATAGGAATGGACGAGAATCGTGAGAATGGTCTGCTTGGGAGGAAGGCTCTGTGTTAGTACCATGCCACAGAAGGATATTGGGGGAAGAAGGACTCATCGCTGCGCTAACTTGTCTATTGTATTTATTGGGGTGCGGGAACCTTGTGCAACGCCTCGCTGATGAAAATTATGATTCCCGCGGTATCGATGTTTAGAGAAGCGCTTGGTGAAAAGAATATGTTAGCTATAGGATATAAGCAAGAAGGATGACGGAATTAAGGAGGCAAGATGCGATGTTGAGTTGTAGAGAAGGTGCCGATGCCCTGCTTCCGCCGCTTGCTCGTGGTCGTCTCTTGATTTCTCCGTTCGCACTCGTGCTGCTTTTGCTCTTGCATAACATGGAGAGGAGCAAAGTGTCAAGCGACGTACATCAATTGAGAAGGCTCTCCCTCATCCATTGAAATAGCTCAAAAAGGTTGATGCCATCTTCATAGCTCTTGAAATTCCAGAGTGCGACCATTTACAGCATCAAGGATACTCGGGTATGTCCCTCAAGAAATTATGCCGACACGATCAGAGAAAATCGCGTTGAGAAAGAGTAGTATTGCCTACGGTGATGCTAAAATCACCACCACAAAATAACATTCCAGGATCGCTTTTGCACATCCACGAAGCCTCTCCAACCTGATAGATGAACCCAAGGTCCGTCTCTGGGATGCTGCGGCCCCTACTCCTCCACACATACCGTCCCGTTCGCCCAGATTTTGTAACTATCATAGTTTTCCCCATTCTCATCACCCCATGCAACAATCAATGGCTGGGTCACGAGAACTACCCTGTGTCCGTCAAGGATCTCATCGTCATCGTCCAGGTGATGAAGATGATGAGGAGTCATAAAGGTCTTCTTGGACGAGAATACACACATGCTGCCCAAGCCATAGCATTCGATCGCAGTACGCTGCATCCACAATGAGAAAGCAAGGTCCGCTGCCCCATGAATGAGTTTCGCAAGACCCTCGACTCGGGATACCTTGTCCGCCTCGGTATCGAGAGGTCGCAAAAGTGCTCCAACAGGCGAATCGAGAAATTCCATAGCCAATCCTAAGCCGAAAGCGTCCCGGAGCCGTGGGATGATGGAACCAGTCCCCGAATTTTGTGTCCGTCCGGGCAGTGCGCAAAGCCTGGAGGGTCTGAGAGCGCCAAATTTGGCCATCGGCTTCTTTTCCTAAGGAAAGCGTTAGAAAGTTTCTGAACCTCGAGATGCACTTACGTACCGTACTTGATCATGCCATATAACTTGGCCATTTGCGATGGGCTCGGACAAGATGTATAGTCGGGGCCAACAGGGAAGAGAAAGAATGGGTTGGTGAACATAGTATGAAGGATATTATTCGAGATACTCGCCTGAACAAGGAGAAGAGGTATCTTTCTGAATAGCGATGGCAGCTTGGACCGGAGCTGTGGCCACTTTTCCTGAATGTAATACCCGTGCAATGACTGAATGATCATGTTTAGTTCAGTCTCAGAAACGGACTCTAGCGCAGAGGCATCGTCTATCGAGTGCTTCTTGGCCCAGGCGATGAACCTATCACTCATTTTTGACAGCTGCTCGCGTACCTCCCTGTCCTCCATGCATATATGGTTCTCCCTTTCCATGGATTGCAGAGCACCCTCCTGGGCAACTCGGACGTCATTCTGAAGCTTGTCTATCTCGCGTTGTGTATTCTGAAGCGCTGACTGAAGTGCAACTGTTCTGTTTTCCAGCTCTGAAATTCGCATATCGCTGCTGATCTCTTGCCCATCGAGGCAGCGCTGTAGTCTATGGGTGCTCTGATTTGCAGTCTTCAATTGCTCTCCAAGCTTTTCGCATTCCGCATAAGCTGCCTCCGTCTCACGTCCCAGGCTTTTGTAGGCGTTCTTTGCGGACAGTAGCTTCTTGCGGAGACGATCGACCATAATCCCTCCATCCCATCCAATGTTTCGGTTGGACGTCTCGGTCTGGGCGGAACTACGGAACCATCCGATGGAATATGATGGGGCTCACGCGGCAGAGAAGAGGCTGGTATAGCCGAGTAGAGGTGTCCAGAGGGGTCGTTTTCATCGACGGCGGGGGTCATGCCAGAAAGGGCCTCCATGTCTTGATCCGATTCTCCATCCACAACAGCCTATGAAATGCACATTTATCAGCCAAAGAAGTAAAAATAATGATTGGAGTGAGGAGAAACTCACCCTGCGGTCGACACGGTCCATCGAGAACAAAGCCTTCAGTGTTTCCTGCAATGTTCGACAAGTCAGCAGTCGTCACCAGGCCCAGCTCCAGATGGACACCTGTTGAGATAGATGGAAATAATAAGTGCAGTTGATGAGGATGAGAACGAGGTGGGGAAACTTACTGCTACTCCTGTCATGGTATAGTCATGCAGTAACCTGATGATGTGTTGTGGATGGAAGCAAAGGGCGATAACAGAGGGAACATCAATAATTGCCAATTCCCTCACTTGTCTGAGGAAAATCCTTCGTGGTTGTTCTCATTGTCGGTAAGACCTCCAGATTAACACAAGGGAAAATATTTCTGTTTTGCTCACTTCCCTTTCTCTTCACTTCTCCTTCAACACCACCCACCAATACCACCATTTCATATTCCTTCCCTCTCTTCGCTATTTGAATCTTTTAGCCAAAGCAATCCGTTCCCAACCTATACCACAATCATCATACACTCTCTCCCGCACCCCTTCTCACTCATCCTGACTACGAAAACATCTCAATCCTGACACGATGGGCGACCGGGACCGGCACAGAATTATCGTGGGGGTGGATTATGGCACCACTTTTACAGGTATGTCCTCCAGCCTCCTGCCCAATCTCAGTCAACTGAGACCCCGAAGGTGCAAGTTTCGTCAGCACCAGAGCTCACGATATCAACGACATTGTCCTTATCAAGTCATGGCCTGGCCCTGCACGACACACGGATATAGTCCTCAAAACACCATCTCGAATCGCATATGCTGCGGAGAATGGTGGCCGAGAGCGATGGGGATACCAAGTCGAGCCTGGGATGGTTGCCCATTCTTGGATAAAGCTGCTGTTGGATTGTGGTACTCCCCTGACGCAATTCGATGATGCGCTCGAGGAGGCTGCTGGAATGGGCATTTTCAAACAACCTCCTGGAAAGTCAGCTATCCAAGTCGTGGCGGACTATCTCTCCAAGGTATACAACCATATCTTGCAGGCGGTTGCTAAGCAGATAACCGAGGCCACGCTCCAGATCACTCCGCTGGAGTTCTGGTTCACAGTCCCTGCGATCTGGTCAGATGAAGCCAAGCATGCAACACTCCAGGCAGCGCGCCTGGCGGGGTTTGGTACACGCCCCGGAAACGTTGAAGACAAGATCAACCTGATCACTGAGCCAGAAGCTGCGGCTATCGCCGCGCTGAGTAAAACAACTACCGATGGAATTGGGGCCTCTGTAAAGGTATCTTCCCCTTCTACAATAATGGCTTTTTCAAGGATCTCACGCTCACGATGCAGGCTGGCGATGGTGTTCTCGTTTGCGACTGCGGAGGGGGCACTGTGGTGAGTTATCCCGTGTGTTGAATGCTGAGTACAGTATGACTGGGAGTTTGTGGCATGTAGGACTTCACGACATACCTGATCCAGGCTGCTCACCCAAAGTTGGAGTTCGAGGAGCTCTGCACCGGGATTGGTAAGTCAACGTACAATTGGTGGAATGCCGTACACTGAAGATAATATTCATATAGGTGGAAAATGCGGCTCCACGGCAGTGGATCGGAATTTCTACATGTTGATGAAGGCTCGGTTTGGCAAGGCTTTTAGCTCCCTACCCCGTCGCCGAATTGGCCCAGGGAGTGAGTTTATGAACAAGTTTGAAATAGCCAAGCGCGACTTCGGCATGAGCACAGAGGATGACTCTGTCCACCATCTTCCACTCAATATGCCACTGCAGAAGGCGGACCATGAATATTTCGATTTCGATGAACGTTTCGTCCTACTATCCAAGTACGTACACGGCAAACCTTTCCCGGTTTACCACCACTAATGTTGGCCCAGTGATGATCTCCAGGGGTTGTTTGAGCCAGTTGTGTCAAAGACCCTGAACTTGGTTCGCCAGCAGCTCGAATATGCAAACGAACAGGCAGGGCATAGCGCAATTAACGTGAGATCTGCAAGTCTTGGTGTTCGGTGTTCATATTTTGTACTGACGGGAGCAGAGGATTATTCTGGTTGGTGGTTTTGGAGACTCTTATTACTTACGCAGTGCCTTTTTGCGTTCCTTCGGGAACGAAGGAAAGATTGAGGTCACAACCCCAGACAATGCGTAAGGAACTTTCAATAATGGTGCGGTTGGGCAGCTTTTGACAGAGAACAATTTCAGGCAGGCCGCCATTGTTCAAGGCGCGGCCCTACGTGGCTTGGAGGGGCTTTTTGCGAGAAGCAGGCGGTGCCGACGATATTATGGATACACAGGTGGTAAGATCTTTAGGGAGGGAGTTGATGATCCGCATACCGCATACTTCGACAGATTTTACGGGTATAAGCGCTCTCGCGGCCACATGACCTGGTTGACTAGAAAGGTACTTCCATGCCCACACCGAGACGTTAGTGGGGTACTGATCAGGGTTAATTCCAGGGTCAAGAATTTCCTGCTGATTATAGTAAGGAAATGCGCCTGTTCAGTACTCACTCGGTTGGCAAGAGCTTGGTTTACACGGCTACTCTGTATGCTTGTGATAAAGAGACAGCACCTGGTCGAGTTGAGCATCAAGGTTTGATCACTTCATCGTCTATTCTGACCACGTTTACAACCTACCGGACTAACTGGAACATAGACGTTCGGAAAATTGGTGACATTACCGTCGACTTTCGAAACGTAGATCTCTCTGTGTTCGAGACCAAACGGGTATCCGATCGCGTCTTGTACAAGCTGGACTATTCGCTAAATGTGATCTTCGGTGCACAGGAGGGCGTGTTGAAGTTCGAGGCACGCGCAGATGGGCAAGTGATTGGAAAAACGTCGGTCGACTTCGCACGAGCTCTCTTCTACTGACTTCCACCTGCTGGTCCCCTGGTCTGGCCGAAATTGTTGCCTATGAGTTTGACATCATTTTCTGGTTTCTCATTTTGAAGCTTTTGCCAATACACGGCACTGCCAATTGATAGGGGAAAGGACGAAAGAGCTGTGAGATCAAATGACCAGGGGCGGGAAACTTCATCCTCTGGTGTGTCGGCCTGTTCTTTACAACGCGCAATAGCTATCTAGGTCTTGGAAATGCAACGATGCTAGTCGGGTTTTATGCGTTCAATGTCTCTACTACATCTTAACTGAGACCACGATCTTCATGTGTATCTTTGTCTCGCAGTCAATGCGTTTGCAACGGGTTGCGAAGCGATGAGCATCACCATCCCTATCACAGATAATGCGATTCCCTACGGAGTGTGTCTTCTTTATCCTTCATCAGCCTTGCTGCGCTGAACCTGGGTTGCATAACTTAGCGTTTCCTCCCCTTTGTATTCCATCTGCGCCTTCTCCATCGCTTCTTGAACCATATCCGCAACTTCCTTTGTTCCCCAGTCCCTAGCGTAATCAATTGGTAACGCAGCACACTCAGCTTTCGCGAATACATCGGCACCACGCTCCAAGAGCAGACGGACCAGTTCCTCTCGCCCGGCGTCCTTCCCATCGACGGCCAAATGTAACGGGACATGGTCCCTGGTGTCGAGCAGATTAACGTCAGCACCATGGGCGAGAAGTAACCGAGCCGCCACGATGTCCACTTGCTGGACTGCACTATGGAGAGGAGCCATCGCCCAGCCATAACCCACCTCATTGGGATCTGCGCCACGTTCGAGCAGAAGTCTTAACGCGGCGTGGTTCCTGTCCAGAGTAGCCCAGACTAGAGCAGGCTGGCCCCTACATTGTCCCCCATTAATTTGTGCGCCGCGGTCCAAAAGGAAGCGCATGAGGTCGACGTTGGTGGACTCGGCGGCGTGAGCAATGAGGTTCTTCGCTTGGATATCGGCACCTCGGATTAAGAGAAATCTGGCCATTTGAAGCTGCCCAGTCCATGCCGCGACTTCGAGGACTGTCCTGCCGAAGCTATCGCTGGCGTTAACATCTGCGCCGTGCTCGATGAGGACGTTTGCGGGGTTGAGATGACCATGTTCCGCTGCTTTGTGGAGTGCGGTGCATTTTCCCCCTGAACCATTATCCACGAGCTCGTTGACGTTTACTCCCACTTCAAGAAGGAGCTTTATGGCCTTCGTTTGGCCTCGGCTCGCGGCGCAGACCAGAGCCGCGTCCTTGGCCCGCCAATCCGATAGCAATGCGGAATTCTCGGGATTATTGAGGATTCTAGTCATGAGAGAGAGTTGGCTGGTCTCTGCTGCTCGCTTAAGGATGCGGACGGGGTCTTCTGATGCTGCCTTGCTGTGCAAAAACGACTCGAGGACGATCCTGAAGAGGCGAGAGGTTTGAAGCCAGGCGCTTATATCCTTGATAAAGAGCGAACCTGCAACAATCAGGAGGAGTTCGCTTGGCAGGCAACTTAAATAACATTTCTCGTGGGGGTTATTTGGCATGGTGGTGGTTGTTGACGGTTGAAAGCCACTGACGCCTATGTGAGGTTGAATGTCGCGACGCTAGCCATGGGAATACGAGCTTCCACCAAGCACTTGAGCGCTCGCATGGCGGGGTGCTCCAGGTCGGACTTTATAAGGTAATGAAGCAGCCTATTTACTGAGTTATCCATTCAGAGACCTAACGAATATCCCACTGCCAAAGAGAAATTTCGTCACTACATCTCCGCCGGCAATATCATACTAGCTCAGATTATGTACTCCAAACGAATACGAGTAGAAGCTGGTTGCTGAAAGTGGTCGCTTCTCATGAAACTACCCATCCAACTGACATGGTCGTCTAGTGTGCAGTGTTCGCTTGCAATGCCATGCCACCATCAACTGCCCAGGCGGCGCCCGTTACATAACTCGCGCGAGGGCTGCTTAGGAACAGAACAACATCGGCAATCTCCTCCGGCCTAGCTGTACGGGACAGTGGAACAATGCGCTTCATGACCTGGGAATCCACAGTTCCGTTTGATATCGGATCGACAGTGTTCTCAACCAGCCCCGGGCATATCGCGTTTACGCGAATACCATGCACCGCGTTCTCCAGTGCTATGCGAATACGTGTGTGCATCAGTTCTGGCTTCAGAAATTCAGTAGCCTCACTCACCAGTCTTGCGCATCAAGTCAAGGACCCCTTGCTCGTCGATTGCATCCTGCGCTGCGCGCTCCGCCATGACCAAGTTCCGCAAGCCCACGTTGATGATTGTTCCACGACTTCCTTCCCGGACCCGTCCCCGCGCTTTGTATTTGCCAGGCGACTGGTTCCTCATGACCTGTGTGACTGCGCGAATTCCGTGCAGTGTACCCTCCAAGCTAGCCTGTCGAGTCCGCTCCCACGCCTCTCGATCCATCGCGGCTGTCGACAACCGTTTCTGCGCTCCCGTGATATTGACATAGTAGTCAACCCGGCCGAAGACTCGCATTATGGCTCCGATCATCTCTGCCACGCTGACCAGGTCAGTCATATCGACTCGCATCGCTATGGCGGTAAAGGAAGGGTTCGTTGCGAGGGTTTCGCTTTCTTGCGCCGCATCGAGGGCGGTTTCATAGTCGCTATCGGCCAAGACAATACCGCGCACGCCTTCGGCTGCGTATCCGAGCGCGCACTCGCGCCCGATGCCAGTGCCTGCGTTTTGGTGTTAGTCAAACGGGGAGAAAGGAAGAGTGGCACGGTACGGGCAGAATTACCTGCGCCGGTGACTAGAGCCACACCATTGAGATGGAGGGACATGATAGTTCAAGATCCGACATCAATTCCTTCACATTTGTTGGTGATGAGGACAAGCGAGGGTGGTTGCGTTCTATATCTGGCGTGGTGGAAGCATTAGTCGGCGTTAGGCCCGTCCACCTTAACTCCGCATATCGCCGGTAGCTCAGGCCAGCAGCCCACAGCCCGCAATCTCACGAGATCTTACACCAGACACGCTGATTCTGCTATTCGACCCTTTCATCGCTTCGCTAGCGTACGCTACTGTTGGGTAGCTACTAACGGCCGCAAATCAGCTAAAAATAAGGAGGGCAACAACGCCAGTCAACAGGGAAATATTCAATTCGCTCTGGTATCGCTCTGCCTCAGGATCCCGAGGAATAGTCTGCGTGCACAAACAAACAAAAGAAAAACTCCGAAAGTTCTCCCGTACTCCGGCCACAATTCCGCCGAAGCCAACCCCTATCCACGTCTCGAATTATTCCAGGCTCCTTCATGGTTGTCACGACTAAACCTCCCCGATGAGATCTCCTGCTGGCCCGCCCTCGCGATCGCCTCGTTCCTTGTCACCCCCTCCTCGCTTCCAAACGTCCTATCGATTGCCGCGTTGATGCCCCCGCGCAGCCACTCGCCAGCGCCCTACGAGGATTAGCGCCGTCAGCAAAAGTTTGGCAATTACACCTGTCACTTACGTGAATACCCGCGAAAACACCCCTCACGCCACTTCCAACCCTCTCGCCCATATTCCCGCCCTGGCTTTGCGTGGTGTTGGTCGGTTCTGTCTCGTCAGCGATGGGAAATGATCATATACCTCGGCCAGGGAACAAGGGGCGCTTACTGTCTTCTCCAAATGAGGCAGGTTGCTGATATCCGGGTCCGGTGGGTTCGCCATTGTTGTACCCCGCTCCATTGGCTTCAGGGATCTGATACTTAAATCCGGAGTCGTACGCTCGGTCGCGATCTAGCCCGTCTCCACTGGGGTTGTCGATGCGGGCACCGGTCGGCTGAGGTGCTTTGTAGTCTGTGGGTGGTTGTTTCTCCATGATAACGGTGTTTGGGATTTGCTCTTCTGGGTAGATGGTCGCGTTGCTTGCGGACGAGTGTGCTTATATTGCGGCGAGTCAGGCTGACGTCATTCCTGATCAGACCAGCAATGAAAGGTCGCAAGGACTGCTGATTCACAGGTAAGAGTAAGAGGCGTCGCTCGCCTTTTGGCTTGGTTGTGGTGATTGGAGCCTACAGCAGGCAGTTGACAGTTCGTGTGACGTCATTGCCCACCAAGACCACTTCGTCAGAGAAGGATCAACGACGCCCACAGCTGCTTGATTAGAGGTCTATACGATCATTCGTAGACATCCTGGTTGGCTATTCGACGCTGTCTTATTGGGGCACTTCTGCTTTACGCGGAGTACCTGAAATGACTCCATCGACTGCGATTCCTGGATACCCTACCGCGTTGCAGGAGCCTACCACGAGCTTTGTTGCACCGCGCTCTCAACCTAATTCCGTCGATCATCAAAACAATGCGTTATTGCGAATAAACGCTCCAACGCTGGGAATCTCTAGGTTGTACTGACCCTGTTCTCGGTGAATCCTTTCTAGATAAACACCCGCTCCTAGCCATCGATTGCTCAGTGCTTCCAGTAATTGCTTCAGACACTGCAGCGAGGGTACAGCGTTCGTCGTTCGAGACTCGCTAAAATACCGTGATATCATCAGCGCGGCTGTGCCAGTAGTGTGAACGAAGAAACCTGGGATGTTGATGCTATCGCCCTCGACCATCGTTTTCGTTAAGCCTTCGCACGCAGACACGAATTGATCAACATCTGCTTGCAACAGTGCGATTGACAGAGGGCTGCAATCCTTTCCTGGTGGATGCTCCAAGCGGTAGCCGTTCTCCATAATGGCCATGAAAGCACTGGGACTGTTAGCGTCTTGTCTCTCGAACAATCGGTGCCTACCTTCTGCAAAGGGCCGTCGCAGGACAGGATAAAGGAGGCGTTCCCTCTTTTACGAGCGAGTCACGCAATGCGACGAGAGACTGAATGAGTGGCATCGCCTCGTCATATTTGACGTCGTAGGCTGCCGGTGTATGAATGTGGTTCAAGACCTCCTCGAGGGATGCTGATGCGCGTAAGAGATCTCTCAGCACGGAATCCTGATCTGCTGTCGAAACACTAGCCGCATTACTGATACGAAGCTCGTTTGTGTCTGGGATTTGGCCCATCTCAAGGGCAATATATCTGGATCGGTATCAGCATCGCTCCCGCCAAGTGGGATTAACGAACCGCTCTAATATCATCAATCCATAGCATACGCGATGGTCGTCATCCACATTTGCACCACCCCCGAAACGGCCGTTGGTCGCCCCCGAAGCCAGACCTGCAAGGCTGGACCTAGCAGCTCGATTATTCGCTCCCATTGAGATGTGCGCCGCAGAATACATACCGTGTCCCACTTCGAACAGGGATAGGAGAATTCTCGCTTGCAGCAGCTCAATCGAGCTAATCTCGGCACCGGTGAGTGATGCGGCGAGCCCCGTTGCAAGTATGTATAGGCCTTGCATTCGGCTTGACATAGTCCCATTGGTCGGAGATATCCCGAGCAAGTGGGTGCACAAGATCAGGAGACCAAACCCCGGCGAACGCTCGGGGCTTTGCTTCGAAAGGCCACTGTAGTATGAGGCGCGATTGACGATCGGAAACCAAGGGTGGATAGTGCTGAAAAATACCGCGGCAGACAAAGCAATCGCTCTATCGTCCCCGATGATCGTTGAGATGTGGGATTGCACACTTTTGCTTATGGTTCTGAGGATAGGCTGGGAGAGATCTTCATTCTTTGGAAGATCAGGATCCGCCTCGATTCCTTGATACCGACATGGCAGGTTCAGTCTGGGCTGTACTCTTAGTCAGGCCCTTGGCGTGTGAGACGTGAGACGGCTCACCTCCTACAGCGGGAGCAAATCGGCAGCAGTCTGTTGCATCTGCGCTTCTGACTCCTGCACCGGGCACATGCTTGGTGTGCATAATTCTCCATCGGGGCGTTCTGTGAGGGTAGCGGATGATGTGGTGAAACGGTTCCAACTTTACTCCAAGTCCAGTGGAGGAAATCAGGCAGTGGACCTGTCGGCCCCTTGCCAGTCCCGAGCCCGCGCTAGTCTGTTACCAGTTTAGCGTCCGCACGAATGTCCGCACCAGCATGAGATGATGGCACACTGGAGTCCAGCTGTTCCCCGGAGAGCATCATGATGGAGGTGCGCCTCAACAATATGGGACTCGAATATAAAAGTCGACCATCTCTGTTGTTACAGCTGAAGCAAGCTCATTAAAAGTAGTCTCATCGCATTGACATTGTCATAACTTGTTGAACATCGTTGTTGGATCCGTCCTGCGCAGATATATATTCCGGCTACCACCATGACTACCGTTCGGAACCTCGCGATCGCTGGGGTGAGTGGACCCGTTGCATAACTGATAAATCTGTTTTGACAAGTTAGGCTTCTGGAAGTCTCGGAAAAGTTGTTATCGAGGCCTTGCTCGCATCCGGCCAATACAATGTCAAGGCATTGACTAGAAAGGGATCCGACGCGGCCTTTCCGCCATCCGTGCAGGTGGCAGCAGTTGACTACAATTCTGTCGACGAGCTGACTGCTGTCTTGATAAACCAAGATGTTGTTATCGCGACTTGTGGTCCCACTGCGCTCGAGTCCCAGATCCCTCTGATTGAGGCTGCTGTCGCGGCTGGAGTCAAACGGTTCATACCCTCCGAGTTTACAGCCGACATTGGAAACCCCAAGGCCCGGACACTTCCCCAGTATGCAGGTCAGCTCCGGATCCAAGACATCCTCCAAAGTGCAGCCAATGAGCATCCCGAATTCACTTATACAAGTATCCGCAACGGAGTCTTCCTCGACTGGGGCCTTGCCATGGGATTCCAGGTCGACCTCAAATCGGAGCACCCTGCGTTCTACGATGGGGGCGACCGGCCATTTAGCACAACGACCTTAGCCACGGTCGCACAGGCTGTGGTAGGCGTTCTCGGCCACCTCGAGGAAACCAAGAACCGGGCGGTCTATGTGCATGATGTGGTCACCACGCAGCGCCACCTGCTCTCGCTTGCTCGGAAGATCGCGCCAGAGCGTCGGTGGGAGCCAGTCAGCGTCAGCACCGAGAATATGGAGCGGAAAGCGCGGGAAAACCTCGCACAGGGCAAGGTCGATCTCGTATCGCTGATGGGGTTCTATTGTCGGTCTGTCTTTGCCGAGGGATATGGTGGAGAATTTGCCCGGGTGGATAATGAGGTGCTGGGACTGGGGTATAAATCGAACGCTGATCTGGAGATCATTTTGAAGCGTGTTCTCCAGTAGCTTTGCCGTGTATAGTACTCTGGAGTATGTAGCTGTGTTAAGCGCACGCAACGGAGGAGTGGGACTCGGGACTTGCTTCCAGACAGACAGGAATCCACAAACAATCTAAATTCCAGGAACCAGCTTGAAATTCCCTGAATGGTGAGGTCGAGATCGAACACTATCGCCAATATGTCTAGATTGGGGATTAATTTGAGGATATAGCTCAGAGCTCTTATCAGGTGGTGGCAGGACAGAGTGGCCAAGCGTGTGTTCTTCCAGTGCAGACAGCGCTGGGGCTGCACGTGTGCTCAGACCAAGACAAGGCCCAGCCCGGCATGAGTCGTTGTGGGAACCACTGCCAGAGCTTAGTTGCGGCACGTGGCTGGGCTGGTGGCCGCTGCTTTTCCGCCTGTCAACACGACAAGAAATCCTCCTCTCACTCTCTGTTGAGCAGGGAGAGCAGACTCCTCACCTCATCTGCCCATCATGCATCCATCTGAGAGTCCCTTATTAAAAGTGATTTCCCTGTCGCCTCCCGATTCAGAGCTGCTCCATCCCAGCTCTCCGCTCCAGACCATGACCCTGCCGGTGAGATAGCGAGCCTGCCTGCTCCTGGGTCTGACCGACTTTCTAGTGACACAACCACTTTCTCTTAACGCGCCTTATGGCCGTCCTCCACCAATATGACTACATCTTTGCGGTAACCACTATATTCGCGTTCCTCGATGCCTGGAATATAGGTACGGACTGCCTGCCTCGGCTTCCCGATGTTGAAACACTTGCTGATCCCTTGCAGGAGCCAACGATGTAGCCAACTCTTTTGCCTCTTCGGTCTCCTCGCGCTCCCTGACGCTCAAGCAGGCGATGCTCATCGCCGCCTGCATGGAGTTCTCAGGTTCTGTCGCGGTGGGATCGAGGGTTGCCGAAACAGTCCGAGAAAAGATCATCGACCCGCACCTCTACGACGCCCAACCCAGCGTGCTCATGCTTACCATGATGTGTGCGATTTTCGGATCCTCGACCTTTCTGACTATCGCAACCAGGTTCGGCCTCCCTGTCAGTACAACACATTCCATCATCGGCGGCCTCGTCGGCGCCGGGACGGCCTCGGTCGGGATTCACCAAATCCACTGGGGCTGGCACGGGGTTTCTCAAGTCTTTGCGGCCTGGGCCATAGCTCCCGGTATTGCGGGCGCTTTGGGAGCGACCTTGTTTCTGATCACAAAGCATTTCGTTCTCTCGAGCAAGTACGCCGTGCACAGGGCTCTCTTTTCAATTCCGATCTATACTTTCATCACCATCGGGCTGTTGACGAGTAAGTGAACTCATCGCGTCTTCCAAAAGCTTGCTGACAGGCGTAGTGCTTATTTTTTGGAAGGGAATACAGCTGGACGTCGAGCTCAGTGGCTGGCAGATTGCGGTAGCTGTGGTCACCGTCGCAACGGGCGTCACCCTTCTTGAAATCCTATTCCTCCTCCCGTACCTCTGGCGTCGAGTTATGAACGAAGACTGGCAACTGAAATGGCATGATATCTGGCGCGGCCCGTATCTTCTCAATCGTCCCCTACCAAGCCCACCACCGCCTGGTCGGACAAGCCTCAACATCAAAGACTACTACCGCGGCCACCTCACCCAAGAAGAATTAAAATGTCTTCGCGCGTCCGAACACCTGCTGCAGTCGATTCAAACGGCGAACGGTTACAATGATCCGGAAAGGCTGGAGGGGACTACAACGGAATTAGTTGATGGCGTCCCGCCTCGACCAACGGGGCCGTGGAACAGCTGGCCCGTCATATGGTGGCGCATTCAGCGAATCATTTACCACGGTCTCGAGCAAGATGTGATCAAAGCCCAGCAGCGGCAGACAATCTTGACGTGGGACATCCAGGACATGCATGCACGGGCATCGCGATTCGACAACCGCGCCGAGTACATGTATAGTTCATTGCAGATCCTGACAGCGGCGACAGCTTCTTTCGTCCATGGTGCCAACGACGTGGCCAATGCGATTTCTCCTTTTGCCACAACGTACCTTGTCTGGCAGAGTGGAAGAGTGGAGAGTGAAGTACCGGTCCCAATCTGGGTGCTGTATGTATCCCGACAGTCTGAAGGGTTATAGGTGCTGACAAGACAGATGCTTCGGGGGAGGCGCCATCGTGCTGGGTCTGATGACGTACGGATACCATCTCATGCGCAACCTCGGAAATCGCCTTACGCTCATGTCGCCATCGCGCGGTTTCTGTATGGAGTTGGCCAGTGCCATGACGATTTTGCTCGCGACACGACTCACCCTTCCAGTATCAACGGTACGTCGCTCCTGCTTGTTGCCATGGATAGGAAACTGATCGTATATCGCTTGCAGACACAATGTATAGCTGGTGCTTCTATAGGCGTCGGCCTGGCGAACGGCGACTGGCGATGTATCAACATGCGCCTGGTAGGCTGGATCTACTTCGGCTGGGTCATCACAGTCCCAATTACGGCGCTTATATCTGGGATGTTGATGGGGTTGATCCTGAACGCTCCGAGATGGTCATAGACAATATACGTGTCTAGATTAATTCATGAAGCTGAGAGAACGGCACCTCCCATAGCGATCGAGGAGCATGGGCCATACGTACGGAGCTGTCGTCCTAACCTCACTGCACCAACGACCTGCCCTGATGCGATTTGGACTATGAATCGACCAACGCAACCGCGACATGCTTCGACCCGCCCACCAGGATGAACTCTTGACATCACGGCTTGTGCGTTCTTGGAGCAAGTGATCCCTCATTCTCGATTATCTGGCCACAGCATTACATGGGAGAATAGACAGGCTTCGCAGAGAGAAGCCCTATGTTCATCCGCTCTGACAGAACAGACGTGCCGTGCCTAAGGGGATCATACGCAAGCTCCGAAGCGAGACACGAGGTACTCTTCACAGGACAAGTAGTGTCAGTATCGATGGCTTGGTCAGGTGTTCTTAAGTTTTGGTCTGTGGCTCTCGCATCCACGGTTCCACAGATCTATCGCTGGCTAGACTTTCCCGACAATTGGATGTCCATCACGTTCGTCTAAATGATCTCGATCCAGACTCGATGATGCCATGAAATCGCCGTGAGTGCCGGATGGCTGTTTTAGTCGCCTGCGAGACGGCGCGTCTAGTCAGGTTGCCTGACCATAGACAATGTCAATCACTTCGACAAATTCGGTATCTGACCCGGATGTGTAAACCGGCCCGGGGCAGCTGATCTACCATTGTTTCTATTTAGCAAGCCTTGAGCCCCGGCTAAGGTACTTGACGCATAGCAACTCAAAATACAAGCACAAAATCATCAGTCAGTCAGAATGCCGACCGGATCCTGTCTGTGCAAGGCCATCAACTATCAGTACAAGGGAGACGTCATCACTACGGTATGCCCCAGCTCTCACTCCCTGACCTATCCCCGTATCAAACCTCAAACTAACAAGAGGCCAGGCCGTCTGCCACTGCAAAACATGCCAGAAATTCAGCGGTGGCTCCTCGGTCAACCTCCTCATCCCCCATGACCACTTCCGTATCACGTCCGGTAAACCCAAGATTTACAACCATACGCACGAAACCGGTATGCACTTGACACTGCACTTCTGCGGCTACTGCGGCGTGACGCTGTACAAGACTGCGGACCGCCAGGAGTTCCAAGACGCGGTAATTCTCCTTGCGGGGACGTTGGATGAGCCCAATGCGCTTGATAATGCGGCGCCTGAGGCGGAGTTTTTCGTTGGTGAGCGGGCGAAGTGGTGGAGGCCAGTTGAGGGGGCTAAGCAGTTGGAGGCGTTTACCTGATGGTTGAGTGATGGGCTATTTGCCGATCGATATCACTTGATTTCCGCTGGTTTCACTGGGTGCAGCGATGCGTGAGGGTAATGGCGGTGGTGTATGCTGACCCCACGAACGCGTTCCTCAGCTGTATGTTCCTCGAAAAGCCCATGTACTAATATTGTCATCGCTTCGTTCATAAGGTCTCTCGGATGAACTGATCTTGTACACCGACCATTTGTCAGACTGCCAAACCTGCATTTGTAATCGTCCTCTTGGCTTGCTTTTGAATTGACCAATGTTCAGTTCTTCTTTTTGAATCTCAGAGATAGCTCCCGTCTGATCGGCTGTGATCTCACAATTACCAATCATGATTGAGTCACTCGGCTCGAAATACGAGCTGATGAGGGCTCCAACAAGGCGGGGTCGTATAGTGATGTCATGAAGCGGGAAGGGTCGTATCCCCACACTTCAACCCAGACTCTTAGACACAACTATAAAACAGGCCCTTGAAAACACACCGTGCGAGCCTTGAAGAGAAAGTTTACATATAGCCTGTCTTCAAAATCTCCATCTGAATTCCGTCCAACCTCGCCATGACCTCGAAACCCCCCATCGTCGGCGGCTGCTACTGCGGCAAAATCCGGTACCAAACCACCGGCCCAATCTACGGCCTCAGCTACTGCTACTGCCGCATGTGCCGGCTCGTGCACGGCGCCCCCTTTGCCCCTTTCACAAACGTCAAGCGCGAGCATTTCCAGTGGCTCAGCAAGGACGGCCTCGTCGAGCTGAATCTATCCAAGTACGGCACCCGCACGGTCTGTGGCTCGTGCCATGCGCCCATCTCAATGGTGTATCATGCGAAGAGCAATGAGGTCGGACTTGTTGCTGTGACGATTAATGAAGAGGAGTCGGCGATGGAAGTGCCGGAGGTTCAGGAGCATATTTTTGTAAGCAGGAAGCCGAGGTGGTACACCATTGGCGATAGTGCACCGCAGGAGATGGGGATTCCAGAGCGCATGCGGCATTATCTTCCCGAGGGGCTTTGAGGAGTTTCAGCCTTACCATCTTCCCCAGATAGTGATGTGTGTGTGGTGTCGGAGTTTTGTGGAGAATAGAAGGGGATGACATCACTTCATCGTCAATCACAACCACGTTCCTGGCAGACCCTGTAAATACGAATTCGCAGACAGAATCTTAATTCAAATCCTAGAATGACTGACAAGATGCCAAGTGAAGCGGACATGCCTCCTGCGCGGCCGATCTCTCTAGCCGTGTGGAATTTCTCCTCGCAGTGGTTCCTCGTCCCGCAAGGGGCGAGCATCATCGCGGTCATTCTGCACCAGCTGCATTACCAGTTCGGGGCACTGAAGATTCTCGCAAAGATAGTGTGGATATATGCGATTGTTCTTCTGGGAATCTCGTTGGGGATATACCTGCTTCGAATCATCCTCTATCCGAAACATGTCGGCCGGGAGATCCGAGGCAATGTTGTCGAGGCATCATGTTTATCGAGCGTCCCAATTGCTTTCACCTCGATCATTCAGATGATTGCTTTGCAGTACTCCGGTGGGGCAGACTTGGTTGCGTATATCCTCTGGTGGATATCAACCTTCCTCTCTATATCCGCCGTCATCGGCGTACCATACCTGCAGCTCAAAATGCAGCCCAAGGGAATCGAGCATATCCCACCATCCTTCCTCCTCCCGGTGATCGCCATCCTCACCTCCGCAGCAGGCGGCGGCGTCATAGCCCAGAACAGCACCCTCAGCGCACGCCTCAAAGTCCCCGCCATCATCGTCTCGTACATGGAAGTCGGCGCCGGGATGCCCCTGGCTATCTGCATCGATGCCTGTATCATGTACCACCACTTCGACCAGAAGTATCCGAACCGCGACAAGGTGTACCAGGATATGATCCTCTGCGGACCTTTCGGCCAAGCGAGCTTTGCCCTGCAGATCCTGGGACTGGCAGTGCAGAATAGCTTTGGCGAGTATAATCGTGGCACGTTGCTCACGGCGCAAGCGGCCTCGCCCATTGCCGCCGTAAGTGAGTTTGTTGGACTGCTTGCATGGGGCTTTGGGACATTCTGGTGGTTTCTTGCCATTTTGAGTATTGTGTATACGCTGTATGTGCAGTCTGGTGGGCTGAGAGGGATGAGCTTTTCCATGAGCGCGTGGTCGCTTATCTTCCCTTGGGTATGCTACTCGATCTGGAGCTAGGGCAGTGCTAACGTTGGTAGGGTGTGTACACGAACGGAGCGGTGCAACTGGGGAAGCTGATGGATTCCCCGGCATTTGATGTCTGGTCGACGGCGCTCCTGCTCCTGCTGGTCGTTTTGGCAGTTGTGGTCAACTTGTTCACAATCAAGGGAATCGTAACAGGGAAGGTGTTTGGGCTCGAGCGTGGGTGGAGAGTACCAAAAGGAGAGGAGCATTCTGTATAGTATCAGGGATAATATAGCGCTTAATTGACTACTAGTCTCCTATAGGGAAGACTAGTCTTTCTGTCTTTCTCATATGTACACATGTCACGTCTTTTTGGACCAACGCTTCAAATCAATACCCGAGGTGATCTCCCCTACAATACCTTTCATACTTCAGATGCGGTTGGAATTCCCAATAGAGTGTTTGGGGGCCACTTGCCATACGAAATGTATACGCTGCCTCCCTGTCCTCAATATATTGCTTAGCAATTCCATTCGCTGCGGCTGCCTCAACAAGCAGCTGCTCTTTGCAACTCCGCTCCATGCAGATAAAGAGATATGCCGCCTCATCGACAGTGCTGCCAACAGTCAGCAGACCATGGTTTCGTAAAATGCAGGCTTTGTTGTTGGGGCCTAGAGCTGCTGCGATTTGTTTCCCTTCATCCGCTGACAAGGCAATTCCGCCGAAGGTCTCGTATATGGAATGTGCATTATACAGATAGCATGCGTCCTGGTTAAGCATCTCCAGCGGGCGTGCAAATGCAGACCAGGCCCGTCCATACGGCGAGTGAGTATGGCAGATGGCATGAACATCCGGTCGGGCTAGATGGCAGGCTGTGTGGATGGACACCCCAGCGGCATTTGCCGGAACAGACTGATACGACTCTGTATCAGCAAGCAAATGAAACCAATGTCACCTGCGTGGGCGGGGAGGATTACCGTGTTTCCGCCAACAACGTTTCCCTTCATGTCGATGCAGATCAAGTCACTCACTTGCATCATGCCAAAATGCACGGCAAGAGGGTTGATCCAGAATCGATCTTCGAATTCGGGGTCTCGAACGCTGATGTGACCGCTGATTCCTTCTGCATATCCTTCCCGAGCGAAGACATGGAACGAGCTGACCATATGTTCCAGTTGCCATTGCCGGTGGGCTTCAAAGGACTCGAATTCCGGGATGCTTGGGAGAGCAACGTTGTTATGGCCTGTCGCCTCCAGGGGTGTTACGTCCGAGGCTGGCAGGTGCATATCCTTGGCGACAATAGGAGACTTGTTTGGGACAGACTCGGTTATGGCAGTAGGGATCATTGTTGTTTTGATATGGTAGGGGGGAGGCGGGGGAACCAAATATGGATCCTGCCACATAGGCGGGTAACTAAGTATATTATTATTCTATAATTAATCCAGTGCGTGGAATTACCTAAAAGAGTAATAGTTTCCCTGCTCCAACTCTGGCTTCTGATCTTGGATCTCCGACCCCAAATTAAATTGTCGGACTGCCCGACACGGTTGATACGACAACCTTGCTGGGATTGTCGTCCATGCTCTTTGCTTGCAGAGAGGTCTAACATAGAGGCTTCCTGTCAGCCGAACTGTATTGACTAGCAGGGCAGGATGTCGGAGAATGGCATGGCTGGCGACACAAGAGGCCAAGTGCCGAAAGCGAGGTCGGATTGACTGGAGACCTGATGCCATAGAAAAGAGCCTAGCCTTGGAGCGCATTCACTCACGCTGAGGTTAGTATCGTTTGAACGGCGATTTCCCCAATGACTGACGCCAAAGCCAATGTGTTGCTTCTGGGCTGCGGCGCCATTGGCACCATGGCCGCCGTCACCCTCGAAAGATCCGGACGCGCAACCGTGACAGCTGTGTTGAGGTCAAACTTTGCGGCAGTGAAGACGGAGGGCTTTACGATCGATAGTGTCGATCACGGAAAGCTCTCTGGTTGGCGTCCATCACATAGTAAGTCAAAAGTCATGATACCCGTCTGTCTTCCTAGTGAGTTTTGCAAAGCCTGACTGTTTGTTTCCATTGTCTGTTTCTACAGTTGCACGCTCCATCAAGGACGCCATGAGCCATGGGCCTTTTCAGTTTGTCGTGGTGGCAATGAAAAGTCTGCCCGATATCTATTCAATCCCGACACTCATCGCTCCGGTCGTTATGGCCTTTGACTCGACAATCGTCTTGATCCAAAACGGTATTGGCAACGAACGGCCCTTTGTCGATGCCTTTGGCAAGTCGACCATCCTCTCCGGCGTAAGCATGATTGGTGCCCGTCAACTAGAGAGCGGCACAATCCAACACGACAAACCCGACCTCCTATACCTCGCTCCATTCTACAACCGGGCCATTGGGCAAGAGCAGCAGGACCAGCTCGCGGGTCTCTTTGCTTCCTTATACCAAGGCGGTGGCGCCGCCTGCGTTGTTGTCCCAGATATCGCGTGGATGCGCTGGAAGAAGCTAGTATGGAATGCGTCTTTCAACAGCGTCTGTGCGATAACAGGCCTGGATTCGGCGTCGGTCATAGACGCCGGTGGTGTAGAGACAATGATCCGTCCAGTGATGGATGAGGTGGTCAGGATTGCTCATGCGAGCGGATACACCCTCCCGGACAACATCCAGGAAACGTCGATTGCTTCGATGCCCCGGGAAATCGCCTTTCGTCCAAGCATGCTGGTTGACGCGGACCGTGGAAGACCTATGGAGATCGAGGCTATTGTTGGCAACCCCCTGCGCTTGGCGGAGGACTTGGGCTGCGAAACTCCTTTCTTGCGCGCGATATACGGCTGCTTGAAACTTATCCAGTGTAAGGTGACGGGAATTCGCGGGTCTTAGCAAGGGTGGGCGTTGTCGGGGCGTCTAGAATGTGTGTGAATGAAACCTATGCATGGTTAATCAAGTAAAAGCAAACAAAAAAGAAAAGACGGTATTCCGGCTAGATGACTATATGCTTATTTAATGCTGGCAGAGTAAAGATCCCAGAGACCTGAGAACCCTAACCAATCCAAGAACACCTCATTCAAGCCTTGCCGTAGAAGCTCATCGCCCATATAGTATTTCCTACTCTCCGTCCAGGGACGAAATCCAAAATTGCTCTGCAGTGGCTGGCCCAAACGGATCCTCTCAATCGTTGTTTGGAGATCGAACCAGTAGGCACTCTCCGGCATCCAGGCTCGCCTCTGGTCGGCAGAAGATGCAAGGCTTTCAAACTCAGGAAGAGATTGAACGGCTTTCCATATTGCCGACACGTTGTAGTATACTGCTTTGCCATACTTCTTCAGGATTCGATCATGATACTCTACGGGGACCATTTGGCGTGAGGTCTGTTGCATGTAATCGATTTGCCGTACTATGATAGACTGCAGCTCTTCAGGTTGGAAACAAGAGCCGTGCTGGCTCTCAAGCTTGCTGAGAGAGTGCGTGATTTCGTCTCTCAGCTTTCGCAGCCGGTATTGTGCCCATCCAGGGTATAGAGAACCAAGGTCCGCATACGGCCGCACATTGGACAGGTAGCTGGAGTCGTACACGTTGGGAACCTTTGACCGGTACGAAGTAATGGTCGATATGCGTTCTTTGACCCCTTTGGCTCGAGCAGCCAGGTGCTCGACTTCGCCTCCTTGGAGCATCACCGCATACCCCATTTTGGGACCCTCCACCTGCAGTTAACCAGGTCAGTCCGTCTTGTTTTACGCTAGGCTTCATAGATGCGCTTGCCTTTTGAGCTTCGCCATTCCCTTTTTTGATATAAGTTTCCCCTCCAACCATACCGTGCGTCTCGCTTAGCATTAGAACACAGACATAGGGATAAGAGTCGTAGCTTTCGTGAAATCAGCCATGACAGTCCTCGAAGGCACCAATGAACCGCATAGATAGATAGATACATACTGCCAGGGAATGATGGAGCTTTCATCTTTCAGAGGGTCATAAGCTCGATCTTCGGGGGTTAAATCAAGTTGTTCCACCGACGGCTCAACCTTCAGATTGCTCGTCATTTCTGATATCGTGGCTCCCTCAACCTGAATGTTGGTATGCGCAATCTCGGTGGGCATGACAATCTCCAAAGGCACACCGCATGCGTCAGAAACAATTCTCATTGTTTCAGGGTGTGTCCAGAAGTCTTTGATAAACTGGGAGTGCTTGACTGCATTACGAAGCACTAAAGTCCCGGGAAACGGTGAGCTTGCGCATTGATCTATAATTTCCTGCTGGAACAGCGCCTTTCGATAGGCTCTTACGCCCTTTGGTGATAGCAAAGAGAACGGTGTGGTTCCTGCAATGGGAGATGCGGTTGGACTAGGCTGCAATAGCAAATCTTGCATGCTGATCTTCTTCTGCGGTGGAAGATAGCAGAGATGCACCTGTCCTAATAAGCTATTAAGAGCTCGGGGATATGCAGAGAATAGGATGCACATACTCTGGGATCAAACTTCTCTTCCTTGTCGGTGTCCTGAGCAGAATGCCCAATCCACCTTGTAAGCGATCGCAAGGAATCCATATTCTGGTTGGGGCCTGAGACACAACAACAGCTTCGGGAGCGCGGCTTTGGTTTGCGGTAGATGAGGTTTTTTTATACCATTTGTGTGGCCTGGAGACTTCGCTAGACTATTGCCCCTTTGGGAAAATTCATCCCCACGCGACCCCCGACGCTAGGACGGTCTCCACCCAATCCTCCAATCCTTCAAGGCTTGACTCCTGACCACCAAAGTCTCTTGCTGTCTGTTATTGAAGCGGACCCTCCGACATTGATATGGAGTCTAGAGATGGGCTTTATCGTATCAGCGGAAAATGAATCGTCCAAAAGCAGGCTCTCCTATGTCGTCGTTAATTGTGGGGGTATAGCCGGGAAGATTATTAGCTATCTCCAGCTATCTCCCACGCATCCGATAAGAGAGACGGCCTAGCACAGGTCGTGATGATTGGCCAGTCGAGGTTTATAGCATGAGTCCAGAGATAAAGACCCGCCTGCTCGGTAGCGACTATGTTGATATAAATTCTCACCGTTTCAACCATGATTGAGTGGCTGCTACTTGGATGCACTCTGCTTTGGCTCATCTTTGGTATCTGCCGTAAAATACCCATCGCACTGCTCATCAGCTATGGACAATCACCCACCCCCTGCAGAAAGCCCCCCACATTCACCACCTCCCATCGAAAAGAAATTAAGTTTGAACGAGGAAGCGGGGGATATCGCACTGGGTCGACTTAGCGAGGAGTACATCACTACAAAATGGGAAATATGGGCATATTACAGGTGCGCTTCGTACACAACCGGGGAGGGAAGGCTCTCTCGCTTACTCGCACGACAGCTATTACATTGGAAACAATGGATTGTCTCTATTCAGTAAGTCAAAAAGCAAAAAAAGGAAAGTGTCGCTTCTTTCGGCCCTTTGCCTAACTGGGCCTGAATATAGACTTTGCTCCGACAGCCTTCCAGAATCTCCTCGACCAAGCAGCCGCCGGCGCTGGCGGCCTTGTCTTCGCAGGCAGGTTCCGTTCTGTGGAAAGCATAGTCCTCCTGTGCAACGGAATCTCCTTTGCCATCCAAATCGTGGTGTTCCTGGTGATGGGGAGCTTTGCTGATATTGGGACCTGGCGCCCAAACATTCTAATTGTCCTCTCCATTATTGCATACGCCGTGGGCTTTTCCTGGCTGGGCGTCCACACAGAGGACAAGTGGCAGATAGCTGCCGGGCTGTATATTATTGGCCTTGTGGCCTACCAGACAACACTTACCTTCTGGAGTGCTGCATTCCCATCTCTCGCGCGCAATACTCGTGACATAAGGGAGAAGGCTGATGATTATATGCGTGGAACTCTTTCACGTGACGATTATAACTTTGCTGATACGATGAAGCGAAGCCAGCTTGCTAACACTGCCTTTTATATCCAGTCACTTGCAGAGATCATAATTCTTGCTGTTATAGTTGGCATTATGTTTGCAGTTGGTATTAACGCCAGCGCAGCAAAAAACAACTGGGGCTTGAGCATTCTTATAGCCTTTGCAAGTGGTGTTTGGCTGCTTGTCTCATTACCATGGTTTTTCCTTGAGAAACGACGGCCGGGCGCAGACCCTGGCAATAGGAGCATCATCATGGTGGGCCTATCGCAGCTCTACTTTGCCATGCGCCAGGTGTGGAGATTGAAGCAGAGCTTACTATATCTTGCCGGTACCGCAACTCCTACTTATCCTCGAGACATCGTGCCACTACTAATGAATGAAATGAGTCAAGGTTACTTTCTACTCGGCGATTCATTGAACACCACTGTCACGTTAATATCCACATTGCAGAATAGCCTGGTGGCATACAATACACTACAGCTGACATATCTGTTGCTTGTGGGTATTACGACGCAGGTTCGTTACAGATAGACGAATATGGAAGTGTTACGCGTTACCCCTACTGACCCCGTGCTGCCAGGCTGTCGGTATCTATATTTTCTGGGCCGTCCAGCAACGATATAAGCTTGGCACGAAAACGATGTTCAACGTGGTAGGCTTCAGTATCCTGATGCTCGACGGTTGGGGCATGATAGGAATCTGGACCAACAAGTTTGGCTTCCACAATCTGTGGGAAGTATGGGTAAGTACTTAAAGGGCGTCCACGCTGTCTGCCCGTGCCTTCCTGCCAAGAATATCAACCTCACTCTGACTCCTTTGAACCAGGTCTACCAAGCTGTCTACGGCTTCTTTATATGCCCGTGGTATAGCTATTCGCAAATCATGATCTCAGAGGTGACACCGCTCGGATATGAATTTCTTTTCTTCAGTCTTTTCAGTATCATTGGAAAGACATCCTCCTTCATTGGGCCTCTTGTATCTAGTGCCATTGTCGATGCGACGCCTTCTGGAAATGCTTCCATGCCCTTTTATTTTCTATTTGGATTGAGCCTGTTGAGCTTTGGGATAATGTTCTTCTGGCTTGATCTGAAGAAGAGTGGTTTGGAGCAAAGGCGGTTTTTGGAGGAATCGCAGCAGGAGCACCAAACGGCCTAGAGCAGAGCAACAACAACCACAACAACAAACCCTTAGCAGGCCGCAGTCGAACTGAATCAGAAAGCATTAATGAGCAATCCGCATCTTCAGACCTCTATACTAACAAGCCTATGAACACGGCTGGGCACTACTCTTGTACAGGTAAGTATTTGATAGATTTAAATGCAAGGCCCAAACACTCGCGCTTCGTGGCGATCTGAAGAAGTGAATGGCAGTCTAAAATAACAATAGTAGCGATGAGTAGGCGTTGCGGAAATGGCAAGTCAGAGTTTCATGCGGCCTGTAGAAGTTATGTAACTCCACAAATTTTGTTTGATGGTGCTGTAATTCCAGCCATTGCACACGGTTGAGCACACTAAACTCATGCACGCCCTCTTTAGAGAGTTCGTCGGCTACGAGAATTGTATCGGCTTGTGCCTCTTCTCCACAAGATAGGTCATTCTTATCCTTCAGTTCTGGAAGTTGGCGCTTATTACAAATTTCCCACGTTAAGGGCGTGTAATGTACGATAAATATCATGTGGTAGGTGTCAACTGCACGGAATAGGGCCAGCCCATCACCCGTGATGGCGAAAGAGAGCTACCAGGACACTATTGATGACGTTAATGATATATAACTGTCGCCCCTCTAGCGTTGATCCAGCCTATATTTCGCATTAGCGCAATGTATCTTGGATGCGAAGCTTGTAGAGATAAGAAGCAATACCAATCTAAGGCCCTGTAAATCGGTGGAAGTAGCGGTTTCGGCGGCGGTTGTTGGGTCTTTCGCTCAACATTAGGAGCATTTTGTGAACAATTATTTTGGAGTTTGGCATTTTTAGGCCACATCTTGAAGAACCATGTGATATTGTGCGCTGTGCCTTCCAAAGAGATTGGCTAATTGGCGTGCACCAAAGCTGCGCAAGGGAGGGGTTGACCTTGCGAAGACACGCTCTAGCTATTAGTAATTTGATCTGGTTTGTTATAAGTAACCTATAGTTCTTACGCGTTTTCCTCCGCGTCTCATGCTTCAATGCAGTTTGGCGGAATTTGATAGTGTTCTTGGTCACGCGTGGAGTGTGTTGCATGGTGGAGCAAATCACCTGATTTGGGCGAAATGTGGTGGCAAAATCCCGATACTGGCTTCTCGTACCGCTGTAACAAGCGCCGCGATAACTACGAGATTGCACTCGGAATCCTAATGGAGATGAGTACAATATCTTATCTGATTTGGAGTTTCGGTACATCCGCTAACAGCAGTACCTACGGAGTAAACGATAACTGATACCCAAGTGAGCGGGGTTGTCGGTAGGGCCGACAGGGCCGACAGTTCCACTATCAAATCCGCTGCGAGCGACATCGATGTATGCCGAAAACCAGAAGGGAGCCGCGGAGAGCGCAGTTTCAGTATCTGCCGCTACATAGACTTAAGCAGCGTCGATCCAGCCGAGTGACCTACCAAGCCTTCCTTTGTGGGCTTCTCCTTGTCAACCTCATTCCGATCCTCACAAGCCGAAGCCGAAGCCATGTCTGTCAAAGCGATACCCTTTGATAAGCTGGAATATCAATGGAACCGGCTCCAGAGTTATGAGCAGGTCAGACCAATTGCTACTGCCCTGGTGGTAGTGATACTAAGTTATTTCCTGTACAATGTACGTATTCCACTCTTGACCCAAAGAGCTACTGTTGAACCTGAATAGGTCCTCTTCGCAACCGACATCCCACACATCAAAGGCCTCCCCGAAATCCCCGGCTCAGTCCCCGTATTCGGCCACCTGCTAAAACTCGGCGAGGACCACGCAACCAGCTGTGAGAAATGGTGGCGCCAGTACAAGCACTCGGTCTTCCAGATCAAGCTCGGAAACACGCGAGCCGTCGTTGTCAACTCCTTCGACGACTGCAAGAAAATGCTCCTCGGAAACCAGAACGCCGTCATCGACCGACCCAAGCTCTACACGTTCCACGGCGTTATTAGCAGCACGCAGGGGTTCACAATCGGCTCCTCGCCCTGGGACGAGTCGTGTAAGAAGAAGCGCAAGGCCGCAGGGACGGCGCTGGGGCGGCCTGCTCTGCAAACTATTATCCGATGTTTGATCTTGAGAGTTACTCGATAGTGCGGGGTGTGAGTGAGGATAGTAAAAACGGTCAAGGGGAGATTGATATAAGGCCGTATATCCAGCGATATGCGCTGAACACGACTCTAACGCTGTGCTATGGGATTCGCATGGATGCAGTCTACGACGAACTCCTCCGTGAGATTCTCCATGTTGGATCTGCGATATCCCTCCTCCGCAGCGCGTCTGAGAACCTTCAAGACTACGTGCCCATCATGCGGTACTTCCCTAGTAACAAAAAGAATGCTCGTTCCAAGGAGCTGCGCGACCGCCGAGACGCCTACCTTGATCTACTTCTGAACAAAGTGCGCGAGATGATCAAGGAGGGCACGGACAAGCCATGCATCTCAAGTGCAATCCTCAAGGACGAGGAGAGCAAGCTTAGCGGCGTGGAGGTTTCGTCCATCTGTCTCTCGCTAGTGTCTGGCGGATTTGAAACGATCCCGGGAACTCTGACCTCGTGTATCGGATCGCTTTGCACGGAGGAGGGCCAGATTTGGCAGGAGCGTGCGTATGAGGATATCAAGCGTTATTACCCGGATATCCGCGATGCGTGGACGACTTGTATCAAGGAAGAGAAGATCCCTTACATCAATGCGATTGTCAAAGAGGCTGGAAGATACTACACCGTCAGTTCGATGAGTCTTCCCAGGAAGACCGTCACCGAGGTTAACTGGAATGGCGCCATCATTCCACCAAAGACGATGATTCTGATCAATGCTCAAGCTGGAAACCACGGTACTTACTCCCGCTCTCCCACCGTCCCATGGAACTGCTATCACAACAGAAACTGACGAAAACACATAGACACCGACCACTTCGGGCCCGACGGCGGCAAATTCAACCCGGAGAGGTGGTTGAAGTCCTTAACCCCGCCAACTGAGTCCGAGACCGAGGGCCTCCCACATCTGAGTTTTGGTACCGGAGCCCGCTCTTGCTCAGGGCAATTTATCGCTTCGCGTCTCTTGTATGCGGCTCTTGTAAGGATTCTGTCCTCGTACAAGATCGTCGCGAGTAAGGAGATGCCGCCTAACACGGATTACGTGGAGTACAACCAATTCAAGACGGCTCTTGTCGCGATTCCCCGGGAGTTCAAGGTGAAACTTATCCCTCGGGATCCGGCTGCGATGGCGGAATGCATGAATCTGGCTGAGGAGCGGACACGCAATTCTTATAAAGTTTAGGATGGCTTCACCGAGTTAGAAGTATCTGTGGTCTGGGAAACTGGAAATCGGAAATGGAAAATGTGCAGGTGCACGTAGAGACTTAGGCATCAGCGGTCACTGCAGGCGAAGCCTCGTGTGTCTAGGAAGGAGACATGGTGACATGGGTGTGATTTCGTAGAAGGTAGCTAGCGGAGACGAAGCTATCTAGGAGCGGGCACGGGTTTGATGCCGACATCGGACATCCCGACAAGTCCTTACTCCAATGATAAGTATCGGGAGGTCCGACTGGCTCAAGTCCATAATAGGAGGACAGGCTACCGGAAGAGCACTACAGCTAGGACTCCATTTCACTGACGTCTACTGCAATGATGTCATCTTTACATTCCCAGAACCTGTTTTCGGTCAAGGGCTTCGTGGCAGTCGTAACGGGGGGCAGTAGCGGTCTAGGGTTCATGATAGCCAAGGTGGGTGAATCTTGGGTTGGATGACGCCCCAAATGGTTCCCGCTGTTGATGTAGCTATCGCAGGGACTGGTGCTCAACGGTGCAAAGGTGTATATCGTCGATCTACCATCGGCAGCCATTGAAGAGAGGGTCGCTGCATTGAACGAACTTGGGCAGGAAAGCGGAGGATCAACCCAAGGGCAAGTTGCTCCAGACCACTAGGCTTGGAACTACCTAGGTATAAAGCTAACAACCGCAACAGGCTCCCTTGCGACGTATCCAACAAGTCTGAGATCGCCAGCCTCGCCGCATCCATCAACTCCCAAGAAACCCACATCGACATCCTGGTCTCCAACGCCGGAATCAGACGCGACGCCCCAATCCCGTGCGATGTCCTGACGGCGCCTCTGTCCGAGCTGCAGGCATCAATGTGGTCCTCGCAAGACTCACACTGGGCAAGTACATTCGCTATCAACACGACGGCACACTACTTCCTCTCCGTCGCGTTTCTGCCCTTGCTAGAAGCCGCTTCGCGACTTGACCTGGGCAATGGCCGACAAGGCCGAAGTGAAGGTCGTGGCGTGGTGATCATGACCAGCTCGTGTCCGAGCATGCATAACGTTACAAATGTTGATCTGACGAGCTATGCGACGAGCAAGGCGGCAACAGACCATTTGGTGAAGTTGTTGGCGGCGAAGTTTAGTCGGTTCTATGTTAGGGTTGTGGGAATTAACCCGGGATGTAAGTTGGCCGGTTCTCTCAAAGATGGACGTGGGACTCACTTACTATGGTTCGATCGTGCAGTTGTTCCCAGTAACATGAATCCTGTTGGCCAGGAAGGCAATATGTTCAGTTCCCTGTTTGATCGGGTTCCGGCGAAGAGGGCGGGTAGGGAGGAGGATATCGCGGGGACGGTATTATACCTTTCCAGTCGTGCGGGGGTGAGTTGGGCGAATCTATTATTTTCTGTCTCGGGTCTGATCTAACTTGTATACAGGCGTATGTTGATGGCATCAATCTTTGTGTGGACGGTGGCCGAATCTTGTTGGCCAATGGCCAAGAGTGATATAGAGAGGAAACAATAGTGTCGTAGTCATCTACTGCCTACATATTGGAAACCAAAGGAGACGATATCAGGAGCAGACCAGGATAACCACTGGAATTGTCGGACAGGCCGACACTCCTTCCTGGAGCGGGCCCCACTTAAAAAGAGTATAACTAGAAATCTCCCACTGCATAGTAATCTTTCATCCATGGGTATAGCCAAGAACAGACGCAATGTCAATCGTTTCACTTTCCAACGGCTCAGGGTGCGTCCCATCCTACACTTCCACTCCAACACCTGAGCTTACACATGTCCAAGGTCCAAGATAAATCGAACGGACCTAGATGCATTAGCAGCCAACCTCAATTTCACACTGCCGGATGGTCAAGATGCCGACGACTACCTCACGATTTTGAGATCCTTTGAGGCAATCATGTGCAATATCGAGAGGGCACCAGACTACACCCCTCCCCTACTCCAACCAACTCCCTCAACAACAACAACACCCCGCACATACCGGAAGCCAAAGCCGGATAGTAACCCATTCAATGCCTGGAGCCGCCGATGTGAAATCGCCTCCTCATCCCCGGAAAACAACCTCCTCCACGACCGCACAGTAGCCATCAAAGATAACATCTCCATCGCGGGACTGCCAACGACAGTTGGCATACCGAAATCATTATTCCCCGCCGATGGCGATGAGGGTGAGTTGTGGATCTCCTCTGTCGACGCGACAGTGATCTCGCGTATTCTCAACGCCGGCGGCATAATCAAAGGAACCTCAACCTGCGAGAGTTTCTGCGCGTCCCCCTTATCATTCACCTCGGCGACGGGGCCGGTGCATAACCCTCGGCTGCACGGGTATACGGCAGGCGGAAGTAGTAGTGGCTCTGCTGTCCTTGTCGCGGCGCACCTCCTGGCCTCAACAACAACCCCAACAGCAGCAACGGAAGGAATGAACCGGGGCGACACGGTCGAGCTTGCGATTGGCAGTGACCAAGCCGGCTCGGTCCGTATCCCAGCCTCGTATAATGGCATCTATGGGCTCAAGCCGACGTTCGGTCTAGTTCCTTATGCCGGTGCAGCGTCTATGTCGCCTATGATTGACCATATTGGCCCTCTTGCAACTAACCTTGAAGATATTGCTGCGTTGTTGGAGGCTATGGCCGGCTATGATGGCCTGGATCCACGGATGTCGCCTGAGAGCCCCGTAAGAAGCCAAGTGAAGCCCTATCTGCATACTCTGCGAGAGAACCGAGAGGCGATTCTGGAAGCAACAAGGCCAGGAGACAACTTCCGGGTTGGTTTGTTAACGGAGTCATTTTCTGTTCCTGGTATTTCCAACGACGTGAAGGAGACGGTATACGAAGCAGCAAAAACCTTCTTCGAGGCAACCGGAGCTGCAGTCACGGAGATATCTGTCCCAATGCACCTGGAAGGTCCAATAATCTGGACAGCAGCAACCCGCCCATCCATGTCCTCGCATCTCGTTCAAGGGAACCCCTCCGGTCACCTCTCATACCTACCGCCGCGTGCACGGATTCAATGGCCGTTGTCCCAGACTGCATTCGAAACGCTTACAGCCAACAACCCAGCCGTGGTAAACATCATGTTCAGCGAGCTACTTGCTAAGAGATTCGGTTACTGCACGCCAGGACTGGAAGCCAAGGCTCATCGAAAGGCTTTTGAGCTGCGAGCCGCGTACGACAAGGCGCTAGAAGAGGTGGATATTCTTGTTACGCCATGCGCACCTACTGTGGCGATGCCGCATCCTCCTAGCGCGGACCTGAAGGAAGGCGAAGGGCCCTCGATTCTAGATAGGCTTAGAGTCGCTGTTGGGCTCACGAGCAATGCCTGTCCTTTCAATATCACGGGGCACCCGGGTTTGAGTGTCCCGTGTGGCTATTCGGAACCGCGTCGGCCAGACGTTTCTTTGCCGATAGGACTGCAGATCGTTGGGCGTAGGTGGGAGGATGAACAGGTTATGATGGCCGCGGCGTTGTTTGAACGGGGTCGGGAGCTGGTTGAGGGTGGTGAGACACAGCTGGCATAGACAGTCTCTCGGGCGCGAGTATAGCGGACTTTTCACAAGTTGATCCTATCCGTCATATTTACTATCGCAGCAGACTAAATAGAAAGAAATGTCGCAATCTCGCAATCCATCCAGTCCTTATCCACTCGGTTGACCCCAATCCCAGCAAGATGTCCCCAGTCAGAGTCTATTACTCTAAACGTCACATTTGGTACACAACGAGCCTCCTTCTCAGCCGCCTCCCAGCGGAAATACTGGTCGGATCGAGACGGCATGAGCAAAACCCTAGCCTTGATCTTTGAAAGCGCGTCGCTTAATGTTGCACTAGTAGTACCTGTCTCCATCTCCAAAACCGAAGTCACATCACCCCTCTGCCACATACTTAGTTTAGCCAACAGGTCATCGGGATCCCAACTGTAGTAGCTCGTGCCAGCGAAGACTTCGTCCCAGGCACACAACGTCTCGTACCCGAGCGATTTGTACATCTCCTCCTCAAACCAGGCGGGACTTGTAAGCCAGGCAGAGTAGGCTTTTCCGAAGGCTCGGAGGCCGCCGTGCACACTGCTCGAATGGGGTGAATCTGCGGACGAAGCTCTGACGTGCTGTCGAGCTTGGTAGTCCTCGGCGTATTGAAGTGCCGCCTTGGGTCCCTCGAGGAACTGGTAATTATGTCGACTGGTCCGCGCCGAGGAGCAGATAATAACCGCGTTACGGATCATGGTCGGGTGCATCAACGTCCAGTAGTAAGCGCACTGTCCGCCCATAGAGAATCCGACGACAACGTCAATATCGTGGATTCCCAGATGCTGGGTTAACAGGGCGTGCTGGGCGCGGAGGCAGTCGCGATAGTCGAACGAGCGCGGGGGGGTCGACATGTTCGAGGGGCTTGAGGATTCGCCATTTCCGAACAGCGCTACCACGACGATCCGGTAGTCTTGCAGGGCGCCATGGGCGAATGTTAGGGTTGAGTCAAGGCGACCCCTGAAGCAGGTTATCGCCAGCGCTGTTTTGAGGGCTGTGGGGTTAAGGTCGAGGTAGGCGAGTTTGACTGCGGAGGGCGGGGAACCATCCTGGAACTTGGAAGTCATCGATGTGATAATATTGCATTGCTGCTGTTATTGGTGCTCCTTCCTGCCAGATTCTCGGGGATAACCTTATCAGTTATTGGCCGTCGTTGAGCCAGGCATGTGCGCGCGCCTGTCGGAAAGGCCGACTCTATCCGGGGGTTAGAGACGCCTTATCACTGGCTGCTTGTATCAGGATCGGGTTGGCCGCACGCATGCTTATCGCTCGTCGAGGGGGAGTAATAAGCCCGGCCCGCTCCAAATATAAGCTTGAATCAGTATTATTGTCTTTCATCTACTAGTCATCTTAATCCAAGGGGCCCACGCGACAAAGCCGTAGTTAGCACTAAGAGTATAAATACAGGCCGAGTATGTCCCCGGCAGCGCAAGGCATTGTCTCCCCATCTTTCTCCTTATATCAGAAAGTCTTCTGGGGTGAGAAGATGGCCCAGCTAGCACCACCAGTCGAAGACGAGACCAAAACACCCCATGTCCGTCCTGCACAGGAGGGCGACTCAATCGCCCTAGGCGATGCCACCCAGCAGCAATCCACCCAACGAGCCCTCACATCCCGGCACGCAATCTTCATAGCCTGGGGCGGAACCGTCGGAACAGGACTCTTCATCACTACAGGCAAAACGCTCGCCACCGGCGGGCCGGCCTTTCTTGTCAGCAGCTATGTCCTCTTAAGCATCTTCGTCTACTCTATCCTCACCGGTATCACCGAGTACGCCACCTACCTCCCGGTCCGAGGCGGTTCGATGAGCCACTACGGCACACGCTTCGTGTCCCGGAGCCTCGGATTCGCGATGAGTCTGCTATACATCTACTCTTTCTCGCTACTAGTGCCGTTCGAGCTTGTAGCGACGGCGCAGATTATCGACTACTGGAATCCTGGGGTAAACAATGCAGTATGGATCAGTATCCTTCTGGTGCTACTAGTTACTCTGAACGTGCTCCCAGTGCGTTTCTATGGCGAAGCCGAGTTTGTCTTCGCGGGCGTAAAACTTCTTACTATCGTCGGCTTGTTGCTCCTATCATTCGTCCTATTCTGGGGCGGCGGGCCGAGCCATGAAAGACTAGGATTCCACTACTGGAAAGACCCCGGCGCAACAAAGACCCTCATCCTCGATGGAGACAAGGGGCAGCTTATTGCCGTAATCGCGACCATGATAAGCAGCGCGCTCCCCTTCACCTTCACACCGGAAATGGTCGTCGGAACAGCCGGGGAGATCAAGTCCCCAAGAAAGAATATCCCAAAGGTCAAGCGACATTTCCTGTACCGACTAATCGTCTTCTTCGTCGGAAGCACTCTGGGTATCTCTGTGATATGCCCCTCAAGTCTGTCCTCTCTTACATCTGGCGGCTCAGACGCCTCCTCTTCCCCCTGGGTCGCCGGTATTCAAATCGCCGGTATCCACGGCCTCGACAGCGTCATCAACGCCGTAGCCCTCGTCTCCGCATTCTCAGCGGGGAATGCATTCCTCTACCTCGCTAGCCGTGGCCTCTACACGATGGCGCTAGAAGGCAGCGCCCCAGCCATATTCAAGCGGTGCACCTCCAAGGGCGTCCCGATATACGCGGTGGCAACGACAGCCTCGACATCCCTGCTCGCTTATATGAGCACGAGCGCCTCCTCAAGCAACGTCCTCAACTGGCTGCTGGACCTGGTGAACACAGGCGCATTCCTATCCTGGGTCTGCTGCTCGGTTATCTATCTGCGATTCCGGCGCGCTTGCGACGTGCAAGGTGTGCCCAGTGTAGAGCTCACGCAGAGATCGTGGATGCAGCCGTATGCCTCGTGGCTTACGATTTTCGTCTTTGGTTTTCTGACTTTGCTGAATGGGTTTACGGTCTTCTTTCCCGGCCAATGGTCGCTCGAGAGGTTTCTGCCGTCGTATATTGGCCTGCCAGTTTTTGTGGGAGTATATCTTGGGCATCGGGTTGTGCACTGGAGGGAGCCTTGGGCAGTGCAGTCGGAGCTTGTGGATTTCCGGGTCCAGCTGGAGGAAGAGGGTGAGGAGGGTGAGGAGGGTGAGGAGGGTGGATGTCGAGACCGAGAGGATGTTGAAGGTGCGCGGTCTTGGCTGCACCGCGTGCGAAATGTATTGAGCAAGACTTAGTACCCGACATATCAACCACCATTGAAGTCATCGCACTACGTACACTACCCTGGGTATAGCATTTCCATATCACCACTCCCCACTCCCTCCCTCCACCCCATCCCTTATAGCCCTATACCTCCTACAAACCTCCCCCACCATCCCGCCAATCCTGTCGGCCGCAGAAAACTTCACCCCAAAGGTCCCGAAAAGCTGCAACGCCAATTCCAAGTCCTCAATCGCCCTCGTCTCCTTTTTCCCAAGCATAACCGCCAACCCCTCGGGTTGCGCCGTTATTGCATAAATCAGCGAGATCGTCGCCGTAAACAGCGCTAGGAAATTCAGCCAGTTATACGCGAACCGCTGCTGCTGGTGCATGCTGAATGCCTGTCGAACCGACATGGACGCGGCCATCTGCAGGATCTTGATTCCTTCCAGGTCCAGGGTTGGCGACATGGGAGACGGGCGGTAGATCATGGCCAGGTGCGTGTAGTAGTTGAAGTCGTACCAGATTGTGTTTAGGTGCGGGACGGAGGGATGGATGTCGGGGAGGGGGAAGGGCATGGTCCGGCGCCAGGTGACGAGCTCTTCGTGAAGGGAGTGGATTATTTCGCGGCGCTCGGACTCAGTGGGGAGTGGGGTGGTTTTCCGGGCTCGATAGAGAGTATGCGAGATTTTGCTGGCGATCCGTCGGAGCGAGAGGATGTGGAGGGGCACGGACATTAGAGGGGGGTGGAGAGGGTTTGTGGGAGGGATGCTGGTTGGCTTGATTGTTTCCTCATCAGCCGCGGCAAAGGGCTATTATATTAATGGGTCATCAGCAGTGCCATATGCTATGTGGTCTATTATCAGGATCTATCTCACCGTTACGTCTATATCGTCATCATGGAGAGCAAAGGGGCGTCCTAATGCGACAGACACCACACTACGCGGGACGATGTTAACATATTAGGTGTGATGACGGGACTTAGAGGTCAGGTGAAGAAAAGAGGACGTACCGATCCATCATGTAAATTGAGAAGAAAACCCGCTTGTACGTCTCCTGCACATCCACAGGCAGGTTATCATACGTTGAGCTGGTATGCAGTCCCATACCAAGGGCTAATCGCGCCGCAATTCCCACAAGGAACCACGTATCTGCTAATATCAGAAACTGCAGGGATGATGGAGATCTGCTATACTTACTCGGTCCCAGCTGGTTGAAAAACGAATACGAGACCTGAAGCATAATCACTTCAAGCGCAGACATGTCACCATTACCCAGAGCGAGCTCCGAGTACTGCAGAGCCTTGCTGTAGTAAGTTCTTGACTCTGATTCTTCGGTTAAAGATACGGACGAAAGCGATGTAGACCCAATCGCAAGAACCATCCATACCCTGAAGATCTCGAGCGGTGGCTGCTCTCCTAGCCGCTGCGGATTTCCCCTGGTCCGATTAAGGGTCTGTATGACCTCGGACCTATTAACAAAGGGATATAGAGTATGAGAGTGGGCGAAGTAGAAATCTACCAAACGCTGAACATGGGCCTCGTCACTCGGCCACACCAGATTCTGTCCGCTGCTACCGGGCCCCGTAATATTCTCGAGAAAGAGATCCCCGAATAGCAGCGGGTGAATGGAGATGGACTCGCTTAGGCTCTGGAAGATCGAGTCGTTGAAGATATCCGACGGGGAAGTTAAGTTAAAGAAAGATGCTCCGCCAGTGTTCTCCTGGTTGCTCCTAAATATCAAGTCGGCCTTGTCGGGGGTCAAGCGCCGGAGCACTGTCTGGGTTAGTTTTGCAAAAGAGAGACCCGATGTCCAGCCTAGATGCCGTTCGGCAGTGGCCTCTAAAGAGAGGTTTTTGAGCTCTTCGGAGAAGGTCGGTAATTGGGCGATCGTGGGGCCCGGCAGACATGGCTCAGCGTTGTTCGCGACGACTGTATCTCCTCCAAGAGCGTCTCCTACTTGGAAGTCGTTGAAATCGATTTCTTCTGCGAGGGGCTCTCCTGGAGGAAGCGGTGCCTCAGCTGTCATAGCGGCCTCTTCGAGCTCTCAGATTCGTGCTTTCATACTTTGGATGTATCTATCGAGGTCAGAAAGTGATCCAACCCCTACTTGCTGTTGCAGCATCGAGTACATACGCTACCGGGTAGGAGGCCGTTTGGCCCTCATCGTCTTGGAAGCTGCATCTTACTCCAGCCGAGTGGCACGTGTTGCATTTGGGCAGGGTTCTGTCGCATCTTTTCTTTCTCCTGTGGCACCTTGAACACGACGCTCGTGCGCGAGCGGTATCTAGATCGGATGTCATCGGAGTGCAGCTTGAGGGATGAGGACTAGAAGGACTTGGGTGAAGGAAGGATGGCCTCTTATCAGGTGGAGCAAGATAACTAGGCTGCTCACTAAGTCGGTTTAGTCTGGCGCTAATCAGCGCAGGTTCATTGGCCAGCCCGCCTGCCCACCAAACAAGCACGAGACTTGCTTAATTCACCAAATCAGTTTCTCCCCGCTACACATCAACAACCGCCACAGCCTTGACCTCAACAACCATCCTGGAATCTGGCAACTCCTTCACTCCAATCGTCGCCCTTGCCGGTGCACACTCCCTCGTCGCAAACACCTTATTCCACTCCTCGTTCATGCCCGCGTACTCGCTCTTCATATCCAACACATACACGACCGAATCGATGACATTGTGAATGCCGCCCTTGCCCTTGGTGGCGCCCTTGATGATGTTGTCGATATTCTGGAGGACAGCGGCTGTTTGCTGGCGGATGTCGAGAGTGTAAGTTCCGTCCTCGTTCGTCGTCACGCCCGGCCATGTCCCATCAGGGCGGCAGCAGGCTGTACCGGAGATGTACATTGTTCGGTGTGCGGAGGATGGGGCGAGGCGCGCTTGGGGAAACCGTGTAGGTCCCTCGGGGGCGGAAGGGTTGATCAGGTAAGCTTCGCCGTTGGGGGACATTTTGGGTCTGGAGGTGCTTTGTGGTGTTTGATGAAGAAGTTGGGATACTTTCATCTCACATTAGTTATATTTTATGCGTCACATTGTCGGCCCAGGAGGGGACCTCCGCAATACCGAGACCGATCCACGGTCGGACCGTCCGATAAATAGAGTAGGGCTATCGGCGTTTCCGACAGTTGGCCATTCACAATCTTCCAATGGCTATAGATAACTTGTGTCGCACCATTACGGTGAGTACGGAACCGAAGCCTCTCCTGAGTTGATCCGATTGACTGTTCGGAGAGAATCGGAGTCAAGGTCATGTCTTCGTCAAACTCCTCAGCTTCGAGAGAGGGTATGCGGCCTTGACCGTTTACACAGCCGGAAAGGAAAAGACTCCAGAGGCGAACAATGCTGATCCAATCGACTCAGATGGAATCACGTACCCCGAAGGCGGGTGGGTTGCATGGGGAGTCGTGCTGGAAAGCTCTATTCGGCTCCATGTCCCTCATGAACAACATCGGGACATGGCAAGCCTCCTGGTACGAAATCAGCTTAGCGACCACAGCTCAACCGCAGTAGGCTGGGTCTTTGGCATCTACAACGGCTTGACCTTTCTTCTGGGCGTCCAAACGCGCCCGATATTCGACGCAAGAGGCCCAAGGCTCCTGATAGCATGCAGAGGAGTCCTGACAGTCCTTTACCTGATGCTTCTGGGGGTGTGCACGCAATACTGACACTTCACGCGCGTCTTTGTTCTCCTGGGCGGTCTCAGCCTCTCCCTGGTCTTCGGCCCCGCCATCGCCATCGTCGCCCACTACTTCAATAAGAGACGCGCACTCGCCACGGGGATCGCCTCATTCGGCGGCGCAGTTGGCGGTATCCTCGTCCCTCTGATGTTGCAGAGACTGTTGCAGATGGTTGGTTGGGCCTGGACAACTCGCATTACAGGCCTAGTCTTCATCCTTACATTCTCACTAGGCGTCCTGCTCACCCGGCCGCGGTTCCCCGCGAAACTACTCGCCTTTGCCATAGTAACCCCAGATATAACCATCTTCCGCCACGGGGGCATCGTCCTTACCAGCTTGGGCGTCGTCTTCCTCGAATGGGGCTTGTTCATCCCCGTAGCATATCTAGCCTCGTTTGCGCTCGACGACGGCCTCTCGACGCGCTTCACATACACGCTACTCGCCCTCGTGAACGCGGGGGGCGTCTTCGGCCGCTGGCCCCCGGGGTACTTTGTGGATAGGGTGGGTGGGTTCAACGTGCTCATCCTTACCGTGCTCGGCTGCTTCGTCACGCTGCTGTGTTTCAGGCTCCCGGTTCCGACAGCGACGTCGGGCGAGCTACCGCTTCATTTCTCTTCGCGGTGGTGTTCAGCTTCTTTAACGGGGGGAATCTTAGTCTTGCGCCTGTTTGCGTGGGCCAGCTATGTAAGCTTCATTCTTACGGGAGGTGCTATTCGATGGTCCATATGTTTGTTAGCATGAGTTCTGTTCTTTCTGTCTGTCTGTCAGTCTGTCCTCGGACTTGATGTCAATATTTTCTACACATTATGGAACGACTAACCTTTTCAGTATGTTCTCCGGCACGGCACTGGGTGGGAGGATTCTTGCGGCGTCTGGAAATGACTATCAGGGCTTGATTGTCTTTGCGGCTGTGAGTTATCTGGCGAGCTTCATCATGCTTGTTCTGGCGACGGTGTGCTGCGGACGGGGCAATGTTTGGGCGACTTTTTAGGGTGCTGGCTGTTAGTTTGCGAACTCTATAATCTATACTCTAATCGAAAAGAGAAAAAGCGTAGAAGCCAAATGGATATGCCAAGGTTGATTGGTTATCGAAGTTCATAGGGTCTCAAGAAACCCTGCATACCATGACGATGTACATGGTTAGTTCCACTCGCATGGAACATGGACAAGGCTCGGCACTTGGAAGCGGCAGCCAGAGCCGAGTGTGGGGTCGGGAGGTGGAGGAGCGTCTTTGGGGTTCAGTGGCCTGCGTTCTCCAACTCTCCCTCAACACAAACACCATGGACCAACATTCTCCGAAACGCAAGCGTCTGTCTTATGCCTGCAATTACTGCCGTCAGAAGAAGACCCGATGCGACGAACAACAGCCATCCTGTCGTAATTGCCGCGTAGCAGGTGTCGAATGCATCACAACAGACAAACGGCGCTCGGGTGTCGTCGTCTCTCATCGGAGACGCACCGCTGGAGCAACAGCAACCCCGTCAATGTCTCCTGCAGTGGTTGCAGCAACACCCGAATCCGGTCCATCGCCATTACCTCCGCCAAGCCAGTATCATCCGCCGGTTCCAGCCCAATCATGGGATCGCTCCGGTTGGAGATCGGGCCGACTGCCGATGATGCCTCAACTGGTTGGGGGGAGCATGTTTGAGATTATGACTGAATGGCTCGACCTTGCGTTCTTTCGGTTAAGAGTTCCGGCGCCGTATGCTGCGCCGTCGCCTCCTGGTGCTAGGTTGCTTGTTTCTGACGAACCGCCGCGACTTCCTACCCCGGATCTGATGCGCAGATACAAGCAAGCCTTTTTCGACACGCTGTGGATACTATTTCCGTTCCTCTCCGAGGGCGATCTAGGGGATATTGAGGACATTGATGATGCCACGAAACTGCCCTCCCAACAAGCGCTCTCATACCTTGTGGCTGCAATTGGTTGCATGACGGACCCGCAGTCGCATCTCCTGGGTCCCACGATCAACGCTTATATTCAGCAATGCAATACACTTCTCGGGCACATAATAGCGGAGCGCAGCCTTGCCTCCGTTCAAGCTGTTTTGTTGCTTGCGATTGTGTTACGTAGCTGCGATGAAATATCATGGGCGTGGGATATTCTCTCGCTTGGTGTTTCGATGGCCCAGTCTATCCGCGTCAATCAAGAGGCAAAGACACCTGGCAATGGGTCTGCAACTCCGGCCTGCGCAACCTGGTGGTGCATGTACGTGTTCGAGAAAATTCTGGCCTTCGAGTGCGGACGCGCATCCACGATCTGGGACAGATGCCTTTCACAGCATGCGCTTCCGGGCGAGAACGACATGATGGGGGGAAATGACTTGAGCTATCAGAAAACGTGCATTGGCCTGGCTAATACCCTGCGTGAAATGCAGGACCGTGCAGCTGGAACGTGGCGACGCGAGGAGTGGTTACCGCAGACAGTGGAAGAAGCGGTCGAGGAGAAGTTGCGGGTTGGCGGAGAGTTGGCAACAATGTTGAACGACTGGTGGAAGGACGTTCCCTCTGAATATCGGTAAGTCGAAGGTTCCCGACTGGGTGCTACATCAGGCTGACATGGGCACACCAGACTCACCCCTAAACTCGGATCTGCGTCTTCATCGGATCGTGCAAGAGCCCAGCGGTCGGCATTTCTCTGTTTTTACTACAATTACGCGTAAGTACCCTCCGCATCGATACACGTACCCGGCCTGACGCCTATAGGTGGATTCTACTAAACCGAAGCGGCCTCCTTGTGGAGGAAAAGGAGATGCAAGATGTGCTTGAACGATATGCGAGGGGAAAGCCGTGGCATCATCTTATCGCCAACGGCACGACTACCTGTGTTGAAGCTGCAAGGGAGTCAATAAAGTTGATCGTGGCCTTGGTAGACTCAAGGCAACCGAGCTACCTCACCTCCATGGTAAGCCCCATTGGAGCAGTATACGCCCTCGCTGTCCATATTCTCCGCGAACGCAACTCATTGCTCATTCGATCTGACTTTGAGGTTTGTCCCGTGCTTCTCTAGAGTCAAAGCTTATCGTACTAACCGTCCCTAATTAGCTTATGAAAGTTGGGCTCGCAATAACTCGACACCACTACCAGCGGCTGGATGGATTTCAAAGGGCCGAGGAAACACTCTCGGCAGTTGAAGCATATGCCGAAAAATGTCTTGGGGGTCAGGTGCAAGACGCTTTCTCTGTGGGCCTGGACTTGAGCGTACCCCCAGATGAATACTCTACGAATATCGCGGGCTTCGGATGGGGCCCATCTGGTCTTGACTGGGCAGGATGGGATTGGAACGACCTCAGCCACCTGTTTGAACATGGAGAGTGACATTGATTCAATTATTTCTTCGTTCTACGAACCTCTATTGTCAATACGTTTGGACGTGACCTATGCAAACGGAAGCACGAGATGGCTATTATACTCTCCGCCAACATGGACCCAGTGTCTCCCCTTGTTTTGCACATGCTCATGGGTACCGAAATTCGAGAAACCCTGGTAATGCCCACTGACGCGGAGCTGCAGGCTCTCTCCAGCTTCGTACTGGACACCCATAGCCCAAATGCCAATTTCCAAACGCACTACTGTGCCCGGCGCGATCTTTTCTTGCTTGTCATTCGGGTAAAATGGCCAATTCGGGTGCATTGATTTCGAAGTATCAATTGAGCGTTGAGATGCTCGCAAAATACCCGTTGGTCCCTGGTAGAGGATTACCTCGGTGCGCTTGTCGGCTGGAATCTCATCGATGGTCGAAACTGGAAGACCCTTCCACGGAATATTAAGGTTGAACATGAGCTCACCAGATGCCGAGAGCTTGCTGAGGACTAGGAAGACATCCATGTCATCGTGATCGTCACAGTGCATGTACAGCACTGCCTTTGGGATACCGACAAGCTGCGTCCTGGTGGGAAAGGTGTATGTGAATTTTGCGAAGTCGGTGGGGTCCTCGGCGTTGTATGATACTGCTCCAGGAGATGGCGAGGGATGATCAAGCAGCAGGTTTCCTTCTTTCTCAAGGTACGCATTCCGATACTTGGTTCTAGCCAACGGGAAACCCTCCTCCACGATGCCGTCCCAGGGATCTGCCTCGCCGTACCTCAAAACTGCCATGCGCACTCGAGGCGTTTGTTCCCAGTCATTCTGAATGCCCTTTAGGTACCGGTCAAAGAATGAGAGAAGTTCAACATTCGCCTGGGGATTCCCCCACAGATCAAACCACTCTTGGTACGGATGCCACCGCAACCATTTCTGCGCAGATTGAACCTCGAGCCATCCACGGAGACTCCCCATTCCGTGCATTGTGTTCGTATAGGTGGCAGTAATATACGTAGGAATGTTGATTTTCTTCATATCGGGTCGCTTGTCGTTCCACCAGTCGTTTGCTAGCGGATGCTTCTCGAACATCTTGCGGAAGCTTTCCATGCCGTTGCGGCCGCGCAGCATGTATTTCACAATCAGGTGGTCGAACAGATCGCCGCCGTAGATTCCACCACGGGCAAACTGTTCGCGATAGAGATCCCCGCAGCCCTCCCAGGGTGCGATGGCTTTCAACGAAGGCGGTTGCAGGGCAGCAATGAACCATTGGACGATTGCCAGATGCGAGTTGCCTGCCATGCCCACGCTTCCATTACACCATTCCTGTTGCGCGAGCCACTCGATAACATCATATCCGTCCTGCGCTTCCTGTGTTCCCATAATAGCCATGCACCCCTCGGAGTCAAATGCTCCGCGGGAATCAACGTTGATGATTGCGTATCCATGCGGCACGAACTCGGCTGGATCAGGCGCTTCGAACTTTTCGAGCCCGCTCAGTGTTCCGTCGGGGATGCCGAGATTCCATGGGGTCATCAAACGGAGGGAGTCGATGCCGTTGAATTTCTTGCCGAACGGGCTCCAGCAGAGGATTGCGGGGACGGAGCGAGCCGGCGCGTTGGGCGGTGTATAGATGTCCGCGTAGAGTGTGCATCCGTCACGAACCTTGATGGCCACATCGTGGTCGATTTGGATATCGCAGGGCAGGGCGCGGCGGCCGGGAGCTGTTTGGTGGCCTTTGCGAAGGACTTCGGTGCGCGGGTTTAGGCCTTGGTACCCACCGTGGCCGATTTCGGGTGCTTTCAGGTCCTCGACCGGGACTTCGACGTTGAATGTAACTGGCATCTTGGTTTGTTCTTGCTCCTAAATGCTTACTACGCGAAGGAGTGTGCTTTTATTATTGCTCACGACATAGCTCAGGGTCGGCTCGGCTGGGGCCCGGTTGAGCCCGGTTCGGCAGGCGGCTCCACACCCCACGTGTCCAACCCCACGGGGTGCATTACGAATCGGCTATCTCTATCTGTAGCTATCACAATTGACAGGTTGCTATTAGGATGTCAGGTCAAGGTGGTATAAAGCCGCGCGTTGATGGCTTTGCTGCAGATCAAGCCAAACAAGCTGACACGATGGACAAACCCAACGTTGAACACGCAGAGATACTCAGCAACCCCAAGCTGCTCTCCAAGGATCCCGCTCCCGGCGACGTTGCGCTGCTCAAGGGGTCGGAGACGATCCTCATCCCAACTCCTTCAGCAGACCCAAAAGGTAAAACGTCATCCTCTCGATTGCTTTTCCGCGAATGCTGACTGTACAGATCCCTTGAATCTACCGCCATGGCGCAAGTGGATGCTCCTGATCCTCGTCTCCGCGTACAGCTGTACCGCTGTTGTGCTGTGCTCAGGCATGGGGCCCATCTTCTCGGTCATCCAAGCGCAGTATCCCGGAGAGGAGGAACGAGCCAATGATCTCCTCACGTATCCGACCCTGTTCATGGGCATCGGAAATCTCATCAGCATGCCCTTTGCCCTGACTATCGGGCGCCGACCCGTGTTCCTTGCCTCAATGCTCCTCCTCATCGCTACCGGTATCTGGTGCGCCTGCTCGCAAAGCTTGGCAAGTCACATCGCCGGCCGCAACATCATGTCCCTTGCCGCAGGTCAGAGCGAAGCACTGTCGCCGGCTATCGTCCAGGAAATTCATTTTCTGCATGAGCGTGGCCGCAAGCTCGCATGGTTCATCTTTATCCAAAATGTGACCGCTGGCGTCTTTTTCGTCACCTCGACGTATATGGTCTCCGCATGGGGTTGGCGGTGGTGGTATGGATTCTTTACTATTATGAACGCCGTTGCCTTTGCCTTCTCTGTCGTGTTTGCCTCTGAATCTCTTCACGAGCGATCTGAAGAGGCCATGCGCGGGGAGACTTCTTCAGAAGACTCGGGCTCGAAGGATGTGGCAGTTGAAGAAACCTCTCTGATCCTCTCCGCCTACGGGACTCCCCTGGATATTGAGCAATACGGCCCGCGAACCTGGCGCCACGATCTCAAACTCGTCACGGTGACCCCGAACTGGAGCGACATACCCATCTTCTTCAAACACGTCGCGCAGGGCCTCTGCATCCCGGTTACCCTCTGGCTTCTCCTACTCAACGGCGCCTTTCTCGGAGTCTACGTCTTCCAGTCAGCAACTTTTGCCAACGTCCTCCTCGCTCCGCCCTGGAGCTGGGCGTTTACATCGCTCGGTTATGTCCAGGCAGGTCAGATAGCCTGCTGCATCATCTTCCTCCCGCTCCTTGGCTACGGCAGCGATATAACAATCCGATACTTTACGAAACGGAACAACGGCATTTATAAGCCCGAGTACCGCCTTCCCATGATCGGAATCCCCGCGGCCGTCGGCGTGATCTGCGGGATAATCTACGGCCAGGCTGCATCACACCCAGAGAACTGGAACGTCAGCGCAATCTTCGTCAGCTACAATGCGAGCTTCTTTGCCTTTCTGGGAGCGAACATCGTGGGCATTACTTACGCGGTCGATAGCTTCCCGATGCGGGCTGCGCCGTTCTTGGTGGTTATTTGTGCAGGACGTGGCATCATCTCATTTGGGCTCAGTTACGCGACCTTGCCGGCTGTTCAGGACATTGGATATGATATGACCATGGTGGTTGAGATGGTGATTTGCGGGGTTCTGGCTCTGCTTGCAGTGCCTATGTTCTTCTATGGGCCGGCGGTTCGGAAGTCGTTCAAGGGGTGGGTTGGGGCTGAGTAGATATCGCACTCTTCATGTCGAACGTGTAACCCCCTTGGTGCTGTGTCTTGTTTAATCCAGCCCATACCATGACGATTCGTCTGAGATGCTATAGTCAAGCCCCACTACCGGAGTGAATATCGTATACCGCAGCAATTAGTTCAATCTCCGATGAATGAAATTCCAGTATTATGACAGTCACATGATTTTACACTCTTACCAGGTACCATAGAGCCCGCCACAGTTCATCATCGAGCTGCTAGCTTACAGCACCCCCCGCCAGCGTCTACCTACACCCAGTGCGAATCAAATTCGGCCGCATAGGACACATCAGGACGTTGTTCAATCTTACGGGTTAAATCGGTAGTATGAAACTTGAAATATCGTTATCTCCATATATGCTGAGAATCCACACGAGCTGCCCCAACTGCCGCGTTCACATCCCTGCTACATTCGGGTCCACCTCCAGCGTCCCCGTCCGCGGTGGAATGTGGTCCACCTCTCCGAAGAACGACGCACCCCAGATTCCTGCCTGCCCACCTCACTCCGCATTGCAGCCTTTGCGGCTGGGAAAAGGTTGGGGTAGAATAACCGACCCATTTCCGAGCCGAGCCGGACCGTACCGGGTTCGCCTTTCTATCTTGCCTTGATCGGACCATGAAGACGATGGTTATAAGATGTACGGTCTAAGAAAGAATAAAGGAATAGGCCAATGCTAGATACAGCTATCCTGAACTACCGAGTTATCTCTTCTGAAGCCATGTCCACAACCACAACCACCACCACCATCGAAGCCCCCCGCGGCCGAGTCTTCTCGCACGGCACCAATGTCAAATATGGCGACTTCCGCGACGACCTGCTCAAGAACGGTTTCGCCGTGGTAAAAGGTGCTGTCCCCCGTGATCGAGCCCTTGGATATGCGGATGCGATCCATGAGTGGCTCGAAGGCTTGTACGTCCCGTCCACACCCACCCATATCTAATAATTGACGACTGATTTGGAATGCAGCGGCCTCGGCTACGACCGCAACGACCCCTCGACAATCCACAAAGACCACCTGCCCGACATCAACGAAAAGGGCATGTGTCTCGGCTACGCCATTTCGCACGAGTCATTCACCTGGGCCGTGCGCCAAGAACCGGGAGTCATCGATGCGTTCGAGAAGGTCTACGATACCGAGGATTTGATCGTCTCCTTTGATTCGGTGAACATCGGGTTCCCGAACCGCACGGACGTCAAACCCAATACGCCCTGGCCGCATCAGGATCAGGATCCCGAGAAGCCGGGGTTTAGGTGCCTGCAGGGGCTTGTGAATCTGTTGCCGAACGGGCCGGAGGATGGCGGGTTGATTGTTTGCAAGGGCGCGCATTTGCTTAGCGAGGAGTTTCATGAGGTGTTCAAGGATGAGGAGAGGATTTGGTCATGGTATGTGTCTCCTTTACTCTACCTCCTGGGTGCGTTGGTGCTGATTGTGATTGTTAGGACGAAGGAGTGGTATGGCTTTACGGATGCAGGGCTGGCCTGGTTGAAGGAGAAGGGATGCGAGTGGATAAAGTTGACGGCTGAGCCGGGGGATTTGCTTCTTTGTAAGTCAATAACATCTCAAGGGTTCTAGTATATACTGACGTTATAGGGGACTCGCGTACACCTCACTACAATCTGTCCTCGAAATCATCGCAGCCTCGATTCGCCGTGTACACCTGCTACATGCCCGTCGAGGACGCAACAGAGGAGCAGCTCCTGACTAAGAAGAAGGCTTTCGAAGGTAGGTTATCTTGTGATTCTCCCCAAAGTAGCAAGTTGTGCTAACGATGTAGAAACCAAAATGACCACCCACTGGCCAAACGCGATGCACGTGGTCGATCTCCCCGTGTACAGGAACGGAGAGCCGGACCCGTACAACCGCAAGAGTCCACGCCAGCCAGTGCAGCTCTCGGAGCGGGGGTTCAAGCTGACGGGAATTCCGTACCTCAAGCAAGCTGCGTGATGCTGAATGCTTGTTCACCGGGCCACCGTATCTCGGTGGATCATGTTCTACTAAATTAGTGGAGATTAGTTTTGTCCCAATTCAGACTTATACGAGCCTACACGAGCCCACACGAGCCCTCGATGGACGAATTTGTCAGTCGCTGGGTCTGGCTTAGCTGGTCGCCCCGGCTTTGCCACCAGTAAAAAACGAGTCTCCCCCCGCATTTCCCATCGTCCCTCATCACCACAGCTTGGAAAATGCCCCTCCCATCTCCAATCCCACTTGTCCTGCTCGGCCAGCGAGTCGAAGTCGGCAAGCCCGTCTCTGAGTCTCTGCGACCGGAATATGAGGGTATAACCCAACTGACAAGTATTGTATCGAGGAGAACAGAACTAAATTTGTCTGTTTAGTGATCTACTTCATCCAGACCCCCGACGTCGCCAAATCTGAGCTCCCAAAGCTCCTCGCGGGACAGGAACCCCTCCCCGCAACCAACGACGTCGGCACGAACAACTTCACCCAACCGCCTCGCGTCGTAATGTTCGGTCGCGGATATCCACCCGAATTCGTCCAAGAGCTGAAAAACTCCCTCGCGGGTATCGCACAGGAACCCGTTGCGTGGGTTGTCGGAGACCCCGCCAAGGCGCCCACTGCGCCGCCCGGACCAGGCTATGTAGAGCAGGTAGCGAAGGATGTTAAAGAGGCGGTAGCCAAATGGGCGGAGGAGGGTGGAACGCAGGATGCATTTATTGTATACTAGATACTAAATGGATGCCGGAATTGGCTCTCCGTCGTCGACGTTTTTGGACGTTTTGGTCCAACCGTGGTTGCCATCTCCGCATGACGTCAACGGAATATATCTTCGCTTTTTCTCCCTCCGTGACTGCTACCGCATTATCTAGTTGAACATGTTGAATAAGTATGCTCGGCGGACGAAGCGAGTCGCTCGTGATAGTCATCGCTGTCATGCTGGCGGTGTCGCTGGCGACCGTGTGTCTCCGATGCTTTGTGCGCGTGCGCGTCACGAGGAAATTCGGGTGTGACGATGGGCTTATGGTTCTGGCGATGGTATGTCCATCTGCATATTCGAGATCACGTACTAAGAGCTATAGGTATTTAATCTTGCCTTTGCGATCTGTGGCATTGTGGGCGCGACGTTTGGTATTGGGAGGAGAAGGGCATACTTCGCGACCCGTCCCGACGACTACCAGCGCGCTCTTCTAGTATGTTGCCCATCTATGACAGCAGATGTCTACCCATTCTAACAATGCCCAGTGCTGGTGGCTCGGGCAAATATTCTACATCCTCACAACAACAACAATGAGGCAGTCCATCGTCATCCTGCTCTTCCGCTTCACATTGCAACGAATACACAAGATCGTCCTCTGGATAGTCTCCATCTTGTCGCTTGCCGTGGGAATCATATTCCTCTTCTTCACCATCTTCCAATGTAGTCCGGTCGACTACTACTGGAAGCGGCTGACCGCTCGAGGGAGCTGTATCGATATCGATGTATTGATAGACATCGTCTACTTCTACAGCGCTGTCGCTGCAGCGTGCGATCTGACGATAGGTCTCTTGCCGGCATTCCTGATCCGGCGGTTGAGGGCAAGCCTAGGAACAAAGGCTGCAATAGCCGTTATACTTGGGATTGGATGCGTGTACGTGTCCTCGTCCAGACTCTGCCGGAACGTGTATTGATTTGTTTTAGGGCAAGTGCAGCGGTCATCGTCCGGATCCCATTCCTGGAGTCGCTGAAAAGCGCCGAAATCCTGCGTATGTCCCTTTCGACCTTGAAACCGAAAGCTAGTGCTCTAACCTCGCCTCAGATGCAACAAGCCAAGTCGCCATCTGGTCGAACATCGAAGCCAGCCTCGGTATCACAGCAGGCAGCCTGGCACCACTACGACCGCTCTGCCGCAATTTGTCTACGTCGTGCTCCGTGCTGAAACCGAAACTGGCGCTCGCTAGGATCAAAAGCTTCCAGCTACCGAGGAAACGGCGCAAGGTCGAGGTGCAACCGGTGCCGGCGACGAATGGGGTCGTTTCACAGGTATCCGATGTTGAGCGCGGTTTGAACGTCAACGACGCACAGCCCTGAGTCCTGATAGTTATGACGGTGCAATGTATGATCCGAAGAAGGAGATTTGGTGCGTTAACCCCAAGCCAGCTGAGGGGAATGAGACTGGGCCCATCTGTCGTACAACCTTTCCACCGACCGATAGCGCTGGACGCTGGTGGCGACGGCGGCACCTATCTACGTACGAGGACTTTTGCCACTCAGGAAATTGCAACTTTTGTGCGGCATATCACCCGATCGTGGAATCTAGATGAGAACGGGTCGATGACAGAATTCTATTGCCTCTACGCGAGATGGGATCCAACTACATTGATACACCACGCATACCCCGATATTGCCATGAACAAATTCACCGTTACCTACTCCACGGCCATATGCCATTTATCACAGCGCTTATGCCTAACAACACTTGGCCGGATCCCCCGGATAAACCGGATCACACCGCGCCCTATAATCACAGAACGGGGGATTCGACCCCGAAGCACACGTATCGTCGTCCCAACTACTACTCTCAAACTCAAGACAATGCCCGGTGTGTGTTCCAAAGTCGCAGTCGAATGTGCTCTGCTGCCGCGACTGGTCGAGGCTCACCCAGTCCTTGGACGCTTGTGCACTGTTCTGGTATTGGATTTGGCCGCAGTTGCCGCCGACTATCCATGCGGATCATGTTAGCTGCGGACTGAGTTTCTAAAGGGGATGAAAGGGAAGACAGTGAAAGGGGGTTGTCTACCCTGGAAATCCCAGACCACCCCGTCCGGGTCTTGGACGTTTGACCAGGTCCAGTGCGTGCCTTGTCCAGCGTTGCTTATAGATTTCTGGAGCAACAGGATAAATTTGCCGCTGCCATGTATGTTGGCGGAGTAGAGCAGACACAAAACAGCGAGGTTGCTTGCGGCCGACTCACTCTTTGTAAACATGGATCGTCATGTAGTCCTCAAAAAGGACATTGTTCGTCTGTTCGCTGTGAGGATGTTAGCTACACCATGACAAGGTAACCCAGGCAAGGAACCTACTAGCAATGCGCAGTCACACAGCCCGTATGAGAAGGCCTACACGGCGCCTGCGGCTCCCCAATGGGCTCCGACGGCGGGTCTGCCTTGGGCGGGATAATCAACTTGTAACTCTTGATGGTCCCCGCACCAGAGTATTAGCACCCGCTCAGAAGATCCTTGCTCAGAGCAGCCCCGTACGCACCGCCCGCGCAGTCGGCCTGCGCATCCATGTATAGCCACGTGCCCTCATTGATCAGGTTCGAGCCCGCGTTCAGGTTAAACGTCGTGAACTGGCCCTGCGGCGCATTGTGGCATTTATCCAGTGTCCCGGCTGTTGTGGTCCCCTCGAGCGCGCAGCACCCGCCGTCCGAGTACATGGCCAGCTCCATCGTGCTGGGGTTGCTGTTGGTCGGCTGGATGTATTCGCAGGGTGGCGGCTTGACGTGGATCTGGAAACTCGCGTACGTTTCCGTTCGGCTTCGAGATCGCAGTCGTGTGCGTTTGTCAACGAGATTTGGCGCATTTCGCCTGTGCAGCCTGCGCCCGTGTATGCCTGGATGTAGATCCGGCGACCAAACATGTTTTTCCCGACGGCTTGGGTGATGCTGACGAAGCGTGCATCGGGCGTGTGGCACGAGTCGAGGTTTCCGAGGCTGTACTTTTCAATGGTAAGCACGCAGCAGTTGCCGTCGCGGTACAGCGCGAGAGTAACAGCCGTGTCGCTGGCGGTGTCCGGCGTGATGTGTCTGCAGTCCTGGCTGATCCGGAAGCTGTTCCATGCGGTTCCGTGCTGGGTGCAATGCTTGCTGTTGGACAGCGAGATCTTATCCCCGGCTTCGCCCGTGCATCCAGCGCCCGTATATGGGTGGATGTGGTACAGCCAGCCAAACATGTCTTTCCCCACGGCCCGTGACAGCGAGTGGAACAGTTTGTTCACATCATGGCACGTGCCAATGTTGCCGACCTTGATGGTCTCGATCGAGTCGCAGCAGCCAAACTGCGAGTACAGATCCAGCGTCACGGTGGTTTTGCTCTCATTCTCCGCCTTGACCGAGCACGAGAGCGACTCTTCCAGCATGAAGCTCTGAGACCCGGCGTCCCCGCTTGCGACCCCCTGGGAGCCTTTGCTGTTGCTCAGGCTCAGCCCGGATGCGCTGCCCCCTGTGCAGTCCAGCCCCGTGTAGGCCATGATGTGGACCCCCGCGATCAAACAGGTTCTTGCGCACCGCCTGCTTGAGAGACAAAAATGGGCCATTGGAGTGGTGGCACACGTTGAACTGGCCAATATGGGCCGTCTCGACGTCGTGGCAGCAGCTGTCCTCGTAGTAGAGGCCGAGATTGACCGTCCCGTCTGAATACTTGGTCGGCGCCAGCCCGCAGGGGCCAGTGGGCGATGGATAGGGGGTGACGGTGTGGTCAAGCACATAGCCATTTTCGGCCCTTGAGGACTTTGAAGATGCAGGTGAGTGCGACCGAGGGACAGAACTACTTTCCACTGTCTATAATAACTGGAATCCATCCGACCTGCTCTCTCAGCAATTAAATGATGTCATTACAGACCTTGAAACAAATCTCGCTCATCTTTTGGATGCGATATCAGCGGGGACTACTCTAGCAATCGATATTTCGGCAAGCCTGGCCACAGTGAATGCTGCGGTACGCTCACCTTGTCTTCAGGAGTTGCCAGAAGGTCCTAACGGGATATTTCCAGATTGCGGCGATAGGAGTGCCAGTCGCCCAAGCGACCGGTGCAGCGACCGGAATCTGTAAGCAGGACCCTGTTCCGCGCAAAGACCTGTACAATCTAAGACATGCCCCTCCTAGTCTTGGTAATGGCAAGTCTTGTTGGATTGTTAGTTGGTAGTGGAACAGGAACGACAACTCTCATGCCATAACCATCACAACGACTACAACCTCGACTGCTACGCCGACGACAATCATCATCTTCACCAAAGGCGGCACCAGCGTCTCCGAGTTCATCGAGTTGGTTGCCAATCTCCCAAAAGACCCTGCCAGCATCCAGCTTACCAATTCCTGGCAGCCAAATCTGAGTTTTGTCATGTTGCAAAGGTAGAGCGGGCTAATCCTGATTTCTTTCTCTTCCAGTTCATATACAGTCCCCGTCAAAAGTCTCTGTACGATTTTCGCGCGTCGCGTAGCAACGCGTCTCCACCACCAACTTCAAAAAATTATGCCTCCTCAACGAAGGCCTCTGGCGCCTCTAAATAACAATCGTATACGAAATAATGAGCTAGGAATTCATTGTAGAGGTTAAATCAATAGCCTATGAAAAATTGGGCTGCTAATAGCCATGATTAGTCGCGTCCTTGATATTCCGAAATCCTTGGTGTAATACACAATCAAACTTTCACCTTAACGCTTTAACGGCGCCTTGATATCTCGCTCTGGAAGACCTAAGATAATTAATAAGAGGACTAAAGCTTATATTCTATGGCTTATCCACCAGAATCCCTTTATCCTGTATAGAGAAATTCGCATGTAAATCCTAATCACCCTGTTAAACTCCACGATACTTTGAATGATTAAAGAGTCAGGTTATGGACATTAAAGGGTAAAGTGCAGGCCTAAATTACTTGAGCAACACGTAGATATATGATATAATTAGTGTTTAGCACGTGAGAATTGGCTAAAGGAGTGATGGCGCCTAATCACGTTTAGTAACGAATGTTCCATTGAAATTAGTTAGGGTAAGTAGCGACATTAGTGCTTTAGGCTCAACCTACGTAACAAGAAATAGAAGAAAGACTTTATATTCCCGTATAATAAGAGCAAGGGAATATCTATAATGGTTTAGAGCGCGATCTAGGGTGGTAGGCACGCGGAAATTAACCTTTTAAAGCGCGATCTAGATTCTTAATAAAATAGCTACTCCTAGTTCTTATATCTCGACCTCTTGCAGGATAATCTTCCTAGTTTTTAGGGACTAGATATGGTCTTTATATAGGATAATGCTCCCATATATATAGCTCGAATCATCAAGGATTAGTTAGAGGAGATGGCTATAAAGACGTTAGAGTGGCCACTATATTCACCTGACTTGAATCCCATCGAGCATGCGTGGGCCCGCTTGAAGGAGATGATATATTAGATTAATCCCAATATAGAAACCTTTAAGGGGACTAAAAAGGAACTCTATAAGTGATTTATAGAGCTTATCAAGCAAGCCTAGGAGTTAATCAGTTAGGATTACTTTAACTAGTTGGTTGAATCGATGCCGCGGCGAGTTGCGGCCGTAATTGCTGCGCGTGGTTGGTACACAAAGTATTAGGCATTGAAATTAGTATTTTTAGATGCGCGCGATCCAGATCTATAATATATATTTTTTACAGATTTTTAAAGCTTCAATTCGTTGAGTAATCTGTAGTTGAATCGCGGCGATGAAACTATATATTTTGATGTGGTGGGGCATCGTACGGAGACTTTTGACGTAGAACTGTACGTCGGTGAAATGGATCAATGTACTTCCGAGGCCCTTGACGACAACGCCCTCGTGGATTCGTGGGCGATTGACGCGCTGATCGACGTCGAGGACTTTGGCGCAGAGGACGACTCTACCCTGGCAAAACGAGCCTTCAGCAACGAGACAGCAAACGGACATGATACGAGATCTTCTGATAAACGAGGTAATCCCACGGCACAGAGCGCCTTTTTCGAACAGGCCCGCAGCCCGTCTCATCTTCAATGGATCTCCCAGGTCTCGCGGTATACTGAACCCATAGGCAACTACTACAGCTTCAACGACCTAATCTATAATGACCCAGACTTCACCATAGGTGATGCACCCATTATCATGTGGTGGACACGGGGTTCTAGAATGATCACCCGGTACAATTTCCGTGTCACCCCTGTTGATCATGCATGCATTACTAACAAGGTCAAGGACTTTGCGGATCGTCTCATCGCCCAACTGGCAGTGGACTATACGGGCGAGAACCTCATTCCCCAGACAACCGCCCCAGGCAGCCACGGAACTGCATGGTCTCTGTAGCAGCGGGATCCTACAGCGGCATAGGCAAGAACGCTCGGATCGTTACCGCGCAGTTGCAGGTGTCCATCCGGGGCATCATCCATCAGACGCGAGTCTCTCGGGTCTTCTTCCTACTAATGCAAATCTACTACCACGTGCAGGCGAACAACGGCCGTGGCAAGGCTTCATCTCCATGTCTTTTGGTGTGCTCAAGGCGTCGCTGAGATGGCAGGCCACGAATCCCAATTCGCGAAATGTCTGTGACACCATCTTCGACTGGTACTGGTCGAGTGGGATAGCGACCGTAGCCAGCGCAGGGAACGACGAGTCCTCGGACCACGCCCCAGCCTACAAGGACCTTTCATCCAATCTCCCGCGCGGCGCAGGCGGAGCCAACACCAACCTCATTGTCGTCGGAAACAGCCAGTGGGATACGACGCGGTACCCATCCTCCAACTATCGCGACACGGGCGGTCTAGGGATTCTCTCGCTCTACAACCTCGGAATGGGCGTCGAGTGTGGCGTCCTAGGGAGCGCCTGGGCTGTGGGCCCGCCAGGGTCCTCCCAGGCAACTGCCATCACCGCGGGCATGGTCGCGTATTACCTACACCAGCCGGAGCTGTATGCGGACTGGACTATCGGTGGGGCGTCGAACGTGCCGTGGAAAGTAAAGCAGTACCTGCTTAGCACTGCGAGGCAATACATGGGCTCCGATTTCGGCGGGGACAGTACGCCTCGTGCGGCGTTGGGCGAGACGGTGCCCTGTGCAGGAGAGGATCAAGGGCTTTCAACAACGCAGGTCACAGATTGGAGCGAGGTTGTCATAAGTCCTCTGGTAAGCTGTTTGATTTTCTATTGTGGGATTCAAATATGACGTGGGTCTTTAGCCTGTCTGTTGGGATCTGAATTAGGTACAAGTCACCTGAGGGAGGCCCTGGAATGGGAACAGAGAATCGAAATGCCGGTTTGGAGCACAGGGTGTGTGGGGCTATGTAAGGTAAAATCTGGCCTGCAAGGCATCTGCTTAAGGGCCATCAGGTAGAACTACCAATTATCAGCGCAGGGATGAATCCAGGGAACCTGTGTGGGAAGGGCAGCAGCAGCTCCTGGTGTACACGTGGAGTGCTTGATAGGTAACCTCATTCAATACGGTCAATCTTATGATATAGCCTCGTCACAATGTCCCACAGAATAAGAGTATACTGCCGCAAAATCCACAATATGTTTGAAGAACTGCTGTGGGACCGGGAAGCTGGTTTGGACCATGCATAGTACAATTTCCTCGCGCTGTGGTCACCCGCTCAGATTTGCCTGTGCCAACATCGGTTTGTAATTGAATTTGCCTTGATTTAATAACGAAGCAACGTGGATGACACAACTGGAAAAGGGGCGGGTGAATATGGTGGCCATGATGACCGATCAACGAATTCCCTCATTAGGTCTAGGGCTGCATCACCCATTCATCCAGCCATCATCACTTATAATTACATTGCTCATCCCATCTCAAACAACACAAAGCAGACACACCCGTGCATCACTCCACCCCTCGGTGAAAATGTCAGTGACCGCTCACCAGGCAAAAAGTGACAAGGTGAGTCCCAATCAGCCCCGAGTCGCTCAACAAGCTAATCTAATCCGCCACAGCTCACCCTCTATGCATTCACTGGCTCGCAGTGGGCCTATGTGCCTCTGATGGGTCTTCGTGAAAATGGCTATGGGCCTGACGAGTATGAGATTGTCGAGATTGACCTTGGTGGGTTGTCAGTGCCGCACTATGTCCCAACCCCCTTGGTTAACCATCTGTCCGACCACTAGTGACAGCACAGAACTTCAAACCGGACTACCTACAGATCAACCCAAATGGCACGGTCCCTTCGCTGATTGCACCATCCCTTGCGAAGCCGCTGGTCGACAGCGTCGAGATCCTCGAATACCTCGATCGATCCCGCCCGGACACAACCTCGTTGACACCAGGTGATTCCTCTGGCAGGGAACGTGTACGGGAACTGATCGAGCTTGTTCACTCCGCCCAGGTGGACACTAATATAATTCTACTGCAGGGACGCAGCCAGGACGAGCTAGAAGAAAAGAAGAAGTGCCCGTGGATGACATTCCTCTCCAACCGTCAGGCGGTGCTGGAAAAGTACCGCGCCGAAGATTTTTCTCATCCATTATATGAGCGCAAAGCAGCGGAGAATGGAGCGCTTCTTCGGCTATATACTACTGGCCCGTCCCAAGAGCATAATGAGTTCTTCGAACGCACACAATCCCAGTACCGCGATTTTGCAGCAGGTCTCGATCATCTCGACTCGTTACTCGTACTCCCGTATGCGGCGGGCTCTTCGGTTACTGTAGCTGACTTGCATATTGTGCCCTGGCTGGCGCATGCAATGTGGGGAGCGGGAGGGCACGAGGTTGACGACTTTGAGTCCCTGGAGATGTTGATCCAGCATTCTGTGCCTGGGTTCCGGATTGGCGAGAGGATCAAAGAGTGGTGGGCGAATATGAGCAAGAGGGAGTCTTTCAAGCAGTGCTATCCTGCTCTCCACTGAATCTAGTCCTAATATGTTTATTTAATCCTGTTATAGTAGTGAATTGAAAAATGTCTCCTTTTCAGGCTTGCCGTGGTTTGCTTTGCGGCCGATGGGAGCGTAATAGAGTGACGGTCCTGTGTTGTTCATGTCTACAGTAGACCCCGCCGTCAGATCTACCCATCTCGCTGCGCGAGGTGTATAGGCGTTGTTATGTTATATCCCCTTGCTCGTGCCAGGATGCATCCATAGAGGATCTGATTCCGGCTGCCAGGTGATAAATAGTCCCCAGCATCTGCATTATCTAGAAATGCTACTATACCACCTTTTTTTCTCTCCCTTGAGGACTGCTTTGATCATTGACTTCCTTATATGTCCCTCCAACAGGACCTACACGCCGATGTCATCATTGTCAGGGCTAAGTCCAGTTGCCATCCACTGGCCTCGAGCACATAATCCAACTCTAGAATCTCCAAGGCGGCACATCCGGATTCTTCATCGCGTCCCGACTGGCGACTGAGCTCCGGACAAAACAATCCTGCTGATCGAAGCCGGCAACGGCACACGAGATATCCCACTCCGCTCGCCCGAGCATCGATACACAGTCCCGTTCCTCTTCCCTGACCTCGACCATGGGTACATGACCATACCCCAGGGCTCCCTGAACAATAGGCGCCTCCCGTAATTCAGGGGTAAAGGGCTGGGTGGTTCGTCGCTCGCGAATTTCATGGCTTATCACTCTGTACTGGGCGTCGAGTATGGTCGCTGGGATGAGCTTGTAGGGGATGGAGCGTGATGGTGGGAGAATTTGAAGCACAAGCTGTAAGAGGTGAGGGACTCGTTCAATCTCAACTCTATTTTTACTCAATGCAGTAGGAACTGACCGTACGTGAAGCTCGAAAGTTACGGTGGGGCCGAGAGCGGACATGCAAAGGGCGAGTATATGTGTCTTTCCTAATATTACCCTTTGCAGCCCCAGTGGGTCTCTGGACGTGAATAGGCAACTCCAGGTATCCGTGCCAAGTACACATGACTGGCAAGCGTGCCTGGTCATCCAGGGGATGATGGATTGCGGCGTAGGTTTCTGTCTCTGGTGCGCGAGTCTTCTAAATACTTTAGCAGCATCCGCTACACCTGGATATCAACTCGGGTAATCCCATCGGAGTGACCGGGAACCCGACGTCGATGGGCCCGGCTGGAAGGCAAACAAGCGCCACGGCGCTTCTGTGATCAGTGCCTCCCAACCTGAACATCATCCACGGAGCCGGGGCAAGTAAAGTCGACCTAGACTAGTTGGAACGAAAGCTGCTGGAGTGACCCTAGCGGATGGCAGAACTGGTGCGCTGAAATAGTTTTCACGCAGGACACACAGACACCTGTATGTACTGACACGCGATATAGCTCCAGCATCCAACGAGGTCATCCTGTGCGCTGGAGCAATTGACAGCCCCCAGCTGCTGCTTCTCTCTGGGATTGACGACGCCGACCAACTAAGCGTCGTTGGGGTCCAGACCAGGCACAATCTCCCTGGCGTGGGTAAGGGCCTGCAGGACCATGTCGGGGTCGGAATCATGCATAGGATGACGCCGCGGTACCTTGAGAAGCAGGGTAAATGCTCGTCGACGCATGATAGCATGGCAGTGACATACACTAAGCTTAATGAGCTGCTTCGCGTCGGAGGAGTTTCACGCGCTGGATAATGCAACTCAGGAGCACTTGCGGCAGGCTGGTGTGCCGCACTTTAAGGTTGCCGGGGTAGGCCCATCCTTGTTACAGCCAGGTTAAGTTGTAGGCGAATGACAATGCTGAGAAAAGGTAAACTCTAGCCTAGCTTAACCTCGCACCGCACCTCACCAGCGAAGACGAGCCATATCTATCAATCCTTGGCGTCGCGATGAATTCTCTCTCGACGAGAAATCAATCTCACGTCTCCCGACCCCAGCGACCCTCCACATATTAATCTCGGACTACGAAGCCACCCCTTTGATCGCTGGGTTATCATCCAAGGGGTCAAGGCGATGATAGCTCTCCATAGAACGAGTGCGATACGGCCATTTTGGCAAGAAAATATCATGGCACCCAGCGATGATGCTGGAATATGGGTTCGGTATACCTTCAGACGAACGTGAGTGCAGCACAGAGCTAACTCGGCACAGGACTATGCCGAGGCAAATGGGCAACCTGCCTTACACGCAGCGGGGTCAGTAAAGATGAGAGGGTCCGCTGACGTGTTGGCGTGCGTGGATACACAGTTCCGAGTGTTTGGTCTGCACTCTCTGCGCGTCCCGGATCCGAGTGTATGTCCGGTGCTCCTGAGGTTTGTTCACAGAGTCGGAATACAAGGGCCAAGAGATTTGCTAACTACTGGGCTACTACAGCAAACATCCTCAATCGACAGCCTATCGTATCGGATCTATGGCCGTCCAGAAGATCCTTGATGACTATCGTCCTTTGTAGCACACCAGTCATGATTAATATGTAACGAATGGTACTTTACTTGAAGTGTCCGAATTTACCCCGTAGTGCAATCTCAAGTAGTCCGTCAGACACAATCTCCTCCTTCCTCTCAAGAAGCTCATCCACAGACCAGTTCACCGACATGTACCGCCCGTCCATGAATCTCGCTTCCTCAGACGCCAACCACACCGCAACACCGCCAACCAGCTCAAACGTATCTCGCGCAAAGCGCTGAAATGCGGGAGGAGTCATGCGAGTCATAAGAATGCCAGGATGCAGGCTGACAGCGCGGACGTTGGGATTCTCTGCTCGGACAAAAGCTTGGAGTTGAATCTGGCAAAGCTTGGAGAGGGAGTAGCTTGAAAGGCATGGGGTAGAATTCAGTGCTGCCGTGCTGGTGATGTTGATAATTATCACATCGATGTCCTTACCGTTCAGCTGCAAGAACTGCTGGGTCATGAGGAATGTGCCTTTGACCATGACCTCCTACTCGGTTTGGTTAGCGCGCCGCCACAGGAGTTGTTGCTGTCCGGGGTTGATTCCTACAAAGTTGTACCACCATTCTGCCGCCTCGACCTCCATGATTGGCAGTGGAGAGTCGCCAGATCCGGCGTGGTTGACTAGAATGTCGATTCTCTCATATGTTCCTCGAAGGTCAATAAAAGCGTTTTTGACGCTGGTTGCATCACTGATATCGATAACTCTGACGTCGGTCTGGACTACCGGGGCAACTGCATGGATCTCTGCAGCGACAGCCTCTAGATCCTGCTTGTTCCGGCCGGCAAGGATGAGGACCCTCGCGCCTGCTTTGGCGAACGACATGGCGATGCCCTTGTACTCTACAGTCAGCTTGCTGGGTTTCGAATAGGGGCACCCTGCTTGCGCTGGCAACGTACATGCCGCCCAATTACCGAACTGGCCCCCGTAATTAGGACGACTTTGCCCTTTTGGTTTAGTGGTGCAGTCGACGGGTCGACGGATGGATAGACATCGTAGTACAAGTCCTTGGTGAATTGGGTGGATTTCGCAAAGTGGTCCGTTGGTAAGTGCGAGAAGTCTATGGTTGTACCTTTGAGTTCTGCTTATTTCGTCTTATTTTCTGAATCCCACAATGACTTTTCTCGTTGATGTATTCGCACCCCTCTGTAGAGACAGCGATGCTCGCTTTATATTCAGGCCAAGAAAGCCCTAATTCCGATTAACGGGCGAGTCATCGCATCATCTATCTATCGGCTTGTTTCTCGTCATCCGACGTTACGAATAGGCCCTGGAGCTGGCAAGGTCGGTGTAAATGGAATTCTAATGTGGTTAGTAGTGCCCAAGGATCAGGTGGCGCACGATCATCACCCGGCCGCACGTCCGCACCCGCAATCAGTCCCGCAGGCGCGGATTGACGGAGATACCGGGCGATACAAGGAATGCTTCTAACCATGACTCACGGCAAATGCATGCTTTTGGTGAACAAATATTGGCAAATAATCCCTGCTCGGGATTCGGAGATATGGTCGGGGTTACAAGAGTGACGTACCTCAGGTGGGACAGATGCACGATGCAATTCTAGAAACTATAATAGTATCGATTGCAACAGAATCCTACAAGATACAAACTGCCATTTTTCTCATTTCCTCTTGCTGTCAGAATGTCCCCAACCAACATCGTCCTCATCACCGGTGCGAACCGCGGCATCGGATACGGCGTCGCTCGCAACCTCGCAAAGCAGCACCCCGATTACCTCGTCATCATCGGGAGTCGAGACGCAGTAAAGGGACAAGAAGCCGCATCCGCTCTTAATGCCGAGGGTCTGACATCGGTCACAAGTGTTGAGATCGACGTCACCTCGGACGATTCCATTGCAGCCACCAAAGTCTACATTGAAGAAAAGTACCAGCGCGTCGATGTTCTGATCAACAATGCCGGAATCGCACTCGATATCAAAGACCGTGGAAAGTATCCGCTCCGCGAGATGATGCAGCGGACATACGACGTGAACGTTTTTGGTGCAGCGTCCGTGACACAGGCGTTCATACCATTACTCGAGAAATCCGAGAATCCGCGGATCGTATTTACGTCTTCGACGGTTGGCTCGCTGGCACGGGCCTCTGACCTAACGAACCCGTGGGCTACAGCGCCGATTCCGGCGTATAGCACCAGCAAGGCGGCGCTGAATATGCTCATGGTGTACTATGCGAATATCCTCCGGGAAAAGGGATTCAAGGTCAATGCGTCGTGCCCGGGACATATTGGGACCGAGTTGAATAGCTACCGGGGCACTGGGACTGTGGATGAGGGGGCAGCGAATCTGGTTCGACTGGCGGTGCTTGGGAAGGATGGAGAGACTGGCACATTCTCTACTTCTCACGGTCCCCGGCCGTGGTAGGATATCTTTAGAACTCTTTAAACAGAATATGGACATATATGGTGTAGAAATTTTTTCCTTGCTTTGCAGAAATACGTACAAGGCCTTGAGTATCGAATTCCATTGAACATAAATGATCTATGAATCTCCTGACCACCCTAAACAAATGAACTGCCCCCTTCGCCCATGATCGCTGGCTTGTCTCCGTCACCATTTCCAGTAAATGATTCCGCCGTTTTCAAGAACTCCTGTTCTGCCTGATGGAGAACCTCTGACTTGCGATGCCCAGGGAACGACAGTTTTCCTGCAACAACCTGGAGAATCTGTTCCGCCTCCTCTCGGGTTGTGGGTGCTTTGTTCGCCCTCCACGCAACATGAGTATCGGGTCTCACTAGAACAAGATCTCGCTCCCAAATGTCCCGGACGTGATCTTCTCCTGCAAGGGCAACATGTTTTACTGGGAAGCCCATCTCCTTCGCCGTACCTCTCAGCGTGCTAACCCCATTGTCCTCGCCGTCCTCGCAAAAATGAATCAGCGTCCATTCCGCACCAAAGAGATCATATGTACTGGTCACTCCATCTTTCAGGAAGACGTGTGGAGCTCGCGAGCCCGGGCGGGTACTGGGCTGGTAGCTCTTCACCTCCCAGGGCACTGGAGGCGTGCCGTCAATATAGACGAAGGGCGAATGATCATACCTCAAGTCGAGTTCGATCCCCCGGTCCATGGTCTCAGGTCCAGAGGTTGTTATGTAATTCTTAACCAGGGCAAATGCCTGCTTTTGTTCGGCTTCCGAGGTGTTCCCCACCAAGCTCGCCAATACCTGGTTGTAGATGTCTCCCAGGACGACGTGCTCGAGGACGTGGCGGTGCGACCGCTGCAACGCTCGAATCATCATTGGGCGCCTTTCGTCCCCGTACGCCTTTAGAAGTCCATCGCCTCCGTATCCATTGACTACCGCCGCCAGTCGCCAGCCCAGGTCAATCGCGTCTACTACACCACTGTTCATACCGTACCCGCCGTGCGGTGGGTTTCGATGCGCTGCCCATTGTTAGCCTAATCATCAGGAAGCACTTGGTAGGGATAGAGTCTAGCACTATATGAGAAATATATGATCGTACCTGCATCTCCGGCAAGAAGCACACGCCCCTTGTCCGTGGAATAACTTTCAGCCACACTGAAACTCGGCTGCCACGCGCTGTGAACGAGGACCTCGTCGATCTTGAGTTCCCATTTCCCAAGACATCCGCCTAGCATTTTGCAGACAACTTCGCGCGGGTCGAGGTTCTCCTCCATTCCATCAGGTAGGGGATAGTGCGCGGTAAAGGTATCCTTCTCATCTTGATCGATCAGAAACCCGGTGCCGACGGGGAACGCATGCCAGAAACGGGCAAACTTTAGTTTCTGCGCGAGCTCGGCGGAGCGGAAGTGGACAAGATAAAACCGGACGGGGCTGTCCAAGGTAAGGACGTATATCAGTAAGTGGTTCGGATGCGCGTAGATTCTGCCACAGGAGCGTGAGCTTACATTTGACCACCCAGCATCTTGATCCTAGCGCACTTTCTAACGCTGCTGCTCCCGCCATCGCAGCCAACCAGATAGCGAGCAAGGACAACATGCGAGGCCCCGGTTCGGTCTATAAAGGTAGCCATGGCTCCGTTGTCTATTTCGATATGCCCGACGTAAGTCCAACCGAATTTGGACGTAACGTTCGCTTTCTCGGACACGATGCCCTTGAGCCAGGCTTCGAAGATAATCTGCGAGCAGCGTTGGCCTGGTTCCGCAGGCTGTGTGCCATCATTGTGCAGTCTAATATACTCGCGTTGTTCGTTGACCGAGGGAATTTTCTGCACTCGCTCATTAGTTTGCGTCCGTGGCAGGATTGCGTAAAAGGGATAATCCACAAACCCAATCAGCCAGTAGCCGCCCCTCTGGTGCCAGACTCGTCACGAAGACAGAATCAAAGTTCGCATCGGCGCCTACAGCATTAACCTGTGCGCGGTAGTCGTCTGCTAGCCCGAGCACTCTCAGGATCTCCATACTCCGGCAGTTGGTGAGATCCATCTTTGGCCATTTTGTTGTCTCGAGGTTCCGCTCGGCGAGCAAACAGGAAGTGCCCAGCCGGTCCAGCTGGTATGCAAGGAGCATGCCTACGGGGCCAGCGCCCACGATCAGGACATCCGTGTCATATTGGAGATGCTGGTGCATGGTGCTGAGGATTTCAGATTTGGACGAGGATCATGGGAAAGAGTGGAGGGGGCCGAACAGCTTGTCATCTCTTGGCTCGCTGGATGCCCCGGATATATATGCTTCCCCTGCTGCCATCTTAGAACGGAGGGGGCCTTACTTTGGCTTTTCAGCTGTGCAAATCCTTTCGTTAGGCACAGCCTGTTCTCAATTTCCCCTTCACCAGCCGAACCTTTAATCAATCCTGCCTGGCGTCCACCCGTCAGCACTATAGACTACATGCATAGCTCTATCCTTGGTTGCGAGGTACTAGCCGCTATAGTTTTAGTCCTAATAAAACTGTGACAATGTCAGCGGCAACTTCCGCTCGACAGTGTCCGGCCACCCTCCAAGATGGCTGGGCCCGACCCCTAGAAGGATTCGGCGCCCCTACATACCGCCTGAATTACTCAGCCTCCACAAGCTTGAACGGCCATAAGCACACCAAGCTCAAGTGAGACGCCTTGGAGATAACGCTTCCTTCTACATTAGGCCAGTCATGATGACGACCGCTCGAAGTCTAGTGCGGATGCGGGTAAGCCTGATTGATGCCGGTGGCCCCCCATCATGCATGCGCCGTGCGTGGTCTACGTAGGGTGCAATTCTCGGACGAAATGGTTATCCCGCCATGGAAACGCAATTCGTCCGAAGTGGTTCGTCCGCTTTGTTGTGGTCCGTACCACCCACCGCGGCCTTTTGCATACACTCTCTTGATCTAGTGCTAGTTAACGAGACTGGACCGTTTTCAGACACCACATTCATTGCTGCTGGTAACTTTTCCTGCCCTAATGCCTCTCGCAGGAGTTATCGTATGAGGATGGTCCGGACTACCAATGTGATATGATGTTCTGCGTGTGCCTACAGTCCAACGCGGCCGTCTTTGCGTCTCTGGGGTTCTTAAAACAGTTCCTTCGAGGCGACCACTCCAGGCCAGTTACTGGGTAAATTTTCTAATGGGAACCTAACTAGAAAGACTGCCTCATAGTTAAACATGCGTTGCGCGATTTTTCAACCAGCTATAGTAGGACAGCACATCCTGTATGCACGACGCCCCATTTACCAGCGCCATGAAAAGAGGTCCCTGACGATAGTAGAACCAAGCACGCTGATGAGTCCCCTCGGACGCCGCCGCACTCGTCAGGCAAATCCATGAGAACAGAAGAGGGGAGGCATCTAGCCAAATCGTATCCTTTGTATCTCGCAGCACAATCCTCAGCTCCTCCAATAACCTGCATTGCGCAAAGACCGAGTCGGGAGTCTGGTCGCTGTCGTCGAGCATCAGAAAGAATAGGATCCCCGAGAGATACACGGCGCGATATATCGGGTTCTGGCATTCTTTTGATCGGTCTGCTGTGAATTCCGGCGAGTCCATACCGCTCTCGTAGCTCTCTCGCTCCGAGCGCCATCGATCGAACAGAGAGTCGATGTATGCCCGCCGGTGGCGGTTGTGTGATGGTGTACAGAAGGACCGCGTGGCGTCGTATATGTCGTGCACGATCTCATTGGCCAGCTTTGGGAGCTTGTCTTCGCTATATGCCCCTAGGACTTCTGATGTAAGCTTGGAAATATACCTCAGTGGTGGTCGCAAGGGCCACTCTGTCCAGCCTAGGGTCGAGAGCTCGAGATAGGGTTGGTCGAACACAATGGTGAAGACCAAGGCACTCCTAGAGTTTTGCCGGCGCCGAACGTTAGCACAAATACAGACACAATGCACCCGAGAGATCGTTGTGGCCTACAGAGTGACCAGTCTCTCCAGAAGACCATTCAGGCCGAGAGTACCACAACCCCCCTTGGCTGCCATCATCTGCACGACGCCGTCGAGGTGGTTCTTTGACTCGGTCATATCGCCCGAAAGATACTATAACTCCAATCTGTCATTAGCATCGACTCGGCTCCAATAATGAGGTAAGGCTTACAGTGAAAAACGCAAGCGGAATCACACCCGCAATCGCCCCATCCAGCCCCTCGTAAACACCATCCTGCGCCTGGGCGATCCGTTTCCTAACGAGGTGTAGCGTCTCCGTCTGATGGTAAAGTGTGATTGGATTGTCTCGGTCATTCCGTGCTGCATCCAGGTGGGCGGATGCTGCGAACATTGTGGCGTGGAACATGCAAGGGTCACATAAACTTTGTTGGACGTAGATCGTCTGCATCTGGTACGCAATGCTCTTGGAATCAACGGCCATCTTGGACATGCCAAAATCTTGCCGGACTATCCGTGGTAATCAATACGCGGATTCTTGATTTCTGTACGCTAGCAAGGCGAGGGGGACGGACTCACATTGTTGCAGTAGGAAAGGCATGTACCAACGTTCCTGGATGGGGTAGGATCCTGGGACTTCGAGCTCCACAGGAAGGGCCAGTGAAACTTGCTGGGTACCCACGGCGCTATCGTTCTTGGGTGCAAGCATATGGTTGCCCTTGGCAGTGGCGTTCTGAATAATATCTAGTTCCTCATACGAACAACTGAGGCTAAGCCTGCAGCCCACCCGACACAATTAGCGAGAACAAATGTTATCCAGAGAGAAGAATGTACCTCTTACAACGTCCGCATACCGGATGCTGTTTGTCACACTTGCGCTTCCCCAAGCGACAGATCTTGCAAGCCCTCGGTGGGCACTGCAGCAGGGAGCGCAAAACCGAGGCCGAGATGCGGTCGTGGATGGGGGATGCAGTGGGCGTGCCCACAGGCGGCGCCAAGGCTTCGGATTCCGATCCGGACATGTGGCTGCGGAGAAAACAAAAGGCTTGGGTCAATGCTTGCCCGCAGATGCGCACCCCTTGCGCATTTATTGAAGGTGCGGGTGCGGATGCTTATCTCCGCAGCTGAGCACGCCCGGAGTGGGGCTGCTTGTCCCCGGCGCGTGCCATTGGCCACTCGCTTGGCTTGTCCAGATCCAGGGTTCTGTTGTCGGATTTAAGGTCGAAGGGTCATCCTCATGATTGATCAGCATTACTCCTCTGCTACTCCCCATCCTAGATAGCTCAACCTGTACCCAATCGCACATTGAGGCCCCCAATCCTCTGCCGTCTAGCCAATCTACTCCTGGATACCAGCCGCGCTTCGCATAATCAAGCAGAATATCGCGCACACACTCCTCTAAGGACCGCAAACTCAGCCCCAGGATTCGCTTCTGCTTCCCCGTTTCAAACGTGATCAACCGCATCGTCACCTCCCGTGGGCCCGTCACATCACGATGCGGTCTATAGATAGATTTTGGCAGAGACAGCGCGGTGTTGACTAGTAGCTTGTCAGCAACGCTAAGCACATATAAGCATTCTTGTGGTTTGGCTCACTCATGTCCTGCCAGACCCACGATCCAGCTGAGACAATGATCCTTTCCCTCGCCACGCCCGGTGTCTCGAGGGCTTTGACGTGTGCGGCTGCTACATCATGCACGTCGACCCAGGCATGGCTGGGGCTTGTCAGCGGGTCGGTGCCAAAGAAGTTGTTGTTGTTGACAACTGCATTGTAGAATAGAGCTGAGGACGATTTGAGCGAATCCGGCCCTTTCACGTCAGGGATGGTCGGCTGCTTCAAGTCAGCTCTTCTGAGACTACGATGAAACAATCCGGGTACATACCCCAAAGATGTATGGCGGATTGATAGTTGCCAGATCCCACGAGATACGTTCCTTGTTTGCCTCGACAAATTCCCAGGCGGCTGCGACTGCAGTCAGTCAATGTTAACTGTCACGATCGGGCAACCTCACCTCTCTCAGTCAGCGTCTTGGAGGCAGAGTACTTGGACAGCCCTGAAGCACTGCGGCCGAGCGTCTCACACTCCTGTACCCGCTGATCATTCCAATCCTGCTCGGAGACAACCATCTTGACTTCCGAAGTGTCGAGGATGGCCGCGCAAGAGGATGTAATCACAATCCGCCGAATGCGAGTTCTAATTAGTAAGCTATGCGAACGACAAGAGGGAAAGATGGGGGGCTAAGTACTCATGGTCTCGAGCACTTTCGAGGATACCAGTTACTCCTTTTACAGCGGGTCGAATAAGCTCTACGTTGCAGTCTTGATTAGTATTCTGTGACACTGGCAAGTACGCCAGCGGAGGTACCTTGAGGATCGTCCGCAATTGTCGTGACGGGAGACGCAGTGTGGATGATCCCATCTACCCCAACAACAGCTTGGTCAAACGCGTTTGACTGAAACATATCAGTCACACAGATACGATATATCGGAGCCTCAGCTATCTCACCTCGGTCATGTCACCGACGGCGACGATTTCAAGGCTCCCGCTGTACGAGCTGAACAGCTCACGCAGGTATGTACGTCTGTTCAGGCTCCGCACGGCTGCGCGGACACGGTTTCCGTTCTCAAGCAGCTGGCGGACAATCCATGTCCCGAGAAATCCATTTGCCCCAGTGACGAGAATGAACGATTTAGCATCCATGGTAGCGCTGGTTGTAGACTTGAGACACGAGATGGAACTTGGCTGCTCTGTAACTGATGGACCCGGTACTCGATTGCCGACGAGCTCACATTTTTATACCTGCTTATCACCTCTCGAATGGTGTCAAGGTTAATTTCGATGAATGCATTCGGTCTTTAACTCCGTTGTTGTCATCACTCGGTGGTCAGCAACATATTAGAGTGATGAAACATGCAGGGCAACTAAACCTCGGTGGTGAGTCCATGGCTCGCAATAGCTGGATTTGACGGTATGTAGGTCTGGTTTGTTGTAGTACGTCGCCTAGAGGGACAGCGGTTGTTCGCACTAGTGTTTCCAGCAAGCAGGCTGAATTATTCCATGATTTAGTTGCTTATCAATCAATCTAGGTAGCGTGCGGGCTACTCCGCTGCAGTTGCACCTACTCGTACTAATGCATATTTGATGAATAATGCTATACAGCATGTCGTTTTACGCAATATCTATATCAAGAGTAGCAAGACCACGGGCTTGGAATACCGGATCACGCGACCGTACAATTGGACTCGGATTTTCACAAGAGACCCAATTCCAGAGACCCTCTTGCTTACTTCCCTCACTCGATGATCAACGTCGGCATTATTGGCCTGAGCGCCTCGGATGCTGCCTGGGTATCCCGCAGCCATGCATTGGCCCTGCAGAAACCTCCACTATCAGAGAAATACCGCCTGAACGCCGTGGCCACAACCACGAAGGAAACTGCACTAGCCTCCGCGAAGAGATGGGGCGTCTCGCCCACAAAGGTATACACGCAAGCCTCGCAACTCGCCGCGGACCCAGACGTCGACCTCGTCGTTGTTGGCGTGAAGCTTCCACTTCACTACAAATTGGCTCTGCCTTTACTGGAGGCCGGCAAGGATGTCTTTGTCGAGTGGCCGCTGGCGACCACCCTCGACCAGGTTGCTGAGTTGCAGGCGGCTGCTCGAAGAGGAGGTGGACGCACCCTTGTTGGTCTCCAGGCTCGGGCGTCGCCGGTGATTCTAAAGGTACGCTCGTAGATGTCGAGATGGAAATGTGATATGCCTTGCTAATACCAAGTAGGCAAAAGAGATTATCAATTCCAGCGCGCTGGGCAAGGTCGTTGCAACAACTATAGTCGGGTGGGACAACAGCCTGCTCTACCTTCCTCCTCGCTTCGACTACGAGCATGATGCGAAGAACCGTGAGCCTAACCAAAGGCTCTCCTTGCTGACACTGTATGCTAATCAGTTCTAGGAGCCGACATCTCCACCATCACCTCCGGCCACGTCCTCGACGCAATGTGCTTCCTCCTCGGCGAGTTTGAGAGCCTGTCCTCTTCGATCAACTGCTTCTTCCCTACCGTTACCACACCTAATCACAAAGATGAGGTCAAGCGGGATGCGCCCGATTCGATTCTCGTCCAAGGTATATTGCAGAGCGGTGCGATGGCCAGCTTCAGCATGGTGCTCACGCCGCCCGGCACACCGTCGTCGTTCACGTGGACCATCGCCGGGGAGAAGGGGGCGTTGAGATTCGAGTCGAACAATATCAATATCCAGATCTTTCCACCAAAGCTGTATTGGTACAAGGCGACGAGGGAGGGTGCGACTTCCGCGTGGGAGGAGGTCAGCGTACCAGAGCCACTCCATTTTGGCCAGGTGGGCGAGTTGTATCAGGCTTTTGCGCATGGTGAAGAGGCCCCAGGAGTCCTGAGGGACTTTGATGGGGCAGCGTTGAGGCACAGTATGCTCGAGGCCTGTCTGCGGAGCTCAGAGACTGGGAAGAGGCAGCGCTATGTTTCACGATATGGCATTGACTAGATGTAGATGGCCTCTTGTTGGATTATGCATGCTTAAGTCCATCGCTGCATGGCTGTTTCCGTTCAAAAAGAGTGATCCCCCATTGTGAGTACTTAAATCTCGGTTGTACAGGCTACATCTTCTGGGGTGTTGGGTTAAGGCTGGAGTAAGCTTGCAGTTTAGCAGGCCTTATGTAGCATCATAGTTAAGTATCTGCCCAGGACACTCTGGTTGAGTTGGGATTATATATACTAAGCAGAGTAAATACTTCACCAACCATTTATCCTTGGAAGGAGTACTTCAGAGACAATCAACAAACTATATTCTAGAACAAGTGACAGCGTACATAGGCGTCGGTGCACCATTGAGTGTTGGACAGTGGGCAGCCAGACATTTAACATGAGTAGAAACACATCAACGACACTTTGCTTCACCTTGTGGATACGCCAATCCACTCATGACACCATAGCAGAAGCCCAAGAACTCAGTTAGGCCAACACTTGGCAGACTGTACCCACCCAATGTTCGAGTTCGTACATCCCCAGCTCTGACCATTATGGTGGCCGACATTCTGCGAGCTACCCGTGCACCCGCTACCGGAAAATAGGGTGCAAAAGACCCCGTCCAGCGGCGTGGCGCTGACGCCCCAAGAGGCGGCGCCCTGCGATAGGTTGACGCAGGCCTCGAACTTGTCGTCTCCGAAGCTCTGGAACCCGTTACAGTTGCAGCCGTAGCAGGTGTAGCCGATGAACTTGCTTGCTCTCACCAAGGGCGCGGCGCTGAGGAGGACGGCTGGGAGGATTGCTGAGAGACGCATTTTGTCTGGGGGGTGTCAGTATCAGATCGTTGCAGCGAATCGGAAAGCTACGTGTGAGGAGAATAGAATACCGACTGTGAAATGAATGGTTGTGTGTTGCTTGAGGCAATCTGAAGTAGCACTTGCTGGATGCTTTCTCCTGACGAGGTCAATACTGGCATTTTATATCTGGACAGAAACCATGGAAATGCCCCGTGTCTAGTTGAGAGGGCCTTAGGCAGCTATGCGGCGACGATCCTCCGCACTCTTAGGCGCCCTGTTGCCGATCGTTTAAGATCTTGGGAAGATCGTCGTTAACGCAGTATAAGCCCAAGGCAATGATAGACAATTGACCTGTATTATCCGCATCCGCATCCGCACACGCATTGTTCACTGTGCCCATATATCTCTGAGCGCCCAAAATGCATATCACCCCCTGCATTTGACTCCTTCAGAACGGAGACACCGGTCCATGTTTCAAACGTTAGCAAGATAGAGTCCGTGTAGTGAGTGTTCTCCCGTTGGTGGCCGTTACATCGTCAGATGGGTTGATTGAATGCTGTTCAACATGTTTTCAATATTTGACCCTACATAAACCCATGGATACATGAATTTAGGACTTTTCCAAGCCCACAGCCATGGCCATCTGGGCGCATAAAAGAAAAGGAAGATGCGGCCAAAAGATAGTTCATGCAGGTCACTTGACACAAGGGAAAACGGGCAGACGCCGCCATAGATATATTACCATACGGGCAAAAGGAACCGTGTATATGAAACGAAAGATATACCACATTGTGGTCGTGCTTCTCAAGAACCATACTACGAACAATCTGCGTATGACTGAAGTTTGAACCGATCGACTGGATGCCCTAATCGCCTGGTCCATTGTACTCGGTTCTCAATCGCAGGAAATTTACTGCAATATCAGGAAGCGAGGTCCAGTAGGTAACGTAACGGGTGCCGCGCGCCTATTGCTCAGCGTGTAGCGTTACGTCTTAATAAGGGGAAGCAGTATTTGGATTGAATCCTTCACTAAATACAGTACTAAACCTCCTAGCGGTATTCAGGATAGATTCCACGCCTCTCTGCCAGTGTCAAATAGTTCCTTCCCAAAGCAACAGGGAGGGCTATGTCAAAGCCGCACGAGAAAAGAACATCACGACAGGCTCACAACCGCTTAAAGAGGATTGCAAATGGTCTTGTAAGAGCTGACATCATTGTCCATGCCAATGTCATCAAAGTTGACAAACTGGTTCCTGCAAAAGGATTGGCCCAAAAAGTTCTCGCAGCCGGGGCTATCGAAAAGCTGAATGCAGCACCGCGTCGTGCCCTCTGCGTTGTCGGAGTAGTATCTCATGGACGAGATCTTCTGGTTCAGACTGCCGACGCTGTGGCAGCGAGAGCCGGTGCCTCCGGGGCCGCTGTTGGTGATGTATGGGCCCTCTTCGTTTTGGAGTTGGTAGAAGTACACGCGCCATGCGGAGGCGGAGGGGGCGAGCGCCAGGGCGATGATGGGTGCGAGGGCGGAGATTTTCATTTTGGCACTTGGGATGAGAATCAGTCGGTTGCAAGCGGCAAGCAATTGGGAGGGGTTTTTCATACATTGTTTGGACGGTAGTTTGACAGATCTTTTCTTTCCTGATGCTCTGGCTTGAGAAACAGAGCTCAATTTTTGGAGAAGGACCCTCCTCTTATATAGCTTTTGGTGAACATCCTTTACTGCCATTACCACGGATTGAGATATTTGGTCCTACCCAATGATTCTGGCATGAGCCCATACCAGTGGTTTACCAGATCTTGAGAAGTGCATAGTTGTGTCTCATCTTCTCCCCTCGCCGACGATTTCCATTTTGGGCACCGGATTGAAGTAGCTCAAGCGAATGAACAAGCAACAAGAGAGCATTCTCTCGTATTCATAATGCCCTCTCCGACTTGGCAGTAGCTTCATGGACTGCAGGCGAATAGACAGCACAAACTAGGTAGCATTGCCTCGTATTCACAAAGTGCTCCTGGGTATAGTTATGGGGCAGGAGGCTTGAGACGAATGAGTGGCACAACTATTCAGCAAGATCTCGTATTAATATAATAACCTTTTGAGTCTTCCAGCGCGGCAGTAAGACCAATCTAGAGAGATTCATGACCAACCATGCGGATGTCAATTAGTTGTACAGACTGAGAGATTGGGTAGAATGCTGAGTGTGGAACGTAAAGCTCTGCCTTAAAGGTTGCATTTATACGCTGTTTGTATATCTTTTCATCTGGGTGAAGATCCTTCCTGCCTTTAGGGACTCTTCTTCTTCAAGTTGACCAGCCAAGGTTGTCTGCCCAAAGCATGTGCTGCCAGGCTCTGATATTATTCGTCGGATAGGGACAGCCACCCGAGAGTTCCTGCAGGGGTCTTAAGTTAACTGCAGATCATTTCCCGAACGGCTGAGCGGGGTTACCATCTGAGACATCTCTATCAGTCTCCTGGGCCGAGAATTGGTAAGCTTCGTGCACAAGAGGGGCGTATAAGATCGCCTTTGCTAATCGAGGTGTTGCCGCTGGATCTCACACTCACCCAGTGGGTCAGGGTAATAGCCGTTGCTACAAAGGTTAGAAATTCATCACGCGAAGGCGAACATCTAATCCTCGTCTTTTTAGGGCAGGCTATTATGGCCATTGACCTGAGAAAAGCCATATGGATTGGGTTATTGGGTTAGGTGCCGCCCAGAATAGAGTCCATGAAACGTCTCTCGGGCTATTCCAGGCCTTATGAATTTGGGGCCCCGTGGATCTGCTCCAGCGTCCTTGGCCCAAGAAGCATCCGTCGCCTCACCCCGCTTCGAATGATTCCTTCCAAGCTACACCGCTACAAAGCGACAGTCAGAAGACATCGCTCCCGAGCAGGAAGAAGTGGGCGTCGTGGGTTTGTTTTGATGGGCCGAGTTTGAATGTCAACATCTGGCAGTGTGTGACGGTGGGGATACCTCGGCACTGTCATGGGCCGTGACTGGGCCGGTACTCGGACATACAATGCTGGTTTGTTTGGAGAGAGCAAGGACTGCGCAACGCGAACCCATTGACTAGACGCCACCCTTGATGGTTGAACATGCCCATATATTCTAAGTTTATAGCGGTTATCCTGCCCACGAAAACAACAACTTATGCTCCGGGCATTGAGAAGGCGTCCCTGTTTAGGCCACTAGACAGCGACTTGATTCAAATTTGGAGCCGTCCATTCCGACCTTCTCTTAGCCAGTCTTGGCCTGCAAGTGATGCTTATGGGATCATGGGATCATGGCATGCAGTATTCAAAACAGTAGCCAAGTCCAGCCAATCTCGTAACAACCAGCACTGTGCAATCCCTATATAAGAATTAGAACCCCAGCCTTCGTTCATACTCCCTCCATTTCTTTCCAATCGGCTGGATAAAGGTTGAACTAAGTGAGCCCTGATCCATTTCCTGCACGCCATTAATCAGGTACAGAGGCGTCATCTCGCCATCGTCACTAAAGAAGATCTTTGCCCTCTCCCTCCGCTTCAGCGTCTGCACAGTCCCATCTTCAAAGTAAACAGTCGAATTAAACGCTTCCTGCTGCTTGAAATGCCACGGGCCTGTTAACTCCCTCGCAAATACATGCGCCCCGACCCGCGGGAACTTCTGCCCGTCATGCTCGACTAGATCGATCATCCAGTGCACGAGTGCGTGCCAGTTTCCGCGCTTATCCCGCCATAGGAATGGATCCTCTGTCCAGGTTGAACTCCACTCACTCGTGTTCCATGTAGGCGTGTACACCTGCTCGTACTCGCCATCCCACCTGTCAGCAGTGAAAATGGCCACATCCTCAACCCCAAGCGCAATCTTGTGCGAGCGATCTCTAGGACTCCAAAGCGGCCACGGCGCGGGATTCGTCGAGTGCGGCTCGGTAGAAGCCAAGATGAGCTTCCACGGCGTCCAGGGGCCACGAATACTTTCTGCGCTCGAGACGGAGATATTGTTCGGCCACTGCGTGTAGCTGATACTCCGACATCGCTCTGCCGGTGGCGCGTCCACGCCCGTGGCGTAGAGAAGATACTTTTTGTCTGCAGGGCTCCAGAATATATATGGGTTATGTCGGAACGGCGTGCTGACGGCGTCTGCGTAGTGATATGGTCCCTGAGGACCACTCCTCGACTCGGCTCTCATGATAAACGAGCTCGGTCTCCAACCTGATAAACCGCAGCCGTCGGCAAACTGCGAAGCGAAGAGGTGGAATAGCTTTGGGTCGTCGGGGTCTTGTAGAATCTGCCCGCCCCAGGAGGAGTTGCCATGCGGGCCGAAGTGGGTTGGGTCCGTTGCGGTTGTGTGGTTGTACCCGTTAGTTTTGGACGCTGGGGCGAGATCGAGACGGCCGCAGTCATCGCCGAACCAGCCCGCGTCGCAGTGGCAGACTTTGGATCTGGAAGGACTGGAACCGCGTGCTGGTGGGCTACGGCGACATATACCATTCAGACTGCAGTCTTCGTCGGTCTTGCAGGCTTGGGTCAGCCGGAAAACCGCCAGTCCGGCGGCAAGAAGGTTGGCGAAATACATCCTTTGTGTGACTGGTCGTGTGGAGTTGTTCACGGGTCGATTGCGCGCCCCGTTCTCTTTCCTCTTTATAGCCCTACAGGGTCCAAGGGTCGGCCCATAGCTTTACCGAGCGGGTGATGATAGTCCGGGCAGATCTTGATTCTGAGGGGTCTTCCCCGCCGATCACCCCGCATATGCGCTAGGAGTTTGGAGTGAGCTCCGGGTGATTGATGGAGTTTCATGTCCCAAAAACACCGTCGGCAACTTGCAGCCAATGATGCAGGCCCTCGTCTTGGGCCGGCTATTTTCAGTTCACTAAACGTCTCTTTGTCTCTGTGACACTGCGCTACTCACGATTTAGGCTAATGTGATGATCGTCTGGGGAACTCAAATCCAATGCTTCTGCGCTACCACAGAGTTCAGAGTCACCACACTGCTCGTCGGTTCTACGTCTGACCTTCCAGGTACTGCCTCAATTGCCCACCGCGAGGACTCAAGAGGACCACATTGTGGTGGCGGATTGATCGCCCCAGCGGACATCAAAGACAACTCTGAATAAAAGGTACTGGTTATCAAAGCACTGCCGATTGATGGTGATATCGACCACATCAGCATTTTATCTTCGAGGAATTGACCGTGCGTCGGGACAGCAGGGCTCTCTTCGCAGAGCGAAAGAAAAGGGGAGGCGGCGAAGATAGAATACGAAGCTCCTGCCGGGTAGGGGAATGGCTTGCAGGTATCTGTGCTCTGCTTGACTGAGTCTATGCGGAACGCAGGCCGTCCCCTAAGAACTGCACTTCCAAGTCTCACAGGTCTGATCTCCTCTGCAGAGCATAGTTCGATCAAGCGATAGAACTCCCGCGTTTCGAAAACCGGGCCGCCTTGATTTTTTTCAATCGGGGTCTATAGCGTGTTGCGAGTTGCGCAAGGAAGATAAAGCCGGATGGGTAGAGTCGTGGGAGCAGACGCTTGCCCATCACATTGTCAATATCGCCTTGCGATACAAGACTGTTAGCGAACTTTGCCAACTTGGCAAACGAGGTGATAATAATCTCATCCTTCAACCAGCGTGGGGGATATTCAAAAAGAGAAGGAGGTGGATGCTTATAGCTCTCTGGACGAGGCCCCTCCTCCTCGTCACACGCTTACGAGCCGCGATCCATAAGCACAGTTTTCTCCTCCTTCGCGATCACGGTCGATTGGGCCAATGAACTGGGGTCAGATTTGTAGCTTTCCTGTTGATACCGCATACGCAGTGGATTAAGGTTAAGGCGCCCAACACTGTCAGCGGCGGCTGGAAGTTGGGACAGAGTGACCTCGCTTGCCAGTCTGTTTAGATCGGGGACGCCACGTAAAGCCCGGTGCGTGGGGAGTTGTGCAAAGGTGATACCAGTGTAGCATATAATTTCCGAACATCTCGCTGTTGTGCCACTTGGATCTGTTCTCCTGCAGGGTCCGATTTGCAACTCGGCGGGACAAAGGAAGAATCTCCGTCATTCTCGAGTCTCCAGGCTTCTGTTTCATCGTCCCAACACTTAAAGGCAGCTTAACCCATAGCAGGATTCGGAGGGGGCGATAGGCGCTCTCTTTGGTCGGATGATTTTTCCAGACAGATTTCGCGCTGAAGAGGCAAGCGCCGTTGGTTTAGTTTTCTTCAGCCTTGAGAGGTGGACTGGACTGGTCGAGGCCCTGCCAAGAAAGAGCCAGTCCCCACCTCGACTCCTTTTCCCTGCGCAGTCTCAGTCACAGAAACCCAGCTGTCCCTCCATTTTCCGAGTCGTCCACAGGAGATTCACTCTGTGAGCACACCCATGTTGGTGCATTGGGAGCGCTTTTTCCCGTTTCTCGACGGGAGCAAGAGCGACGGCCGTTGAGACGGCAAAGCTCAGGGACTTTCGGGCGTCCAGCCAAGCCACGCCTTGTCCACGCTTGCCTGAAGAAAGGTAGAACCCTTACGAGTGGCTCAATCAGAGGGTCACTCCACCCTCTGGCCTGGCTTCGAAGCGCCGACGGTTTGATTTAAGATATTACGCCGCGAGCCTCCGCCGTATCGTCTTGATTGCTGCCACGACCCTCGAGAGTGTCTGCAGCCCTCGCTGCCCAATCAGGCGATTTCCATGTCCATCATCGACGCGCCAGGCCGCCTTCGTTTGCGGCTGAGGACGCCTTGCAATCTTCTCTGGAGAAAAGGGAATCCTTCGCTTGGGGCCAGCGCTTAGCGATGCTTTCTCACCATCCCCCTGCCATGAACCCTTTCACCCCAAAAATGCGACCGTGCCCACAAGGCGAGGCGTCTGTTTCATGATTTTCTCCCAATCTTGAAAACTCGCAAGTTGAAAGAGACCCTGGGAAAAGGAATTCTCCATTCACACACCTCGTACTACTGAACGCTAGATACGATTCGTACGACATGCTTGAACTCTCGTCCTCCTTCTACGCTAACCTCTCTTCCATTGCAGCGATAGACAGGTCACCATGAGCGCCACGAGCATCGACGGAAACTGCGGTTCCAACTCTGACAGCCACGCCACCTGCCTGGGCTCCGAATTCGGCAACTGCTGCTCGGTCAAGGGCTACTGCGGCAAGACCGACGCCTACTGCGGCGAAGGATGCCAGCTCGAGTTCGGCACCTGCAACGACGCGAGCGTCCAGACGATCAGCCGGACAGGGTCCTGCGGCGCCACCCTCACGAGCAATGTTACCTGCCAGGGAAGCACATATGGGGATTGTTGTTCGACGAATGGATTCTGCGGAGGGGACAAGACGTACTGCGGGTCGGGGTGCCAGCCGATGTTTGGGAACTGTTTTGATTTGGACGAGCCCGAGTCGTCGACATCTTCCTCCACATCCTCGACATCATCAACCAGCACAGATACCTCACCCACCACGACCGGCGAATCCAGCGAAGCCAATAGCGGCAACAACCACACAATCAGCAGCGGAGGCAGCGACGGGCTAAGCACAGGCGCCATTGCCGGAATCAGCGTCGGGGCAGCGGTCGGAGGATGCGCCATCATCGCACTGCTGGTGTGGTTCATATTTTTCAGACGACGCAAGTCGGCCCATCCGGAGCAGATCATCGGCGAAGACACAAAGCCCGTTCTCGTCGAGGCGTATGGAATGCCGGTCATGCCGCCGGCGCAGGCGGTGCATGAGATGGAGGGCAAGCATAGCGGGCCGGTGGAATTGCCCACGACGCGACATTCGCGGCAGTATTGATTCTTCATGATGTATCTCTTCCTAATTTTTTTTAATTTTTGTTTCCCTTGACCCTGCCAGTACATGCCGGCAGATTCGCCAGCCATTTAGATAATAGACCGCTGCCCTGATTGGCCTTCGGCTCCCTTTGCCATTCGAGCTCTGTCTCAATTCTTTGTCTTGGTCTTGGCCGCAGGTGATATTGAATGCAGGTTTGCGATCTGCATCAAAGTTGGTCTGGATTGCCCGAGAACAAAGAAAGAACAACGCCTTGTGCACTAGCCGGTTGATAGCGAATGCTTGGTCAATGGTCGATCGGCCTGGACTGTCTGGAATGTGGGCAGGCCGCCCCAGTTTTGAGTCGCGGTGACATGTCGAAATGCGGAGAGCCACGAAGAAGAAACCATGGTTCCGCCGTCGCTGATTCGCGGTCGGCCGTTCGATAAGGCTTCCGGGCTCGTGCGTGTCATTGCTGCCGAAGTAATTCCTGCCGAGATCAGCCTCGAGTAGACTCGACTCTATTGACCGTTGCCGCTTCGGACCTTCGGTCGAGGCGGAGAAGGTCCCCTTTTTGCGGTACGTACTTTGATTGGACAATTCCCATTAAAAAGTCAGCTCGGAAAACTGACTTCTTGGAGAGGACCGTCCAACTCTGCGCTTTTTTGCCCCAAGTTAGACGGTTCCCTCCAAGAAGTCACCTACTAAATGCCGCAAGCTGTTTGCTTCGAGGCTTGAGGATCGTCCCATTATTGAATCTGTCGGTCGGCAGTGCCGGATCAAACATCGCAATGTTGAGAATCGATCTATCGTCGAGTTCGATCGCAAGCCCTGCGTTCCTTCAGCTTGCAGACTGCAGGAGGATTCGACTGTCGCTGCAGGCTCACGCGGGGGACTTTTCGCGTTCTTGGCGCTGGTTTTTCAGTCTCGCGATTTTCCAACGGTCGCTCGCGAGTCTCATTTTTGAGCTCGTTTAAGATTTTTCTTCCGATCGTTGGATCGTGAGCTTGTTCCACGCGCATAACAGTCGCTGGTGATCGGCGACTTAGACGCGCCCGAGAGCCGCAGTAGACAACCTCGAACAGCTTCATCCATTGACTGGACTGCGAATCATTATCCACAAGTCTGAATATATTCTTCCATGTGCATTCTATTGTGTAGTACTGGTAGGATAGGACTGTCGCTCAATGGCTGTCTTTTCGCGAGTCGTTGGGCCATTGTCGACGCTCCCAGTTGAAATATATATCCACGCTGCTGGGGAAGCAATGAGGGTGAGCCACCACCTCCCAATCACTCTGAACCTTTCTCTTCCCTTTGGCATCTTGTCTACATCGATATGAGATAGACTCGGTAATTCTTTATTTCTTTTTGTCCGTACAGTTCTCTTCTACAACATGCAAGATTGATCTGAGCTTCAGCACCGCCACAAGAGCTTCATGCCTCGTGATTGCTGTCTCTCAACACCGTTGTACTTGAATAGTGTTTTTCTCGCAAGGGCCTACCCAACACTTGACTATCGACCTACCTCGCCAGATTCAGCCCTTGTTGTAGCTTCAACGTATTGTTCGGAATGACGCCGACGTTCTCCAATTAGCAGCGCGACGCTAGCTACTGTAGGACATTGCGCAGTTCTGTGAGGAACTGTGGACCGTGCTGTGGGTGGCTGTGGACTGGACGCCGATGGAGCCCGAATGTGCAATGCACACAATGCGGGGATACCGCTCCAGACGTGTGGTTCCGGGTTAGCTCAGGGGCACGATGATGTGAAGAATAACGATCAGGTGAGGGAGCTTGATGACTCTCATTCTAGACGCTGAAGATGGTAGAGTCTCCAGGGGCTTCAAGCCCACCACTCTGTAACGTCATTCAGGCATCGACACGGTATATACTCAAGATATACTAGCGCAGCAAAGTCTGCAGAAAGCGGAGTCGTCTTAGGTAACTCGGCTCCAGCACCGTGGGCGAGAAGCTCTTCGTGAGCTCCCGGTACCTGAACCAAACTTCTCACAGACCCAATGCGGCCGACGTTGCGAGGCGCCGCTGGCGCCGATTAGCTTGCAGGATCCGAGGACCGAAGCAACGACTTTGGACTGCGTTAGGGTTCTGCTTGTGGTTCCAGGCAATAGTGTGTCTCTCCGGATCGCGCCTAACTCCACGGTAACCCAACCGGGTGGCGCAAGCCAGCCGCTAAGGCTTCGCTATTGAGCACTATCTGTTTCTTGCAAGGCACAGCTACTACTCTGGGTGATGCGGAAGAGCAGGCCGATATCAGTGGAGATGCTCTGGAGCTGCCCTGCAGGTTGGCGATGTTTATCGTGCCTGGATGCATCTTAGCGGGTAGTTATGGCTTGTTAGGTGATGCTTGGAATACGCTGGGTCGACTGGCTGGACTGCAATAGTTACAACGGCGAGTCATACAATTCTATTATTGCGTGCTCTTCAGCTATTCGAAGCAGCTACCGGGGTCCTCGAGCATTGACCAACCTGGGAAAACCCCAATCGCCACGATGATGAAATGAAATCTGGTTCGCATCTCGAGCTATTGTTTCTCTGGGGTTCCAGCTCCCTCGAGGCGAATATTTTGGCCGGCAGCGACAAAGGGGTCATTTGGTTACATCAGTTACCTCCGGGTCACCGGAGGAATTGGAGAGCATCATCTAATCAGATGCAATGAGTCGGCCGTTCTGCCTCAGTGAAATTAGGTTAACGCGCAGCCAACTATCGAAGTTAAATGTCGGCGGGTTGGAGCGCATGAGAGTGGGTTGATGGAGCAGAGATGATTCGTTGTTGATTCAAGATTGCGTCGCCTTGTGATAAGATCGGGGCCGAGGCTGCTGAGAAGCATGTTCATCTGCTTGGTTAACATATAATGACACGATCTCGATGCGGACGTTGTATGCAGTCTGTCGACGATATAAACAACCTCGATCCGTGGAGGAAGAGCCAAAGGATGATCTGTCTCGAACCACGGACAGCAGAATCGGCTTTGATGCTTGATCTGGGGAATTGCAGTGGTCGCCGTCGGGCTCTGGTGGGGATGCTGTGTGCCCCTGGCAATCTTGAATCGGAGCGTGGGCCAATTGGGGTTAATGAGAGACACAACTGGCGTCACAGTGGACTCGACCCGCGCAGCAGGTTCTGTTCCTTGGTCGGACAACTGGATCGTCGTGGAGGTTCCAAGACGGCACAAATCCCACGGTTCCTGTTGCAGGCGAACAGTGGGGAATCCATAAATCATCCGGGCCCAATCAGACTCGACGATAAATCAATAGTGCTGCTGATCAGCATTTGCTCCCACGAGCTGGTGCACGATCTCGCACCCAACCGCAAGTCGATAGTGCTGCTGATCGAGATGCACTCTGCATCTCTGATGCTGCAGGCCGTCCGCGGGCCATTTTGGCCGGTGGGTTTGACGGTGGGTTTGCTCGTGCCTCGATCGGCCATGCATCGTGCACACCTGCATGCAGATGGATGCACATCCTGGCTGACGGCGACATTACTTAAATGACCTGTGCACCCCCCAGGCACCCAGTGTTTGCTCCTGCTGCCGCTCGGACTCGTTCATTCCTTTATTATCCCAGTCCCCCACGGTCGTGACGCCTTGACTGACGTTTGCTGACCAGCGCTACCCAACTTCATCACTCTCCTTTAGCCCTTTCCCAGCAATTTCACCCAACATGGGGTCAGAACTCGGCATCACCGCCGACTCCAAGCCGGTCGCCGACTACAGCCCCGTCAGCATCTGGTGGGCAACATGGGCCGCCGTCTGGACCGTCGCCGTCTCGCTCGGCATGGCCTATCTCATCGTCCGCCGTGACACCCCCGTCCTCCGAATCCGCAGTCTCGGTCTCTCGCTCTCTGCCATTGTTCTTCTTCATTTGTACTACACCAGCGTTCAGTTCGGCACCATGATGGGCGCCCTCATGCCCGGCGATGCCCAGTACTGGATCATGGGCACATACCTGCCGTGCGGCATGGCCTTGTTCTACGGCTCCAACACATACTTTCTCCACGTCGCCAAGCTCCAGAAACGATTTGCTCCGTATGGGAGTCGCTCGGGCGATGCGCCTTCTAGCAACCGGGGTGGCTTCATCGGTCGGTTCCGTCGTCTTGCGTATACTACACGGGTGGTTATTCTGGTTGGGATTGCCATGGCTATTCAGGTACATCCCCTCGATATTATTATGGCGATCTTGTCTAACCGGTCAGCTCTTCCTCACCGTCCTGATGTGGTTGATCTCGAAAAAGTTCCACAGCTCCTGGGGCATCCCGGGCACCGAAGTCCACGGTCCCCCTATGGCACAAAAGGCAGAGCAGGGCCGTGGCTGGGAATGGTGGCCCGGCGTGCTCTCGCAGGTCTTTTGGTGCTGGATCGTCGCTCCTATCATTCTCTGGAGGTCGCGTAACATCCACGACACCCAGGGCTGGCGCCTCCAGACCATTGCCTGTGCGATTGCTGGGTGAGTAACCCCTTTCGCGGATGACGACGTCGCTAACTATGTAGTCTTCCTGCTACCCCCATGTGGCTCATCGCCATGTATGTTCCAGCGATGGAGGTTGTCAACAAGTACTGGATTCCTCCTCAGTGGTACGCATCTCCTCATCCGTCTTACTGCTTCCATCTAACTCGTGCAGGATCTGCGCCTCCATCCTCGTCATCGAAGTCTTTACCATCTTCCTCCCCTGCTGGGAGGTCATGCGCCACAACTCCCTCCGTCAAGAAACCCTCGACGCCATCGCCCAGTGGGAGAAGCGGACCAAGGGCGCCGGCGGCGACGAAAAGTCCCTCGGGTCCACCGCCACCATGGTCGAGTCCATGATGTCCGGCTGGAAGTCGACCAACGGCTCCGTCAAGACGACCAACAGCTCGCGCGAGAGCATCCTCAACATGAGCGCCCTCGAATACGTCCTCGACCGCAACCCCACCCCGCTGCAAAAGTTCTCCGCCCTCCACGACTTCTCCGGTGAGAATGTCGCTTTCCTCACCAGTGTCGCCGAGTGGAAGAGCGCCGTCCCGCAAGCTCTGAGAGACGGCGCTGGTGAGAAGGACGCAGCCGCCAAGGATGCCATCCGCGACTCATTCAACCAGGCCCTCTACATCTACGCCGAATTCATCAGCGTCCGCCACGCCGAGTTCCCCGTCAACATCTCCTCGCAAGACCTGCGCAAGCTCGAAAGCATCTTCGAAGTCCCCGCCAAGATCCTCTACGGTGCCGAAAGCGGCCAGGGTGAAGCCGACCCGGCCACCCCGTTCAACAAGGCCACCTTCGACTTCAACTCGGAGCCCTCACCCACCTACTCTGAATTCTCGCAGAGCTCCGTCTCGGCCATCAAAGACCGCGCGCAGTACTGCGGGGATATCCCCGAGTCGTTTACGGCGGGCGTCTTTGACGACGCGGAGAACAGCATCAAGTACCTCGTCTTGACAAATACGTGGCCCAAGTTCATCAAGTCGCAGCGGCGAATGTCGATCGATTCATCCGAGACGCTGCGGTCGGGGGCGGAGGTTGTATAGATATATTATCTTACTGTCTATTTCACTCTACCTGATCAGACTATATACTCTGCCGGCGAGCAGACCAACCAACCAACCTAATGAGCATGAGATTGACACCACCTGGGCCAAGGATGGATGAGGACTTTGATGTTATTTATACTTCTTCTAATACCCACTTCTGATATCCATTTGAGTAATGACGATACCTTCCTCGACATTCTTTTTTCACTTCTTTCGCTGCAATTGCCTGCGTATCTAGTATCTAGTACTGCGTAACGACGACGCAATCCCGCTCTCTCGCAATTGAATGTCGATCATCCCACGAGCGAGGCAATTCCCAAGGGGCCAATGAGATTAACTTCTGACAAGCACAACGCTACCTGGATCAGGTTAGCGAATCTAAGCCACATGTGGATGTGGACGATTTGGCCCCTTCCAGACGCAGTTGTCCCGCGCCCAGCCGTGTCACCGTGTCACTGGGATCAATTCCAAATCACAAACCATGGTCAAGAATGTCCGAACCTACTCATCCCGCGTCAAAACAGGCTGCATCACCTGCCGCCGTCGCCGAATCAAATGCGACGAGGCCAAACCGTCTTGCCAGCGATGCACCGCGGGCAAGCGACCGTGCGAGGGATATGCGCCGCAGGTCAAGGCCGCGCCCGCGATGCGCATGATCATGTACACGCCCTCGACGCCGGCGTATCCGGCTGCGGACCCCGAGAGGGATTGCTTCCAGTTCTTCCTTGCGCAGAGTCGGGCGTGTTTTCCGCTCGAGTTCTCGAGGGCCATTCTGCAGGCTGCGCAGATGGATCGCGCGTTCACGCATGCGATTGTGTGCTTTGGGGCCGCGCAGCAGATTTACGAATATGAGGATGACCCGGACACGCGGGCGAGACTGGGGAAGCTGGCCATGGTTCAGTACGGCAAGGCGCTGCATCTGCTGCAGAGTCCGTCGGCCACCCCGTCGTCCACCGAGACGCTATTGCTTTGCTGCGTCCTCTTCGCGTGCTACGAGGGCCTCCGAGGCTGTCGACGGTCTGCTGTCGTACACATCAAGTCTGGACTCGATCTCCTCCGGCAATGCGGCGCGCAGACGCGATGGGCGCTGCTCTCCCGCGAAGCCATGATCGCTCTCTTCACCCGACTCGACAACCAGGTCGTCGAGTTGCTGGGTACAGCAATGTACGAGACGCTCTGCGAGGAAAAGCCGACGGAGCGGGCATTTGCCCCGAGACCACTCGCAGTCGAACTATCTGCCCCTGCCTCCAGATCCAGCTCGAGCTCTTCATCCCCGATGTCGATTGACACGCGCCTAAACCACATCTTCCACCGCCACCTCGACATGGCCGAGGCAATGGAAGCCCTCCCAGACCTGCCACCACCCCAGGAAGACGAAAGCAGCTCGACGAGTCCGACACCACTTCCACCGGATGACCCGCAAGGCCACTTCCCAACAGATCATATGGATGCGGAGCTCCTACACATCTGGCACATGGTCGCACACATGTGCGTCGCCATGGCACCGGGGACAGCGCCTGAAGAGGCGTGGGATGACTTCTTCCCGGAGTTCGAAACGATTGTCGGCTTGGCTGAAAGGTATCTGGGACGGTCACGGTATTTCACACTCTACAAGCTATCTTACACTATCAGCACTGGTCGGTACTGACTCTTATTTTCCTTACGCAGACCCTCCGGCCAAAAGCGCAAGTTCGGATTCAGCATCGGCGTCATCCCAGCATTGTACATGGCCGGCGTCCGATGTCGCGAGCCGCGGATTCGGCGGAGAGCGATCAGGTTGCTTGCGGAGTATCCGCGGCGGGAGATTATGTGGGATTCAACTGTTACCGCAGAGGTTTGTCGACGGGTTATGGAGATCGAGGAGGGAACAGTGGCAGCAACGGGTGGTTGTCTCGGAGATGATGATAGCAGTAGTGGTCCCTGGGCATCTGGATACGAGGGATCGGGGATAAAGTTGGTAACGAGAGTCAGGAATGTCAGTGCGGTGCTTGACGATGACGGTGGGGCGCGATTCGAGTTTCAACAGTGATAGAATTCAAATATCTATGTAAACTAAACTCAACAATACACTTTGGATATGGAGAAGAAGAAGAAGAAGAGGAAGAAAAGGAAGAAGACAAAGGAAGAAGACAAAGGATATTCTACCGTCGCCTTTTACAGCGTCGGCCACTGAACGACAAAGTCCTCGACGACCGCTGTCCCGTTCATCAACGCCGCCTGCTGATTCGCTGTGCACGTTGTCGCCATACTGAGAGTGTAGCAGACGGGAACTGCTGGCTCGGGGAGAACGTTCTTGATGTGGAATGACGACAGAGGCCCGCGAGTCCGATATTTGGCACCTTCAGGTCCTGCCAGGGATACCTCTCCCGTTGCAATGTCCCTCGAGCGCATAATCCGGGAGAACAGCCTGAAGAATGTTTCCGGTTGGTAGGAGGGTCCTAGTACTCCTTAGCAATTGATCTCGTGTGGCTGAGTTTCGCGTCTTACCTTCATGCCCCGCCTCAAAGACCCGTGTGAACGAGAGATTTCCCTGCTGGCGGACGACACCACCCACATATGTGCTGTTCGTGGTCAAATCGGCGTACCCGCTTGAATGGAACGCAGCGGCATCTTTATGGTCGATCGAGAGGCTGACATTCTCACCACCGAGCCCTGCCATGGTTAGCACGATTCTCCGTCAAGTCATAGGTTTCGTACAATTGCAAACGTAGTCTCGGTCTCCATAGACAAGATTAAGCTTGACCCCCTGCGCCATGATCGAGGCAAACTCGTCCATTGCCTTGGTTCGAGTGATGAGGGCGTTTCCGGTCATTCCGAATGCTACGGCTGTTAGTGCTGGGACTCTTTCTTGAACTGGCGAATGCGATAAACATACCATTGTACACGGCGTTGGAGTTGCTCGTGTAGTTCACCTTTCCCCCCAACGCCTCTTGAACCCACTGTCGATTGAAGAATCCATCCGCATATGGGGCCGGGTGTGTGGTTGTTGGAATTGCAGCGAGATCATGCACGTCGCGCTTATCTCAGTTAGCTAGAATTCAACATCTCAGCACTGGACAACTCACTCCAGATAGAGCATAAAGCCCAAGCACATTCAGATAGCAGTAATTATCAGCCGCAAGACACGCGGCATTGACCTCGGCATTATTCCCCAGATTCTCTGGATCCAGTTCATCGGCTAGTGCGTGACACTGCTCAACAAGATCGAAGCAACCTCCCTCCTTGACGATATTATCCTTGGCCAGAAGATATTCCTCCTCGTTGAGGGCTTGAACATTGTACGTGTTGTTATAGGCGAACTCGGGATAGAAGTTGCCCTGGGTGATGACATCGCTACATCCGTTGTGGATGCTGAGCGTCTTGACCTTGATCTGCGTGGGGGACGAGACTCCGTCTAATGTGCCGTTGTGGGGTTTGGCGTTTTGGTTCAGGATGTAGGATGTAAACGCTGGGCCGTATCGGCCTCCGAACTGTCACTGTTAGTTGGTTCTGGTATGTGTGCATGAAGATGAGAGACGGGAGTACCGATTCGGTCCAGATGTGGATGTTATTCTTCTCGTGGGATTTGTACTCGGGGAATCTGCTCATGTCAGTCGTTCAGTCTATTGTATTAGGGAGGAGGTCACTCACTCATTCAACCAAACCTGCAGAAACCCCCACATATCAGCCGCCGCATTCGTGGTCGAGTTCGCCGTCCCATTGAAATCCTGCGACCCAAAGACCCCGACATTAAACGTCGCGTTGACAGCCGGCACATCCTGCCCGTCCTCGATCGGCGTAATTGCACTAGTCAAGTAATCAATCATCGCAGGCGTGAGCTCATCATATGAGAACCCCGTTTGAACCGGCTGATCGATCCAGAGGATATCCGACTCCGCTGTCCATGACCACGGGTTCGGCGAGGTGCTGTTTGAGTCGGGGTTTACGTTGCAGGGCCCCGTTCCTGTTGCCATTGCGCCGATGGAGGATGCGCCGGGGCCGCCGCCGAGGTAGATGGCCAACGGTGCGTTGGACTTGGAGGTAGACTTGGCATAGTAGAAGAAGAGGTTCCTCCAGTGCGGGAGGGCGTCGGTGCGTTTTGGGGGGAGATGGATGTAGCCGGTGTAGGCGTTGATGTCGTCGAGGGTGCAGATGGAAGTCTGATCTGTTAGCATCTGATACCGGTTGGGGAGATTGGGACGTACCTCTTTGTATGAAATACTCGCACCCTGGATCTTCTCCGAGGAAATCGTGCCGAGGCCATCGCGTGGGACCGCACAATGGGAACCTGCGAGGGCCCCCGAGATGAGGAAGGGCACGAAAGACCGGAGTTGCATCTTGAGCGGTTGAAGTTCTGTTTCTGCTTCTGCTTCTGAATATCCTGAGGGTGAGCCCAGCTATTTATCCCCCTCGATTTCCTCTTGTATAGAGTGGTGGATCCCCCTTTGGGTTAGCCTTTGGCGAGATTTAGGCTTCCGTCAATTGGTTCATATTGTTCCTCGCTTAGCACTAACCGAACATGGTTTGGTGGATTTCCAGAATGGGGCCTCAGGAACATGCATGGCAGTTTCAGAGCACTTCGTTGGGACTGTCTAATAATAGGTATATTGCAGTATTGGTCCTGGGCTACGGCATCGGCTATGAGACGACATTACGGGCAACGAGAAAGGGTTGCGTGTGCGTCTCCGGGATTTTCATCTGCGCCAATGCTAGGTAACTCTCTAGGTCGGAATCGAGGGCCAAGAGGTCTAGAGTAGGCCCGAGGCTTATTCGAGGCAATCTGTGCGGATTATGGCCACCGAATGGAGAACTCAGGGAGACGAAACGAATCAAGCCCGACGCTGCCCGCGCCTCGTGACAACATCCGAGCCAGAAGCGGTCCGGAACACCGAAGTGGAAGACGGCATATCATGAAGCGAGATTTGCCTCTCCTGCGCAAGTTCCGCAGCTTCCTTCCTCGATCGCTCGGTAATCCACGGCAGGAAATTGAACGCAAAGCCACAAATAAAGACGCCGATCCACAGAACCAACTCGGTCCCGTATATCACCATTCCGAGGACATCTATTCGGCGCTCGAAAACTAAACTTTGTCAGCATGTACCCTTCACTTGCAGCAGGATATACATTACATACTGACGGATACCAGGGAGAATAAATCGCCCGCGGCGTCGATGCCGACAAAGATAAAGCTGATTCCACGCACGGTTCGGTGTACGTATATATCCCAGTAGTGTCGGAGTACCCCAGCAGCTAATAACGAGGCACTGAGGACGGCCATGAGGATCATTGGCCATTCAAGGTGGCGGCGCTTTGCGACCCGGAGAGCGAAAATCAGTCCTGCCTCGATGCCGCCGAGGAGGAGTAATAGAGAAACGACTGCAGCAGTGCATTTTCGGATCGAGTATTTCTATCTAATGTCAGTGCCCGCATATACGTGACACGGATTGTTTGAGAACCGACCTTTCCGTAGTAAAGGCATTGCGCCCAGGTCACAAGACTGAGAAATGTCAATATTTGCGCCTGGACTCTCAGTGCGACGTTGAGTTCTTCGACGATGTTGTAGACGCCAAGCGGGACTCCAGCAGAGGCCCATAACAGCATCATGGACCCCTGCAAACCTTCGGTGTTGTGTCGTCGATAGTTGATGAAGATCTGAGGCAGAAGCTGCGCATGATTAGTGTGAAGGGATGTAAGTGGCGGGGGAGTGAATGAACCTGGATTGACCAGCAGACCTGGCATAGTATGTTAGTCCCAAAACGACAGAGCACGCAGATGACTTACTGCCCCAGTTGTTCCTAGGATATTTGCGGCGATTGGGATGTCCATGACTCCATTTTGAGGTGGATTGTGGAGGATTCTTGGAGATTGAGTGGGAAGAAAAGTGGACGCTCATCATGTGATTGGGAAGGAGCTTAAAGGTGATTGGATACATGTACATCAGGGTGGATAAGATGAGATCTCATGAATTTATACTTGTCATGAGATTGTACGAATCCATTCAAGGGTGCACAACTTGGCTATAGGGTGAATGTTCTGAGCTCAGGATCCTTCATAAGCAGGTGGCGCTGTGTAGGGCTCCTCGTACAGCGGAGGAATTTCACTCGTCTGACCTGGGCTAGGGGACTTCTCACAGACATTTTGCCGAACCAAGAGGGGAAAGGTTGCTTTAAAGGACTTTACTGGGTAGCGACGATCCAACAGGTCGCCTGTTCCCTGGTGAAAGGTATCCTCCCCCGTCACAACCTCTAAGTTCAACCGATGATCCACCGTAACTGCCAATTGTTCCTCCTCACTTTCGAGGTCCGGTGTTGAATGATGGCGTTGGTAGGAAGCCAAGCTGGTGGTAGTATCCGACACACCGATACCTCGAGGTACACTGACTTCGAAGGGGATTTTGATAGAATCTTTCCCATCTTGCGATCCACCCGGCGCGACCCACCGGCCTTTAAGCCGCCCCTCGGATAATCGGCGAGTGTACTGGTGTAGGCAAGTCCTCGTTTGACGATTAATGCCGACGCACTTGACAGTTTCCTCGATCGACCAATGCAACTCTTTCGCGATGATATATTTAAGATCCGATGCCCGTTCGCCACGCGAGACAGTCGACCGGGCTAGCCAGTGAAGAGCGTATGTTATCCCTTTCTCCGTGGACAGTGGAGTGATGTCTAGCTGCGTGGTGACAGAATCACCCGGGTAGCGCCGCAGGTGAGTTATCGTGCGCGGTATTGCACAGTGCACCATGTCGATGGGTTGAGATGCCTGCAGTTGCGGTTGCTCTGCCCCGGGGGCAGGGGTTGATACTGTAGCCTCGACGGTGTATGATATGCTTCCGCCGACACTGTCTATGGTTGGGGGAAGATTGGCCGGAATAGGGATGTGGAAGATGAATCTTAGCCACGTTCGGCCTTCGCCGCCATGACAATCTATCTCATCCGGTGCGTGACAGATGTCATTGCGAGCGATGGCCTGGCGGTGAGCTCGCCATGTTTGACGCATGACGGGTGTTGTTTGTCCCCTGGGAGGCGATTCTTTCCAAAGTCGTATTTTCCGCGGCTTGGTCTCCCTGTGCCTTGTGGTTGTCGAATTGAATTCTTCTATCTTGACGCATCGCACCAAGCTGACTGCGATCCGGGGTAGGCTACCAGACAAACCCGGTAGATCTGATGTTGGAATCGCCATCGACACACACCCCACTATCGACGGCGCTTCAGCCTGGTCGGTGGACTCTGGTAGTAGATGAACATTAGGGACCTTCAGCTGGAAATCAAACATCTCCATGTCATGGTCCAAGTGGAAATGGAACAGACTGGGTCTCCATAAGAAATCAGATGCAGATGTATTGAAAATTGAGGAGGTCCCTGTGACTAGTCTTTGTCATGCGATAGCGTGCTCGGGTGGCCTTCCGAACCCCAAATTGGAAGCCAAGACTCATAGCTCGAAAAAGTGTGGGGCCCAGGCGACCTGGCTCGTTCCAGGCCCATCTCTATGCCGAGGTATATTCACGCTGGATGTGTTGCATCCTTGTGTCCGGAATAAATGAGACTGTCCAGCGCCTTAGATTCTTGAAGTTCTCGGAAGTACCAAAAGCATCACGACCATTCTTCGTTTACAACATGGCAGTAGTATTACCACAGGAAAGCGGTCTTGAGCAGTCTCCCCCAGCTGGTTCAGCTAAAGGCTAGTGCTCAACCTTAAACACTTTGGTGACATGCGCGTTTAATTTAGCGGTACCTGCACTCTCAGATACAGTTGATGTGTACCCATGGTAGATGGATCAGAGATCCCGATGCAAAAATGAACAAGCAAAGGGATGGGTGGCTAGCCGATCAATGCATAGATGCATTCTGGACGGATGAATGATAAAAGAATGTAAATAGAAGCGATGGGGATGCTAGTCATAGAACAAAGGATAGAGGGGCCAACAGTACTCTGCATGTACCAGCACCCCCATAGTTCATTAACGTCGACCAAGACAGGTAGCTAACATCTTCATGTAATAGTTCAATATCTATGTACAGATCCCGGAGTAGCAGGCATCCCCCAGGCAGAATTCATCCCCGCTTCCACAATAACCATAGATGCTGCAGCAATCCCCAAACCCACTATCTGGACATGCCTTGTTACCTGCAAACATTGGGCCGCAAGACCCATCAATGCGAGGCCATCCGATACCTGTCTTGCAGGAACCCGAGTAGCAATTGCCCAGCCACATGCTCAACAGAACCCCCCATACCTCGGCGAGAACATGCTTTTGGCGGAATCCTATCCATATATACCTCCGGACCACCCCATGCCGGCGATTTGAATGATGATGACGATAATGGGACGCCGGCAGGAAGAGGACTTGTTGCACCTACTCCCGAGCCGTCTCTATCTTGACGTTGGGCAGAAGGGTGGCTTGAGTAAGATAGAATTTCGGTGATAGTCAAGGACAGCGTGTGGGATATTTCTTGGAGCCTAGCTAGGATAGTAAAGAAACCAATGATTTCGATCATTTATTTGTGATGATACTGTGGTTGTGGATGAAGCTTAGCTTAGGAACGCCGGACATTTCGGTGAGGTCACTTGACCGATGAAGGAGGGGTTGTTTCTTGGCCTACTTGGTCTTTGTGATGTGTCCCCAGGAGTTCAAAACACTCTGTATCAAGTCCATCAAGTCCATCAAGTCCATCAAGCCACGCGCGATGTCGTCACCCATCAACTCAATGGAGGGAGATATGAGCAATGAGCCATTTGACCCTCTTCAATGCGCACGATTATACAATGCTATTATTCGACGGGCTTCCGTAGAAGTCAGAGAGAGCGAAGAGGCGACTCTCTGCGACGGAACTGGTTCGAAGTCTACGAAAACGACCCAGTGCTGGAAGAATACTACGATTCCATTCCTCCGCAGCTGATTCCGTTTTTTGAGTCGATCGAAATCGCCGTTGGACCTGATAAAAAGCCTTACCCTCGCGACGTTCTTGTCCACCACCTCCAGGCTATCGCGTCGCCTGCGGCTATGTTTGTCCATCACAGTGACTCAATGGAGGGCTGCATTGTCCTGTTCCCGAATAATTCAAGCCAGCCGACTTGCATTGGAACGGTAATGGAGCCCGGGTTGCTGGTTACCTATGCGGCCAGTGAAGAAACATTCCCGCCGGAAGATAAGGATAACTACTGGTATCCGCTGTCTGACCTCCTAAACAGACTACTGAAGATGATTATGGTTGGCAAGTACAAGGCGGTTCCCTACGACCAGGTCAATGAGGACAATAACCCTTTTTGCGAGGGCCCCAACTACTGGGAGGTCATATCCTGGAATGAGTACATTCTCAACCAAGCGGTGGCGGCCTACGAGGGACTTATAGAATCGATCACTAGTCGGTTACCTCCATCAAGCCAGGAGCAAATATCAAATGAGAGGGCACCTATTGCCACAGTGGACGCCCTGGCACAGGACATCCAGGGCTTCCCGAGAGCGTTCCTTTTCAAGGCAGCGAAACCAGGCTTCAAGTTCATCGCCCCAGGCTTGACAGTCTATGATACCTCAGATCCACCTCTGTCCGTTCGCCACGCCGTCGGCGCGGACATGGTCGACAGAATCGACCACCCGTACCGCGAAGTCTCTTGCCATGAACTAAGGCACGACCCGATCGTGCTATTCCCATCACTGGAGCATCAGAAGCACAGAGACGAGCAAACTGGCCTCTGGATCCTGCCCACATGGGGCTGGGCCGATACCGTCAAGCTCGTCCTCCCATACGATCTTTTCTCGTATCCAGACTATCGCGGAACGATGATGGACTATTCGCCAGCAGAGGCAGGCTTTGTACCGACACGGGCGACGCTCTGGGAAACACCTCATACCTGCCCTTTTTTCTATGAGCATGGAACGAGGTTAGTCAGCATCCTTGATCGCTGGAAGGATCTTGTTGAGTCTGGGGTGTGGACGGTTGGCGAAGAGGGCGTAGAGGGTGGGATGGACTTTTACCGACAGGCGTCGGATCCTCAGAGGGCGGAGGATTTCTGTATAGGACAAATTTGTTTCAATGTGCCAGATGTTGATGAGGGAGATGGAGATGTAATGTGGGATACTTGAAGCGATGTGAAAGAGCCCATTGCCTGGGGTTCCTGGAACGTATCCGCTGATTCTAGATGGGAAAAGTCTTTCTGCTGAGGAGTATATGGAGGCTGTCAAGAGGAACTGGATGTAATTTGTTTCCATTAGGTCTTTTTCTTTTGTCTTATGGCGGGATTGCCAGTTTATTATCATTGAGCATTGCCTTTTAGCTCTCTTCCAGCCGAGCTTCTCCAAAGGAAATACTATTCCTCATCAGGGTAAAGCGACTGCTCAGACAACTATGACAGAGAGGCCTTGCCAAAATGGTCCAGCCGTCCATACAGACTACGAAGTATCGATGGCCATATCTGGTCTTTTACACTCGCCAGATCCTGATTGGTTTATATCAGAGGCCTCTGCACCTACATTTTGCTTGAGGTAGACATACTCTGGCGATTAAAGCTGGAGGAATAACCGGAACGACCTGGCCCGGTTTAAATCATCAGGAACATGGTTGGTTCACTTTTGGGGTGAATACTAGACGGGAAAGCGGGGACCCGTAAGCAGGCTGCATTAGCGTGAACGTAGCCTCCAACATCGTCAAGGAGATAAGATAGGGACATTGGGAGACATGGGTGACCGAACCTTGAGTGTTTTACGCTTTCTCAGCTGTCCGCAATAGAACTCTGTCGCACTGACACCGTTAAATCTTAACGCGAAGGCAAACCAGCCGATTCGCGGTTTAAGGTAACCGTCGGAATGATAGGGGGAACATTCCTTCCATCCTCCCGGCATTTCTCGCGGACTGCGATCGAAGATAAGGGGCCCCACAATATGCAGGTCCACACGAGATATCATTCCTCAGCAACGGTTATGGGTCAACTTACTCCAACATTTGACGTTCCTGGATCTCAGATAAGGATACTTTACAATATAAATAACAATACACGGCCGGCTATTATAGGATCACAACCACCCCAACACTTTCCAGACGACGGTACCGATGGTCAAGTTCCCGCATTCCGCCGCGGTACTTCTCGGGGCACTGCCAGTCCTCGATGTGTTCGCCTCTGTGGCTGCTGAAACTGCCCGTGGCAGGGTGGCCGTCCTCAACGGAGTCCCATACTACGTTGGGGACATCGCCGTGGCACGCATCGCAGAAGTTGCCCTATCTGCTGCAAACCTGCTGCCAGAGGTAGATGTGGTGCCTATCACTGTCATCTCCAGCAATTCCTCCTCGTTCACTAGCTCAGAGCTTGACGGGGTCATTGCAAATTACCTGGCCCGCGACGATGTCTTTAGCACTTCGTTCCTCGGGGGTAAGAAGCTGGCTCTTGCACCTTATTCGGTGAAACTGACTCGAAACAGCTGTCTATTTGAGCTACACGGGAAGCGGATCACCCGTGGTTGAGGATGAATCCATCGCCATCGCCGTCGACAATCATGATACCTCGCTCTTTTTCGCTTCACCTGCTTACGCTGTCAACGCGTCGCAAAGTGTAATCAAGGCATGTCTAACTGGGGAGTTACCAAACGGACCATACTTTGTCTCGACCAAATCAGGACATGTCTTTGAAGCTCATCGATTGTATGAGGACACTCATTATACTTTCCTCGAACCTGCCGTCAGCGACGGACAGGGTGGCTATCGCGTGCTTTCGGCAAATATCGAGGTCGGTCACATACCTCACGTTCCCTTTGCTCGTTGGCTGACTTGTACCCAGGGTATCCTCGGGCCTAGCATTGCCGTTCCATCTAGGCTGTACTATACTGTTACTCCCGAGAAGCCTTTAGCAGGGGTATACCCCCCTTCCCACCTGTACCCATCTGGAATTTGTAGAAATACTGACCAAATACAGCTCCGAATGGGCGTAAAGGACATCTTCCACGTCAAAGGCCTCCGAACAAGTGGTGGAAATCGCGCCTACTACTCCCTCTACGAACCCCGCAACGCAACCGGAACTGCAATTCAACGCCTCATTGATCTCGGCGCAGTCTTTGTCGGCAAAATGGGGACTGTCCAGTTTGCGAATGGCGACCGTCCCACTGCTGATTGGGTGGATTTTCATTGTCCTTTTAATCCTCGCGTATGCCACTCCTTCCAAGTTTCTTAAGCGCGGTCCGCGAATGCTGATCTCGCAAAGGGCGATGGCTATCAAGTCCCAAGTGGTTCCTCCTCGGGCCCCGGCGCCGGAATTGGCGCTTACGAGTGGCTTGACATCGCCATTGGCAGCGACACTGGTGGATCCATGCGCGGTCCTGCAGGTGCGCAGGGTGTATACGGGAATAGACCCAGTACTGGCGCTGTAGATCTCGACGAGGTAATTCCTCTGTGCGATGGCCTCGACACCACTGGTGTCTTTGCACGGTCTGCCGAGACGTGGTCTCGCGTCGTGAGTGTGTGGTATCAGGACTTTGGTGCCGACTATCCATCATACCCTGATAAGATCTTCTACCCGAGCGCTTCCTTTGGCGAGGATGCTGTGGCTAGTTCGGATGCTCGCAGGGTCATTGAACAGTTTGTGTCGAAATTTGAGAGGTTTTTAGGTACGAACCGGACACATGTTGATGTAGATGCGACCTGGAACTCGACGAAACCAGCTGGTGCGCCAAACACGCTTCAGGATATGCTTCATTATGTGCGTTCCCCGCATCCGACTGCTGTGACTTGTCCATTCTAACCGAGGATAGACATATGGAACACTAGTCTCTGTGTATCAATGGCTGCACTTGGGCGTCCCCTTATTCAGCGACTACGCCGCCAAGTACGACGGCCGCACTCCGTATATCAACCCTGGTCCTCTGCTCCGGTGGAACATCGGGCGTGAAAGGGGCCAGGCCGGATGGGATGAAGCCTGGGCGAACAAGACGATTTTCAAGAACTGGTGGAGTGGAGCGGCAGGGTTTGGGGCGCATAACAATGACAGCTGCTCTGACGGGATCTACATCTACCCAAATAGTATCGGGGCGCCCGACTACCGAGATGAATATGTTGGGTAAGTCATCTCGTCCGGTTATTGACTATCGCTAACCACGTATTTAGACCTCCAAGCCCTCCATACTGGGGCATGTCTGACAGCAACATCGCGGTCTTCGCCGGTCTCCCTGACCTGGTTGTTCCCAGTGAGTACATACCGCATGCCGTATCCTGACCGTGCTGGCTTGCTAATGCGGAGTAGTCGGCGAGATCCCGTATAACAGCACAAAGTCCGGAAAGACCGAGTACTTGCCAGTCACTATGAGCGTTGTGGCAGCGCGCGGATGTGACTTGATGGTCGCGTCCATGGTGCGTGAGATGGAGGCTCAAGGGATCCTGAAGCCTGTGGCGGCCGGGACGATGCTGTATCCGTGATAAATACTGGAATGTGAATAGGCTAGACATGTTTTGCTGTAGTTACACGCCGAATCGGTCATGCAAGGCTTAGAGAGCATAGAATTAAGTGGATTGTCGTTGATCAACTAGGGTGCGTACCGTCATCGAAGCAACTTCCTGAAATCACCTGGGAGAGCGCCTGAAAGCCAGGGGCGACGTAATGTGATTATGTCGGACCCAACTGCAGACACATGATACCTGAGGATACCCATGAGTCGCCCCAACTTAGCACTTATAATCCTCGAGAGCTCCAAATGTGTCGCTGGATTGGCCCCACACCTCGGTGCTTGACACAGGCTGGGAGTGGGTGCGGAATTGAATCGGGGAATGATATCGCACGTACGAGGAACCAAGCAGGAGATGGCAGACTGGTCGTTCCTGATGTTGTTATTCATGAACCCGGAAGACTGGCCCTCGACAAGTTTCACGATACGTGTTACCAAGTCCCGCCCCCCTAGACATTTGATGGAGATCTTCGAGCATGTCTCCGCCGGTATCTCTGCGGACGAGCCCTCATCCCAGTCCTTACCCGTTCATCGTAAACGTCGCGACCGAGATACGAGCTCGACCCGTCCCAGTCAGTGGTATATGAGGTGAAGCTATTACGAGCACTCGCGTTTGCAGGTAGGAGCGGTGGCGGTGGCGTGCACCTCCTAGCACTCTCACCCCCACCTCCATGGCGATTGTACATCCAGTCCTGGAACGCCTCCACCCTCAACGGGGCGAAGATGGCTATAGCGAAGAACACGCCTGTCACGGTAACTGTCGTATAGCATGTTAGCGGCGCATTTCTCAGGTTTCTGCGGGACTGCCTCACAGAGAATTGGGAACAGCCAATGAGCCTGGTACTCGATCGTTCCGTCGTTGTGTGGGAAGGCGGTAACATTGAGCGCAAACAGAGATGTCAGCCAGGACAGAGGGAGCTTTTGGTTTTCAAGTGATGATCAGTATAAGATCGGTCATGGCTCTTGGAGGTGAGTGTATAGGGGGCATACGAAGAAGATGGTCACGAGGGTAAAGACGTAGATGTTGTTCGACTGTCGCGCTGTGTCATTCGCCTGTAGTCGGCCAGCCTCAGTCTCCGCGAGGCTCGCCTGTTTCTGGCGCAAATCGAGAAGCGTGTCGATCTAAAGTCCGGAGCGAGTGAGTAGAGTAGTACAGCAACAGGGGACTTTGAGCCACTTACGGAACTGCGAGTCATCTCTGTCTCCACGATCATGCCATCGAGATCTCTGGCTATCTCAGCAGGGGTGCAGGTGAACCGGCCTTGCGTCTCAATGCCAGCAAAGGCTTGGTTCCAGACAATCTCCTGATCCTCGGCTAATGCTCGCAGCATGTGCAGTTCATCGTTGATGTCCCGGATCTGGTCAAGGAGCTCGGTTTCCTCGGAAATGATATGATGCGGGTTGTTGGGCAGCTCTCTGATCGAGGGGCGGCCAGTCCCTGACGAGATGCGCTCGGCGCGCGCCTTGCGGTTTTTGATCTCATCACGTAGGCCGCCGAGAAAATTCTGGAAGAGTACAGTTTCTCGATTGGCCTTGAGCAGTCAGTGCTAGTTTCGTCCGAGCTCTTTTGTTCTTTTGGCAAAGACGCACCACTTCTCGGATAGATTCGCGGAAAACCTCCAGGGGTCCCTTGGAAGTGCCATCTGCCAGTTGCACGCATTTTTCTATGAAGAACCCGGCAGCGGCCCCAAGAATCAACTGCATGACTGCATCCACTGATGTAGGTCGTTCGAAGCGGCCTCGGCCCTCGCCATAGGCGATGTCGTTGAGAACGCGGTGCAGCAGACTGCTCATCGATGAATCCCTCGAACTTTGCGGCGACGCGGTTGAAGCGTCCTCGGGTCTGTGGGATGTGCTGGTGATGATTGACTCTATGCATCAGAAGTTAGCCACAATCATCCTTGCTAAACTGACTAGTCATACGGTCGTCTATTATCCAAATCCACAACTGGTCGACCATCAATATCTGTTTCTTCTTTGACCGCGCGTCGAGATGCGTCCTGCTCGTCGATGATACCGGTTTCTCCTGGTGCTTCTTGAGGTATTTTGAAAAGACCTGGTTCTCGTCGCGGTAACTTGTGTCGGAGATACCCGGGTAGTAGTATTGGTCGAGCGTCAGAGGGACATGAGCGATGTGCTTCGCGTCTCTTCTGCCTATCAAGTCATCATCTCCATTGTCTTCGCGCCGAGAAGGGGGTTGCCTTGCGGCGTTCTTTGGATCATATTCACCCAGTGTCAGATAGGGCATCTGTCGTCCATCTCTGTGAGCTCAACGATGAGTGAAACGCGACAAGGTCTGATCCACATACATAAATAGCCGTGCAAGTTCTCTTTTTACCGGCTTCTTCTATCTCCGCGCGCTAGACGTTCCAGGCGGGTTAGAGGAAATCTTTAATAGATGCACGGCGCACTTATACCAGACATAGTGGCTTCATATAGTGCTGCCTTGCACCTGCCCCGAGTTCAGTCCAGCTTCTGCTGAAGAACTTCATGAGGTTCCTATGGTCCATCTCCGAGCGGCCCGAGTCGTGGGACAGTCTCGTCACCAGGTCCTCGATTAACTGCATCTACATTGACGATTAGCACCCCGTTTCAGTGGGATAGCCAGGGCGCGTCTCAAACGTACCTCATTCGCAGGTAGATGGATCCAACGAAGCTTCAGGTTCTCCGCGGGGCTGATCGCGCTGTAGTCATACCGAGGCAGGCGATGGCCGACGGGCCTCCCAAGTGCGCCAGACGGCGGTTCAGACAAATTCCAAATGTTGGGAAGACCCTGATCATCACTCGAAACACTCCCCAGCTTCTTCTTCAAGATATTCAAGTCCCTCTGCTCGAGCATTTCCACACCTTTGATCAGGGCGTTTGGCCCCTGGCTATAGATTATGCCATGCAGAGTAGCTCTTGCATATGGCACGACAGCGTTTTCATTATGCAAGTAGACATTCATAATATAGCCATGGAGATACAGCCGTTGATCCATCCAGTCTGTCGGCCGCGGCGGAAACGGCGGTTTGTCGTCGATGGGATTCACAATCTCGTACATCTGCGGCGGCGGATTGCGCAGCAGGTCCTGGATAATCATTCCAATTGCGTCTGTGCGGACGAGGGGCTCTCTGCGGCACTCCCTGATTTCATCACCGGATCGGTACCCGCCCTTTGAGAGAAGCCACCAGACCACCACGGCCGTGGATCCATAAACCGCCCAGTGAAGAGCCGACCAGTGTCTGACATCTGTCTGTGGCGGGGCGGGTAGCCAGCGCTCGAGGAGATACTGTAAGACGACTTCGCGACCCGGCTTTTCCCACTCGGCCAGTATTTCGAGGAGCTCGCTTGCTTTGATCGCATTGATGGGATCACCAGTCACCGAGCCCAGGGTTTGCAGCTCAGTAAAGAACAGCGCCTGCAGGCGCCTGTGCTTTCGGCTGATGGACAGCGTAAGGGGCGATTCTCGTTTGTTATCCCAGTGAATAATTGCAGTAGCCTTTGCGCAACTGGCTTCGTCTGGGCTTCGACTCTGCCCTGCTATGATTTGGAGCAGCGCCTGGGCTGTCTCGAGGTGACCGTGTGTAGCTGCAACGTGCAGAGCAGTGAGACCCCCACGCGCTTCCCTGGCGGGATTAACCTTGCCAAGTAGATTATTGATGATCCCACTATGTCCGTATTGAGCCGCCACATGAAGCCATGTGGCCCCTCCCACTGTCCAGAAGACTGCGTTGGGTCTGTACTTGAAACACTGTCGCATCAGCTCAAAGCGCCCATGTGATACGGCCCAGTGCAGTAAAGGCTGTAGATCCGAGTCGAACGAATAACGGTCCTTCTCAAATCCCTTGGAAAAGGCCCCGACGACTTTCGCAGCTGGCTTTTGGGGCTCAATAAACGCCTTCTGCGCGGCGGGATCCTCTGGGAAGTACTCGGTCGTTCTGACTATGTCAAGCATAATGTCCACAAACCCTTTACCTGCGGCTGTGACGAGTGGTGTGTTGCCATCAACATCCAGAGCCGTCACGGGGACATTGTATTTTAGCAATGTGCGAACGTCGTCGACCACCCCCGAGCTGCAGGCTGCATGGAGCGGGGTGAAACCCCCAGTCATGGCGAGGGTGGCGTCCGCGCCGCGGCTCAAAAGGATATCGAGGCATCCACTGTCAGGCTTCAGGCATGCATAATGAAGAGGCGTCCTGTTCATAGGGTCTTGGCTGTTGATATCAGCGCCGAGATCAAGAAGGGTCTCAATTAGCTCGCGGCTGTGCGATTGGCATGCGTCCATCAACGGCGTCGATCCACGACGGTCCGGTTGGTCGACGACTGCGCCCCTCACCACGAGGTAATTAAGGTACTCCGGGTGTGCTTCAAAGCCTTCGGGCGCAGAGTAGTGGCCCTCAATCACAAGATGTAAGCAGCCTCTCTCCCCGGAATCCACCGCGGTAGCCGAGGCGAAATGGTCGAACAGAGCCTTCATGACTTCACCCTGTAGATGTAGACATGCAAGTAGCAAGGGAGTCCGGGACCCACAATCCAACTCCTCTATACGCGCTTCGTTCTCCAGTAAGGTCGAGACAATGATGTCATGCCCATGCATGCTCGCCAGGTGCAATGGCGTGCGTCCATACTCACCCACTTGATCAACCGGCAGAACTCGGGAAGTACTATGTCAGGCGTGGCCAGCAAGGTTTGAGCAGTCGTCGACTTATCCTTATCTTCGACTTGGAGCGTCAGGTCGGACAAGCAGGCCTCAGTACGTGACGACCGCAGGGCTTTTGCAAAGTTCTTTTCCTCCAGGTCAACGACGTATCCTGCCACTCTGGCTACCATAGGGCCCGTCCATGGACCTTCCATGGTCGGATACTGTTGGAGTAACGAGAGGGCCTTTCGTCGAACATTATGGCTGCGACATTTCAGAGCTGTGAAGTAGAGTGGTGGGAAAAAGCCCGTATCTATGGTGAAGGAGGGATCTAGTTTGCACGAGGCGGATTGAGATGCTGATCCCTGCGTGGCGAACTCATCATAACGTCCAATGAGCGACTTGAACACGGATAGATGGGCATCATAGGCAGTCTCCTTGATGGTCAAACAAGTGCCGATAATGATGATGAACATGTCAGCATAGATGCGGAGCATCGTGAGCCCAGTCTGTTGCTGAGGGGATATGGTGAGGGAGAGAGAAACGACTGAGCGCTCATAGCTTGCGACCCATTCTGACATGGCTACTCGGAGGGCTTGCTGTTTTTCCAGCTCGGTCGCACTTGGTACAGGGACCTGGATGCCACTGACGTGCGCAGTTTGCTCGAATTCCTTGCAAAGGTGGATCACGGCGACAACGATGGAGGTAAATGAACGTCGTGCCTCATCACCAGTCTGGAAGAGAGGCAGAATGTGGATACGCCGGCTATAGGAAAAGGAGGACACAAACGTCGCTTTACGCTGGGAGCTGTTGCCCAGCGTGAGGAATTGCAAGTTTAGTTGAGTGAACACGGTGACTAGATGATCGTCGTAAGCCAGGGGATCTTCTTTGACGAGAACCATCTCGCTTGTTATTCGCGATCGATCCTGCCGACTCTGCAACTGAGTCAGCAGTTTCACGCCGGAGCTGAAATGTGCCTGCATGGCATTCAGATCGCCTCGCAGGATCTCCAGGCAGATGAACAGGACAGACGAAACAGCGGCAATGCGGAGTGAGGTGGGGTTTTCCGACTTGATGCTTGAGGTCAAAGCTCGGATTGCTTGGTTGTACTGCCGCAGGAGAAAAGGAACATTGGATGCTGTATGACCCGGAGGCTTGATCCCCTGACTGGGCAAGAACAGCTCGTACGCTGACGTGAGAGCGATCGAGGCATGGACAACGGCAGGCTCCGACAGAGACATTTGGAGCACCAACGAGTCCCAGAAAAAGGAGCCAAAAGGCTCGGCTAGCCTACCAACTACAAGATGCTGGAAGCGGTGCAGGTGGCCACGTTCTTCTTGATCGAGACCGGGCACAGTCTGAGGAGGATACAATACGGACAACGACTGCGACTTTGGCCGGGACAGTACGCCTGCCGGTGGGCTCCAGATCCCATAGCCGTCACAGGCTCTCCCCGTGGATATACACTTGGCGCATGACGGTCGTTGCTCATCGCACTTGACTCTGCGGATCCTGGGTTTCGTTAACACCGAACGGCAACATTCGCAAGAGAGCGCTAAGCCGATAGCTTACTTGCAGGTGCGGCACCCTGACTTCACACGAGTCGTCTGTTTGCGGCGCTTGATCGTGGCTGGGAGGGCTGGTTGGGTAGCCATTGCTGTGTGAGGTGCGGAGGGGAAGCAGGGCCTGCTCGTCGTCGACCGGAGATAAAGACCGCGTTTACGGGGCGGAAAATGTGGAGTCTTGGTGGGGCAAAAACTTGGGCGCTTCCTATTCGCTGCGTCGTTTTTTCTGTCCTGTGATTGGTCGATTCTCACCTGGTGCGTTTTACTCCTTTTGGGGGTTCTGCTATTGAGCTTCACATCTTGAGCCACAGAGAGCCGCGGGCGATTAAAGAGCGACGTGGTTATGTTTGGAAACTACTGGAATCTCTTTCAATGAGTGTAAGCCAGCGGAGTTAAGTCTGCAATAATGTCCTTCAACCCGAAACTCCCTACAGTCCGCGAAATATATAACGCCAGCCAGCACCGCACTGCTCTCATGGTGTCTATCAAACACAACATTCCTCAGTGACACTTTATCGAGCACAGATTCCCGTCTAATATACTTTGCCCGTCAACTCGCAGAAATGGCTGTCCCCACCAGAGCCCTCGGCCGCAATGGCCCCCAAGTCTCATCCATCGGCCTCGGCCTCATGAGCATCGGAGGCGTCTACGGCGCAGCACCCAGCGACGAAGAGCGTTTGGCCCTCCTGGACCACGCCCATGCAATTGGACAATGGTTTTGGGACACCGCCGACATCTACTTTGACAGCGAAGACATCATCGGCAAGTGGCGTGCAAAGAACCCTGACAAGGCGAAAGACATTTTCCTGGCGACCAAGTTCGGCATCCAGATGTTTGATGGTGGGATGAGACAGGTTCTTGATAGTAGCCCCGAATATGCTAGGTCCGCGCTGGAGAAGAGTTTGAAGAGACTCCAGACCGAGACGATTGATCTCTACTACGCTCATCGCGTTGATGGCAAGACCCCGATCGAGACCACCATGCAAGCATTGGTGCAATTCAAAGAGTACGTCCGTATTTTGTGATCCTTTTCTTACTTACCTTGGGTTTGCTAACAATAGCATTTTAGAGAGGGAAAGATTCGTTACATCGGTCTCAGTGAAGTGTCCGCCGCCACGCTTCGCCGTGCCCATGCCATCCACCCAATCTCCGCCGTCCAGCTGGAGTACAGTCCGTTTGCCCTAGATATCGAGCATCCCCAAATCGCCCTCCTTGAAACCTGCCGTGAGCTCGGTGTAGCTGTCGTGGCATACAGCCCGGTTGGTCGTGGCCTCCTGACTGGCAGGTATGCGACTCGCGAAGCGGTCACCAAGGACATGTTCCTCAATGCTCTCCCTCGGTTCTCTGAAGAGAACTTCCCTGCAATCCAAAGACTTAACGAGGTCATCAAGGGCGTGGCGACAGAGAAGAACATTACCCCGGCCCAGACTGCTCTTGCTTGGCTTACTGCGCGTGAGCCCTTTGTCATCCCGATTCCTGGAACGAGATCCATCAAGTACCTCGAGGAGAACACTGCTGCGGCAAAGATCCAGCTCACGACAGATGAAAACCAGATCATTACCGAAGCTGCCAATGCCACCAAGCTGGTTGGCGGTAGATATCCCACTAGGTAGGTTGAGAATGGAAAGCATGGTTAGGAGATGTGGGCTAACGAATATGATAGATTCTTCCCAGAGAATTATGAGTTTGGTGACACACCTGCGCTTTGATCATGATAGGGACACGCTCACGACATGGAACTCGCTGACGAAGGGCTGAATTGGTAGGATAAATTTAAATGCTTAATTGGATCCAAATCGCCTGTTTAATACGCCTCTTCATGGCTTATAGTGATCTAACTTACTAGAAATAGGTAAATAAATTACACTACCCTCTCGATAACCCCCAGTCTTGGGCAAAAGGTGCGTGAGATCCGGTGTACTGTCGTAGCACGCAAGAGTAATTGCCTTGTCAAAGCCTGCGTTCACGAAGGAGTAAACTCGCGAGACAGTCTAGGCTGGAGAAAGCAGCGTTGCTTGCTGTGGGGATTTCTGAATTAGCCCCAAGTTGAAAAAAGATGTAGAAAGGCAGACTTGCCGTGCGCATATTCGAACCCCCTGGAGTAGGCTGCAATGACAATAGTCTTAGTCGGCTTCGGTAGGGTTTGAATGTAGTCGATGGACAGCATCGCCTTCTCAATGATCTGTAGCCAAGCCAGCACATGAGCGGTTGCCGTGCCGCATAGCCGTATTTTCGAACATACCGTGTCTTTTTGCGGCTGATCCCTCAAGCTGATACCAAGCCCGTGCCTTACAGTTCCTTGTAATACTGCATTTGTTATAGAAAGGCGAAGAACTGCTCCCGTGTTGGCGGCGAGGTAGAAACTGGAAAATTTCCGCGGCGTTTCTCTACAGAGCGCCGGCAACACTCGCGCAATATTGCAGCTCTGCTGTCCTTCGAGGGTGACTCTGTGGACCGGAAAAGCCGCCCACAATACAAACATTACCGATGTCAACCCGCCCTACGGTGAGACTCATTGGAGCAGGATGGAAGGATCCCGCTAATCTATTCAGGCGGATATCCCAAGTTTGTCAGCCAGGGCTTCAACGAGAATTATCTGCCCGTCTGGCTTCAAGCTGCTGGGTACAATACGTACTACACTGGCAAGCTGTTCAATTGCACGCTGTTGACAACTACAACTCGCCATTTGCGGGTGGCTTTACCGGCTCTGTAAGGATCCCATTTTATCTGTGGCAACATCGTTTTCACCAGTCCAGGATTTCCTCCTCGACACCTTTACCTACAATTATCTCAACAGCACGTTCCAACTGACCGGTGAGACCACACGTAGCTAACGAAGGTGAATATGTCACCGATGTACTGGCTGAAAAACATATCGACTTTTGGATGATGCGGTGGCTGCAGCAAACCCGTTCTTCCTCACAATTGCGCCCAGTGCTCCCCACGCGGATATTCAGATGAGCGGCAGCATTCTCGACCCGGACCCGGTGTTTGTTTTCGATGCCCCCGTCTCAGCGAAGCGACACGAACACTTATTTGAAGATGTAGTTGTCCTTCGAGGAAAGAACTTTAACCCAGATCACGTACGTAGGAATGTGAGCATCGGCCGAGGCCCTCTACTGACATGGATAGCCATCCGGCGCCAACTGGGTTCGAGGGCTCGAGCAGCAAAACAAGACCAATGTAGACTGGAATGACCACTTTTATCGCCAGCGCCTGCGCGCGCTACAGGCGGTCGATGAGCTAGTGGATGGCCTTTTCCACCGCTTGGAACAGCTCGATTTGCTGGACAACACGTACGTCGTATACAGCAGCGACAATGGTTTTCACATCGGGCAGCATCGCCTGCAGCCGGGAAAGTCCTGCGGGTATGAAGAAGATATCAACATTCCCCTGATTGTCTGTGGCCCCGGGGTTGCTGCAAACCACTCAACCGATATCGTCACCAGTCACACCTACCTTGCTCCGACGTTCTTTAGCTTACTAGGAATGCCACTCCGCGATGACTTTGATGGAAGGGCATTTCCTGTCACTGAAAGCGGCCTGCTTGCTGCACACGATCGTACCACGAGCACATCAACGTCGAATATTGGGGATTCGCTGGCGGCGAGGGAATATATCACGGTATGAAGCTCTGTCAACGATTCTTAAACATTGACCGTGCTAATATACCGGAATTTAGGCGAGTTGCACGAGAATAATACCTACAAGGCGATTCGAATTGTGGGTTCCGGCTATAACCTCTACTACTCGATATGGTGCAACAACGAGCATGAGCTCTATGATATGGAGGTACGATGAGTGTTCTAGTTTGCCCTGTAACACTATGTGTATGGCTGGCAGTTGACTAATGAGCACCATATCAGCTCGATCCAGGTCAACTTGACAACCTGTTTTTATCTACTTCCGCCGAGCCTGCCAGCACTGAAGCACGCGTTGCCGACTTGCCCATATTAAAGGTGATGGCCCGGCTAGATTCACTCCTATTCGTGCTCAAATCATGCAAGGGACAGACATGCAGGAAGCCATGGCAGGCCCTGCATCCTGACGATGATGTTTAAACATTAAAAGACGCATTGGCGCCACAGTATGATCACTTTTACTAGGTCGTGCAACGACGAGTGGAGTATACCTTTTGCTCAAATGGTTATCTGGTTGATGCAGAGGGGCCAATGTGGGAAACGGATGGTCTAGTATATAGAGGAGGTTTGAGATGGGATCACTGGGTATAATCGAGGAGAGATGTTTCAAAGACACACACTAGGGCTGCCCTGAGCGTCCACTCTAGGATAATCGATCTTGGAATTGTCATCGCTGAGTGTTTAACCCTGAACAAGGACCTTTCCCCATCCTCACTAGAGATTATACTTAAATAAAGGGCTCTTCTCCTCCATCTCATCCAGCTCGGTATCAGTATACCTTCCCCTAACTTCGTCTTCGGTGAGAAGCGCCTTCTTCTTATTCAACTTGAAGAGCGCAAACTCGAGGACAAGGCACCCAACGATACCGGCTGATGCAAAGGCAAAGGAGTTCCCATACCCAGTGACATATCGAGGGGCCTCTTTCTCCTTGTATATGAAACTTCCGATGAGCCCTCCGACGTTGCCCATACAAATCAAGTACCCAATTCCGATTGCACGCTTGATGGGATTGGGCGTGTTGGCGACGTTCCAGGCGTTGACACCAGGGAGGATGGGGTACATTCTGGAAGATCTTAGCGACTGATATGATGATTTGAAACATGGTAGAGGATAAATACCCAGCACAAGCCAGACAAACAGCGAAGTAGCATAACGGAATATTGTCCTCTATCTCTGCTGCATGAGTGAAGAGTATGCTAAAGGCAACCACCTGCGTCACCTGGGGAACGACAATGAATGGCATCCTCCAGCTATACCGGTCAGCAAATATGGAAAAGACCAGGGCGGACAATGCACCAAGTGCATAGGGTGGGATTGTGAGCAGCTGTGCCCGAGCTGAAGTAAAGCCCATTCCTTTAATGATCTGCGGCATGGTGAATTTCATAGCGTAGTTGGGAACGGCATTGGACCAGCTGCCAAGGATAAGCAGGTAGATTTTCCAATCAGTGAGGACACTGAGAATAGCGGCCCAGTCAACCCCTTTTTTCTGTGGCGTGCGGACGCTGTTTGCTATCTGGCGGAGATCGAGGAAGCGAATCTCGGAGGGAGTAAGCCAGCCGGACGACAACGAGGGGGCGTCAAGGAGGAGGAAAAAGGACATGATTCCAAGGACAACTGTGGCGAGGCCTTCGATGATGAAGATCTATGCAGCTTTAGTTGACACCCTTCTCGACATATACTCGTAACTTACCCATCTCCACCCCTCGTAGCCCGCCAGTCCGTCCATCTTCGCAATCCCAAAGGCAAGGAGACCCGAGACCGCTCCTCCAGATGCGGCCGAGGTATACAAAAGGGCAATTCGAGTCTGGGTCTCGCCCGGGAGATACCATTTCGAGATGATCAAGACTGCCCCTGGCAGGAATCCGGCCCTGGTACGGGTTAGATAGGTCAAGCATCAGAGCCGCAGGGAACAAACTCAAACAGGCCCAACAGAAACCTAATGGCAAGGAGCCCGTCGAAATTCTGGATGAACCCTGTGCACACCATAATGACGCCCCAGATGAATATCAACGATCCCAGGTATACCGATGGCCTTTTGAAACGGTTCAGAACCATGTTGCTCGGGACCTCTTTGCTTCTGTTAGTGTTTTTCTACTGGTGGAAATGAAAGACATACCAGCGAGGACATAAGGGATGAAGAAAATTGCCAAGGCGATGTTGTACTGCTCTCCGCTCATTCCCAGGCTGGGGAGGAGTCCTTCGATTTTGGCGTTGCCTATCATTGTCAGCCACGGATTGTCGCCTTCCAATCAGCCAAACCTACCAATATTTGTCTTATCGATGTATGCAAACAGATAGAGGAGCACCAGCATCGGCATCAACCGCAACTGTCTTCACATTAGCTATCTTGCCGGCGTACTGGGAAGGGTACTGGTACATCGACCTATGAGTAGACTCGTTAGCATCCAGCAGATAAAGCAGTAAATGGGAAGAAAATGCCCAGCGTACTTTTCGAAGCACTTTTCTCTTGTCCTCGTCTGCAAAGTTGGAGAGAAACTCATCATCTGACGGAGATAGCCCGTTCGCCGAGCGCTCCACATGCATTGCTATCTCTTTCTCGGGGAGGGCGTTCCGTTCACCTTGGGCATGAGGGGACGTCATTTTGAACCGAGCTTGGGTGATATGACGAAGACCAGGCTTTGGAGGATTGTCAAACCCCATGGGGAAGGGGTTGTTATAGTGAGAGGTTGTTACAGCCAAGACCTGGAGTATACCTGGCATGTCGATGCATTAGCATATGGAGAGATCGGATTATCCCCGGATTTGCTTCCACAAGGGTCTTTGGAGGGTGAAGGGCAAAGGAGAAGTTGATCCGGGGTGCTGTCAAGCAGACTCTTGCCTGGGTCCATCATCTTGTGGAGCAAGATCCGGGAAGTCCGTGGTTTCCGGAAGACCACGGGAACATTGGAGGCCGCTTGGACGCACAGCGATCGGTCGACGAGCAAGACAGCCGACCTATCGCAAACGAGGCCGTTCCAGTCAAGTCCGTGTTTTCCGGGGCCCAGTAAAGTGTCATGCTAATCCATCGGTTCCAAGCGAGGTCTTCCTGACTGTATATATGAAGGGCAGGCTACCTTGGAAATTGACCTTTGATATCCCACTGACACCTCCAAACATAACTGGTTCTTCTCCTTCCGGATTATTCTACCTTTGCTTTCTATCTTCTGTTTTATACTACACATCCTCTCATCAAAATGGTTGGCTTCGACATGCGCGGGTTGACACCGGCTCCCATTACCCCGTTCACGACTACCGGCGAAGTCGACTATGACGCCATCCAGCGCCTGGGCAGCTGGCTCGGCAGCATCAATGGCGTCAAAGGGCTTGTCGTGCTCGGTCATGCAGGAGAAGGAACTTTCTTGACGGCTGAGGAACAAGTCTCCGTCATCAAGGCATTCGTCAAGTCCGTCGACGACAAAATCCCCATCATTGCCGGCATCACGGGCGAGGGCACCGAAGTTGCTGCGTTGGAAGCCAAGCGCGCCAAAGAGGCTGGTGCAAAGGCTGGACTTCTCTACCCCTCGCATGGCTGGCTGCGTTTCGGATACCAGGACGGGGCCCCTCAAGACCGCTACCGCCGCGTGTACGAAGTCAGCGGCCTCCCGTTGATCCTGTTCCAATATCCCGACAACACAAAGGCTACTTACAGCCTGAAGACGATGCTCGACATCTCGGCACAACCTGGCGTCTTTGCAATGAAGAATGGCGTCCGTAACATGCGACGCTGGGACACGGAAATTCCAGTCATCCGTCGCGAACGACCAGACCTCCAGATCCTCAGCTGCCACGACGAGTATCTGCTGCATACAGCATTCGACGTGGACGGCTTCCTGGTTGGATACGGAAACATCGCCCCAGAGCCTCTGATTGAGTTGATCGAGGCAGGAAAAGCGAAGGACTACAAGAAGGCCCGGGCCATCCACGATCAGCTTCTTCCTGTCACAAAAAGCGTTTACCACCGCGGGTCTCACATGGAAGGCACGGTCGCTCTGAAGCACGCGTTGGTGGCTCGGGGCATTCTGTCACACGCCACAGTCCGTTCGCCTTTGCTCCCCCTTGAGCCGGGTGCTGAGGAGGAGATTTACGCTGCCATCGGGGCGGCTGCGTTGAGTAGGGTTGCTTAGGAAGGAGCCGTGTGCGGAAATATATAAGAATGATCATGTATATAAATCTTCTTGTGTCAGTTTACTTTCAACATAGCCCCAATAGAAGTGTTCGATATCTATCATCTATCATAGTAGTACTACCCTGATGAAGGATTCCACTTAGATGAATGAGTCGTACGATGCTGCTCCGAGGCCGGAGAGAAGGGATTAGGTAAGCAGCAAAGCAGCCTCCGTGTTTTCCGGTCCCCATCCGTGCTTTCTCTCCAAGTCTTGCGGGGACGCCGGAAATCTCATCGATCGCCATGTCGCTCTCAACACCATCAGACATTGGACCCGCCACTGCCTCGGGGTTGTCAACTCAACCACGCCGTGAACCCTCCACACCGACAAGTTACGGGTCGCCTGCGGACAATCGGCGAAAGCTTTCCAAGGTCAGCCGCGCCTGCGACCCGTGCAAGTCCAAGAAAATTCGCTGTTCGGGGACATTGCCGTGCAACACCTGCTCCCGACGAAGGCTTTCCTGCACATATGCAACTCGATACTCCCGCGGCCGACCACCCACCCCACCAGCTCTGAACAGCGAGATACCGGGAAATCCAGCAGATTCGACATCTCCCGGCCAAGGGCGGATAGGGACACGCCCGCCCGAGGAGAACAGAGAAGAGGAGGAGGGTCGCGCAACTTCGGAGCTGGTAATCGAGGGTCAGTACTTTGATCTGACGTCTGGCCTCACTTTTCTGCACAGGGCATGGAGCAAACTTTCCGCGCAGAGAGGCCAACTGATGTCACACGGCTCAAATGAAGGCGCGAGGGATCAGCCGCTGGCGTCCGCGGGCGACCGACCGTTCTATCTTGACCGTCCCGGAGTCGAAGCGCTTCCGGACGATGCGACTGCCCGAGGATTACTGTCGCTTTACTTTGGCAGTTGCGTGGTTACATATCGCATGCTTCATCGGCAGCGAGTCGAAGGATGGCTTCATCTTGTGCTCGAAGATAGGGCGCACGGCCATCCTCTGGCTACATCGCTCGGAAACGCTGGCACGTCAATCATTCTAACCATCCTAGCCATTGCAACGTTTCGCAAGTACAAGCTTCAGAGTACTCTTTCCAACGATCTTCAACTAGCAGGTCTGCATGACAGCGATCCACTTTTCCACGCTGCCACAGGCCTCACCGAGTCTGAAACAGGGTACCCGAGAGTCGAGTCTGTGCAGGCTCGGTTGATCCAGGTTCTCTATTTGCTGCAGACTGGACGCATGAGCAAGGCCTGGTATACATTTGGCAACGCGTGTCAGATCATCTCCTCGTTGGGTCTCCACCGCAAGCAGTTCCGACAGCAAAATGCATTCGGAGAACAGTCCGACTATATTACCCAGCAATGTGCGAAACGTGTATTTTGGACTGCTTACACAATTGACAAGTATCTGAGTGTGGTATTCGGTCGACCGAGGCTCCTCCATGACGTCGAAATTGACCAGGAGTTTCCTGATACGGTCAACGATGAGGACATGGGGCCGGACGGTCCGCTGTTGTCTGACGGGAGCGACGAGTGTCATATTACGTCTCTAATCTGCCATGCCAAGTATGTCCCAACTTCATCAGCGCTGGCATGGAACCATAGTTGACATACGAACTAGGATTGCTCGGATAATCGGACGGATATCTCACGAAGTGTACCATCTGGGAGATGGACGACAGGCCGATCGCGCAGCCGCCGCTGACGCGCTGATCCATGAGCTAAAGGCATGGCATGCAGCCCTGCCTCCACATCTTGGGATGGTTAAACTGTCGACCTTGGTTGCGAGCTACCGACGAGAGGCGACGGCCATCACCCTTGCATATTGCCATGCACTCATCCATGCCACCCGCCCATTCTTGCTTGGCGACGTGAACAGTCTTAGCGATGACCCAGCAATGCAGACTAGAATCAACGAGTGCCTTTCTGCAGCGCGAAAAGCACTCGAGATAATTGAACGAATCGTCGGCGACCGCGAGCTGTCCCATTCGTTCTGGTGGACACAGTATGTCTTGTTCTGCGCCCTCGCCGTAATCTATGTATGGGAAATCCAGCATAAGGCCCTCCGGGACCCCATGCCGAATTTCGACTCCCACGAGACCTTGTTTGCGCTGGCGGAAAAGTGTCGCTTTCATCTCCAGGGCGCTGGTTCTGCTGCGCCTCCCAATCACCGATATGGACTGATACTTGATGAACTGCGATTAGAAGCTCAGCGACAAACGGTGCTGAATGGCAACTCTCGCGCAATGTCTGGAACGGGACAGAGCGCAGAGCCTGGCATTGATGATACACTTAGTTTATGGGCTGATCATCCCATGGCGGATCAAACCGCCGAGCTGGACATGTCCACCAATTCTATCTTTTTCTCGGGCGCCAGCATGCTCCAGACTTGGCAGTCGACGGACTGGTTGGACCTAGATTCCTCGGTAATTCCCTATTCCACACGATCTGTACTCGGGACCCGCTGACTTCGTCTTAAGGCGTTCGATCCTGTATTGAGCATATTGGATATTCCCCCTTAGACACGACACCAGACCTGGCTCGCTGACAGTGCGAATTTATGCCGTATGGGACACTCTCTGACCCTCTAAACCGATGATTCCTGCCCTGATGGGAACATTCATGACGGCAACAGTAATACGAGTCGATTGGGGTCAAGGTTGACCGTCGTCTCCTACTCAAGGATGCCTTGTTTGCGTCACCCGAAGCCTCTATTAGCGCCTGGTATACTAGCAAAATCAGAGTCTACGCCATCGGATAAAAATTTTGAGATATGTACAGTCACGCTTCGAGCGGTACCTTGATGGAACCCGACCTCTCTCAGATCATGCGATTTGAGAGGGACCGTAACAGTTTTTTCAAAACGTGCCAAAATAAGCATACGATCTCCCTAAACGCCCATCTGGCACATTCCACAGCCCCAACGCGGAAGCGCTCGTCACAACGATCTACTGTCGCTCAGAGAGACACGTCACTGAGTGTTGATGGGCAGCCGGCCACAAAAGGAAATATGCTGCGCCGAGGCAGTGCTGATGGGACAAGCCGCCTTGGCAGGAACCCATGGCCCTTGGCGGATTGCAAGAAAATCGTCATATGCTTGGGACCGAGCAGGCGCAGGCAGCTGATCGACACGAGGCGCAGCCAAGCGAGACAAGCATCCGAGCCATCCCGCTGCAATGATTGTATATGTTCGTTCGAAGCCGCACTGCGATAGGGTCTTAGGTTCTTGGCAGACGCAACAATGGGTAAAATTGCCTCTGTCGATTTGGACCCCACGGGGATCCCGCCCCATTTCCTCCTGAGGCCCATGTCTTCGATGACAGATTCAGAGGCCATGCAGCGACAACCACCAACGGCATGACATCAGTCTCTCTATTTGATAATACACTTTGAGGTTTGCTGGTCACCCTGTGACTGTTACATGATGCAATATGAGAGGTATTCTGCCATTCTCACGTCTATAAGAAGGCGCACATCTGCAGGCAAAGTGTCTCGAATCATCACCAAAACACCTCGAGTGATAACGAGCACCTACGCCAATTCAGATATCTCTACCGCCCGAACCAAACCTCTTCTCCAAGCCATCAATCAGTCCATCATTTCGAACGCGCTCTCCGCCACCATGAAAGCCCAATTTCTCGGCCTCCTGTCCTTACTCGCGGTCCCTAATCTCGTTCAAGCCAAATGTCAACTCCACAACCAAATCGAAGACGACGAGAGAGGTGTGGAAACCAATGAGGATCTCTGCAAGAAGCAGGGCGAGGGTGACTGGAGTTTCACCCTTGACATTAGCGAAGTCGGCGTGCCGACCTTTGACGGTGACAATGCTTTTGCGGGCATCTCCGGTAACAGCGCCTTCATACTCTACGACAACGACTGCAATCGACTGGGTGTCTACGGTCCAGATAACGAGGGCAACGACTGTGGCACCCCGTATCAGATTGTCGAAGACTTTTTGGACTACGAAATTATCATCACCTCGGTCTTCCTGGATGTGGGAGACCCCGATTTCACCTATGAATATGGCGCCGGGGCGTACATGATTGGGGAGAACGACGACGAGTGTCATGATATGAGCAGCGGACTATATGCTCACCAGGGATGCAGGACTCACTTTCCTCTTAATGGTGATGGCTCCAACTAGAGCGGTGCGGTGGTGTTGGGTTCTCTCTAATCCCCGAGACCTTCCCAACGCTGATTTTCCTGCTTCGGGGTTGTTTTTACTCTTCGTTCGTTGATTCTGTGACTTTGGGCGTAAGTAGTCAGTGGTGGGGTTTTCTCGTCGCATCATGTATTGGTATCTCTCTCATTGTATTATAGGTTATAGCTTTTACCTTTGAAAGATATTCCATAATTCGCATATATACACCCTCCTAAAAAAAATACCAGTCCGGGCTCAACGGCGTATTATCGCCATTGTCTCTGCTCATCCATTCTCTTCCTTGACCAATTCCTACGTGGGATCCATAAACCTTCCGGGCGATACTCGTGCTATTAAGTTGGACAGTTCTAATACAACTCTCTATGTTTAGACCGATCAACCATTATGCCATGATTTTCCTGGTCGTGATTTCGGCAAAGGGGGGGAATTAATCATGCAGCGTAGGAAGGTGTGGATTGCCATTGTTTGATAGCATCTCAAGACCTTCAATACCTCATGTAGTGAGGTGAGATAAGTTGCATATCTTGTCCCATGGTCGCGTTACAGAAGATAAGAGGCATGTTTGTTTGAAGATGCAAGCCAATCAGTCCTCTGCCGAGGTAGATTACCCCTGTGGTTGCAGCCGTTCGTGATATCCCAGCAAAGGTCCGATCCCAATGGTTTAGCGCTGGCCCCGACGCCAGCAGGGGTGCCCATCCTGTGGGTTATTTATAGACCCCACCTGAGCACAATTCTCGAACTGCCCCGCTCGAACCCATCACTCTATTTCCATCGCATTTCCGCTTTCTTGCATCACTGGCAGACCCGAGGAAGCCCATTCACCATGAAGACCAGCCCTCGTCCAGCATCCGTCATTGACACTGACGAAAAAGGAACGCCCCTCCTCCAGACCAAACGATCGGCCGCTCGTGTGACAAAACGGCATTCAGACCCAGGAGCACGGAAGTCGTCGTCCACACACGAAACGAAAACGAAACCGACATCGAAGCCAGAACGGACCCTGATTGTCGGCGAGTCGCGATGTCATGGCCCAATACACAATTTGGTGACCACCTACGACGGGAACAATACCCTGACGATCTTTAGCACGGGCAAGGACCACAGCGACGAAACAAACGCAGTTGAAGGGGCTTGCTTTCGCAAGATATTCTTGACTGGTGGGTTGCTTCCTGTTCCTAGATTGTTGCTTGGATCGCTGGTCTGAAAGGTTTTGTCTAACACTTCGCTTGCACCCAACCAGATGAAACCGAAATATTGAACCCCGATGCTGCATATGAGAGACAGAGATATGTGAAGTTGGCCATCCTCATATCGCACCAAGATGAGATCTTCAAAAATCCCACTATCTTTGTGGAGCAGCGAGTACATGCAGAGGACACACAGAAACAACAAACAGTAGCTCATGAGCTCATGTTTGGCACAAATGTTCAACTGGGAGTGGATTATGTGTTTCCAGGCTGTGGTGACGAGGACGCAGCATTCGGCAAGCGGGACCTTTTCGTCCGGTTTCAGTCTGTGAGTAAACCAATATCATTCTCTACAGCACAGGACTGTCAGATCCTAATCCTTACTTAGTTGGATACGACATTATTCAAGCAGTACATACAGCACGCCAGATACTACGGCTATGATCTCCACGAGTGCGTACAACTCAATAAGGAGAAGCTCTCGACCGGAGTCCACTACAACGTTGCGCCCGTTGATGATGCAAGCCAGGCTTCTCCCTTCAGGGGCCACCTGGAAAGTTCAGATCTACAGAGTTTATTGAAATCTAAGAGTGGCAATCCACAGCCCAAGGGCTACTTCTCAGAGCATGGGATTGAGCTAATCAAGCTGAGGTTCTGTGGGTATGGCAGGTGGACTAGAGGCCGAGAGCATGGAGGTGACTTGATTATCCACTTTGTGTACTCTCCCTCACCTATTCCCGCGACGAAACACTAGGAGTGTGCGGAAATATGCCTATACTACACGTGTTGATTGGTCTTTGATATTTTCGTCGACCCATGATTGGGTAAGACAGAGCTGTATTATCGTTTTCGGGCAGATGCCTTTATAATTATTTATATAGTGCCTAGTGCTATCTTGCCCCTTGGATTCATGATAGCCTCGTAGTTATATTCTAAAGTGGTCATAGCTGATAGAGGTATAGGCGAGATCGTGGCCTCAGAAGAGGCACAAAACCAGCGCAGTGACGCCTCCAATCTGCCAGATGCTGGCTATGCATTCGGTCCCAACAGCCGGATTGAGCGGGTGTACCACATTCCAGTCGTCCATAACTGCTTGCTTTGGTATCCTAAATGCTTTTTAGGCTTTTGAAGGGATGATATATTGCGAGAGACAAGTCAAGGGTTACTGCTGTGGCTGCGGTGGTCTCTGTCGTCCTAGAAAGGTTCGGAACAAATGACTGCGCGCCAAACAAGACAAACCTGACATGGGTGGATTATTCTAGATAACCTCCCAAGAGCTCATGAGCGCATTAGTTTTGTACATACACGCTTTTCTGTTTTCATATGTCTACGTAAAATAGCCACTGACGCAGTAGTACGGTTTGGGACGGAACGCAAAAAAAAAAAAAAAAGAAAAAAAGAAAAAAAAAGGAAAAGAGGTTTATTGTTACTCTCATACATGGCCCCAATTCCCCGAGCAAAATACACATATGTGGCCTTAAGTAACTGGTGCATTATCTTCAAGAATAACATCCGTCGCCTTCTCACTTGTCATGTAGATTGGAAGAGCAATGAAGAAGCCCGGAATCCGTGGAAAGATGGACGCATCAACCACGCGCAAATTATGGACACCTCGAACACGGAATCGCGAATCCAGAACAGCCTTCGGATCACCTTCAGTCCCAATTGGACAAGTGCATGAGGCGTGGTGGCCCCAGGCCTCGTTTCGGATAAATTCTTTGACCTGCTCATCAGAGGTCAAGTGACGACCGGGCAACTCTTCTTCAATGGACCGCATGAAGGGTGTTTTAGCGTTATCCATAATGCCGCGAGTGATGTGGAACCCTTCGGTTATGGCATCTAGGTCTCGCTCGGCAGTCTCGGTCTCGTCGTGGCTAGTCGTGAAGTAGTTGAAATTGATCTCTGGCACGTCTCGCGGGTCGGTAGAGGTGAGAGTGACAGTGCCATCCTGGTTATGCGTGTGGGCCTTGAGCACTGCCCAAGTGAAGTGTCGTTTATCCTCATTAGTGTGACTAGAATAGCCAGGGTAATAGCCGCGGAAGACTGCAGGGCCGCCAAAGATGAAGAGGTCAGGGTCTGCATCAGCATAAGAGGACCTCTTCACCAGGCCAAAAGCAAGGCCGTTGGATTGATACGGCCCACTCCCTCGTTTCCAAGCTTCGAGGCATGGGTCGCCTGGCTGGCCAAAGGTGCAGTCCTTCAGAATGCGAAAGTCACTTGAGAACTTGCTAACAATTGGGATCTCATAGCGGTCTTGAAGATTGCCACCAACGCCTCGTAGGTCGTTTACTACGGGGATGTTGAATCTTTGCAGCTCGTCTTTGGGTCCGATGCCACTCAGTTTTAGCAATTGTGGTGTCCCAAACGCTCCTGCCGCAATAATAACCTCGCGAGACGCCAAAGCACGACGTTTCGTGCCAGGCGTAGATGAAATTGATCGGGGATCGGCTCTGTACAGGCTCTTCCCTTCCAGAAATTCGATACCAATTGCTTTAGGAGGCGAAGTCCCCCCACGCGCAGAACTATCATCAAAAATCACCCGCGTAGCAAGGCAGTGCGTCCGAATTTCGAGTGGATGACCGAGGCGGACAGTTTCTACAAGATACTCTCGGGGGCCGCTGCGCTTTCCTTGGTGAATGGATACGGGAAGCTGATAGATACCTTCAGCCTTGTCACGGTGAGACTTGGTAGAGTTCAGATCTTGCAGCAACAAGCCTAGTAACTGTGAGATCTTTCCGAAGAGACTATGGCCAACTGCAGACGCAGCAGCGTTGATGATGGACAGGAGCTTGAAGTCGGTAAGGCCTTGTCTCAAGTCGGCGCGATCCGTACCAAGCCAACCGGCGAAGCCGTGGCCCGGGGAGTTTTTCGCAACGTAGTCACAATTCTCAAGGCGCTCGAAATACCTCCGCATATGGTTAGGTCCCCACGATGAATCACCGGTGAGACTGGCAATATTTGACCAGTCGCTGTCATGTGGATATACGGTGATCATCGCGTTGTGTGCCGTACAGCCACCAAGGGTCCCTGCGCGTGGGTAGATAATACCCTTTGGCTTCGACCCCGATGGGGGCGATAATCCAACATAAAGCTGACCATCAGGCGTTGCATAAGTCATTTTCGGGTCTTTCCGTGCGAGCTCCTCGTCTGTGTAGTGGTTCACATAGTAATCCCAGCGCATCCGTTCGTCCTCGGTCGAATTGAAGTGAAATGATGGTACCTGCTGGTTGAAGTTTGATCCCTGATCATCCCCTGCCTCTAAGAGAAGAACTCGGTGGCCTTTGCGAGCTAGATTTGCAGCTAGCGGCCCTCCTCCAGCACCTGAACCAACTATCACGTACTCGAACCCTTTTATGGTGTTGGACTGGCTCTCCCCCGAGACTCTTCCAGCAGCAGAGTCAGGAGGGCCGTCTACAACTGGGTTGCGAGGCTCGGCCGACCGTTCCATAATGTAACGCGATGTAATGCGGCGCGTGATCTCCGCTATTCAGGAGTTCGATGTTAAGATTTGATCAACTGCTTGTCAGTGAGACAAAGATGGGGCTTTATAGGTCAACTGGAAACACGCGAACAGTGACGCTGTATATGTTGGACTGCTTAATCACTTGATCACTATGGACAGTGTCGCGCACCGTAGGTACAATCTCCACCTAGGTCCAGAGATACGGGAATTGTCTGCTATGGATAATGGGGTCACTGACGCCAGATACCACTTCCGGTAACACATATTGCCTGGCCTGGTTGGGCCCCTATTGGCTGGTGGTAGAATCCAAGTCGCATGATACTGTTGGCCGATTAGAATTGAGCTCCAATACTCTATAGGCGACAACTGAAGTAGTGAAGTCATCTTTCTATCGACAACCACAGGATACTACCTGCAATCATTTGTGTAATCTCGCCAATTAACCTTTAGATTAGCAACGGTTATTTGCGGAAGGCAGATTACTCGACTCGTGAATCATCAATGCGGTGGCATGACCACGTGCTCAGAGCGTCCAGAACACTCGGCCGCTGAGCCGAAACTTTTATCTTTCGGATAGTCGGGGATCTAGAACTCTATCTGGCTTGGGACAATGATAGATCCTCATGGCCGAAAGATAATAATGATGAATGGTTTTCGGTCTCCTATCCAGTCTCAAGATGTCATCTGCTGGGTAGTAATGAGCTTTAGTGGATACTAATTTCGGAGCTTCGCAGCGTCAGAAATGGTCTACAACGAGGATAGGTCTTCTAGCTAACAAAAACTTTGCATCGCGCGTTAAGTGGCCCTTCTAAGTGCCTTACATGTGAGTATTTATCTGTAAAGAGATTGCATGTACAGACTTCAGGAGCACTACTGCAGTTATTTCGTCCTGGATACTACGCCAAAGCAGTATTAAATTTGCTATCGAACCTAGCTTTTCCGGCCTATCCGTCAAGCAAAGAACGCCTAACTGTGCCAATCGGTAAAGCTACCATCCAAAAAACACCAATACAATCACAGAGGACGACATCTACTCATGCAATTTTGCCGGAGAGCTCAACTCATCCCCACGGCGGAGCTGCTGCTCCTCGTCAATGCTGAACTCAATCAGAAGAGTCGATGCTTGTGATTGCTATCCAAAGGGAGCGTCAGTACTCGAATAAATCATATCGCCCACGAGCGGAGGCATACCACAATCGTGTATCCAAGTGCCTCTCTATTTTTCGGCTCCCACCCAGCTGGAAACCGCTCCTCCCCAAGCCACACCCTCAAGTCTTTGACATCGCCGCCAAATACAGCGGAGATTAGGGCGCCATTTCCAGAGCCTAGTCTATGTCAGCAAATGGAAAACAGCGTTATTTTCACACGCTTGAAAGTGATAATACCGAAATACTTATGTCGAAAGCTGTGTGCCAGTGAGTATTCGCCGTTGCTGTGCTTGCTCTCAGCACGGCGCAACCCAGAGTAGTATGCTATGTCTGCGAGTGAGAGCGAGTGCCCGTTTGAGGCATGGGCAAGGAGCCTTTCCACGAGATCGCGATCGGGTGAGCTTTGGTCAGGGCAGAAGGCGATATCATGCCGGGTAAAGGAAGCGTCGTGTTGAATAACCTGAAGATTGCGTGAGCGATCAGTATTTCACCGCATCAAAGGCAGTGTTTAGTGGCGGGAGAGGTATAGTATGATTTCCATCCATGCGATTATTCTCCACTCACGTTCAAGGCATTGAGATCATGCAAGTCGATCCAACCTCGGCCCTGGTCAATTTGCTTGGCTGCGGCAGTGAGCCGTTCGGCCAGTGTAGGTGAGAGGTTATATGCATGTTGAATTGTGTGGGCCATCTGTCGGTATGTAAGATGTTTTCCATTTCGTGGAAGAATGCCTACAGCCAGGCAAGTCAGCAGGCAGTCCCTGAATGACGCATCTTATTGCGTACCGTGATTGGCGAGATTATTTAGCCTGTTCGATTCAATTAGCACCTTAATTAGAATGAAGGTACGAAGAAGAAAACCCAGGACAGGGTGACCGCGTATCACTTTCGAGGTTTGGGGCGATGTACTTTGGCCAGTCACCCCCATGGCCTGGGTACCCTGGTGGTATAACTCCTCCAGCCGGACGATTACGGGCAACAAGGTTTATTAACTATGGAGCTGGTGAGACTTGTGTAAGATGTATGGAGGGACAGATCACTAACGGTCCAGATCAGGTCCCGAGCGCGAAGCTGCACAGCGAAAACAGCCAAAGATACTACCTTGGCAGATGCCTTGATCAGCCTCTTGAAAATGCCGAGACCAGTATTGTAGTAGTCAGCCATTTTGCGTGAAAACTTTTGGTTTCAGAGTATACGCGAATAGGTTCGAAGTTGGGGAGATATCATGGAATATATATGGCACCTCCCACTTTAGCTAGACATTTAAATGTAATTTCAATACTTACGATCTGGTACTGTATCCATGATATAAACTACTACATTTCATGATTCTGTCAACATCATCACAATTAAGTCCAGAACATCAGTTGAGCACGATTCGCGATGGCCGTATGATGTCAATTGTGCGGAGTCATGAGCCAAAGGCTCCAAGTGGCACGACCGCAGTGTCTGAAATATCCACCATCTGCATATTTATTTGCCCTCAAAGCGGTACAATCTGGAGCAACAATGGGTACCATAAACCTTGGATGTGTCGTCAGCATCTTAGTACCTTGGCTGCCTCTTCGTGGCCTGAGACTTAGGCATCAATCTAGGTATGTTCTTATTACTACTAAATTCGGGACACGGAGTCTAGGCTTGTTCTAACCCTTGGTAAACCTGTAGCATATGAGAGGTCATGGGAAGCCAATTGATACATGGTTCCCTACCCTGCTAGCCACCGTTAACTGTCCAGGCGGATGACCGACGCGAGCGACACAGTATACTGCATGTTCTAAAGATATAAAGATACGAAGTGCCTTACTACTGAGAGCCCCTCACTCTTCATGTCTGCTAAAGTGAAAGAAAATCACAAGTCACCCTAAGTCAAAATGTCATCTTTCCTGTCGGATCTCAAGGAATTCCGCGATATACTACAGGCGTACGCCGGGTCGGGCTCTGTCCCAAAGCAGGAGAACATTCTTTCCAGCTTACTCAGCCGCTGTGATTCCGTCATTCTTGTTGTTGCTGATGAGGATGGTACCAAGGCTACCAATGGAGAGATGTCTACTGACTGGGCCTTGCTGCAGAAAGACTGTCTCGATTACCTGGAGAGTCACCAAACCCTGCTGCAAAGTGCACAAAGTGAAGCTTATAAAATCGCAGAGGCCATTATACTACTTGAGATTGCCCACGAAAAGGTTACAAACAGGGGCATCGACGATAAACGGAAAACTGGCATGGATAATGGAAGAAATAACAAAAGATTGATCTAACAAACGCACAAAATTAGACGGAGCGTATAATTCCGCAACGTAGAGTGTTCGCAGAGGGAACTCAACATCAAATACAAATAAAGGGGCTTGTACACCTAGTGTAAATGTGTGCTGGTGCAAAACTATAGCTTCCCCAACATTCCTAGACCACGTACTTCGCATTCCTTTCATTCTTACCAAAAGAAACAGACTTCCACCGTTTTACTGAAGGTACCCTACCTCAATATCAGACAGATATGTTATATCACGGACTCAAATTACCCCTTCTCAACAACATTAATATTGACAGACAGCAAGTACTTCAATAATTAATGCTCGCCTAGGACGTGATGCGGCTGCCAGCGAGCGCTAAACACTGATTTGTTTCACATCAGGTTAAGATATTGGTAACATGGACTTCCTGTACCAGCACCTTTTTAACTCATTAATTTGAGCAAGCTGTGCAATTCGCAGTAAACCCCCTTTTCAAAAACCAGTTATTGCCTGATACAATCCGCAGTTGACCGTCGTATGAGCACTAGTCAAAGCAATTGCCATCTCCACATAGGACAACCGCCCGGTAATATACTTCCGCAATTGTCAGGCACATGATACGTCTCCAAACTTGTGAAAATCCGCTTTGCCTCCCACATTCATTGTACAAATCCCTCTTGAATACATCATCGATTCTTTCCCTCATGGCCTCTGTCAACCTGTCCTGTGCGCCGACATTCCGATAACCAAAATCATGTCGTCTGCAGCTCGGCTCAAAATTAAATCCCACTGGCATATCTGGAGCCTATTACACTGGCCGCCCTGTTTCGGCCGGACGGTCGGGCGGTCACCACCAAAAAACGTCGATTCTGCCAGGGGGAGGTGTCGAGGGGGTGTCGCGCCAAATCCGTCCTGCCTGCGCATTGCCCAATCAGTGCCCGCTACTCCGTCTGGCCGGCGCATGGTGGAACCCCTAGTGGGCCGTCTGGCCAATACACTGCCCAATCACCACCTTTACGCATTATCTGGCCGACGCATCACCTAATCACTACCTCTATGCATTGTCCTGCCGACGCATCACCCAATCACCACCTCTACGCATCGTCCAGCTAACGCATTGCCTAATCACCACCCCCTACGTCCGCGTCCGACCAACGCACCCCCTAATCACCATCATCACGCCCTTGTCCTGCCAACGCATCACCCAATCACCACTACAGCACATCATCTGGCTGACACACCACCCAATCACCACCTCTGCGCATCGTCCGACCGACGCACTACCTGATAATCATTATCACTAGTACCTCTTGTCTTTGTCTGTCCAGCTAATGTAATAGCTAAGTATAATCTTACTATTACTATAGCTAGCTACCTTCGTTCTCACCTAAGCAGCGCTATTTTCTATAATGTATATCTAGTTTCCCTTTCTCCTAAAGCCACCAGCGTTAGAGTCAACCCACGTAATCACCCCCCATAGCAACAGCATGCACGACGTATCTAGCGTATGACTATATAGCCTCCCGCGTTCGCAGGAGCTTTACGGGTAGTAGAAGTATCTAACCCTTCTTATAATTAAGCACTAGCTAACTATTAAAGTAATCCTAAATCATAATTATTGCTAAGTAACCAAGGTAGCGAGTAGCCTAGGAGGCGTGGGAGAATATATATATTCTCTATAAACTATACTATTTTAAATAGATAGCTACCTAAGAGAAGTGACTATACCCTTACTAGTACTATAAAGCGTGCCTGTGCCTTGTAGGTATAGACACCATGACTTATACTAACATGCCGATACACAGCCCGCTGCGTCCGGCGCAGTACCGGCGGCTAGTAGTTAGGGAAGTAGCATGCAAACCCAGTCTCCTGATCCCCCATGCGGTCCCGTTCCCCTCTAACCAGCTCGGGAAAAGGGGGTACCAGCTCATATTCACGTAGCTGCTACCATGACTGGAGTATGTCCTGCACGCTAAGCTGTTCCACCAGGAACCGATCCTCCGCTGTAAGCGTATAGCTATGTTTCAAAGCCAGATGCTAGAGCAACTACGAGGGCCAGATTGCCTCGTGACACCTAGTACAGGTAACCATGTGCCACCGTGGGTAATACACTAGCTACGCCCATGGTAACACCTGGTGCTCATGCTCGTTTAGGATGAGAGGCACGCGAGGCCCGCTCTCGACCTGCTAGCTGGCCGCTAGACCAGCACCTGTGGGTGGCTCTGCTACTAGACCTGTTAGCGAACCTGGTCAGGTACCTGTTAACTCGCCTTCTAGCCCATCATCGCCCCCAAGGATAAATTAGTGCTAGATGTTAGATACCTTGCGGAACAGGTTCAGCTGCTCAGTCTATAGGGACATTAGGTGCCGCTCCTCTACGGTGTAGATCTGCCAGTTGATCTATTAGTAGTGCCCCGCCTGGTGGGCGTAGATATTAAGCATTAGCTCCGCCGCCATGTGTAGATTACCCAGGGCAATCCTCTGGGGCAGGTATCATTTTGAGATCGCGATCATGGTGTGCTGATAGCGCCGGGTGTTAAAGATAACTATGGGGCTCTAGAAGAACTTTTGGCTCGCTTCCTTTATAGCCTTGTTAATTATTATCTTTATAGGCGGGAGTCGCTCCCTGGGCAGGGCGAAGAGATAGTAGTTATTAGAGAGGGCCACGCGCCTGGTGGTCTGCTATGAGCATAGCACTTGCTGCTAGAGTAGCTTAACTAGAGGCCGCACGTGCGCTAGGTAGAGCACCACCACCTCCCCAAGCCTAGTAGGGAGGAAGCGGGCCGTGGGCGCGACGAGGCCTCAGCGCCAGACAGTCTTATCATACTCAGTAACCAGCATCACCGCGCCCTCGCTAATAAAGAGGTTCCGCATGCTAGATGCAGTATTATACCATTTCAGCGTCATTAGCTCTATGCCGCGCGCGGGCTGGCCCCAGGTTAGTTAGATAGTTAAGATTAGCTAGCAGAGGAAGGCCTGGGCCTTGGCAAGGTAGGCCCTGATAGCGGGGCGGTGCCAGTACTAGCCCATTCATAGTGGGCGACAGCCCTGCCCTGGTGCCTCGCAGAAGGGTAGCAGGGGCCGCGCCGTCTCGCCACCGCCAGCGACCAGGGACCTGGGGCTATCAGCTAGGAGCGAGAGAAAGGAGAAGCTAGTTATTGCGCGCGTAGGAAGGTTAGTAAGCTGGTAGAGGTTAACTACTAGTGGGGCGCCAAGCAGGAGTTAGTGGCGGAAGATTAATAGGGTGGTCACGAGCACGGACTGGATCCACTGTTAGAAGAGGGTGAGGGGTAGGCCCTAGGGGTCACGATGCTAGTAGAGGACCATTAAATCTGATAACTAGGAAATGGTAGGCCGCTATAGCTAATCGCGCACGATGCGCATGCTACCCTCCATCAGGCAAAGCAGCTCGGTCATGGGGGAGAAGCTAGGCCAACCGCCATAGGCCTGGTGGACCTGCGTCGCCCGCCGGGCATGGTTCTAGATCGATGCCCGCGGGCGGATGTCGGGGATCAGGTGGTACCCATGCGTTGGCAGGGCAAACTCTAGGAGCAGCAGCCAGGCGACCTAGATCAGCCTAGCGAGGATGGTAGTGTAGTTATACGGCTTGTAAAAGGCTAGCTGGCCATCCTCGCCCACCTAGAGGCCGTGGATCGCCATGTAGGCCACTAGCGAGGCGCTGAACCTGTCCCCCTCTAGCTCGATCTATGGCGCGGTGAGGTAGTAGATGCTCAGGGAGAAGATCGCCTGCGTGAGCCATGCCCAGCCTAGTCTAGGGAGCTGTACCAGCGTCCCACCAGCAATACCCCAGGGCTCACTCAAGGCAGGATCCCCACCCGTGTCCCCTTGGCTGGTTAGAAGGTGGGGACTATTATCATTACTACTATCACCACTAGTACTTCCCTCCAGGTCGAGGTCGACGTTTGTGCTATCGTCGGCGCCATCACCATCGGTGTCACTGTCCATCGACGTGCATGAAGGGGCGAACCTATCATCACAGGAAGAGTCATTCGGGTTAGTATTAGTATTGTTCCTAGAGGATGACGTCCTAACACCACTAGTATTAACCCAGCGCGGCAGCCCGTATTATGTCTCTAAAGCGACGCCTTATAGCCAAGACGGGGGGTTAGGTGCCGTGGCTGCTTGATCTAGCAGTCCACCTATAGTGCGCTAGCGCTTCGCCGTACAGGCCCGCGGCGTGGGAGTGCTTGGCGGCGAATAGCGTAGCTTCCTCTTAGTCCCCTTTATAGAGGATGGAATTACTACTGTAATTATTACCTGGCTCTATAGAGTTCCTCCCCCCAGGCTACTACTAGCCGGTGTATTGCCGGCAGCGGGGGCTCGCTGCCCGGTGGTGCCCTGCTGGCGTCGTGGTCGTGCCCGTTGCGCCTGGTCAAGTCGGTCACTGCGGATGTAGTCTAATGGATTAGCAAGGAAGCGCACTACTACCATACCTGAAAAGTCCCAGCGCGCCGGGTCCTTGAGGTGGAGGAGTAGGTATTAGTAGATTGCCTGTAGGAGCTGCTCCTCCAGTGCTGCGAGGGAGAGGCCAAGGTATCGCTTGCGCTGTGCTAGCGTGAGGGGTGCTACCTGGAAGAGTAATATCAGGAAGCGCTTCTAGTACTACGCGTAGCAGGTGATTATCATGGCCTTCTACAGCCGCTGTAGGGGCTGGCAGCCGCGGCAGCCTGCTTGGTTGCTCCTAAAGATTTCGAGGATAGGTAGCTAGGTGGTGTCTAGCGTCCTCAGCGCCCAGTCCAGGACCCGATCAAATACGGCGCTAACCAGGCGCAGGATCAGCTCGTGGTTATCATGGTCGTGGCCGGCTGGCGCAGCGTAGTCCCTAGGAAAGAAGCTCTAGAGCGTGGGTAGTAACTAGCATGTCCCCAGCGGGCTAGTGGCGGCTAGCATCACACTAGGTGAACGCCCATGGAAGAATTACGCCCACCTGGTCTACTAGAGCCACGGGCTGGAGTCATCACTCTCGTGGTGCTCGCTAAACCTGAAGTGGTTAGCTATCCCTTGCC